CCCATTGCTGAGGCTTCCCCTATGCCTTTCCGAGCTCCCAACGCCACTGCTTTAAAGCAAATCAAATTATTCCCAAGCCTAAGCCTTTACGCCACCGGAGAGATGACCCTTTTCTCATCACCTGTAGTTACGACCTCTGTTCCGCGAAGCGCTTCGGTCGCTGTCGAAGCTGCGGCTACGACTTCGTCGTCGGGTATCGCGATCGTCATATCGACTGGCTCCATTGCCTCCTCCGCCGCCCCTTCGTCTGGGCGCTGGTGATCTGGATCTCGATCGGGAAGAGTATGAGCCGTTGGATCGACTGCGGTATCGACTACCACCACCGCCACCTCCTCGAGAAGAGGGGACACCGCCAGGAGATCGCGCTGGCGACAGGGAGTTTGGTCGGTAGACATCGGATCGAGGGCCGTATCTGCTTGACGGCGAGAAGCGGCGACGTCCACCACCTCCACCGCCGCCTAGAGGGCCAGAAGGCGGACCACCCCCACGAGAGCTTTGGAAGGGGACTCGAGGGTCGATGTTGGCACCTCGGCGGGCAAGGGGAGGGCCGGGCGACTTCCTGCGCGGCAGTACGATAGAAACGTTGATTATGGCGCCGTCGATTTGGGCCTCGTGCATGTATGAGATTGCAACTTCTGCGTCGGCTTGGTGTTCGTACAGGATATACGCGGTGCTTCGGTTGGTTCCAGCTATAATGCGACCATCACATGTCAGCTATTGAACTCGTTTGATTGAACTGTATGGGTAGAGAGCAACTGACAGGTTCTGTTCATTGGCAGATCAAGGTCCTTGATGTGACCAAATTGGCCAAAGATTTCGTAGAGATGCTCTTCATTCACATTCTTTGACAATCTCTCCACCACAATCTAGTTTGTAGCTGGTTAGCCTAGCTGCCCTGCCAGTGACCTCTGAAAAAGGCCATTAGCTGCGGAAACACCAACCTTGGTGGCTCTCTTGGGAGGACCTTCGCTGGGTGAGCGACTATCTCTACCACGCTCACGGCTTCTGTCACGACTTCCGCTTCTGTTTCGGCCATTGCGACGAGGCGGAGTGATTGATCGCGACCTGGATCGAGAACGCGACGGAGAGCGCGAATCATGGCGACGACGGCGATGGGTTGGAGGCGGCGAGCGCGAGCCGTTGGAATTGGATCGTGGAGGCGTGCGCGATGAAGCCCGGCGACGGCTTCGGGATGGAGATCGTGACGCCATTTTTGATGCTGAAATGGCGGATCTTTGGTGTGTTGAGACGGTTCAACAGGGAGGTTTGAGCTTTGTGACGGCCCGCCAGAGCTCATCGCCGTTTCTGGAGCATTTGGGGAAGTGAAATGCGTGGTCACGTGATGCCGTCTCAGGTATCTTCAGGTGCTGCAAGGAAGGAGCTGAAAGAGCTGCAAGAGGCTCGTTTTCTCCCCTCTTTCATGTTACTTTCTAGATACATCTTCCGAGGTGAATCTAAATGCCTCTCTATGAGTTGTATCTGATGTGGTTTTTTATTGACCGACGTTGACGTTGATTGTTCCTCAAAACCGACCAAACATCCAGCCTTTGTTTTCTCCACTGCTGCCATTCTGGGCCTTAAGTGACTTATGCCTCACCAACGCAGGCCACCTTGCGCGGCTCACAGCCAAATATGATGAAAAGCACTACTTGGAATGTTGAATGTTGAATACTTGCTTCACATTGCAATCATATTTGGCATACACGATATGTCACTTGAACGGTAAATGAACTTATCAAGCGCACTACTTTTGTAAGTGGTCTAGACATATTAAACATTCGGTACATATCTCAACAACTCTCTACTCTACAGGAGTCAAGCGAACCCAACATCCGTTAACCATCGATATAGTTGAGCCTATTTGATGCAGCATTGGCTTATCATCTCCAGGCTGGACGTCGCCAAATGTCTGGAGCACCCTTGTGATCAAGTACAGCATCTGGGTCAGAGCAAACTGCTGGCCAATACAGATGCGAGGGCCTCCGCTGAACGGAATATATTCCCACCTAAGATGATGTCAGTATTATTATTCGCAGTCACTAGTGGCAGCTCCATCGAAAGAAGTGCTTACCCTGGCCGATGCGTTTCCCATCTCTCGGGCCGAAATTCGTCAGCGTCATCACCCCAGTAGTCTTTTCTACGATGCAGGCTGTAGGTTGTGAACCGACAGTCGGTGCCTTTAGGAACGAAGAGAGGGCTCTGGCCATCAGGGCCACCACCCTTGGGCAGGACCGTATCTCTTTCAGCAGTGCGCATGTTGCTTGCTACAGCAGCATACAGCCGTAAAGCTGCAAAAGGTTGCGTGAGTCTCCCGCATCAAGCTCAAAGAGGGGAAAGGGGATACTAACTTTCTTTCAGCACCATGTTGAGATATTTGAGGTTTTTCAGCTCCTCCCAAGTGGGCTTGCGGCCTTCCAGCTCGGCAATTTCCTCTCTCAGCTTCTTTAGCACATCTGGTCGTCGAGCCAAGACCCAAAAGAGCGAGGACATGGTGCTAGCACTCGTGTCGCGGCCGCCCAGAATCAGCGAAAGCAATTGATCTCGCACCTCACGGTGAGAAGCTCCCGATTTGATGATTTCGTTCATGAAGATGTAGGGCCTCTCCATCTTCTCTTGAGCGAGCGCCTGGGATACGTGGTGGTCGACAAACTGCTGGGTGATCTTGACATATTCATCGAATTTCTTATCTGGCTTCAATAACGCTAACCATCCCAAACGGGCGCGGTTCGTTGAAGTAGTGAGGAGGTAATCAAACGCCGTCATGAATTCTAGAGACTCTTTTGTGGGGGACGTCAAAATAGAGGTTGAGTATCCGAACCTTGCAAGCAGTCAGTATTACTTCACTGCGATGATGTGCTTCTTGCTTACATGAAATCAGTTGATACATCCATGGTGAAATGGTATAGCAGCCTATCTATATCAAACTTGGATCCATCCCGTGGAAGTCTTGCCAAGAAGTTCTCAACATGTCTATCGGTGCACTCTAGATCGGCAATCTGATTCCGCACGAAGCTCGGGCGAATCATGGCGCGTGTATGCTGCCATTCGGGTCCGTTGACGGCGAAGATGGAATAGGGACCAAGTGTTAATATGCTCACTTGTTGTCGCAGCGATTTCATCGGCCAGTCCTCGAATCTCGTCGATAGCAAGGTTTTGAAGTTCTCTGGTTCCGAGGTAATAAGCATCCACTTACCCGTGGAGCTGAACCAATACGTTCCGTTATAGGTGTTAAGAAGCTTATCCCATAGCTCCAGCAGTTTATACTCCTTGAGCGCTTTGACCGAAATGCGGAGAATGTCCAGGCCTAAGATCGGATCTCGGTGAGGATACACATTGGCCAGCTTGCATCCATTGACCCGCGTACCCCGAAGGTAGTGGTGATTCCTGCGGAGAAGAGCGAAGACTGGAACCAAGACAATGGCGACGCCAAGGGAAGCGTAGGAGGCGAAGGGCGTGAGGTGCTCGTTCGCGGCGACCAGGACGATGCGCTCAAGGACCGACCAGGCGATGTAAGTGCCAGCGAGAGCAGCACCTACAAACGCCGCGATCTCACTCACGATGAGTGACATGGCAGTGTTTTCTGGTCTGTTGCGAGCTTGTACAACCGCTGACTAAAGAATGCGACTGTCTGGTAATCGCACACGAGTTGGCATCTCTGGCCGTTCTCACGACATGCGGATGGGTTTTCGCACGATGAAACCAGAGGCTAGGGAGGGCCCAGCAAATATATACGATTGTGAGCACCTATATACGAGCATGAGCATTGCGCTTATCCTCCGCTTTTATGCCCATAGCTTCTCCTTTCGTCACCTGTTCACATAAACCTCCGCATGAGAGATTGACCGAGAACGGTTTGATACGTCAGATGTCTTTTAAAATAGCCAATTACAGCAAATGGCGGCTGTCTCCCCGCCACTAAGCAAGGCTAGGTTGTGAGAGTTATACAACCAACTACCACCCAAAGACGATTGCCCGACCCCAGCAGGGAATACCATGCAATGTCACATTGATTAAGGTCCCGTTGCCTCTCTCTCTCTCTCCTTTTTTATTTTATTTTTATTTTTAATTTTTTTTGTATTACGTTACAACCAAAAAACAAGGGAAACCGGAAAAGGGAAAACAATCACTACAGGTACGGAATAATCGAGAACGAAGCGTGAGATGCACCGTATGATTCACCATCATAGAACTTGGCGGACTTGGCGGGGGTAAGACGAATGACATGTTGCATTTCTCGTTTCTTTCTACCCTTTTCACTGCTTTTCTGATGCTCTCACGTGTTTTAGAGTAATATTTTGGGCCCGTTCTAATGCAAGGAAATGAAGCTTAAGTTGATGGGCTTTGGTCGGGTTTCAGCTCTCCCTACATGTTCGCGACAAGCCTGAGTGAGCTGGCGAAGTTAAAAAGCGCCAAAGGATTCAGACAACCCTTGGCTACACCACGTTGGACAAGCTCTGGTAGCTTCACATGCAAATTGGCCATCCAATGACTGGGGTGACATTACAATAGATTTCATCTTTGAAAAGCTGCCAGTTTCGGCACAAGGTCTGCAGCCTCGGCTGCCCCGCCTTTATGGCCGCAAATTATGCTACCCCATTATGGGCTCTTGAGACATCCATTTATATGTCCATCCAGGGCCCGAGTCCGCGGACGCCGCGCTAGGAGACGATCAACTCGTGAATGAAGAGGCTCGGAGGGTCATGTTGTGTTAAGGCCGATGCGGAGGGGAAACCCGCATCGGCTGTATTAATTCCTAGTGCTACGACGTGGATCTTTCATTCTCGCAAGCGTTGGTTCGCGTGAGAAACTCTGTGGGCCCTACCAAGCATGTTCATTTGACATATACCAAACCGAAACATTGGGGTTTTGTCGGCCGTTGCTTTCGGATCCGGAGCTGGTAAAGGGCCCGGAGACGTTACATCAGTGGGATAACCGTGTCTGCCTATGTACTAATCACAGTGCGGTGGTGTGCTCACGATAGAGAACAATACGACACCCAGAAGATGGAGGGAAAAGTTCAAGCGATATATCTTAAGATTTCATAACTCGTTAAAAACTCAGCCAAGATAGTTGAGGAAAACACCAGTAATGTAACTTGGACGATTTCATCACAAGCATCTGCTGAAGCAGCTTCAAACTGCAACATTCGTTCTCTACATTGACCCAAAGACATGGATCATTTCCTGTCCAAGCAAACATCCAACCCAAAGACTCCCAAGAGTCGATATAAAACTAACCAACTTTGTCAGTAATTTGAAGTAAAAAGTAGAATACGCAGACAAAGGTAGACACTTACAGCTCCTCTCTTTATAAGCCTTGGCCAGCTCAGTGCGAACCTCATTCATCGTCGGATACGCATCTTCTTCAGGATGCCATTTCTTGATCGAAACTATATTCTCCAGAAGCTGAATGCCATTTTCCAGTTTCCCAGCATCCATGTACGCGCACGCGAGCTCATACTGCGTCTTCATGCGCAGTAGATGGTTCTGTTCAAGGCATTGTCTTTCCACCGCGAGAAGTTCCTCCAGTGTAGATATCCCCTTCTTTTCGTTGCCGGTTTCAAGGTATGCCAGACCGAGATCGTGTTCTGATGTGAGTCGCGAGACGTCGTCTGGTTCGAGGCGACTTCTTCGTATGACGCATGCAGATGATAATGCTTCTACGGCTTCTTTGGCTTTGCCTTGCATTAAGTAGGCGGATCCGAGTTTTGCTAGAGTCATGGCTAGAGAAATGCTGCGGCCTTGTGTCAAGGTTTCAACTCGGACGACTTCTTTCAGGAGGCTGACTGCGTCGTCTATTCTCCTGAGGGACAAGTAACAGCTTCCGAGCTCGTACTGAGAGGCTAATCTGTTGGGGTGGCCCTCGTCGAGGCTGCTTCGTATCTCGACGGCTTCTTCTAGAGCTGCTACCGCCTCGGCTACTCGACCGCTCTTTGTGTATGCTAAACCAAGCTGATGCAACGCGGCGACTCGACTGGGAAGAGCCCTTGTTGCGTCAGATATATCCCTGGGATATGCCATTTCCTCAAGAATAAGAATGCTATTGTCCACCTGATTATTCTGAAGATATACGCAAGCAAGCTGATACCGCATATCAATCCGGGTTGGATGATCTTCCCGTAGCGTTTCTTCGGCCACTTTAGTAGCGTTCTCAAAGACTCTTGCTGCTTCATTAACTTGGCCCGCTTTGAGATATGCTGCACCAAGATGATGCTGCGATACCAGCTTATCAGGATGACTTTCACCAACCCTTTGCTTCTCCAACTCATCAACCTGTGTCAATATTTCTACCGCTTTTATAGTTTGGCCGCTGTGAAGATATGCGGATCCCAAGAGACACCGTGCTTTCAACTGATCAGGATGACTCTCACTCAATCTTGACGATTGAATCGAAACAATCTCTTCACAAATCTCGATGCCCTTGTCGACTTGACCATCACTAAGATATGCCCTGGCAAGTTCGTGAAGCGAAGCAAGTCTTTCGGGATGCTCTTTATGGAAAAGTCGTTCTTTGTCTTTGACAGTTTTGTCCAACGTATTGATTGCGGCTTTGACCTGGCCATCGGCAAGATAAGCCCTGCCTAGTTCATGCTGCGACAAGAGGCGGCTGACGGGCAACTCATGAGGATGAGGGTTCTGTACCAACTCTTCGAGAATCTGGACTGCCTTTTGGACCTCACCGTTGTCAAGATAAGCAGTTCCCAGTTTTTGCTGCAAAGCCAGTAGATTTGGATGGCTCTTATCGGAGTTTTTCTGGAGATCAATGGTGTTTTGTAAAAGAGTCATGGCCCTCTCCCATTGACCATCCAGTAAGTACAGCGATGACAAGTCAGCTTGTACTTTGATCAGGATTGGATGTCCGCTGCTTAGAGAACTATCCTCAAGTCTCCCAAGTTTCTCTAGCAGCGCAATGGCATCCGCAATCTGTCCATTCGCACGATAGGCTGCAGCAAGCTCGCACTGAATAGCTATCCGATGAGGGTGATTTTGACGATATTTCGATAGCTTCAGGGCTGTCTTCAGGCATTTGATAGCCTTTTGAGGCTCGCCGTTCTGTCGGTAAGCCGCACCAAGATGATTCTCGATGGTTGGGCGCGATGAATGCCCTGATTCCAGCAGCCTGTTTTGTGTATTCTTTACCTTTTCCAGGATCTCGATTGCTTCTCTCGATTTTCCATTCTCAATGTGAGCTTTGGCCAGCCCGATCTGAGGACCAAGCCGATATGGATGGCGATCGGAAAAGTTCGTAGCCTGTACTTCATCAAGCTCCTTGAATATCGCAATTGCTTCATCAATTTGGCAGTTGGACAGATAGCATGTGGCAAGTTTGTACTTTGAACCAAATAGAATGGGATCGCCTTTCTCTCTGCTCGTCTCTTCGATGGATACAACTTCTGTAAGTAGCGCTATGGCTTCTTGAGTTCGCCCGATTGATTCATAGGCTTCACCGAGTAGATGTAGCACAGCCAGTCTGTCAGGGTCATCTTCGTTTAGACTCATGTGCGACTCGTGAATCTGACGGATATGCTCAAGAATGGCTATCGCCTCTTTCCACTGGCCGTTGACGTTGTAAGCTCGCGCAAGTTCCTGATCCGTTCCGAGACGGTTTGTGCCATGCTCATGAAGACTTGACTGCTGAACCTTTCGGACTTTCTGAATCGTCTGTATACACTGATCTATCTCTCCCAGATCAAATTGGTTGCGTGAGATCACATTAAATAGGGGAAGTAGGCCACTAGTTGGATTATCCAGAGTGGCGTCGAAATATCGTAGCATTTGCTCAAGAAGAGCCGATACTTCAGCGTCACATCTCATATTTCGCAGAGATATGCATATTTGAAGAAGGACTTGAAGCATATGTGCGGAACTCTCTTTCCCAATAGCTAGAGAGGGCGCTGCAATTAAAGTCGTAATGTGAGGCCCGAGCCTCTCGAAATGGGACTGCCATTTTGTTTGAGAGAACTGAGTAAGCGCAATTATACAAGCGGAAGACTGAATACTTGAACGTCGATGAGTTTCATCTTGACGAATAGCTACCCAACCATGAATGAGTGGGTGCAATGAGACCGTTGCATCGCTTCCTGCGGTTGATCTCTTGACGAGAGCTAAAGAAACGAGTTCATTGAGAGCCTGATCTAATCGGGCCTCATCCCACTTGTGTTTCTGGGCATTAATCCATGAAGGAAGTTGTGCGACATGCCACTGTGAAAGGTTGTCGAGTTTATCGTCGTCTTCTGGGATACTCTGAGCTTTTCTGGCCCCTCGCCATGCATGTTGGAAAAAGTCCACAGGAATGTCATCATAATGAAGGGTTGAAAGGACTTCCAAAAGCTGTAAAGCATCATGCCCAGATTGCTTATCTGAAGATTTTAACGCCTGGACCGAGATTTCGAAAGTCGTCCAGACGTTGCGGTATCTTGACTGAGCCTGAGAAGGGATAAACTTGAGCAGATTATCTCCCTGTTCTCGGAAGTCGATTATATACTTTTCCATGGATATATTCATTGAAGAGATGTAGGCGCCTGCTTGTAAGATGGCAAGTGTATGGAATCCCATCACTTCAACAATAGCTTCTGCAGATGCCGCGGACTCGGCACACAGTGTCTCGGGGACAGACATTGAATTCAGGAGCAGCTCAATACAATGCTCCTTGCTGAGGTTTCCAAGTTCTATGTGTCCGAGTGTCTTGTAAACGGCGCATTCTGGAAGCCTAGATGTCATCAACACAGTTCCTCTCTCCCCAGACGGAATATAGTCTGCATAATTGATTGAGCTATCATCCGCATTGTCCAAGATGAGTAGCCAAGGCTCATCCGCAGGCCAATTTGCAAGAAGATAGCGTACGTCTTCAACATCAGTACTCTCAGTTCTAAGAGCGTGAGCAATGATGGCAAATCCTCTGGCAGCTGTGGCCGCAGTGGCTACATCTACCCAAAACACGCCCCAGAATCTAAAGATATGTTAGTAGAAAGAGACGTGAATGACTCAGGGGCAGGAACGTACTGATTTCGGAGCTTACTCGCAACGTTCAAGCACACTTCGCTTTTGCCCTGACCCCCCATACCCGTGATGACGAACATTTTGTCTGAAGTTTTGGAGTCATTGAGCCTGGGATCTATGGCATCGATGATGGTTTGGACTATTTCATCTCTTCCAGTAAATAAAGCGCTTGGACGCTGCTTCACCGTCCAGTGGACGTTCATGGCTGACATAGAATTAGAACCGCTTCTTCTTTAACAAACCATTGTGGAATGATGTACAACATACGACCTGGTTCCATTACTCTTTGTAATTCCAGAGCTCTTTCAAGATCCGATACAATCATCTCCATGACCGACTCGCAACTCTCTGCTGTTGGAAACTTGCAGATTTTGCTATGGTTGGCTTTGAGGGCCACCTTTCTCTCTCGGTCGTCTGATAAGTTCAGAACTGCAGAATCTTTTTCAACAATCTGTAAAGAGAAGCACAGGGGAGAAAAAGGTCAGTGCCAAAATTGTTGAAAGAGGCAAGAGAATGACATATGTAAACATACCAGTCCAAATCTACCGTAATTCTCCGTCTCATAAAAGCTAATAACGAGACAGTTGGCAGGTAGATGACGCGCCTGTTCAAACCGTCGTATCACGTCACGAGAGCCCGCCTTCAACCCGTCCAATAAGTCATTACTAGGCGTTCCGAGTCCCGTCCTGACAATCTTGGCAGCAATGTCTCCGATGCCACTGTAATTTCCGCCTAGGTGAGGCGTTGCGAAGAAGACGAGGAGCCTGGTAGACTTGACAATGGATCCGTAAGCTGGATCAAGAGTTCCTTCAACCAGTGCCTTCAGCCCCAGACGTGGTTTGTAAGTATTACAAGAATTATAGGTATGGAAATCTTGGATCAAAGGAAGCCAAAACAAACGCATTGATCAACTGTGTATACTTACAGACTTGACAACTATGCCGCCCAGACTATGGCAAAGAAACACGATTGGCCTGAGCGGCGAGTCCTGGAATGCATTAGAGCTTGGACACAGTTTGCCTCCCCGCAGATCTCGGATAATGAGTACCTTTCTTTTGTCTTTTAGACAGCTCAAGAGCATCCGTGCGTGCTCATCCAGGCGCATCGCTGCCGCCGCTTTGGCCGGACTGGAATTATACGCAAACAACATGACTCGACACGGCCTCCCGATCCTCTGGGGGAGGAAATCCCGGATCCAGACTGATCCCTGGGAGTGCCATGTGGCTCGCGCATGGTTTGGATTGCCCTTGAAGTTGAGGCCATGAACAGCTACAACGCTAGAAGTTGAAACATTTGTAAGAGTGAGATTCTTCTCAAGAGGGCTGTTTCGTTCTTCTTACTCAATCTCCGGCTCAAGGGATTGAAGGCCACCACTTGTCTCCGAGTCGCCGTAGATGGTGTGCAATCCGGGCTCATACATTCCGAATAGCGCAAAGATATCTCCACCATGAATTTATTTCTGAGGTGACTTGTATTCGCAGGCAACGCTCACCTTGTCGTCGCAATCCTATCCATCTCAAGAATGCCACAACGAATAAAATGAGCACCAAAAGGCTATCTCACACAACCAACGCCTTGCAAAAGACAAATCAAGACAAACTCCCTCCTCAATTCCCAGATGTTTTTTCCCATCGCGCAAAAAGCCCAACCGCGCAGCTGATCCTTTTGGCTGTTGGTCGCCAATTGCGCATAGCCGCCCTTCGCTGGGGCTGAGCGGATGATGAACAGGGGTCCAAGCAAAATGATTTGATGGAGGCTGCCTTGCGTAGGAGCAGCACCCATAACGTGCATGTACTCCGTACTCAACGAATGTATGAGGAGCACACATATTGAGGAGTAAATGCGAGTACATTCTGTTGGCAGGACTGGAAACAAGGGCGATACATGAAACAAATGCTCTACTAGACCGCCGAACATACACGTTATCCCAGGCTAATCCTGTGTTCGTCTATCGACTTCAAATAACGTCAATTTGATTCCAAGCAAATAACAGCATTGCGCATAGAAAAAATTGTAGTGCAGACAAGCTACAGTCTCGAAGCCGAGTACTCAGCGCTGTAAAGAAATATCAACACGGCGGTAATCACGTATCTGCCAGACATGTACAAGAAGCCTATGGCGCAGTTAATCAACATCACAATATATAGCACATTATAAAAACAGAAAAGATGTACTCGTAAATACACTATCGGTGTGAACCAGTCGTTCTGGTTCTAGTCCAGTTCTCACTTGATTCTTAGACTCAATACCCTGAGATCCGATCAACTCCGTAAAGGAACCATTTTAGTCCTCTCTGCCTTCTGCCCTTGCGACATTTATATTTCAGGATCGTTGGCTGCGTTCTTCTTCTTCTTCTCCCAATTGTGAGTGTTTGTCGCAGAAGTAAATCTTCATCGCTGTCATTCGACCTGAAATTTGGTGTGAGGGGGTTGATTAGGCCTGGCCTTGGGAGTCCCTCAGCGCCTGATTAGCCGTTTGGGCCGCACGACGCAGTCGAGCCTCCAAGTTGGAATCACCCAGCATAGCACGTCCATTAGAAACAAAGTCGTCATAGACGGGAGCCAGGGCTTCAGATCGAAGATCACAGCCATAATAAAACAAGACGCTGCCATTGTGGTGAAAGCTTCCGTCGGACTTCTCAAAGAACCAGGTCAAGTTCTCGTCATGCTCATTGACAGTCCAGACAAGGCTAGGGTGATCCTTCTTGATAGCGGTGAAAACGTTCTCAGCCACATTGGTCAGCCAGCCCGACTTGGTGATGGCCAAAGTAGCAAGTGTAGCTAAGGGTCGGTTGTTGCCAGCAGGAATAACAATGGCAATGCACTGCAGTGCATCATCATAGTAGGCAGTAAAGGGGTTCTCCCTTAGGAGATCAATGAAGCGGTCAACAGTTGCCTCAGCGTCAAGGCCCTCTCGGTCACGAATCAGGGCTGCTTTAATCTTGTCCAAGTCCTTAAAATCTGACACGGAGGTCGCCTTTTGAATCTTGTCTCCTCGTTGGATCAAAGTGCCAGCGCCAGAGTCTGTGAAGAGTTCTTTTTGAAGGTCACTGGGATGGATGATGGCAACACTGGAGGTCCTGGGGAGGGTGTCGAGAAGCTCTTTGATCTCCTTGATCTTGAGGCGCGTACCATATCGGCACCAAGGCTGTGCCATGAGATGATCGTATTCCTCATCCAAGTTAATGTGGGAGATTTTGTCTCCTTCGCCGTTAAACAAGCCACCCTTCTCTGACAGATACACAACCTTCAAAGGCTCCAGTGCACGGGCAAGCTCAGCCGCAGCAACGTCAGCGTTAACGTTGAGCAGTTGGCCATCTGTAGACTCAGCCATGGAGGTAAGAACTGGAATATATCCGGCCTCAATGGATTGCTCGATAGCCTCCTTGTTAACCTTTGTGATCTTTCCAACGTACTGCCACTTCTCCTTGTCTAGATAATCAGCCATGAAGACGCCACTGATGGACCTGGTGGAAACGCCTAGCTGGTCAAGCCTGTCCACCAGTCTGAGATTCTCTTCGAGGAAGAGCTTGCGTGCCACGCCCAGAGTCTTGGCGTCGGTTACACGGATGCCCTCCTCGAACTGAGGCTCGACGCCCGCGTCCTCGAGCAAGCGGTTCAGCTGAGGGCCTGCGCCATGCACGAGCACAGGATATAGATCGAGGCTGCTCAACAGAGCAATGGATTGACATAGCTCGTCAAGATATTCAGTTCTCAGTTCTCTCCAGTTAGCCCAGCATCCGCCCCCTTCGACCTCAGTCACTTACAGAATAGCACCTCCACATTTGATCACAGCAAATTTCGAATGGGAACTTGTGGATGTGAATAATTTGAGATATTGCTGACTGGTTGATATAGATTAGTCGAATCTCTTCGGGCACGTGTTATCCCGTATCGTGGATGACATACCCCTCTCGCTTGCTTCCAATGCTGCTCAAAGTCTGAGCAACAATCTCTCGAGTTCGATCCTTCGCAGGAAAAGAGGCCAAAGTCCTTGTCGCCGACAGGCCCCTACGACCGGCCAAAGCCGGGCCTCGGATTCCGTTCGGAGCAGACGCGAGAGCCGCGGCCGCAGCCCGGGGAGCACCTCGTCGAGCTCCGGCCCTCAGGGCCACAGAGGTTGCAGAGAGCATGTTCCCAAGAATATCTGAACCAATTGGCCGGGCGAGTTTGCAAGTTTGCAAGAGCAATGGTCAAAGGATCAGCAACTGAGGATGCGCGAGAGATAGATCAGATAAAAAGAGTCACCCAGATTAGACTAGCAAATAATGCCAGCCGCGGTGGGGGGAGGGGCAGAAAAAAAACCCGCCCCGAAACCGCTCACCAAATGCGGGCAGGCGGTGAGACTGCCCCAATCACACAGAGATGTTCAGCTGTTGGCAGCACATGAATGTTGTTGGTTGCATAGGCGGATTGTCCAGTCTAGCGAGAGAATATAATACGCTACCTGTAAAAGGGCTGCAGAGGATTATTTACTAAACTGACCAACAGTGCCGTCAGGTGGTACGTCAATATGTGGCGGTACTCACTAAGCACATTGACCTTTATATCCTGCCTCCAAAGTACATGGAACGAACTACTGGTGTTGGAGCTGCATATCGTTGCCCTTTAATGAACCTCGGTGGAGAAAGCACAGGTCGAGAATAAAAGAATGACGTGACGTATAAGGAACGATCAGCGTGACTCGTACATGAGAGCATGGCTATTTGCTTAATCATAGGTGCTGGTCACTGATATTGATCCTCAAATCTTCAACAGGCAGCAGCACCAACAATTTCTTATATAAAACACAAAAACCTCGTAAAAACTGTGTACAGTTCAGTAAATCACAGCAAATGTATCAGTGGACCAATTTATAATAACGTGACCAGACATCGACTCATTATAATTCCGATAATACCAGAGAGAGCACACATTATCTCCATTGGTCGGAATAAACGCCTGGCCTGCAAATCATACGCATAACCCAGCCTGAGAGAACTCAGAGCATCATCTCCCGTGAAAATAGTCCGAGGCGTGTCTTAGAAAAACTCCATCATTTACAGAACCAACATCCAATAACAATTCGTAACCCTTCATTTGATCCCGAGCTCATTTTTTCAAGCTTCGAAGAACGACGTCTGGTGCTCATCATTGACGTTACAAAACAAGGTACTCCAATAAAAGAAAGAGAGGCATCAACGTGTCGCAACAACTAGATTCTCAAGTCAGCAGTTTTTACTTGGATGATGAGGGCGCTCAGAAACATACCAGAGGGAACGATAATAACGACTAGGAGAAGGATGATTCCGACAACAATACAGACTCGCATCTTCATGTCTTTCCACCACATTGCCTTGCGAACTCTGTTGGCACCACGACGGAAATCTTGAGCCGACTCAGCCAGGTTGTTGGTCTTGTCCTGCAGAGCATCGAGGTTCTGGCCACGCTGCGCGACTTTATTCATGTTATCGTGCATCACCTTGACTGTCTCATCGATTTGCTAGAAGAAGAGAAACCACCGTTAGTGCCCATATTTCAAGCCACTGCGTTTCCAGGATTCTGTATCCATGGCCATGCCGTATGCAGCACGTCTGCCATAAAATCCAAAGAGGTCAGGCTTATGCGCAGCCAAATGGGACGAAGAGACCAAGAGAGCCGCATTTGCGCTGATCCTGGACTCTTTCCCATCCCATCCTCTGCCAAACACCATCCATTCAAACGAGGGTCTTTTGCCGGCAAATCCAACTTACTCGCTGCAGGTTGCCCGTCTTGGAGTTGTCCTCCCCGGGGGCACCGTTCTTGGGAACGTAGGGATCATATGGAGCGTCGGCCATTTTGACAGGATGTGGTATTCAATACAATAGACTCGGACGAGAAAAACGCAGGCGAAAAAGCGATCGGAGCTTTGCAGCGGATTCGAGCGACAACGATGGAGGTGGTTTGCTGTTGGAGCGGCTTGGAGAAGGCGGCGGTTCGTAATGGCGGGCAGGGAATTTGAGGAAGACAAGTTTACGTTTTGTCCGCAGAATAGCCCCTTCGACTAGGTACTAGGGAGCATACCTGTTGGAGGCGTTGCCCCCGGCTGACGACAGCGCGGAGTCTGCGGAACCAAGAGCCCCCAGCCTCACGGGTTACAGGTAGATAGCAGGTACTGCACAGGTACCGCCCGTCCAGCGTCTGGCGGATTACGGAGGCCGAGTGCTGTATAATGCCTACATGGGTGAAATATGCCCTCCGCTGACTACCTAGGTGGACAATAGGCGTAAGCCGATATCTCTGTATGAATCTATAATACGCATCGCATCTAAGCCTTGGTTCTATTACGCAAGTTTGTTATTTTCCCAGCGATTTGTAATTCCCCTGGGAAGCCCGGAGAAGCCACCGGCGTCGCCATCCTGAGGCTCCGGACAGGTTCAGACGAGAGGTACGGAGCGGTACATGGTTGTCGCCTGTACCGCTACTTTGCCCCGCCACACTGCCTCGCCAGAGAATGTGGCTCCTCGCATCTTTCTCACTGGCACACGTGATTCTGCCGCCCTCGGTCAGAAACCGGTTCAGCGGCCTGGCGGCGTCATCGAGTGATGCTGAGCCAAGAGTTGACGATGGGAGTCAGAAGGAAGAAACGGTTTCTGCAGCACGTTGAAGAGCTTGGGCCGTCTAGAGGATGAGCTGCAGATGCTGTCGATTGCAGCGGTACTTGCTACGAAGCCGAGCCCGCAGGACATGTGCACAGACCGTGACACAGTTGGCTCGGAGCCGAACAACACCACCACTGTCGCAGGCTGGTTTCATCGCAAGTAAACGAAAGCGCGAGTTGATGCATTCCTGTTAGAGAGAGCGCGGCTAGTCTGGCAGCCTCCCCTTTACGCCATATCCCATTGTGCATCTATATAAAGCAGCAGTGAAAAGCCATCCAAAGTATTGAGCAGAATAGCGGTAGTATTTGGTTCCTGTGCGGAGTCAATGGCGGACGGCGGGCCGGGTTCAGCGACGCAAACAGCTCCGGCCGCACCCAATCCGGACAGTGTAGTCCAAACTCTATACAGTGTTTTACGAAGCCACTTCCATCTAATGTACAGTACTTGTGTAGCTACGAGAGACTGTGGATCAGCTTATCAGAGGGCGAGGTGCCAACATACAGGTAGCGATATTCGTTGCTCAAGTGCGGAGCGGATATCTGTTGAGTGTCGGTTAAAGGCCGCTTGAACTCGAGGCTCTACAGGGTACCTGAGGGGCAGACTCGTAAGCGCTCGCAGCTAAACTTTGAAGGTTTTTGGTGGACTCCTCCAGATGCTTGAATCGTGACTAAAGGCACTGTATTTATAGGCATAAATACCTTAAGATACCCACAGGGCTGGAGTCAACTCCATGGCCCCCCTTGTTGCCTCCCGTTTATACTCGTACTCTGTGCTCCCGTCGTGTACCAGGTAGTATATAAAAACGGTGAGTGACGACGACAAAGACACATAACCCTCAAATCCTGGGTCGTACAGAAGGTTGAATGTACGAAGTAGCATTGCTTTGACCCCATAACTACATCGTATTCCAGTAGCCTCCACACTCCCTGGTCCAGCTACAGCTCTTTTTGCGTGCCAAGAAAGAGGACGGCTGCTGACCTGTGTAGTTGGGAAAAGGTCCGACGCCAACGTGACCAGTGAAAGGGGGGGGGATTCACGGCTACACTATCCGGATGGACAATATATTTCATTTTCAGTTCGTTTGTACAGTATTACATTTTATCTCGAGATGGCGGTTCTTTTGGAGTTTTAGTACTCTGTAGTCGGCTGCTTATCCGTGCAGATCATGCACATGTCGAGCCCAGACACGCCACGACGCTGGGTCGCCCTATCGAAAATCGATGGTGGTACCGATAAGCGATCGCCCGCTGCCCATCTCATGTATGACGGCCGCAACAAAAAGAGAGACATGAAGAAACAAAACACGGGCGATGCTTGTGCTCCGTCTACTATTAATCCCCAGTCCCCCGCTCCCTTTTCTTTTCCCTTTTTTTTGGGGCCCATCGATTACTAGGCTGGATTGGATTGGTGCTCTTTTTTTGCCCTTTTTTCCCTCCCACCAACAATCAGCTTACGAGTGCGTGCTAATTGGTGTGGTTGCCCATGCTTGGCTGAAGTGAATCACCACAACGGCCCAACCACCGCGCCCAGGGACCAGCCACGATTATACGAGCGCTGTAACGGGACGTTGGCTTAGAATCGTCAGGTAATACTGTAATCCTTCTATTCTTCTAGTAGGGCCGTCAGCACCTACACAAGCGACGAACCTTCCAGCGGCCCTTGGCGATGCTTCCCGTCCGGGCCACTTCCGCATCGAGCCAACCTCCAAAGCAGCGTTTCTCGTCTCTCTACTGCCGCCAGAACAAGAACAGCGATACATAGCAGTGGCCTTGTCGACGCCACGATCTTTCTCTTCCCCAGCAACTCGTCGCTGGATTTGAGTACGAGTATACACACACAAAAGCTCCGGATCTCAGCGGGGCCCCGATGTCATTGCTCAGGCGCTGGCCCGCTTGCAGCTCTCGTATTTGGGACCCTGGCCACCATGCCAGGTTCCCGTTCTGGCTCAGCACCGAGCTAGGGCCATTCGCTTTGTGATAGTTCGATGCAGCAAAGTGGTGCAACCAAGGTTTTCCGTGGCGCTCTCCAGCTCCAGCTCGACAGACTCAATCGTTCGCTCCATGGCCCTCCCTCAAGGTAGCTCTCAGGTACCTGCTCATAGAGTCTGCCGCAGGCGTGTACCCCCGGAATACTGCTCGCTGTTCGCTTGTATGTACAACATGTTGTTTGCCCCAAACCTCGTACCAGCCCAAGTACGTCAGGCAAGCGTCAATTGCGCTGCTCGAGCGATGCAAGCGCTTCCGGAGCCGAATGTCAGTTCCCCAGCCAGATCGCTTCTGGAGTTGGGAACAAAGAGTACATGCAGTAGCTCGTAGCTCGTATATCCACCGCTCACCTCGTCTTTCCCTTCTCCACAGCTGTGCCGCCTGTCTCTTCCAGTCTTCCTTTTTTTTCTTCTTCCCTTTATATCCCCATCCCATCCCTTGTCTCTCGCTCAAGTTCGCTCGCTTGCCGTGTTCGTGTGTTGTGTTGTGCCGTCGCCAATCTCTGTTCGCTACGTTGGTGCCCAAGCTCTCGAGGCGACGTATAGATGGATCTGGAGCTATAGCGGGCTGCATTCCACCTGGGCCACGATACAGCCTCGATCGACGGACCACTTGCTCGCCATCACCGACCCATGGGATCGTCTTTCGGTATCAGATTTTGAGCTGTTCTCTCTGGAATATCCTTCGCCGTCATATATCATGTCATCGCTGCTTGGCCGTTTGGCCGTCGGGCTGTTGCTGGTGGCCGGCCAACTCACCACAGCCTATGACTTAGACCCAGATTCGCCCGGTATGAGAATGCTGATCCTACCAGTTATGGAATTGATGCAGCCACTAACTTGGGGCTTGTAGATTCTGTCAAGTCGGTATCAAAGGACATGGCCGCGGATTTGGTGTCATTCTACAACGGCAATCAGCCAGGCAATACACCTGGCCTTCTTCCCGATCCATACTTTTGTATGTAATTTTCTGCGCTGTGTTGTAAGCACACTATCTCGGTTCATCACTGATACGTGCTCTCAGGGTGGGAGGCTGGTGCCATGATGGGGACGCTGATCGACTACTGGTATTATACCGGCGACGATACATACAACGACCTAACCTCACAAGCACTCCTCTTTCAAGTCGGCGAGACCAACGACTATATGCCGAGAAACCAAACTCGAACCGAAGGAAACGACGACCAAGGCTTTTGGGGCCTCTCCGTCATGTCGGCTGCCGAATACAAGTTTCCGGATCCGCCCGCTGATCAACCGCAATGGCTCGCTCTTGCTCAAGCTGTCTTCAACACACAAGCCGCTCGATGGGACACCGAGCACTGTGCAGGTGGTCTGCGCTGGCAAATCTTCACGTGGAACAATGGTTATGACTACAAGGTAGGTTGAGATTGAGATTGCTCTCTGTGGGGATATGTGCCAATCAGATCATACCTGAGACTAACGGTGTATAGAACTCAATTTCACAAGCATGCTTCTTCGCTCTCGGTGCGAGGTTAGCTCTGTATACCGGTAACCAGAGCTACGCTGACTGGGCTGACAAGACGTGGGATTGGATGATTGCCACAAAGCTCATCAACACCAAGAACTGGGCCGTCTATGACGGCGCCGGCATTGAAACTAACTGCACTGTTCTTACCCCCTATCAATTCTCTTACAACGTCGGAGGCATGATTCTCGGTGCCGCCGCCATGTACAACATGACGGAGTCACAGACGTGGAAGACTCGCTTGGACAATCTCCTTGAGGGCAGCAAGGTGTTCTTCACAGGGCCCAACAACAACATCATGTCCGAGGTCGCTTGTGAATCGGTCAATACTTGCAACGTTGATGAGCAGTCATTCAAGGCTTACCTGACGCGCTGGCTAACAATGATGATTAAATGGGCGCCTCATACGTACGATGTCATCCATCCATACCTACGAGCGTCTTCGGTCGCTGCAGCGAAGCAATGCAAGGGCGGCGCGAATAAGCGTATGTGTGGCCTCATCTGGTACGATGGCAAATACGACAATACGACTGGAGTCGGACAGCAGATGGCAGCCCTCGAGATCACCATGTCCAACTTGATTCTGAATAGCAGCTCTCCGGTGACTGCAGACACTGGAGGCACCAGTGTAGGAGATCCCGGTGGCGGCGGTGATGACATTGGTCGAAACCAGCCAAAGGGGCCAGACTATAAACCCATCACCGGCGCCGATAAGTTTGGTGCTGCTGTCCTAACACTGCTAGCCATTGCTACTGTGGTTGTGGCCATGGGTTTCATTTTCCTCGATGAGACATCGCCTCAAGGCCCTGTGGCTCAATTCAAAGGATTCTGGTCTTCTGCCTCTGCGGCCATTACCACTCTTGCTGCGGGTGGAGGATTTGCTGCAGCCGCTGCCGCCGGTAGAAGGAGAAGCAACAAGGAAAAGGGAATCAGGATCAATGAAAAGTCAATCCTCAACAACGGCGAATCAGAGAGCAGCTCAAAGAATCCATTCAGCGAACCGGTAATGGTGACCCCCGATTCCACCCGGCACAGTGTAGTAAGCCAGCGACGGCTATCAAACATGCCCATAGGTTGGCCACATAATCCGTCGGTCAGGAATAGCGTTGTTGTGGCCGAGTCGTCTGCGGCGGCATCTTCTGAAGACCAGCGGCAGCGATAGGTGACTACAAGAGTGAGCCGCTGGCAGTTTGGGCTGCTGATGCTCTTCAGACCGGGCGCAGCAGGACGGCGTTTTCTTCTTCTTTCTGGGCTACATACATATCGGCCCGGGAACTCTCTCTCTCTTTAATCTTTTCAGCGGTGAATTTGGTGTTTAAACGGATATTATCTGGGAACAATGGCGAAACTGGTTTGGTTTTTGGTTAACATGTCGGATGAATATATTATGAACCCGTGTTCAATGGCATACACTAAGGTATTTGAACTCGACGATGTGACGTACATATAGGAGGAAGGGCTGAGGATGGTTTAGAGTACACGAACAATTTCACAGGAGTCTTGTGAGAAATTAGTGTTAATAGCGAGACAATGTTGGCTGGTATCAAAATCTCATCAGCTTATACAGTGACGTATGCAGGCAAATGGATTTGCGTATTGCTGAGCATCCTCGAGTTTGCCAAACGGGTTTAGAAGAGGAGGAAGGAGAGCAAACGACTAGGTCACAAATCCGAATGATACATACAGATAGGCAGTGATGAAGCTGCTTTATGATGCCATTCATGATTCTTCTTCGTACCGTTTCTACCCACTTTATTCATTGTACGGCCCCTGTTTTTTGACTCTTTGCTTGCTTGTGAATTACCGTGATGGATAACGAGTGGCGTCAATACCAAAGGTAAATTTCCCCGCCCGCAACCTCAGACATTGCGACTACTTACGAAATATTATGCATTGGTCTACGGCTTTTAGAGAAGCTGTCAAATTTAATTATGTAAAATAAAAAAAGATTGAAACAAGTCCTCAAAGTTGATGCTCTACAGAGCAAATCACAAATACGTGTAACCAGTCATAGGGTAGGAGTCAAACGGCTGCGGAAATAGCATGTGGGAGTACCAGGGAGCAGTACCCTGCAGACTGTTCCTAATTTGGCTTGACACCTGAGTGGGCCGGTGGATATTTCGGCCGATCTGGGAACCTCGTGTCTCTTTAATATCTTGAATTGCGTTTCTTCAAAGTGCATTTCCGCCACCCTCAGGGGCTTCTCTGAGGCCGCAACAACATGTCGATCAATCTCCTCGACACAAGCACGGCAAAGGGGGATCGCGACAACTCGTCGCTGCTGTCCCCGATCGCATACGACGATGACGCGTCATCCATTAACAGCCGAGACCAAGATACGGATAGTGAGGACGATGCGCTGCAGCAGCGCGCCAGGAACAGCCGCGAGCTGCTGGCCCATGACCGCATCGTCTTGATGGAGGAGGAGGAGCTGGACCAGCTGGTGACGGACTCGAGGCGCAAGCAGGAGCTGGTGCGCCGCGGATCGGCTCTGGCGCTGCCGCTGCCGAATCCCTTTAGGAGTCTGGGGCGAAAGTCGAGTCTGGGAAGTATGTCGACTGCGGGCAGCTCGAACGAGAATATTGTGTCTGAAAAGAGGTTGGCGGGGAAGCAGAAGCAGAAGAGGCGGGAACGGAGGGAGACGAAGAGGAAGAGGATCATGGAGGAGGCTCAGCATGGTGAAGATGGCGAACTCATGTACGAGATGGAGGAGGGCGGCATGAAGGAAGGCAGCTCCACCGGTGACAGCAGCGAGAGCGACGAGTACGACCGCCGCAACCTTAATGCGTTTGCCCAAGCAAAGTCGCAGCGTGGACGGAGCTGGCGCCGCTGGCTGTTTATACACTCGCTGATCGCCATCGGATTCGCAATCCTGGTTCTGGCCGCCTGGAAGCTGTCAAAGGGCCGTAAGTCTAATTTCAAGATGCACCTCACCAGCAACGGCACCGCCTTGTTTGCGCCAACCACAATTATTATTAGCCTCGACGGCTTCCGCGCCGATTTCTTGCAGCGGGGACTGACGCCACGGCTAAACGCCTTTGTGAAGGAGGGCGTCTCCCCCAAATGGATGCATCCATCGTTCCCATCCGTCACCTTTCCTAACCACTATACGCTCGCCACCGGTCTGTACCCCGAGGCCCATGGTATCGTGGGCAACACATTCTGGGATCCCGAGTTGAAGGCCGAGTTCCATTACACCGATCCTGCTGGGAGCTTGGACCCCAAGTGGTGGGGTGGCGAGCCGTTTTGGGTGACGGCTGAGAAGCAGGGCATTCGCAGTGCGATTCACATGTGGCCTGGCAGCGAAGCACATGTTCTGCACCTGGAGCCTACCTTTGTCGACAAGTACAATGGCAAGGAGAGTCTAGACAAGAAGGTTTCGCGGATTCTTGGTTGGCTGGACCTGCCCGGAAGAGAGAGCGGATCTGTCGAGGCTCAAGGCTTGCGACCACAGCTGATTGCTGCGTATGTTCCCAACGTTGATAGTGATGGTCACAAGTATGGACCAAACAGCACGGAGATTCGGTCTACTATCGAAAGGGTGGATACCATGATGGACCAGCTCTTCAAGGGGCTCGACGCACGAAACCTGACACATATCGTCAATGTCATTGTTGTGTCTGACCATGGTATGGCTACGACAGATACGACTCGACTGCTGCAGCTGGAGGATCTCGTGGACACTTCCAAGATTGAGCATATCGACGGCTGGCCTCTATATGGGCTTCGACCCAAGAACCTCGACGACTTGCAAGGTCTGTACGACGGCCTGGCAGAAAAGGCCAAGTCAAACCCCAACTTTGAAGTCTACCTTCGTGATAAGAACATGCCGGAGCGTTATCACTTTTCTCAAAACGACCGTATTGCTCCGCTGTGGATTGTGCCCAAGACAGGCTGGGCCATTGTCACCAAGGAGGAATTCGACGTCGAGAAGGCGAAGAAGGAGAAGCTCGTGTATCACCCTCGCGGCTTGCACGGATATGATCACGAGCACCCTCTTATGAGAGCTATTTTCATCGCTAGAGGTCCTGCGTTTCCTCACCCGGCGAATAGCCAAGTTGATGTATTCCGTAAGTGCTGCGTATTCTTGAATGACCATCTTAACACCGACTAATGCTTTATTGTCAGAAAATATTGAGGTTTACAACTTGTTGTGCGACTCGTTGGGGCTGAAGCCTAGGCCTAACAATGGAACTTTGCGGCTGCCCCTGAAGCCGATTGGTACTCACAAGGCTGAAGATGAGCCTGAAGTGCCCGTTGACCCCGTTACATCTTATTCCGCTGTTTCGACCTCAACTTCGACCTCGACGACTTCTTTGCAGGCTGTAAAGACTCAGGATATTCAACGTCCTTCAGTGCCCCCTGAGCCAACCTCTTCTTCTTCTTCTGCTCTGTCGTCATCGTCCTCTGCTTCTGTACCGTCGACTACCTCGACATCTGTAAAGTCTCACACTACTACAAGCCAGGCAGTAGTGACCCCCACGGAGAAGCCCAACGACGACAAGGGAGATGAAGATGACAATGACGACGAGGGCTCCGGTGGGTTAAAGGGCATATGGGACTGGTTGTCGAATGAAATAGACAAAGTCTGGCACAAGATTACTGACGGATCCGGATCGAGCTGATTTTTATCTATTTTATTCTACCACGGCATTCTACTACGGTACAGCGTTTTGAGTTATTGGAAGAAGCATATTGTTGATAGAGGCGTTTTGGGTTGATCTATGGATATACTTGAGCCACATGTATTCTTTTCTATATTTTTTCCAGGAGAGGCACTGTGATTAAATTTCTTTCCTCTTGCGATATTTTTTGAGTTTCTTGCGATCTGGTATCGCTTGAGAGGAATTGGTGGCTGAGATATATGAGCCTTATTTAATATACTCTGCCTAAGATGGCGGCTAGAGAGTAATGCACTCCATCGAGTTCGATAGGAATCTTCTCCATATTTAATGAGATATTTTTTGCAATATTTGCTCATTTCAAAGATTAAAAATGAAACTTTGAGGCTGGCGTTTATCCTCACTTCGTAACACCGAAATATTGAAGTTGCGTGTACTCAACCCCTCAATATGGGAGACGTCGCTCTTGAGATGCTGTACTAATACATGTTAATTGGAACTGACTCGAGCAAACAAAAAGATGTCACTCAAGTGGCGGCTAACCCCACATTTCCGTTTGTGGAAACGTCCAACTGTAACTGCCGCCTGGAAATTTTAAGCCAGCGAGACCGTTAATAATTCAACGGCTTTTGATAGAGGAATACGCGACGCGACTTCTGTAATCTAATCTGTACTTTCACATTTCATCATTTCAATACTTTACGCCAAACTTACAACAGCATATCAACACGTATTCTCTAGACTCGCCTTATTTTTCTTTTTCTTCTTTATATATAATTCTGTCGTCCTGACTCTCCGGCTTGGTCTCCTCCTCTCATCCCTTCTAAGCCGGAATTCGACTGACTGTCTCTACCGAGTAATAATTGGTGTAACATCGTCCGTGTGAGGCGGGCATACAACCATTGGCCGGATACAGTCGAGAACCATCTCTGCCTAAATCTGCCCGGTTACCTGAGGAGGCAGCAGAGACAAGCTTGGCTCTTTGCACAGCCCGGTGCCTGTAAAGTGTTTCGGTGTCGTCTTCTGCCAATAGAACAAGGACAGCGCATAGAAGAGGCCACCCCCCCTCTCCAAATCCAAATGAATCGCCAGGCACTCGAGGAGGAGCTGACGGTTCAGGAGGTGATTCTCGACTCGCTGCAGGACGAGGCCGGGGAGGATGCGGAGGTGCAGCGGGACGAGGCGAGGAGGGAGATTGTGAGGCTCAAGCGGATGCTGAGGACGCTGTCCATGACTGCTGCCGGTGGTGAAGCCGGCCAAGATACGAGTACGAGAGCCTGTCATGATGCCGTGAGCTGTTTGTGCAAATGCTGATTCGGTGCATTTTTTTCTTCTTATAGTAATAGGTCGTCCTAGAGCCGCACATGCCCAAAGCCAGGCCTCACAGGCTCCAGCGTCGTCACCACAAAGTGAGTACGTGCGCTTTTTCGTCATTGAATTGGATGGGCAACTTTTTGGTTATCCTTATCTGCTGCCCGGTATCTTTTTGCTTGGTTTGGGGATTTTTGGGCTCCTTCTTCTTTACTTTGCACTTTCATCCCAACTTCATCATCACTTTCTCCTTGCATCATTCAGGCAAGGCATGCGGCACCAAGAAAAAGCCTGAAGAAAAGAGCATCGAATTCACGGTGCCAACGCCTCCCTTTTCATTTTTTGCCAGGCGCTTGTGCATACAAGTACACACTCTTTTTCTTCTCTCTCCCTTGCATCACTTCAGTTTAATTTTTCACTTTTCGCCTCCCACTGCATTCACGCCACTTCACTAGCTCGATTCTATCGACAAGTGAAATCTCCCCCCTTAATCCCACGGTCTCCGTTATTCTGTACCGGCAGGTCTCAGTCACTCGGGAGTTGCCCGTTTCATCAGACCCTCCTTGGCTCCTGTTGCCAGCTCTCTGTGTGACGTATAAGGTGCCCGCTTGTGCGCTTCTCCTTGGATGCCTTGGGCGCTTCTCGAGGCGTTATTTCCCCTTCAGGCTCATCATTATCTTCCGTCTGGAAGTAGTTGAACTATTTAATACTGACCTGTTTCTCGTCAGGAAATTCAGATCACAGCCGAACAGCGACACCGGCCCCTGTTGGAGCCTCAAGATCGCATCGTTCCTCAGCCGTCATGGATACCCCGAGACAGGTTCTCCCGGTTGCCGAGAATGGAGAGAGCCCCTCGCTGGTAATGCTGAATCGAAAGCGGAATTATGATGCGGCTCATCTGAGTGTTGGACGTGAGTCGAGTAAGTCTCGACGGACTACGCCATCGCCGTTTGGTGGCTTTTCAAGGGCATATGACCCTCCTTCATCAGACGGCGAAGTCGAGATTATCGATTTGACTGGGTATGTACCATATAACTATATAGATGCATTTCCATCCGTACTTGATTGCTACTTCTTCTCTGTAGCCTGTCACTGACGCAAAAGGCAGGGCTGATGTCGATGCCGACTCGACACGGATCGCAGAGCAGTATAGGCAAGCTGAGCGGCACCGACAAGAAAAGGAAGATAGAGAGATGGCCTTGCGTCTCTCAAGCCAGGACTCGCAGTCTTCAGCCCGGAGCGCTTCTGGACCTTCTGGACCTTCTCGAAGCTCGGGCTCCCACCAGCCCTCCGCCTTTTCTAGGCTTATGGCGACGCAACGCTCTAATGCCCCTGAAGCTCCTATAGAGATCGCTTCCGACGACGAACTTGAGGTCATTATCCCTGGTGGTGGACCTCATGATGGAGCAGTAGCCTGGGGTTCGCTCTTGGCCGCACCTACGGCGAACCCGTCTTTTGGGCATAACCAGTTCTCAGGTCTTTTAGAGCCGCAACAACTCCAGGGGCACAGTAACCCCCCTACTCCCGTTGGTAATGGCTTTGAACTCCCGTCTTTCAGAGCTGTGAGCCAGTCATTCCCAGGTACACCCTTTGCTGGAAACAATCAGATGCCGTTTGGGCATATGCCGATGCCTGGAGCATATCCCGGACCTCCTCTGAGGCCTAACCTGCCTATGGGGCCGGTTCTTGCAAGCCAGAGTCGAACACCCTTGTCGGATATCATCAACAGAACCAGCATGTTTGATTACGCCAACGGTCTCGATAACAATGGCGACCCTCTTTCTGGCCAGCTAATGGATTATCTCAACGACACATTCCATGATCCTAGAGTAACGGAACAGGAGTTGGATGATTTGTTGCAAAATATCCGTCCCGACATGGAGATTCCAGAGGGCAAGCGGGATGGAACCCCAGAAGGCCTTAAGCATGCTCTTTACCCTCACCAAACGCTAGCCTTGACATGGATGAAGCAGATGGAGACAGGAACCAACAAAGGTGGTATTCTGGCCGACGATATGGGTCTTGGAAAAACTATATCAACACTAGCTCTCATGCTATCACGTCCAGCCCAATCTCGCCCCAAAGTGAGTCCCAACCAACGTAGCATGTACGCACCTTTTGCATTACTTGAGCTGACTATTGCGTTAGACAAACTTAATCATTGGCCCGCTGGCCTTGATTCGACAGTGGGAAGAGGAGATTTATAAGAAAACAAAACCCTCACATCGATTGTCTGTGTTTGTATACCACAACAAAAAGGCAACGGCCGACGATTTACTCAAGTATGATGTCGTCCTGACTACTTATGGCACGATAGCCCAGGAGCTGAAGCGCCTTGATAAGTTTATGGAGGACAATGCAGGCCGTAACATTGACTTTACCGATAGAACCAACTCAGCAAAATTTCCGCTTCTGAACCCGAGGAAATCTAAATTCCACCGGGTTATTCTTGATGAGGCACAGTGCATCAAAAACCACAATACCAAGACTGCCAAAGCCTGCCACAAGCTCAATGCCACCCATAGATGGTGCCTCACCGGAACTCCCATGATGAATGGCGTCCTTGAGCTTTATTCCTTGCTCTGTTTCCTTCGGATAAAGCCATATTGTATCTGGGAACAATTTCGCAGGGTAAGACAGCCCCAACTACCACCTCTTCATTCCTCAACCCCCTTGATCCTTTCTTTGAAATCTTGGCACTTAACTAAGCTGAATCATTTTGCAGAGTTTTGGTGTACTCTTTGGCCGAAATGGCGATCCGAAAAATGTTGCCATGAATAGACTCCGTGCCCTCCTTAAAGCAATCATGCTTCGTCGCAAAAAGGATTCCAAGCTAGATGGTAAGCCGATCCTAAGGCTGCCTAAGAAGATGGAAGAAGTTGTGTATGCCGAGCTATCGGGGGATGAGCGTGACTTTTACAATCAACTGGAGAAGAAGTCTCAAGTGCAATTCAGCAAATATCTTCGCGAGGGTAGTGTGGGGAAAAACTACTCCAGTATTCTGGTTCTTCTGCTTCGACTACGTCAAGCATGCTGCCACCCTCACCTCAACCTAGATGTGGATGACGTTGCGCCAATCTCTAGTGAAGAGATGCTTGAGCTGGTTAAGAAACTGGATGCGTCCATCGTGGCGAGGATAAGGGAGGCTGACGCCTTTGAGTGTCCTATCTGCTACGACGCCGTTCAGTCGCCAACATTTTACACCCCCTGCGGGCATGACAGTTGTAAACAGTGCCTTTCTCAGTTGGTGGATAGTGCAGCGACTATGAATCTTCAACAAGGAAATGATACCAATACGGTAACGGCTAAATGCCCTGTGTGCCGTGGCAGTTTCGATCCTAGGCAGTGCTTCACCTATGAAGCCTTTCAGCAGGTGCATATGCCGGAATCTATCAAGCCATCTACCTCTGAAGGAGAAGAGAGCGATAGCTCTACCGAAGACGAAGACGACTTTGACGAAGATGAGACAGATGACGAAGTGGACCGCTATGGTGATTTGAAAGACTTTATCGTGCGAGACGAGGTTGAGAGTGGTTCGGAGGCCGGAGAAAAAGACAAAATCAAAAAAGAAAAGAAGCAAAAGAAGAAGAAAAAGGACAAGAAGACCGAAATCAGGCCTTCTATGCTAAAGACTCTTCGAAAAGAGGCGTCCAAGAATAAAGCCGCCTTCAAAAAATACATGAGCTATTTGCGGAAAACTTGGTTGCCTGCCGCCAAGGTGTCGGAGTGTATGAATCTACTCAAGGAAATTCATGCGACTGGCGAAAAGACGATTGTGTTTTCTCAGTGGACTCTCCTGCTGGATCTGCTGGAGGTGGCTGCGTGGCACGACGACTATCCGGGCAAACTGAGGCGATACGATGGAAGCATGTCTGCTGAGCAGCGGTTTGTCGCGGCAAGAGACTTTCGCGATAAGAGCGACGTCAAAGTCATGCTGGTGTCGTTGCGAGCGGGAAATGCTGGACTCAACCTCACTGCGGCGTCTCGCGTCGTCATTATGGATCCTTTTTGGAATCCGTACATTGAAATGCAAGCCGTTGATCGTGCGTACCGTATCGGTCAAATGAGAGAAGTCAAGGTGTATCGCATTCTGACCAAGGAAACCGTCGAAGACAGAATTGTCGAGCTTCAGGAGCGAAAGAAGGAAATGGTGGAGGCGGCGCTGGATGAAGCTGAGAGCTCAAAGATTGGACGGCTGGGCGTGAACGAACTCAAGTTCCTTTTCAGCGGCCGCTAATGCATGAGCATATCATATTGAGATGGACAGGATTGGTTTCCACCTCCATCTCTGTCTCCTTTTCTTTGCTGTTTTGTGTTTACGAGGTTTTACGAAGTTTTACGTGGATTCACGAGAGATTGTTTTTAGAGGTGGATGCCGACTTGCTTTGTTTTCTTTTTGATAAATTGGGTTCGATGAAGAATGGTTAAAGGGCTATTTGCTGCTGACAGCGAGATTGCGGGCAAGCTACCGAGGGAGGTTTTTGTTATGAAAGCGAGACAAAACGGCTATATGCTAAGGGATGGCACAAGACGAAACGGCATTATGTGAAGTAATGAAATGAGAGAAAACGATCATGTTAATTATAGACAAACTGAATCGAGCTTTTTTTTGATCCCTTGAAGATCTTCTTGGACTCTGTGATACATGCACGATTACGAGTGATAGCAAGGTCCTAACGAAGCAATATATTCTTGCAACTACCAAAGACTCCCAGTCCAATCATTAAACGAAACTCCGTGACCCCTGTATATTTTGCCGTATTGCCTGAAACAAACCAAGAATCAGGCCTCAATTGCTATTCTCACATCAAAAACTCGAGGTAGGAGAGTTATTTTTCCAAGGTTCATCTTCTTCCGCCGTCTCGTCATATTGTAGAGTCACCTCTTTTTGAATCTCTTCTTCTTCTGTCTGTGACCATTGCGTCTCCGTAATCGTGAGCCAATCGTCAACTTGGGCCGGAGCATTTAAATACGTATAGGAATTATCCTCGGCGAGCTGCTCGTCCTTCTAAGCGAGCTCTTGCTCTTTGGCGAGCGTCTTGACGACATCCTTGGCCGAGCGTGTTTCACTAGGTCCGCTAACGGACCATTTCCATGTGTTGGAGGTTCCGTTTGGCGAGGTGCTGCTGAAGGATAGGGCTAGTTCGTCGTTGTCTTCGTGTTCCATGGAGAAGTGGATGTCGACGTTGTTCTTGTCGGCGGCGGCCTCGCTAGATGCGTTTTCTGCAGCGGCGGCGGTTGTTTCGTCGTGTAATATTGCCCCGGAAGCAATTAAGGTGACGAAATGATTGGTAAGGACGCGGACGACGACGGTGCGGAGGTAGTCGCCTAGAGTCCGGACGCTGGGATAGCCTTCTGCCCAAGGGGGACACATGGTCGGAAGAGGCGACGAGGGCGGGAGGAGGATGTAGTAGTACGTCGCCGTGACGGGGAAGCTAAACGCCCGAGCGCGAATGATGAAGGATATTTCGGGCAGGATGGTGAGTTCAAGGGTAAAGTCTTGCGTCTGAAGAAGATTGCGGACCAAAGTCTGTGATGCGGAGAGCTGGTTCGGCCCACGAGAATTGGGATCGGAGGCGCTGGCCTGAGTTGTGCGTAGGATGACTGAAGAGGGGAGGCCGGCCTTTTGAAGGGTCTTGACCAGAGAGCCGACGTACTGCGTGGATTCCTCAATGTTCTTTAGGTACATTGTGCGTGCGAGGACGGGGCGAAGGAGAGCGTAGGATTGCTGGCGAGAGGTGCGAGAGATGTGAGGCGGAACAGGCCGAATCCTCATGAGCTCGTTGTACCGATGGGCGTAGCTCAGGAGAATATGCAGCGCCATGGAAGTCTTTTCCGCCAGGCCATTCTCTGGAAGATTCTCGTCGTGGGAAGGACATGATTCCAAGGGCAGTAGCTCAAAGGTGATTTTTGTTGTGTCGTCGGCCTGGCAGACCAATTTCTTCCCTTCAGGCCTAACATCGTAGGCGGCCAGTGACCTCGACTCTTTGGTTAATTCGTGCCAAAGTTCTTGTGAAAAGATGGTGTTGCGTGCTTCTAGAACTCGTGATTCCAACGAGCCATCTTCTGAGGCTGATCGAGTGGTGGATCGCCCAAGCACCTTGCCATCTCTTTCGTACGTCACGACAAGAGCTTCTGATACGCCGCCTAATCGACCAAAATCCAGGTCTGTTGAGCCATTGTCACCGCGTCTCATTGGCGCTAAGCCGTTATTCTTGAATTCGGGAGCGGCTAGTAACATGGGTTAGTTGCTGCACAGCGAAATGTGTTCCGTGGAATTGTGCAAGGCTCGACATACCCTCTGAAAAGCCAAACCTCACACCCAAAGTGTGTCTCTCCTGTGGAACCTTGCATACGGACCAACCAGCTTTCCTGACCGAAATGATGTCTTCCCAGTATTTGCTCTCTGCACTAATCTCCTTTTCCAAGAACGCAGCAGCCTCTTCTGCGGAATCTCTCGTCTTGTTGATTTCCATAATGGTCCAGCCCATGGCGACTGCTTCCTGATCCTTTGTCTTGGCTGGCGTAGAGTTGGAGTCATTAAGTCTGTCTGCGCCGAGAGTACCAATACCGACCATATCGCGTAGCTGCTGAGATAGGGTCAAGCCAGCTTGCGTCGGGTTCTGTTTGGAGAGGAGAAGGGACATGGAGTCGAGGGTCAATAGAGCAATATTACTGGCTATACTGCAGTTATAGGGTTAGCAACTTAATCTTGAGGAAAGTGAATGGGTTATCATCATTCGTTGTATAAGCCATTCTTACTCGATATTCTTTAGGACCTCCATGCGCGCAACGTTGGGATCCTTCTCCGCGACGTCGTTCTCCGCCCCAGCCTCGGACATTTCCTCATCGTGATCGGCCGCTCCATCGGAATTCTCGCTGCTTTTCAGATCTTCCCGGAGCTTGTCTTCTGTTACGGAGCGGAAGCCGCCAGGCTGGGCGTTGACTCGAGCGATGAACTCGGCGAGATTCTTGGGCTTTTGGTCGGCAACGGGGAACGGCCGCAGTGACAGCGGCGGCGGGCCGTCGCCTGACGACATGGCGGGTCTAATCGGTAATCGGAAGCTCTTCTGTGAATAGCAATAGCCTCATAAGATGGATTGCGACACGAATGGCGACCAGTGGCAGCGTCTCGTGAATGTCTGGAGCTGCAGCTTGACGAGGCTGAGAGCTACAGGTACGTGGTTGGGGGAATAGTGGACGTGGGGGGACAGCTCAAGGCCAGCGCTGATTTGCTACATGGTTTAGCGCTGGATGAGTTGCTGCGGAGCCAAAGAATGTACCTGCACTCAAGAAGTGGGTGCTCGGTGACATGAGACGGTAGCCTTGTGGCTTTCACTGTCCGTGATCGAGTTAGCGCACTGATGAGCGCTACAAGTGGGCATTTGCTGGAGCTCTACGGAGCAAGTGTAGAAAAGCCCACATGGACTGCGATGCTACCAAAGTTATTGCGAACTCGAGCTACACTAGTGGCAACATCCAGCTGGAATTACGCCGTGCTGCTCGCAAAGCTCCGAAAGCTCCAGCCTGTGAATTCCTACATACAGGCTACAGGGGGCCCTAGCGCAGTAGCCGCCGACTGCCGGAGCTCCGTGCTGTGGGAAGCCTTGCGGTTGGTGCAGTGCAGCGCAGCCCTGTCGCAGATTTGCGGCGTCTCTCGACTCTGTCCATGTCACCGACCGGTCGATTCCCAAATTCCCTCACTCACATTATTGCCATTACGTGGTGCTTGTAGTCAATGCCCAATTGCATTGATCCCGCCCAGGGAATCATGCGATATGGCGCGGGATCAGGATCAGGAGCTGGGCGGCGCTGAATTACGAGCCCAATTACAGTTTCGGTAGCACAGGCGCAACAACCGACTAATTACGTATGAGGGGTCGGTCAGCTGTAATGACGAATGATGAATATCTTCTTGTCAGCGATAGTCCAGCAAGTTCAGCTTCAGATGCTCTGTGGCTCCCATCCTTATCCATCTTAGAAAATTCTATACCTTCTTCTTCTACATTCCTCAATATCTTCAAAAGTAAAAGTGCTGGGAGAGGAGGAAAAATCCCCAAAAGGAAAAAAAAAAAAAAAAAGAACTGCCCCGCCAGCTGATAACATCCATTTGAAGGGCCGATAAGAGCTTCTTGTCTACCAATTCCCCTCATGCCACTTTGAACTACACCAACATTCCATACCGTATCATTTGCTCGCCATCTCCTAATTTTGCTCATCCCTGAGCTCACGGGCGGCAGGCCCTCTTAAATGCCTCTTCAGAGTTACCTAGAATTCTTTCCGGGGCCCATTGACATTCTCCTTACCTTCCGCCGCTTCTTTCGACGAATTTGGCGGGCTCTCTTTCGCGGACTTGGATACACCACCACCTCAGCCTTCGGCTCGAATCTACCGACCAAAATGGCGCTCAAGAAGAAGATTGCCGTCATGACCTCGGGAGGTGACTCCCCGGGGATGAACGCCGTTGTTCGCGCCGTTGTCCGCATGTCCATTCACATGGGCTGCGATGCGTTCTGCATCTACGAGGGGTACGAGGGTCTGGTGCAGGGCGGCGACTTCATCAGGCAGATGGGATGGGACGACGTCAGAAGCTTTCTGTCCGAAGGTGGAACGCTCATCGGAACAGCCCGATGCATGGCCTTTTACGAACGACCGGGCCGGTTGACGGCCGCCAAGAACATGGTGCTCAATGGCATTGACGCCCTCATTATCTGCGGAGGTGACGGCTCTCTGACTGGTGCTGACAAGTTCCGGACGGAATGGCCTTCATTGCTTGAGGAACTTGTTGACAACAAGGAGCTGACTCCGGAGCAAGTTGCGCCGTACAAGCATCTGAACATTGTTGGCCTGGTCGGATCCATTGACAATGACTTGTCCGGTACGGATGCCACCATCGGCTGCTACTCGGCCCTCTCGCGTATCTGCGAAATGGTTGACTACATTGAAGCCACGGCTTCTTCACATTCTCGTGCTTTTGTAATTGAAGTCATGGGACGACACTGCGGCTGGCTAGCGCTTCTAGCTGGAGTTGCGACGGGAGCTGACTTTGTCTTCATTCCCGAGCGGCCGAGAGACCAGGATTGGCGAGAGGACATGAAGATTGTGGTTCAGCGAGTAAGTCATAATGCGCAATTACGTTTACCTTTCTTCCAGATATGAGAATTATACAGCTAACTCATGGTGTCTTTTTTCTTCCTTACGACAGCACCGTAACATGGGAAAGCGAAAGACCATCGTCATTGTCGCAGAGGGCGCCCGTGATAAAGACGGCACCAAGATCACCCCCGACGAGATCAAAGACCTCTTGGCCGACAAGAGCGAAGGTGGCCTCTGCCTCGACACCCGAATCACCACTCTGGGTCACGTCCAGCGAGGAGGCACAGCAGTAGCCTACGACCGCATGCTCGCCACGCTACAAGGTGTTGAAGCCGTCAAGGCTGTGCTGGAGGCCACTCCCGAGACCGAAACTTGCTTCATTGCCATCAACGAGAACAAGATTGTGCGAAAACCGCTTATGCAGGCTGTCAAGGAGACCAAAGAAGTGGCCGTTGCTGTCGATGCCAAAGATTTCGACAAGGCCATGAGCCTCCGAGATACCGAATTCTCGGACCAGTACAAGTCTTACCTGACAACGACCAATGTCATGGTGGATGATCACAAGTTGCCCGAGAAGAGCGTTAGTCTTACCATAGTTTCCCCCCTATGATTTCCCTCATCTTGTTTTCTTCCATTTTCCTTCTTTCTCTTTGTTCATTTATTAATCATGTTGGCTAACCCTTCCGTAGCGAATGAAAATTGGTTTCATCAACGTCGGCGCCCCTGCCGGTGGTATGAATGCCGCTGTGCGCGCGGCCGTTGCATACTGCCTCTCTCGTGGGCACGAGCCCCTTGCCATTCACAATGGTTTCGCCGGATTCGCTCGCCACCACGGCGACTCACCTCTCGGGGCCGTGCGGCCCTTTGACTGGCTCGAAGTTGACGGATGGGCAAGCAAAGGCGGCTCCGAGATTGGCACGAACCGCGAGCTCCCTTCCGAATCCGGCATGGAACTGATTGCCAACCTCATTGAGCAGTACGAATTCGACGCCCTCTTCATTGTTGGCGGCTTTGAGGCTTTCCACGCCGTCTCTCAGCTGCGCAAGGCTAGAGCCGAGTATCCATCATTGTGCATTCCCCTTTGTCTCTTGCCGGCCACGATTTCCAACAACGTTCCTGGCACCGAGTACTCCTTGGGCTCGGACACATGTCTCAACGAGTTGGTCAACTACTGCGACAAGATTAAGCAGTCTGCTTCGGCCACCCGCCGCCGCGTCTTTGTTATCGAGACGCAGGGTGGACGCTCGGGCTATGTCGCAACGCTGGGTGGCCTCAGCGTGGGGGCCTCTGCCGTTTACATTCCCGAAGAGGGAATCAGCCTCGAGATGCTGAATGCGGACGTCAAGCACCTCAAGGAGGTTTTCCGCAAGGACAAGGGCCAGTCCCGCGCTGGTCGCCTGATTCTTGTCAACGAAAAGGCCAGCAAGGTGTACGACGCAAAGCTCATTGCCAGCATCATCCGCGATGAGGCGCACGACCGATTTGAAAGCCGAGAGAGCATCCCCGGACACGTGCAGCAAGGAGGTGTCCCCTCGCCCATGGACCGCTGCCGTGCCGTTCGACTGGCCATTAAGTGTATGCAGCACCTGGAGGAATATGGCCGCAACGCGCACAACCGGGTGAAGAAGGATCCCAACAGCACAAGTGTCATTGGCATCCAAGGCTCCGAGGTTGTCTTTACACCAATTGAGGAGCTGGAGGAGAAGCACACAGACTGGCCAAACAGAAGACCCAAGGTGGCGCACTGGCTGGACATGCGAGAGGTGGTTGATATCTTGGGCGGAAGACCAGACTATCCTAAGCCTGAAAAGAGCTTGACGGGACTTATTGCCAAGGATACAAAGCGCGGAATCTACTCGGGTGCGGACTAATCGGAGATTATGATTACTTGTTGTTTCTTTTGGGATTGATGAGGATGAGAGAGTATTGAGATTATATGGGGGCTTGACGAAACCGAGAGTATCAAAATAACATGGGCTTGTTCAATAGTGTTAAAACAAAAAATGACTAAGAAAGAGAAAACATTATTATGAAAGAAGTATTATTAAGAAAAAATACGATTATAAAAGAAGAGAAATACTAGCCAGTACCCCAGGTCTGTTACCCAACATCCTGTGTCTCCCATTTAAAACCACATATGTGTTGACTGATAATGCCCTAAACCAGGAAAAGCCATAGCAGCAGATGCCAGAAAGATGTAGTAATAGTAGCAGACACCAGACTCAAGCATTGAACATGGAAGAGCAGAAAGGGGGCGCCTTGAAGAGGGCTGTGAGGTGAGATGACGGGCCGAGAACTGGCGATGTGGACTCCGGCAGCAGAGCCGCAACGGAGTCTCTCTCTGACTAGGAGATATATGAGCAAATGGGATACGTGTACTCCGTACGGCACCGCGGCAAGTCAGGAGTAAAAGAAAAAAAAAAACACGTTCCTTGCATCTCATGGAGCGGATGCTAGCTAGCTGAGCAGAGCAAGCAAGCGGTTTGATGGCGGAGTTGCTGCATGTGGACCTGCGTTTGCTTGCACATAAGCTGCAGTTTTTAGTGTCGATTACTTACCTCCAAGGTGCTGTATGTTTTGTATGTACGGTCTGCAACATTGAAGAAGCGCTTACCTCGTGCAGTACATGCCCCAGTAGTATAGGTATTAAATTAAATGCTACTAAATCTACGATGTTGACTTCAATTATGGTTATTCTTAATTTATCTCGCCCGGCTCTTTTGCTAGGAAATCGTTTAAATCAAAGTCTCGAGACACACACACACACACACTTTGACCAGACCACCATCACCATCCATCCCCTACTACTGTACTAGCCCGGGCTGGGGTCACGATGGCCAGGGCTTATTGACGCATGTGACGGGGGTGGTCTGGTCTGTTCTAGTTTCCCAGCCGGGGACCAGGGACGAACTTGTGCCGTGACGCCATGTCTTGTCCTTTCTTCTTTTTCCCTTGTGCTTGTGCTTGCAGGTAAGAGTGGATGGATGGGATGGACGCCTTGTCAGGCTCTCAGGCCGGCGCATGTCACCGGACGGGGTCACTGCGAACGGGCTTGTATCCTAGCCAAAGCATCCAATTCTCATGGTGTAATAGCCCGTCTTTTTGCCTTGCCATGGGTGTACGAGTACATAGTTTCTTCGAGAAGGTCATGGAAAGAAAAAGAGGGCGAGAGCAACAAGCAAAAAAAAGATGGAGGGGGGGCCGAATTATGCCCAACCAGCCAGGGGGGGTAGTCTGTTTCGGCTTGGAGTTTTCTAGTTCGTCTTGCATTGAAAGAAAAGTATTCTATGCCATCATCATGCTGTGTCGCTCCTCTGCTAGTGAGGGGAGCGAAAGTACTCGTAGAAAAAAAACCCGCAAGAAATGTGATTAGTATCGAGGCATAGACCGTTTTAGCTCGCTGCACTATTGCGTCAGGAAGATGCCAGGCGCTAATGGGGGGGAAAGCTTGACTTGGTCTTGGTTGCTTGGTTTCTGGCAAATGGATCAGGTTGGGCTGGAATCGGAGTGGTTGGTTGGGGTCGCTTTTTCACAGCCCCTCCGGCGATGGGGACGGACGGAGCCGGGGGGATGCAAATGTTTCTTTGAGAGGGAAGCAAAGAGAAGCAGGAGGGGAAAAGAGTCAGAGAGGAGAGCCGAAAAAAGAGGGATAGGAGAGAAGAGGGTCGCGGATTGCTGCGCCCTCTCACAAGGTCGAGTGATTGGAGGTTGCTCGTATCGTACACTGAAAGTTACAGTTCCCATCTTCTGCTACTAGGGATGGCCCATGGACCGAGCCGCTGCTAGAATGTGTGGCCGTGCTAACGAGAGTTTGGTGGGCTTGCGCTAACAAGATTCAAGGCTGGGATGGATGGAATTCCGTATGGATGGGATGGGATGGGATGGGATGGGATGGATGGATGGACGGGCATCTCCTGATTGCTGTGGCTTTACAACAACAGCCTTGGATTCGGTATCCAGCACTCACAGAGTGTCTCACATCTAGGAGGCCTGGAGGCCCAAAGTGAGGGAACAGCGTCATCGTCGTTATCGCTGGTATAGACACCACCACGACAAAAAGTCTGGACTCAGTATTACATGTATCTACGTTTGGTTGCTGGAGGTAAGATTGTTGGGCATGTATCCATCACCACTGCTATACCGTCCATAGACTGCTACTACGAGTATACCTTGCTTTGTCGCAGTAGTAATAGGTGCTCGCTTCTCACTTACAGCATGGATGTATCGACTCCATCCGCATGCATCGTGAGTGCATGTTTACCTACCTATCCTATCCTATCCTTTGTAGCAACCTAGTCAGTCAGTCATTTCCCATCAGCAACCTGAATGCAATCGAATCCAGGCCAGGTCCCCGCTTGGGCTCCAAGACAAGCGAGGATTCCCATGCAAGTCCGAGATAGAGTCACCGAGCGGAAACGTGTTTCAGCACATGAAAGAAAAAAGAAGAAGCAGAAAAAACAAGAACAAGAGCAAGACAATAGAGCACCTAGCTAGCCTTCCACTTCCAACACGGTAGTGGCGCATCCCGGCCCCCTGCTTCTTTTTTCGGGCCTCCAATGAATGTGAATGACACAAGACATCAGGTCAGGTTCCCAGCACCAGCTTTGATCGCCTGAGCCCGTTTCTCGCTGCCGGGATGACGTTGGCCAACCCCTGTCGCCAGCTGATACTGCCTTGCTGCCTCTGAAAGAAAAAAAGTCATGGATCACTGCCCCTCTGGCCGTTGGCGCCCGCTTTGCAAGTGGAGGGCTAGAAAATCCTCAAAACCAGCAGCAACAGTCGCTGCGTCGCTTTGTCTGTCTCTTGTTCTCCATTCTCTGTACTCTACCCAACTTGCATCTGTCGCTCGAATCTGTGCTGCGCACTGATTTCACCCTCTCATCCCGCTTCCGTCGAAATCGCTCGCTCCGGTGCGCGTGTCTCTTTGTCTTCCCAGTCAATTAATGTGAGTGCTCACTCACTCTCTCGCGTCCAAAACGTCACAAGGAGCCTCAGCCGCATGACGTTCCCACATCAAGACCCCGCTCCAACTCCTCCCGCTTATACTGATTGATAAAGCAAAGTCACCACAGAAATAACCTGCCCTTTGCCCCGGCTTTTGTCGCTCAAACATACAAAGCGAACGAGGCGCCGAACTTCATCTTTTGATCTTTTGATCTTTTGGGCTTGACTTTTGAAACCAGCGGAACACGAGACCAAGACAAGAGAAACACACGAAATTAAAGCATGGCTTACCGAGACCAAGACTACGGACGCCGGTCTGCCGTCGAGTTTGACGATACCATCCGCACACGCACCGTCACCCGCAGCCCCGCGCCACCCGCCCCAAGATCCCGCCGAGGCGATTTTGAGGAGTTTGACGTCCACATCCGCGAGAGAGATGGCAATCTGCCCGAGTTCCTGAACCGCTCTCGAAGGCCTGAGGCTGGCCCCATGGTCCTGCGCCAGCGCGAGGCCGATCCCTATGACCGCCCGCCCAGGGAGCCCAGCCCGATTCGCTTCCGCGAGGAGCGCATTGTGCGGAGGGCCCAGAGCGTTTCGCCTTCAGAGCCCGAGCATGAGCACTCTCGCACCAGAATCGTCGAGAAGATCAGAAGCCCCTCCCTCGCCAGACGCAGGTCCCCCTCGCCCAGAGCCGTGCGCTATGTTGAGCCGTCCGACACTGCTTCGGAGCACATCCGCATCATCGAGCGAGAGCGCGAGCGTGAGCGAGTGCCTTCGCCTTCGCCTTCTCCCCCTCCGGCACCCCCCGTCATCCGCGGCCCGGTCATTGAGCGTGAGGTTATTACGCACTACACAGACATTGATCATGGTGAGTTTGGCTTTTCCCCCTGGACACGTTTCAGCCATCAGGTGTTGTCAATTAGAGTTCGATGCTAACGGGTTCCTAGGCATGATCCAAGCCAGACAGCCATCCCCGCCTCCAGCGGCCCGGCCCCGCCCGAGAGAGCGCGAGACCCGCGAGACAGACATTGACATTTCACTGTCCAAGGGCCGCGCTGAGGTTGACATTCACCGATCTGCTAGCCGCACTCGCTCAAAGAGCCGTGAAAGGCGTTCCAGCCGCTTCTATGACGACGACATTGTTGTCCGTCGCGACTTGAAGGTCGAGGAGACCAAGACCCGCAGAAGGGCTCACTCTGCCGCTGCACGCGGCCCCGTCGAGGACGATGAGGCTGAGTACATCACTTCCAAGGTCGACTCTCGGGGACGCATGGGCGAGGCCTGGGGCGGTGCTACCAAGAACTGGGCCATTGTCGACGTGCCTCCTGGAACTGAGCGGATACGCATGGATGGCGTTGGCGGCGCAACCACCGACACCACCTGGAGCAAGTACAGCGGTGTGCGGAGGACCAAGTTTGTGCCGGAGAGAGAGAGGGATAGGGATGTCCGGGATGACTTGTCCAACAGGGCGCCCTCGCCTCCTCCCGCTCTCCGGGGTGAGCGCGTCAGCGTTTCCATCCTCGACCGTGACCGTGAGATTGAAATCGACAGGCGGGTCGGCCGCTCTCCTGCTCCTCCCAAGGAGATGTGGACTGAGATCACTAAGGACCTGGTGATCCGCGAGGCCATCGAAGAGCTTGGCTACGAGTATGAGGAGACTGATCAATTCTTTTATGTCATGGATTACCTCAAATATGTAAGTGACGATCGGTTGAAGTGTCCAAGTCAAATACACACAGTCTGCTAACCCAATCTTCCCCTCAGGACGATGTTCTTCAATTGACTGAACTATCTGATGATATTCGACGATCCAAGCGACAGCGACAGCGCGACATTCGATTCGACCGCGAGGTTGACTACTATGAGGAAGTTGACCGACGAAGCTATGACAGGCGTGCGCCTCCTCGGCGGGACGAGCGTGATCGCAATGTCGTCAGGGAGACTGAGGTGATTTACGACCGCGCAGCTCCTCGCTACCGTTGAGGAATCTCAACCTCACATCCACGTCCTGAAGCTCATAACATGATTGATTCTTTATGAGTAAGATTTGGATATTTGTCGACTTGCCTCTTTATTTGTCTTGGATACAAAGAAGCCATCTACCGCGCGAGGCGAAGAATTAGTCTGACTCAAAAAGAGAAGGAAGATGGAATGTATTGCATGGATGGGATATAACTGAGCTGGCTTGATCTTATCATTTTCTTTTTTTGCAGGGACGATTCAAGGGGATTGGAGGAGGGGGCGAGTGAGAAGTTGGATCTTTTTTTCTTATTTCTTTCTTCATGTCTTACGATCCATGAATGCTTGATGACGACTTGGAGTTTAAATTGATGTTCTTTTATTATTATTATATTTTCTCATTTACACGTAATGAATAACGAAAAGGCAAATAAACATACTACTCTACATAACCAATCTTTTCTGGTGTCACTCATTACAGCTATCTACCTAGTAGTTTATATCTTTTCACACCCATTTCTAGAACCAGCTACCAGCATATTGGATGCCCACGGCAAAAAGGGAACCGGGTGTACGGACGATTGCTCGATTGTATCTATAACCACCTCTCTTGATATCATTTGCTGTAGACTCACGCAAGAGTAAAAAACAAAGATCATTTTCCAGGTACTGCAAGGCAGATCGGTATAGTACATGCCTGTAATTTGGGTAGGTATTCAGCCACGTTTTTGCCTGCAGAATGGGCAGTATGCTGGAAATAAGTTGTATTGGATCCTAACTGCGAACTGCAGTCATCCTCCTTCAAAAGTCAACCGATCATTGAACTATTAAGGGCTCGTTGATTTCATCGTCACCAAGCATCTACTTACTACTAGGAAGGTTAGTTGTATGATATAATTGATGACTTGAATAAGATTTAATTCTATTGATAATGGCCGAGTCTTTGACCAAACGTTGGAACATTTCAATTTGAGCTCTACCGGGCTACCTGGTACTAATGAATCTCAAGCTGCAAGTACCTAAGAGTTGAATTCCTTGAAAGCTGGAGCTCGATATTGCCCACTACCTCCTTAGAGGTAGGTAAATACCAAGGTATCACCATCCCTCCCCTTCAAACGGGTTCCCACATTAGTCTTGGTGAATAAGGTAGGTAGATTCTACAGTTCACTGATGGATTCAAAGTTCAGTGAATCAAGTACCAGGCATCCACAATGATAGGTCTCTGGAACCTTCTCTCTCCCCTGGGAATCTGAAGAGTGACTGAGTTGGCACGGAAGAAAGCATCCGGCTCAAGTGAATGCGGCCGTATGTACTACCAGGTAGGCAGGGCTGAGTGTATATACTTTAGTTGCCCGCCTAACTGTGGCACAGGTAGCTTTTCACGGATTGCAAACAGAGTTTAGCAAACGAAGGCCGGTGGGGCTCGGAGACTTTCACGGATTATTCCTTCCTAATAGTTCTACTCATCTCCGTTCCCTCGATCCGTTAGCTATCTTGTCTGTTTTCCCTTCTTCTCTCTTACCTGGTTCTGATCCTGTCATCGCCCTCCCAAGTGTCAGTCAACATGGATGAATCGAAACTCCATGAAAGAATTCGGCTTGCTATAGACGAATTCCTTCTTTCAGAAAACACCACTACAGAGGCAAAAGAGGCATTGCTTCGTTATGCAGAAGCGCGACCACGTCATGCGAATCCGGACCCCATCATTCCTACCGAAGAAGTGAGAATCAGACTGGAGCTGATTGCCAAGCTTGAGAAGACGATTAACACACCAACTGGCGCATTTGCGTCCGACGCTGATGGAGGCTTCCAATTTACGCATCTCCAGCTGTCATATCTTATTTTGATACCCTTGGAGTTTCTACGCCGCCTCAGCCAAGAATCTTACACATTAAGGCATCCATACTACACCATAGATTCTTACATATCCTTTAGTGATTATTTTCACCCTCACCCTCCCCTACCCCCCCTTTTAGCAATGAATGTTTGCTGACTTTTTTTTTTTACTCCAGTGGTGCGAGGTAGAATGCCTGGAGAAAAATCGACTCAGAACCAAACAGCCTCCCAAGCCTCACGGGGCGGTAGTCTCCGTGGAAGAGGTAGCCAACGTGGAGATAGCCGGAGTCGAAGTAGCCAGCGCAAAAGTAGCGATGGCGGCACGGATACCAAGAGTGTCAATCGAAACACCAGAGAGCGCGACAAATGTTTTGCCAGGGATGGTGGAGTATGCATCCTCACAGGAGCTGCTTACCCTGAAGTCTGCCACATCATCCCTTTTGCGATTACTGCAAGTGCGGCAAGCATATCTCAGTGTCACTTTTTTGTCCCTGCCGTAGAAGGTCTACTGGGCGGCGAAGATGCACAATCGTTCCATGAACTTCTTCTTTTGGCGCCAGGTTCTTCTGACAAATCTTGGAACATGCTCTGCTTGCACCCTACTCTTCATTCCTGGTGGGGTAAATGTCTTTTTGGATTGAAGTTCCATGGGATCATTCCTTCACTTGAGAATGAGAATTGTATCTTTCAATTGCAATTCCATTGGCTACCCAGGACCGGCAACAATCCAGCAGAAAGAATTAAAGTAGACAACGACGCTATCGCGAGAATGCTTCAGACAATCCAACGAGAGCAGGATAAAGGTCTCATCATGGAGTCAAGGAAAGAAAACTGCCGCCCCATCGAAACTGGAGACGTGTTCAGCCTAGTCATGGCAAAAGAAGATGCTGCTAAGATGAAAGTCATGATCGATATCCAGTGGGCAAATGCAAAACTTGCGGCGATTTCTGGTGCCGCGGATTTTTGGGAGCCTCCGGCCGGATATTCCAGCGACCCTGACGTCGATCCCTCTGACCATGTTGCAGATTGGCTTGAAACTCTTCAGCCTCCAGAGACTTTACCTTAGGAACATGGAGTTTCTGGTGCGCTGGAGAAGAGTGAGCCCAAGCTACCGGCATCAGAGAGACAGAATGTATTGATGCCAAGGAACATTTCACCATCACGACCCGAGGGTAGTTCTCAAGGGAAGGCTAAATCGCCTGAGAAGACGTCGCTAGAGAAGACTATATCATTAGTGGAGGCACCCCAAAAGCTGTCGACTAGGCTCAAAGTGAAGGAGAATTTGTCGCCTGGGAAGGGTCCCTCTAGCAGTTAAGGTCAGATATGTTGCATGTCGATAGTCAATATAAAGCTTGATGAAATCGGTTTCCAAGACGCCGCCGCGTAAGCGTCTCACCATCGTCATATTCATATTATATCACATTCATTTCATTCAACCGCAGTGCAAAAGTCAGCACCCCTCATCAGCATGTGCTATCGATAAAACTTTCCAGCATCTCGTTGCCCTGGAAGCTGTGGAGAATATTCTGCGTTTACGAGTGAGACAAAGAGAACGTCGGGAGCGGGGAATAATGGAAGCTGTTGGAAACCCGTCCCGCAATAGGCAACCTTGCGGGCACTGTGCGAAAGTTGAGCTGCGGGTGCGTGCGAAGGGACTGTCATGTATCATCAATGTTTTTTTTTGTGCCTGTTGTTGTTTTGAACACTGATTACCGTTGGCGGCAAAGATATTGGATGCGACGTTGAAGGACTTTCAAGGAAAAACAAGACGTCTGGTCTGCTTCATTAAGAAGTGCCTTAGCAGGTATAAGCATAACGCAGCCCAGCTGAGATGATTGCATGAACCCTCCGAAAGGGTCCTGTTTTGACGGAACCCCGCTGAAGCAAGCAAAATAGGGCGAGTTTCCAGCCGGTCTGACTAGCAGTACAGTAGTGCCGCCTTATTGAGGCTCCAACGGATGTCGAATGCTGTCATTGCAGCTGTTTCTAGTGATGAATCACATGACAGCACAGGCACAAACGGAACTAGGGTCTGTCATGCTCGTCACAGGCACGGAACAGCGGGAGCAGCGAATCAAGCAGGCCTGGATGACGGCAGGATGTGCACAATTTGCCACTGCGCTGCTGATCCGCCCCGTTCCATGCTCTACCTACTAGGTACTAGGTAGTAGTTCGTGGTGATATCAATAGTACAATATGTAGAGGTATCTACAGGTAAAGTACGAATATTGTACTGTACTGTGCTCGGTGCTGCGGGTTATGTTGGTTATCTATGTTATCGTATTCGCGAGGCGTCGAAGACAAGAATCTGCATGTGCTCAAGGGCTGTCTCACAACTTTCCCTTGGCGGCAACCTTGAGATCCGCCCGCCCCGCCTGTCGCTAAGCTTTTTTTCGCCCTCTTCTTTTTTTTCCCGCAGGCCTCAGCTGTGTTAACCGCCGTTTCGCCGGGGCAGCGACGTCGCCCTTGGCCCCGCTGCAAACCCGCCACGGCCGACGCTGATTCGTCCACGCCGGGGGGAAAACAATCAATCCACATATCCTCCCGCGCCTTGCTCAGCTTGCTGGCTGGAACTTGGTACATAGCGGGGGAGCCCTCCATGTTTAGTGGAAGCTCGCCCTTGGAAGGGCCCTGAGAGAAGCACCCGGAAGCACCGTCAAGTGCCGCCCGCTGCTGTTGACGACCGCTATTACTGTCTGGATCGCCCAGCTGTGCAGTGCAGTGCCGCTGTGTGCTGATCTTGGTTCAGGTTAGGTTGACGAAACTCTATTCATTGTTTGCATTCTTGACCCATTTCCACAAACTCGGCATACTTCTCTGTCTCAACCCTTGAACTCAACTGTGCTGTTATTTTCTTTTCTCTTCTTCTGCTCTTTTCAACAGAACCACCACCCCTGGGCCGCATTTACAGGCACTTCCCGAACCTCGTGACAGCACGGCATCGCTGCGTCATTCTCACAGCCCGGCACGCTCTTTAGCACCTCTCCCTCTAAAATAGCGCCTACACAGGCACGCAGTCGTGCAGCTGCAAGAAAGTGGCGGTAGCAAGGCGGTAGCATCTCTGGGCCCCGTCATCCCACAGCACAAAACTACCCCCCTTGCCGACCTTTTACTATTTGGAGGCAGACCCTCTGTGCGATCCCTCGACCCTATTCGCTCTCTTCCCCTTCTGCGTCTGCTTCTGACCGTAATACAGCCAGGCAGCTGTTGGGATCCTCACGCTCACGGTTCCAAGACTGAGAAAAAGTACATCGCCCAAATTTCAATAGACCGCCCTTTTCCTTTTTCTGCCTTGTCGCGCCAAACCAACTACGTGTATCCCACGAGGCTACCCTTTTTTTTCTACTTTCTCTTTTTTCTCTCTCCGCCTCCGCCTTGGGAACTCCCCCGCGTCTACGCCCTTCTTCCCTCCCCCCCCTTGGTCCAACACGTGTGTGGCCGCTCATCACAACAGGGCGCTTCCCACCAGCATCACCAGGGCCTCAAGACGCCGCATGACAGGACGCTTTAAAGACCGCAACCATGTCGAGCTCAGAGATTAATACGGTGCTCGCCAACTCGCTGTCTGCAGGTTAGTACCCAGTGGAGGGAAAAACTCTACCGCAGAATCCCTCCCTGCGCACCCCTCAAGAGGGGCACTTTTGTTTGCTTGTGACGGCCCTTTGCTCTCCAGGACGCCCGTCTTGGGGGCGGAAAGAAGAAGAAAGCGACTTTGGGAAACCGAGCTACAGAGCATCCTCAGCTAACCAGAGGTGAATAATTACAGATGCGAACCTGCGAAACGCCGCCGAACAACAACTCACCCAGGCAGCGGAGAGTAACTTCGTACGTGTTTGCCCGCCTCCCTTGAATCAACAAAAGATCCGATCGCAGACACTGACAAAATTTCTCTTTTTCGCCTTCGTATAGCCGCTGTACCTCGCTACACTCGTTCAAGAACTCGCAAACGAACAAGCAGAGAGCTCCATCCGAGCCGCTGCCGGTATTGCCCTCAAGAACGCCTTCACAGCCAGAGACTTCGCCAGGCAGCAGGAGCTGCAGACAAAATGGCTTCAGGGAACGGACGATGAGACCAAGAGCCGGGTGAAGCAGCTGACACTGCAGACCCTGTCCTCAAGCAACACCCGTGCTGGCAATGCTGCCGCCCAAGTCATCTCCTCCATCGCCGCCATCGAGCTGCCCCGCAACCAATGGCCCGATCTGCTTCCTTTCCTCGTCAAGAACGTGAGCGAGGGCGCCGATCACCAGAAGCAGGCTTCACTCACCACCATTGGCTACATCTGCGAAAGCCAAGACTCCGAGCTGCGACTCGCTCTCGTAACCCATTCCAACGCCATCCTGACCGCTGTCGTCCAGGGCGCTCGCAAGGAGGAGGCCAACGTCGAGGTCCGACTCGCCGCCATCACGGCGCTTGGCGACTCGCTCGAGTTTGTTGCCAACAACTTCAAGCATGAGGGCGAGCGAAACTACATCATGCAAGTCGTTTGCGAGGCCACCCAGGCCGATGACTCGAGAATCCAGCAGGGCGCTTTCGGCTGCCTGAACCGCATCATGGGTCTTTACTACGAGAACATGCGCTTCTACATGGAGAAGGCCCTCTTTGGCCTGACCATTCTCGGGATGAAATCCGAGGATGAGGACGTCGCCAAGCTGGCCGTCGAATTCTGGAGCACCGTCTGCGAAGAGGAAATTTCCATCGAAGACGACAACTCACAGGTCGAGAGCTCGGACCAGATGCGCTCATTCTACAACTTTGCGCGCGTTGCCGCCAATGAGGTTGTTCCTGTCTTGTTGACTCTCCTGACCAAGCAGGACGAGGATGCTACGGATGATGAGTACAACTTGTCCCGGGCTGCCTACCAGTGTCTGCAGCTCTACTCTCAGGCTGTCAACGCCACCATCATTGCTCCAGTTCTGTCCTTTGTTGAGTCGAACCTGAGATCTGATGACTGGCACAACCGAGACGCTGCCGTTTCTGCATTTGGCGCCATTATGGAGGGCCCCGATGAGAAGGTTCTGGAGCCCATTGTCAAGCAGGCTCTGCCTGTCCTGATCACCATGATGGACGACTCGTCTCTCCAGGTCAAGGACTCCACCGCCTATGCCCTGGGCCGCGTCACCGAGGCGTGCTCAGAGGCTATTGATGCTCAACAGCATCTTCCCACGCTGATTGCGTCCCTCTTCAAGGGCCTCATTAGCAACGCCAAGATGGCCCCATCTTGCTGCTGGGCCCTGATGAACCTCGCCGAGCGCTTCGCCGGCGATTTTGGTGCTTCTTCTAACCCCATTACTCCTCACTTTAACCAGGCCGTCAGCTCCCTGCTGGACGTCACTGCTCGCCAGGATACCGAGACATCCGTGCGAACCGCCGCCTACGAAGTCCTCAATGTCTTTGTTCAGAACTCTGCCTCTGAGAGCCTGCCGGCCATCGCATCCCTGTCTGATGTCATCATCAAGCGTCTCGAGGAGACCATTCCTCTGCAGACTCAGGTCGTTAGCGTCGAGGACAAGCTGACTCTGGAAGAGATGCAAAACAGCCTGTGCACCGTTCTGCAAGCCATCATCTCGCGCCTTGATAAGGAGATTACCCCTCAAGGTGATCGCATCATGCAGGTCCTCCTTCAGATCCTAAGCACTATCGGAGGAAAGTCTAGCGTGCCCGAGGCCATCTTCGCCACCATCAGCGCCCTGTCAACTACCATGGAGGAAGACTTTATCAAATACATGGAAGCCTTTGTTCCATTCCTGTACAATGCTCTCGGAAACCAAGACGAGCCTAGTCTCTGCTCGATGGCTATTGGCCTCGTCAGCGACATTACGCGATCCATGGGCGAGCGCAGCCAGCCTTTCTGCGACAACTTCATGAACTATCTCCTCAACAACCTAAGGGTGAGTTTTTCCTTTAATTTTCACCGCCAGCGACAGACAATTTGGGTCTTGACATAACTAACTCGCCGTCTCACAGAGTACCACTCTTGCCAACCAGTTCAAGCCCGCTATTCTGCAGTGCTTTGGTGATATTGCCGGCGCCATCGGAGGCCACTTCGAGACGTACCTGTCAGTCGTTGCTCAGGTTTTGGAGCAAGCATCCACAGTCACAGCAACGCCCGAGGGACCCGATGAGATGTACTACTATGTCATCTCTCTGCGAGAAGGTATCATGGATGCGTGGGGTGGCATTATCGGTGCCATGAAGTCCAGCGGAAAGAGTACGTTTGATCTCACATTTCTGCCCTACCGTAATTGTAATACTGACAAATTTTCTGCAGCGCAAGTCCTTCAGCAATATGTTCCCGCCATCTTCCAGCTTCTTAACCTCATCAGCACTGATGCCAACCGCAGCGAGTCACTTATGAGGGCGGCTATGGGAGTCATCGGGTAAGAACCTAACTAATATCTACGTAATAGAACGAATATGCTAACACCATCTTTAGTGACTTGGCTGACGCCTATCCCAATGGCGAGCTTGTTGATGCTTTCCGACAGGGCTGGTTGACGGCGATGATTAAGGAGACCAAGACCAACCGCGACTTCCAGCCGCGCACGATAGAGACCGCTCGCTGGGCTCGTGAGCAAGTCAAGCGTCAGTTGGGTGGCACACAAGGCGTCATTGCTCAGTCTTGAGGTCACAATCCCGCTCTTCAATCTTGAGCGTCCTGTCCCGGGACCATAAGTCTCAAACAACAAAAGGAACAACTGCACCGCGACAGCCGTTGATTCTAAATCGAGAGCATCTCGTTATACTTTCCTGCCGCAGGATTCGCGCGCAGGCGCACACACCCCTTTCCCCTTTCCCCCCAGTTCAACACATCACAACACATCACAACAGAGCAACAACACGATCCCCATGACCACTTCATGTGTATATAGACCCTATGACACTACAGTAATCCAATACCCCCTTTCATGAAACTTTTTACACATTACACCATATTCCTTTTTTTTTATTCGAGTGGCTACAGTTTCCATATTTACAACATTCCCCGCTCCCCCATCGATCCCATTTTAATTGTCATCTTTTTTGCCCCCCAAGTCGTAACGATGGAATAGAGAAGTCATGTATGCTCCGCACGTATCGAAAAGAACGGCGGCAGCTAACCCAAAAGTCATGTAGAAAGGAACAGGGAGTACAAAGGAGGCCGGCTATTCATCGTTTTGTTTTTTCTTGTTTTTGTCTTCTTTCTAGGTTTCGTTATCTCCCCCCAAACAGCAATAGCAGAAGTTCAAGCCCTAGTCGGTTAAGTTTTTCTGTGTTGGTGTTTCTCTTATCATCGTGCATTCATCCATTGGATGCCCCTTCGAGTGAATGGGCTTTGCATTTAGGAATGGCTCTTTGTGATTTGGTTTTTGCAAGGGCGAGCAACTACGGGCGCGGGTAGTGGTGGATGGAATATCAAGGGAACTTTTGGAGCGTGTCGGGGGAACCGTTTGTTTTTGCAGCTTTGACTCGCCTTGGGTTGGCGAGGAGGCAGACAGAGATAGGGGGAAAGAAAAGAAGTATCAGGTTTTTAGGGAATTATGGCTTTAGAACTAGAGAATCAAGTGATCTCGTTCCATGTACGGCGGTGCTGAGCGTTCGGGCCGCCGTTAGATAGTAGCGTCACAAACTGCAAATGGAATTTTGGTTGATCCCCCCTTTTACATTGAGGCTTTGATATGCTCTGCGTCTTGGTGGGCTCTGGTAATGGGTGAGTGAGTGTGGTCTGACCGGTGTTTGTATCTCATCTTCTCTGTAAAAGGAGACTTATCAAGGTGGATTTCAGGAATCTTCTCGTAGCCACCAAGTACTTACCTCTAAGTTAGACCATATACCTTCGTCAAAGAGGCGTAGATATACGTCCAGGAGATGTGTTAGGGTCGATATCGTGCGAGATACTCTGGATTTAGCTTCAAATGCTTATCTGTGGAATATATTGGGTTTCAGCCATGAAATTGCATATATATCCGTTGCCCCCCTGGCAGTTTGTTTTGTTTTGTTTTCCTCCCCCCTTTTCTTCTTTTCAAGTCGTAGCTCAATATCACTCGTTCCGAACACTTCTTGCAGCCATCATCTTGTCCTGATTTGCAACTGCGCATCTCCCCTGATTCATAACTGCCTACTCCTATTCTCATATATCCACACTCGGCTTGATAACCGCCTATTCCTATTCACATATCTCCACACTCGACTTCTAAATCTAAGACCATGGCGACCTTGAGCATTGGCGATCTCCCGTCGGAGCTGATTCTTTCCATCATGGAGCACTTGCCAAACATAGCCACATTAAACGACTTTATCCTCTCCAATAGGAGTTTTTACAACATTTTTAACAACCACCCAGCGGGTATCATTTTATCCGTTCTCAAGAATGAGCTCGGCGAGGACCTCTTTATTCATGCCATTGTCGCACACCAGGTCGAGAAGCTGGGTGTGAAATTGCCATGCTTTACCGACTTGTCGATGGATCAGATCGACTCCGAAGTGGCCAATTTCCGAGGGATACGGGACCAGGCCTTTATCTTACAGCATTCTGGCCCTGGATACTCATCTATCCCAATCAGTCTTCAAGATGCCCACAGGATCTCTTACTTGTGGAACAAGATATCCCAGCTATCAGCCGCATTTGTGAAAGACTGCATTCTCGGCCTGGGACGTTTATTTCGCCCCTTATGGGACTCTGTTAAACGGCGACCAGTGTCGGTTGACGAGATGAGGAGGATTCGACAGTCGATGTACATGTTCCACATCTTGTCCATCTTTTGCAAGGACTTATTCCTGGATGTTCAAGTCAGCCAGAACAACCAGATCATTCAGCACAAGGTCGATGCCTGCGTGGATAAGATTTCGAAGTTGCAGCGCAGTCTTGTGGATGGATTGACGGCTCCTTGGGAATTGTGCCAGGTTATTACCTTGCAGGCGTGGTTTCGTCGGCAGCTGCGTGAATTAGGTAAGTCTTTAACCCTGCCCATCGATATATACACATATATATATCACCATCTTTGTGTTCTTATGGAATGGTTTGGCTGATATTGTCTGCAGAATACGACGGCCTTCTTAACGAGAGGCTGATGCCCTATGTCCTTTCTCAAGGCATAGAATGCATGCATGAGGGCATATGTATTGACACTCAGGCGCGATATGGTTTTGGGAGTCAAGTAGAAGGAGGATATTACTTCTTCATAAACAAGATGAAGGAGAAGGCCCGACAATGCCCAGCACACGGGTTTGGAATGATACTTTCTCGAGGGCTCAGGGATAACTGGACGCGAAAAACGGGAATGCAATTTGACCAGTACAGTTCCTTTGGGAGTTACGGAGACGAGGGAGCGTACACCGCCTGGAGCCGTTTAGAAACTCCCGTGAACAGACCGGACATGGACATGTCGGATCCTGCCTCATGGGATCTCTTGGTCAACGCAGAGAGCATGCTAGATGTCTGGTCCGCCGGCTTTTGGGACACGGATCGCTGGCCTGATATAAGCCACTCCATGGACGATGACTTGCAACCTGATCCCTGGCGCCATGTGATGCTGCATTGGGATTCTTTTCAAGTGGGATGGGAGAGTGCTCTTGATCCGAGGATGAGAGACGGAGTGTTGCCCGAGAGTGATACGTGAGAGACGGAGAAGGCAATTTATGCCGTGGTTTATAACGATGGTGGGATCCATCTTGGAATATACCTTTTCTTTGGTGATGACACCAGCCGTCATGCTGATGGTTATCATGAGATAGCAGACGAGATTGCTAGCCCGAGTCTCTCAGGTCTAGATGTTCATTTGATTAAGTATCAATATAGTTATATTATGTACCTGTAAACAACGAATCAAATATCTATTACTTGTGCTCTTTTTGTAACTGTCAGCTGGCGGAGTGATGAGACGAAGTATTTAGTAGTGCAGCAGCTGTTGGACAACTGGCAGCAGGAAGGAAGGCGGACAACGTTGTTCCTTCTCCGTCCCTTGATCATCACGTCACGCTTCGACGCGTTGAAGCTGCCGCGTCTCGCTTCCAACTTTTTCATGCAACTTCTACCGCTCGTTCCAACAGATTCATCATCGCAGCAAATCACTTCAACGGGGGTTCGACAAGGGAGTTGAAGTCAGGATCCAAGCATATGCATCAACATCTCCTTCATCATTAGCATCTTCTTCTCCATTTTATTACATTTTATTCCTTTTCTTTGTTCTAGAAGTCTCATCTTTCTTCGGGTTTCTTTGGCGAAGTTTCTCTTCTTTGCCATCGCAGTTCGGCGGCCCCCCTATTCACCATGTTTTACAGTCATGAGAGTAAGTCATGAAATGTTCTCATCCAGGTGTTACAATCTACAGCATGCTGACATATCACACGTAGTTCTGAATAGCACCCAGTATGGTGTTGCTACCATTTGGTATGCACTTCAACTGCTCATCTGCGAGCTGTCTTCCGCTAACCATCATCATCATTATCCAGGCTGGTGGCCACTGTTGGCAAAAATAACCAGAAGAGACTGACCAAGAAGGCCATCCAAGAGGTCAACGTCCCCAAGGCGTGTGAAAAGATATTGGACCCTGGAGCTCCCCTGGCGCTCCGCCTTCAGGGAAACTTGCTCTACGGAGTGTCGCGTGTTTTCGCCCAGCAGTGCTCCTATGTTCTCACAGATGCCGAAAAGACACAGTCTGATATGGTGACCTTTTTCCGCGTCATTCGGACAAGTGAGATTGATCCACGGGCTGGCAAGACAAAGTAAATTGGCAGAATCATGCACCCCCATTGGTGATATTATAGCTAACTTGCTCTACCAAGGCGCCAGAATATCGTGTTGGAAGATGACCCCGGCTTCGACCCATTGGCTGCACTTCCCAACCTTGACCTTCTTCGATGGGATAGAGATCTAGTCCTACTTCCCAGCCAGGGTTCGGCTAGCAAGTTCTCCCAGATGACACCGCTCGGCACTGCTAGCCAAGGCAGTTCTTCGCCACGCCACCCCTCTGCACTGATCAACCTACAGCTGCCGCCCTCGTCGCAGTCTGCCGCAAGCTGCCGCATACCTTCAGATTTTGGCAATCTCAGCCCTTTGTTTGGTCGATCAATTCATCACACAGACAATATGGGTGAATTCCAACCCTTTGGTGATGATGAATTCCCATCCATTTCGGGAATCGGTTTCGATTTCGACGCAGATGGCAACCTCATCAGCATCCTTGACCAAGAGCCAGAGCTACCACCTCTGCCTGTTCAAGTTCAAGTAAGCCCTGTAGTTGGTCTTGGATTACAACGTATAACCAAAGAGGCGCGAGGTATCATCATGAGCGAAGAAGACAACCTGCTCGACTTTGGAGAAGAGCAATTGCCAGGTAGAGAGGTGATTCCGACGGTCAAATCAATCCAACAAGCGGAAGAGGCTCAGCCACAAGTAGCCGAAACAGCAACGGCAGAGTCTGGCCAAGCATCTACTAGGATGGCCAGATCCCGTCGAATAAATCCGCATACGATGGTTGACACAAGAATCACGCTTCATAGGCAAGTCATCAAGGACTGGGAACCAAACTATGCTGCAAACATGGCCTCTGTTCTCGGACAGCAGCAGAAATCGACTACTACCAAAGGCCAGGCGAAAAAGAATGCAATGGCGCTTCTCTATGACTATGGCATCGCTCATGTTGGAGCATACCAGAACGCAGCAGGCTTAGTTCACCCCTTGGCGGCCGATTTTGTTGGCATCTCGTTGAAGGCTCGCCTTCAGGGTCGAGAGCCAGAGGAAATCGAGCAATCCGAGCCCAAAAAGCGAGGTCGACGCCGAAAGTCGGATGAGGCATTTGAGGACGAGCAAAACGCTGAAGAGCGAAACATGAAGCAGCGAGTGGATGAAGAAGTTGAGCTTGGGCGAGGCGAAAACCGCGACATTCACGACGACGCATACATCATGTTCAGTGATCATTCTATTCCTGAAATTGGAATGGATGCGGCACCACCAATGGAAGATCGTCACTCTTCGTCTATGATGCCATGGAGCAGACCTGGCTCCGCCGTCCCAGGCTCATCTGTTCGAGGAAGCGCGCAGAAGTCAAAAGTTACTCCAAGCCCATTGTTTAATCGTGGAAGCGCACTGGGCATGATTGACCGCCATAGTGACCCTGCCGAGCCACTCTTTGGAATGGACGACTTTGGTTCTCACGACTCACCTTTCCAGCTCGGCGGACCAGTTGGTCCCCTGGACTTTGATCAAGACAACACTCAGGTTTCAACTCAAGGTCTTGATGTGAACAGCCAAAATTTCCTGGAATATGTCACGGAACAGGCTGCAAAGACGGGCGTCATCCATGATCGGGATCCGAAAGGTCGTCGGTGGATCAAGTTTGAGGAGCTGGCTGAGACTGGCACCCACTCTAAAGCGGTTGCCGCTCAGGCTTTCCTCCACGTACTGTCTCTGGCGACAAAGAAGATCATATCAGTTCAGCAAGAAGGCGCGGCAGCTATGGAGCCTTTTGGAACTATTCGAATCGGAATCAATGCCTCCATCAGCGCTGAAATGCAGGACGCAGAAATGGAGTCTGAGGATGAGCTTGCTTAATTTAGGCCCCCTGGCCGCAATAATTCTGGAGTTTGAGTTTTAATGGAGGAGCAGATATATGACCATCTGCTTTTTCGAAAACCGAGTTTTAATCCATTTTCAAGATTTAACGATATGTCTTCATTTGACAATGGCGTTTGGGAAACAAGGACATTTATTTTCGCATTGGGATGAATCATGAGAATTCAGCAGCCTCCCCCAGGACAGCATGGACGCAGGAATGAATTTGATCTGGTGCCATGAGAGTTTTTCGTTTATTGCTTCTATTGCAGTGGTGGGAATTTCGTAACATCTGAGAGCAGGATGGGAATACATAGGTATTATAGTTAATCTCATGGTTAAGATGTGCTTAAAACAATGGAGGTTTGTTTTAGGGACCATGTAACAAGTAGCCATCCTCCCGTAATGAGTATCCAAAAAGACCGCCCGGGCGTGACTTGCGGAATTTATCTGTGCTCTTTTTTTTTTCTTTCCTTCTTTTCTTAAAAAGGCATTGCGTACAGTGAAGCTAAGAGTTATTCAATATTTCTATGCGAGAAAAGTCTGTCACACCTTGGAATTCTGTTATAGTCCCCCCAACGACCTCAAACACAGGGAGCTCGGCAAGCCGAGAAACAATATGGTGTAGTGTGGGTAGACTTTCTGCGCCATAATCCTGGAACTTGAAAGTGGCATTATGCGGTAGGGTCTCACGCCGCGCATCGATGTGCGAGGCGCGGGTGTCGTTTGCTAAGAGGACATCGCTTTCGCAGCTCGCCCTGCCGACTGTGGAGGACGGCATATATTGGTGCACCAATAGACCCCTCAGACTCGTGCTCCGTCAGACTTTCTCGGACCTTTGGTGTTAATTGTTGCCATGACAGCTGCATATACGCGTTTCCTCGCCAACTGATTTTCACAGAGCACGTGTTGTCGCTCTCTTCAATGTCAATTTCAGAGTAAAGTTTCGATATACCAAGTTCCTCCCTTCCGGTAATGATGGGATCTGTCAAGTTTTCAAGCATAACGGGGCAGTTTGTCCCTTTTCTTTGTACCCCTTTCTGATGCTCGACACAGACATCATGGATGTAAAAGCCGAGGAGGTTGTACCCAACCCCACCCCCACCCAGCCAAGCCATATTGGATAGCGGTTCGACAGAGAAGGAGGCGACGGTTACTGTGTCGAGTTTTGAGAAAGGAGTATCTTGAATTAGGGAACATGTTCCGCAGCAAAGTCGCACTGGTCTTGAACTGTATGATACGTTTTTGTCGTCATGGAATGAGGTAAAGAGTCGGTGAAACGTGTTTCCTCGGTGATCTTGTCGTGGACCGGGTGATGGCCCAAAGACTGTTGGCTGTCGATATTGGAGAGGCTGTTGACCCCATTTGTACTCTCGGGGGAGTTGTGTCGAGAAATGTATTTCGTCGTGGCTGAACCCCATAGTCGATGTAGCTTTTTTACTGTCACAGGCCGGTGTCAGAAGTCACCCGCAATAACGAGTGTTGCTTTTCCTACATACCTGACAACTTTGTTCGTCTGTTTCGTTATTTTTGCCACCTTGTCTCCCCCGACAACTCGACTGAGGTCTTGGATCTTTGAGGAACGCCCATATCGAGCTTGGTTGTATAGCCGGAGTCGTTCAGGGACCTCGGAAGCCGCCAATCCCCGTTCAAGGAAGACACCTAAAGACGCGGCGTCCTCCACAACTTGCACCCCCTCCTTGGGCCAAGTGCGGCGTAAATGGGGTGAGCAGCATCGCCGATCAATGCAAACTTGTCATTCACATAAGTCGGGAGGGCTTGCATGTCGAAGAGCGGGTGACAGTTTCAGCTCATCCGGATCGACCTTGGCCAAAAGAGCGCGGAGAGCGACGGGTGAAACTCTTCGAATACCTCCAGCAACTTTCACTTGGGACCCCGCAGCGGAATCGTCGTCTGCAAGTGTTTCTGATTTTGCCGCTGAGTGGATGCAGACAAAGTTGAGAAGAATGTTGTTGGATGTCGGATACATGACTGTCTCTTCAGAGGCAGAATACCACTGGACATGTCCATGGTGCACTCCAAGGCAGCTAGGGCTGCGGTCTCGGGGTCTTCAAGCAAGCCCCTTACATTTTGCCATCGATGAGCCTCGGGTGACGATGGTTGATATGGGCACATTGCTTGCAGTGTACAATCTTGTCTGCGTTCTTTCAGTACATGTACTTGCCGCCGATTCAATGCTTCAGTAGACTATTATTGTGTAGGTACCTGATGGAGCAGCACGGCGCCGCTTTTCGCTGGATCGACTCCGAGCTGGGTAAGAACTCCGGTCGCATTTGGTGTCATATGAATAGCAGCACCGACCTCATTGGCAAAACGAGACTGCTCAAACACTTTGACAAAGTGGCCATTCTGGCGGAGAGTTATAGCAGCAGTCAAGCCGGCCAGACCTCCGCCTACAATGATGACTTTCAGTCCTTCGTGGGGCATCTTCCAGGTACTAGAAAGGGAAGCTTAGACTCAACTAAACAATCTGTGCCCTAGCAGGCTGAAATGGAAGCTGTTTGATAGATATCAGTGAGCTGAACCGTGTAGGATAGCGAAGACAATGGATCATCGCTTTTCTTCGTCTCTTGAGAGCCAGCCGAGCAAGTGAGGGATAGAAAACCAGGAAACGGAGAGATTCTAAACACATATGCTAAAACTATACACATATAAAAGTGATTGCTATTTAATGTACCTAGTATATGCTGATATTATGGATGTATGTGCACTTATTTATTTTGCGGTCTGTACAGGTACATGTATTTTTCCATTCATCCCCCACTTGCCGAGTAAACAGCAATCACTACCTAGCCAGACATTTCCGAATGTAAGTAACCTTCTTTCAGGCTAGTCGAACAGCCCCCGCTCGGCATCTATGGTCTGTGGAGCTTCTCAAGCCCATACCCCAGATTGTTCGATATGCGGGATCCTCAGATTACCTTCAATCCGCGAGCCATGAGCCGATGGGAGTGTTAGAAAAACACATAGGTAAATTCACAGCAATAACTAGCACATAATGTTACTATTACATATATTAACTTCGCTTTATAACTCTAATGATTCATTTCTCAAAAATAATCAGGTCAGGGAGGATGCATGTAGCGTATAAAGAGCCTTTTCAGTAGGATTTAGATAACCGGCTCATGGTGGGCGATGAGAGGCTACAAGCCAAGCTTGGCGATTCAAAGATTGCTTCTATATATAATGTGAATATCTTTGGGCTATGAAATGCCTGTATGCACCTTTATTTGGAATGGGTACGATACAGACTCGCACATCGTATCATCGCATCCGATGGAGTCTCTCTTGTGCAAACCAAACTCCACACAAGCCGAGGGTGATAACCCCCACACGGAGCCGAATCATTTCTCAGGGTCGAGATCCGATGAACAGCGGAGCTCTCAGCCGTCGTGCGGAACCTGGGGAAATGACGGGGCAGAGTATTTGAGGGACTATGGGGAAGCGTTCGAAAGGATTTAGGGACAAGGGAAAACACCAGCTGGGAAGACAATTCTCCTAAAGTTATCTAACAGATTGTAATGCCTTCCACCATGTTCGGGAGCCTGTCGCTGCTCTTTTCGGCTGTCGCCGGATTGATTCTTCTTTCAATTCTCATCAGTACGGTAAAAGTAAGTCATGAGGCCACTGATCTAGGTTGACGAGCTTGCATTTACCTGTAGAACAGAAGGTTTCTTTCGTCCTGACGTCTCCCTTGAGAGCTTTGCCAGGGCCGCGGGTCTCTCTTTGGACAAACTTGGTATTGAAAAGGGCCGTGGTAACGGGAACGCGGATCCATTACATTCACGCTCTGCATCAAAAGTACGGGCCAATCGTGCGTATAAGTCCCAATGAGGTCTCTGTTGCGGATCCACAAAGTGTTCAGGCCATCCACAAGATAAATTCAGGGTACACGAAAAGTCCGTGGTATGTCGAGGTCGCGCCATTCGGGCGGCCGATCCTTTTCTCCATGAGTGACAGCAAGGCGCATGGTACTCGACGGAAGCTTTTTGCTCGTGCGTTTTCCAAGACATACCTAAAGCAAAACTACGAGAAGACTGTCCATGAAATGACGAGGCAAGTGGTGATGAAGATTCAGAATGAAGCAAAGCAGAAAGGAAGCGCATGTGTCCTGCGGTGGTGGACATTCATGGCGACCGATATCTCGGCGCTGCTCATGTTTGGCGATTCATTTCACGCCATCGAGCGGGGGCAGGTGAGCAAAAAAAAAAAAAAAAACTCTTGGACTCTCCTTTTTCTAGGATCCTTACGGACTGTGAGATATAGGTCAATGAGTATATCCGCATCCTCCAATCAAATATGAAAGGAAGCGGAATCGCGGCCGAGCTACCATGGTGGATTCCTCCTCTTCTCAAGTGTATCCCAGTTGAGGGTATAAGGGAACTTTTCCGAGGCAACGACATCCTCATAAAATACGGACTGGAAGCACGCAGGAAGAGCAAAGCTGCAGGAAATGATAAAAGCATCTTCTCGGCCGTCAACAAAGAGGCCCAGACAGAAGGCGGTCGCCTCGACGAGACGGACGTCCAGTATGAGTCTCAAGGCCTCTTGGTAGCCGGGTCCGATACTACCGCAGTGACCATGACTTACCTCGTCTGGGCTGTGCTCTCACACCCGCAGTGGCAGGCCAAACTCGAACAAGAGGTTGCGGAATTACGGCCGGACTTCTCAGAGGAGGATTTAGAGAAGTTGCCGGTCCTCAACGGAATCATCGAGGAAACTTTGAGATTGTACGGAGCTGCGCCAGGCGGACTACCGCGTATTGTACCAAAGGGAGGCGCACATATGATGGGACACTACATACCCGCTGGCACAACGGTAACAACTCAAGCTTTCACTCTGCACAGAGACTCCAATCTCTTTCGAAACCCTGAAAGGTAAGTCAGTTTCTACTACCTTGACCTTTTTCTTCAAAGCGCGGACTAAAAAGAGAGAATCAAGATTTGATCCTTCGCGGTGGCAGCTTTCAGATGATTTGGAAGATACGGGTGCTGTATCGAGAATCACAGATGCAGCAAAAGCGGTATACTCGCCGTTCGGATTAGGTGCTCGGGTCTGCCTTGGAGTGCACCTGGCCCGCATGGAGATGAGACTCGCAACCACCGAGTTCTTTAGGGCGTGTCGGGGTGCCAGACTCGCGCATTCGGTGACAGATGAGTCGATGGCTATGGAAAATCATTTTCTCATCGCACCAAAGAGCCACAAGTGCGAGATTGTGTTACAGGAATAAGTGGTAGCCTGCGGTCCTAGGTAGTTTATTTTGTCGCAAGTATCAAGGATCTTGAGAAACTTGGCTCTTGAGTGACGCTTACTCGTCTCTTCCTGTGCAAATAACAGTGTCTGTATTCGCGGAGAGAATATTCTCACCGTAAGAACATGATGATAACCCGACATTTTGCATTTATATTGCAGCTTCTATTATAAAATACTATTAAAAAATGATAGCAGACATGCTCTAGAATGAGTGTAAAATGGTTAGAATGTCATTTCAAGATGTTAGTACAAGGTCATGACAGGAAGATTTTCGTTATTCCAAAAAAGATATTTCGCCCGGCTACAGCCAACAAAAGCAGCTGCCATTCTTCGCACGTACTGCCGCCGCCTTTCCAAGCCATTGGATCCAGATAGATTGCATCAGTTTAAACGGGACAGCATCGCCGCCATGTCTCGAGCACCTGAAAACTTCATTCGTGCAAGCTCTTGCTGAAAAGGAAGTAAAGACCTCGAAGACCACGAATCTACATCCCCATTCTTTGCAAATTCCTTGCGAGCCCAAAGAACTAGCGCAGCAGAGAATACTGTCAGTGCGGCCCATATCGGCAGATCGTCAGGCTGTATTCGTTCACTTGTTTCCAAAATCAGCCAGACAGTAGGTATAGCAGCACGGTAGAAATGCAAGCCCTCCGAAGCGTTGGCCCTGTCTCTCTGCATCTTGAATGTGTTGGATGAGGCGTGCGTGCAGCCTGCTAATGCACAGAGGGGTTGCAGCGATGGCACCGTGTTATAAAGAAGACAAAAGTAATACATGAGCAAAAGTTCGTCTGCTGCCGAGTCCAAATGATTGCTCTTCCATGTCAAAAGGCTTGCGGAAAGCTTCTGTCTAAGCTGAGAGATTTCGTGTGCTGGAGAGAACGGCATTTGGACCGTATTGTCTGCAAGATATACCGTGTCATGTATCCGAAAATCTTGAGTAGTTAAAGGGCCAAAGGTGTGCGTTACTGAGTGGACATCGGCAAGCATGGTGAAGATGGAAATCCAGGCATCTCCGGAGCTTTCGCTTCGAATTTGCAGCACTGAGCTGTCCGCAGTGGTTGCGCTATCAGAGCAACGGCGGTGACGATGGCGGAGAAACAAGGCTGTAGGAAATGAAGTGGACTGGCCATACTGAATAGCTCGAAGAAGATCCAGTATTACGAAGTACGATATCAACGATCTGAGGTTTTAGCCAGCGCTTTTTTTTTTTTTTTTTTGGTTATGACACGGGTTACTCACCGACCGTGATTTGTTATTTGTGATTGCGCAGACTCATCGTTCCCAACCCCGTCAAGGCAGGATGCTTCGCGAAAAATCCTCCAAACTGCCTAATAGCGACTGTTGGTAATTGGGCGACTGTCGAAGCTGGGGCTTGACTCAACTGTTTTGACGCATCCATGAATCATGCGGGCGCGTCTTCGCACGATGCGATCAGAAGACAGAAAGGCAAAGGTCTCTAGGAGAGTCCACTGCGAATTGTTTAGGAGTTGAAAACACAAGAGGCAGACACGGTGAACATGGTCAGGAATCAAGTTCCCTTTTACGTACCGCCTTGACGAGATCAGTTTTGCGGGCGACCCCATTGTCGACCTCCAAATTGCCCAGTAATTGACTCGCCGAAGTGTGCCAGAGCTGCAATGCCTGTTCTTCCTTCTGTGGCGTCATGGAGGCGCCCACGGCAGCCAACGCCAGTGTCAGATACTCTGGTCGAGGAACCCGGAGGAACCCAATTGGGGGAACATCTCTCAGGAATATGGTGGTGCACAACAGGTTCTGATGCGTCTCCTGTATCAGCTCATCAATGCCAATGCTAAACTCCGGCTTCAATGAGGCAAGGAAGAAGGACGTGGGCCAAGCAAGCTTTACGACGGAGTATCAGCAATGGACTTGGAGACAGGCAGGACTGATAAGAGCTTACTTACTGCTTGTGAAGAATTGGGCATGGAAAACAGGGTATCTGCATTGTCAAGGCTGGGAAATCGTTTCTTTTCCCTCGCTTGTCTATCAGCGAGCATAGCCTGTCTGAAGACAGAAACCTGGCCCGGATCAAGTGGCTGGTATGCGATTTCAGCATCGGTGGAGGTTGGCACGCGGTCCCCTGGCCAAGTGTCTCCCCATCCTTTTTCGACTTGGGCACGACGAGACGCGGACAAGTCTTGCTGAGATGGTAGCCTGTGCGCCATTTCTGGAGGAGTCGGTATCATGAAAACCCTTGGTCAAGATGGAGGTGACTGGAGCAGAAGTTACATATGTTTTGGGACGGCCCGTAAAGCCTCCAACCTAGCTTGTGTAGCCTCGAGAAATGCGTGGCTTGTACCTACAAGTACCAGCCTTTATGTATTAAATTATAGACGTTATATTTATTATCAAGAGGGGGGGGGACTGCAATAGTTGGGTTAAAGTAAGGCTATGCTCTGTCACGACCTCGGCTCTTATAGTCGCGACAATGGGCCACCTTGGCAAGGCAGGACTGGATAAATAATTGGCCAACTAGTTGATTAGAAATAGGAAAGTTCGTTGAAATTATATATAAGTAAATAACTAAATACATTGAATATTTTCTGTTGAAAGTGTAAGCCTCCAATTGGCCGGGTCAATTCGCGGGGTAACCGGGGTACATGTATCAGCATCCGGGACCCCACTCGGCTGTCTGGGGTACCGCCGGGACTACTCGTATGTACCTGTACTCCGGATGCATGTATTCATGTTGCAACGAAACAACACCCACCAGATATCCGGTTAAGCTGCAAGAGATCTCCAATGGATACTCAGAGCATCCCCGGTGCACCCAGTGAAGCGCGGGTGAACAATTCTAGGCGGAAAGGCTCCCAGGATTCCAAGGTAACCCGAACACCGGCTCTCGTCCGGAATGACTGACGAAGAAGCTTCAACACTGACGTGGATATTCGCCGTCACGGTAGTGTGCTGTTTGCAACCGCGTTTTCACCCGCAAGGAGCATCTTCTGCGCCACTCCAGAACCCGTATGTATATGTTTATTGGTCATTGCATCTCTTCTCTTCACTGCATTGACGTGTGTCTACAGATACTCAAGATGTCCCTTTCAAATGCAAGGTATGCAGCAAACGCTTCCAACGACAAGATGTTCTCCAACGTCACTTCAAGAACCTCTGTGATGACGGGATTGCTCGGCAACGCTCAGGCTCAGCCCGACGGACAGCCAAGGCATGCAACGGCTGTCGCCTGCACAAGCTGAAGTGCGACGGCGCCATGCCGTGTCAGCGTTGTAGGCTCAAGTCGGCCTCGTGCTTGTATGCAGGGAGTGATGATGGGGCTCCATGTTTCGATTCATCATCTACCGTCTTCTCCTCACGGCTCGCTGGAGACATCATCGTGTCCCCAGCGAGTGAACAAATGTCCCCTCCAGTTGTGCGTCACGCCAACGATACTCCGTCACCGGTTCTTCCAGTTGAGACTTTTTGCGCAGCCCCAGTGACACAGGTTAACTCTGCTGAACTTGCAGAGGCACTGGCGTCCGCACCGGAAATGTTAGCCATGACTGAGACATCATCTGGTAGATACGGTTTCCTAGCCAATCCGCTCGGAAATGGTTTACTGATGCGTACGGCAGGACTGATCTCATCATTTGATCAAAGTGCATCGAATTTCGACCTCGAATCGCTCGAGTTTTGGCCTTCCATGGACAAGGTTTGCCCAAGTTGGTCGGATATGGTTTTATACAGCCGCTTACCAGTACAGCTACAGCCTTTTTATGATCCTTTCTTCCTCACCGCCGACTTTGGGCTTTTCTTGGAAGCTACCGACGCAAACGATGGACTTGTCCGACAAGCATCTTCATTGCAGCAATGGTTTTGCAGTCCCGTTCCATCCGACACCCCAATCAATACGCCGCGAATGCCTGAATGGCTCTCGAATCTGCGTCCAAACATCCAGCCACATGACAAAGATATAATTGGCTTCTTCCTGCGTAAGTTTATATGCCATGTTGCGCCCATGATGCCTATATTCCAAGATGTCGAACACGAGCCAAGCCAACCTCCCGAGCTTCTTCTCGCCATGGCAGCAGTGGGCGGCCTATTCTGTCCAATCGAAGGCAGCTTCCGAATTTCATTGGCCATGCATACCGATGCTAGGAGATTGGCCTTGAGTCGTGTGAGTGGGCCGAGTGACTGGCCTTCTTCCTAAATTTCTACAAAGCATCACTGACGGAATACAAAGGCGCTTTCGAGCGACCAATTGAGTATTCCAGAGGCGATAGATCTAGCGCAAACGGTAAGAGCTGCCACGATATTCCTCTCGCTTCAGATTTGGAGAGGAGGGGAGGAGTTCGCGCTTCCGTGTCCGTCAGTCTCTAGTGGCTGTTCTGATCGCTCATAGTTGATGTGCCTGGAGATATTCGGCTTGTGCAGTGGAGATCCGCGAGCGTTCGAGTGCACCGAGGCACAGCATGGTTTTCTTCTTCAGGTCAGTTCTCAACATGGTCCCACCTGTAATCGGAACTGACATAATATAGAGCGTCGAGGATTATTCACTCACCACCCTCGAATCGTCACTGACAGATTTTGAGGTGAAGAGGCGGTTGAGGTTTGTATTGGACACACCGCTGCAAGCCACCTGCACATAGCTAACGGCCACCGCGCAGGTTGGTTGAGAGCCTTTGCGTCCTGGAGTCGTACCATGTGCTCATATTGCGACGGCCAGCACACTTGAGCACAACAATCATTCAATGCACATTTGCTGGCTTCGACGGTCTTCAAGGTCCATCGGAGAGCACTGATTTGCTTGAAGACTGCTTCAAACTATTCGCGTCAATAATGAATCCCCAAACGACCTTGCACCATCCAACAACAACACCTACACCAGCAATGTGCTGTCTGACACTCCTCGCCGCTGTTTCTGGCAATTCGAGTAGTGAAGGCGTCTCCATGTTGAATGTATTTTGGAAGCAAGACTTGTTGGAACTCGGACTACATCGATGGTGGAATGCATGCCAGACCCAGATACCGATCGAAAGTCACTTGTCCACCACCTCGCTCTTCCACCTGATATTCATCAACATCCGCACCAATGTGGAATTGCTGCACAAATCTGCAAGATGGCAAATTTGCGGCTCCGCAAGCCAGGGCACCCGTCTCGCAAATGTTCAGATATGGCAGAGCTCCGAGGACTGCGACATCGCTACTCACCATGCAAGACAACTCCTTGACGCAGCAAAGCAGTCTGTTGTCTTTGATATTCCGTCGGGTCGGCGAACCGGCAAAAGCTACCCGTCCACCATGCCAACACAGGAGGAATACGGGAGCCAAAAGGCGGTGGCCGAGGTGCCTCATCTTGCCATCGGCGTATATGTAGCTACGCTGGTTCTATGGGCGAAAGCTTTGGCAAGGCAGGATCCGGATTGGAGTCTTGCAGGTTCTGCTCTCGAGGATGGAATCTTGGTTCTAAGTCGCTTCCAGGTTAGGGTGGCTATCAAGTTGTGTTGTGCTTTGGGGTGTTTGAGGAAGATGGTTCTAAGCTAGGGAGCTACGGAACACTGACGCCAGCCAAGATCAAATGTACTATAAGCTCGCCTTTGGGAGGCTCCCCCACGAGACGGGAATGTCATGACATCACCTTAAGGGAACAAGGGGAGTAAGGATCAAGCTGATCAACCGTCAGCGGGATACAAGAGCAAGCGTCGGCCACGCTACCGTGTTCTATTATCTCCCTCTCAAGATACTGCCTTGTGTAATCCAACTTGGTCTTTTACTAAACTCTATCGTTTCTTGGCTTCTTCCTCCATTCCCTTTAAAATCCAATCTTTCCTTTCGTTTGTGAACTGCGCAAAAACTTCAGGATCGCCTTGCTTGATCTTGAACATCAAGGGCTTAGGCACATGAAAGCCTTTATTGATTCCCGGCCTGGCAGACATCATTCTTTCCCATTTCTGGAGAAACGGAAATTCGCTCATGTCCAAGCTGACGAATTCCGCGTAGATTACCCAAGAGAGAACAGCGATGTCTGCGATGGAGATGTGGTCTGCCACCAGGAAACCAGATTTCGACTTGGCAAGCTCGGCATCAATCACGCGGTAGAGGCGTCGCGTCTCGTTAATGTACCGATCGATGCCATATTGGATCTTGGTGGGCGCATAGCGGTAGAAATGCGCTGCTTGGCCATGCATTGGGCCAATTCCTAGATTGAACGAACGTTAGTCGTTAGGCTCAAAAACACCAACACCCACAGACGGAACCTGCCTCCATGCTGAAAGAAGAGCCAGTTATTACATTCCCAGTAATCTCTGGTGCCTTTCGGGAATGAAAGCTTGTGTTCCGGATCGTATCGCTCAGTCAGATATTGTAGGATGCTTCCTCCCTCAAAGACCCTGACTTGCTGGCCATCACTGAGCGTGTCGACGATGGCTGGGATGCGGCCGTTGGGGTTGATCTCGAGAAACCATGGATCTTTCTGTCGATTTGTGGTGATGTCGATGTGATCAACTTCGTATGGGACGCCGAGCTCTTCTAATGCCATGCTGATCTTGATGCCATTGGGAGTCGAGTCGGTGTATAATTTGATACTAGGCTGACCGGGCATGGTGTTGAAGAGGGCGAGTTTATTCGCAAGTTTGTGATGGAACAAAGCAGAATGTTGGGAGAATGCTTAACTCAAAACGTTTGGTCCTTTCAAATTGGAGGCATCGAGATGCAGTTTTGTAGTGAGTCTGAATCGTTGCAGCCGTGCTTCTTTCGGCACCATTGCGTAACTCGAACCACACTCGGTGGATGATCGGTCATCATCATTCATTCATAAGCAAGGAGATTTATAATTGTGGCCAAGCATCTACTTGACATCACAGGGCGCGATCATGTTGAGAAAGCCATTGGGTTCGGTTCTCCTGAGGCTACATCACCAGACGTAACTTGTATGTGGAACTGTTGTCGTGCGGCAAGTGATTGCGATGGCTTAGAAATCCAACAGCGAGAAATCATCCAAAAGTCCCGCCGGCAATATCTGTTGTAGTCAAACACTCAACTTAGACTTTCGCCTTCGTCTAGAGTTTCAGTCTGCGCCATCGAGAACAGGATACATCGCAAACATTGAAGGTATCCATTTGCCCGTTTGGGTATGTAGGGGCGCTGTTGTTGCTTTAAGCTCCGCTGCCGGTCATTAGTAGTGAGTTCACTTAGCCCGAAAAATACAGACCGCAGAATACGAGCATGTAAGTGCACATACATCCACAACATGAGCACATCCAATACTTCACCGAATGGCGATCACTTCTATATGCATGCTCAAATTTTCTTCGTTCCCTGTTTTTCTGTCCTCCACTTGTAGGGGTCACGAAAAGAAAGGCGGCGCGATATTCATGAGCGGCCTTTCTTCGCCGCAGTACATGTAGATATCGAATCCACTCCCGGGGGGAGATGGGCCAAGACTGTGAATCCGCGAGCGGTGACAGCATGAAGCTATCGTCGAGAAGCCCGTTCCAAACAATGGCCGAGCATGGCATGTGGTCCTTGGACTGGAGCTGCTGGAAAATTTGTTCCGGATTCGAGAATGTTGAGTCGGGTGGATGCTCCAAGCTGTATTCCACCTGATGCAGCTGCATAGACTGGCACCCAAGGGGGCTTCAAGTATATAAATGTCGGCATACGACACCCAAAAGTCTACGATCTGCTATAGAAAGCACATTATTGACGCAAAGGAAGCAATTACAACACCAGACTTCGTTATCGGCGAGTAAAGCTTAAACATGCCGAAGCAAACCATCAAACCTCTCCTTCTCCACGCCCACGAGGCCGGGCCCAACCCATTCAAAATCGCCATGGCACTCGAATTCCTCAAGATCCCATACGACGTGAAGATGTGGGAATTCGGCAATGACCCCCATAAAGGAGTCCTCGGCGCCGCTTTTCTCAAGATCAACGAGAACGGCCGCGTCCCTGCCCTCGAAGACCCAAACACCGGTGTCGTGAGTTGGGAAAGCGGCGCCATCATGAATTACCTCCGTCGCGTGTACGACAAGGACGGACTGTTGGGCCCGAAAAGCAGCAGCGAGCAGGATATCGTCGACTTTGAAAAGTGGGAGCAGTTCTTGCTCACGACGTTGGGACCCATGACGGGCCAAGTGAATTGGTACCAGAACTACAACACGACGAAGAATGAGGACGCGCTGAACCGGTACCGGGAGCAGGCTATTCGCTTTTACGGCACGTTTGAGAAGCAGCTGAGGAGGAGCGGCGGCGAGACGGTTCTGGGAGGATCCAGGGTCACTTCGGTGGATCTACATTTTCAAGCCTGGGTCAAGAAGCATGAGTTTGCGGGGTTGAGCTTGGAAGACTGCCCTCTCGTCAAACAGTGGCTTGCGAGGATCAGTTCTTTGCCGCAAGTTCGGGCTGCTTATAAAAAGCTTGAGGACGCGCCAAGGGCCGGTGAATGATGGACTGCGCGGCCTCATGTGAACAGTCCAATGGAAATACTTAGATTAGTATACAATGAGACAGAAAGATGGTGAAGAGTTTGAATGTGATGTGTAATAGCAAGCTGTACCACCTGGGCCAATAATAGCTGCCAGCTACCAGGATCGTCTATGGTGATTGTATAATTGATCTGCTTCAACGATAATTATATAGCCCCTTTATTATAACAAAAGTAGTCAGGGAGGCACCACAGTAAGAATTACGGTCAGGGCAAAGTATAGGGACGTTCAGGGGTATATAATAGTTCATTTAATGCACATCTGGTAGCTAATTAATTGTCAAATTCATCTTCGGCATCGGCGCCCTCCCGATCTGTGAATACTAGATACTCTGCAGATTCATCGTCTGTAGATGGAGATGTAATCATTTCCCATGCGCTCCGAACAGGATCCAGTACAGAGTCATTAAACGCAAGGTCCAAAGGTAGCAAGGAGAATACAGCAGATTGCCCATCAATGTTTACGGATGGAACGTCAAAACCAGTTTGCTCATAATACAATTGGTAGAGTGACTTGGGAGGCTCTTGGCCGTCTGCGGAGAGTGACGCAAGAAGGGATTGGAGCGCTTTTTCGAGATGGGTTTGAGCATCTGGGCTTGTGAGAGTGCTTAGATATAATACGCCTGATGAACCATTAGCAAGCTATCCAATAGAAGAGATATGAAAGACAAGAAATGCTAATGATGAGAGTGTGTATCAGGTTGTCAGAGGAGTTATCGTCAATGGGATTCAGCCAATGTAGATAAGTATTCGTTAAGGTTTTATCATCATAACACACGCAGGAAATGAAATGAGAGAAAGAGAAAAAATAAAACTTACATTGTCCAGAAGGGCATTCGCCGGCGTCACTTGAATGAGCCAGAGCGTAGATGGGGTACTCAGATGAAACTCCATCCTCGCCAACGGGTGTTCCAGCGGGAATCGCAACCACGCCGACGGCTGGAGTCGGGGCACCATCGGTCACCGTCTCGAAGAGCGAGGGTAAACCCGAGTTGACAATGGCCGTGAGTCTGCTTAGACGGCGGCTTTCGCCTGCCGGCTTGCCCAGGGCTTTCACCAGGGCTTTTGACTTTATCGCCATGTCGTTTGTTAGGACAATGTCCAGCTCTTCGGGCATTTCGGCCGTGGGAGGGGCTTTCTGGACGTCCTTGATGCCAACGCCGAGCATATAAACGGCGCCGCCGACGGCACCGGCTCGACAGCCCACTTGGGCAATCTCAGAGAGGCCGCCCCATTTGGGGTAAACAGCTGCAAAACCTGTGCCAAAGACTCCCATGGAGGTAATATGGCGGTGGATAGCGGCTAGACCGGCTTCTGTTGATATCTTGCCATCCAAGCTAAGAGTCAGAGTGATGATGTATGCCTGCAGGGCGGCATCAAGCTTAAACTCTGAAGCAAGAAAACTCGCCAGCGAGTCGCCTGCATGTGGCTTCCATACATCCGTCTGCGGCTCAACGTTGTAGTCCAGCACAAACTTGAGGAACTTCATAAGCCCGCGCTTTGCTTTGACTGAAATCGTCGTGTTGGCAAACACGTCTTCTCGAGTCGAGGGTATGCGGCCGAGGCTAGGAGCTGAAGACTCTGCGGACGAAGGCTGATAGATGTAAAACGAGCCAACAGCAAGGAACTCGAGCTGCCGAAAGGCTTTCGACGAGACCAGCTTTGACAGGAGCTCTGAGCGCGTATGGATCAGCTGCGGCGCCAGGGCGAGGGTGTATCCTCTCGATGACAAGCTTTCGGGGCCTTCGGGACGAGTCACCCGCGCAGCTGCAAAAACACCATCGCCATCCTCCGACTGGCGTCTAGCAGCCCACTCGTCGACTTCCTGCAGGCTCAGAACAGCCTCGGCCTCGCCATAGTACTCGTTGGGATCGACGTGGAGGACGTTCTTGCCAGATCGCGACAGGGCACTTCACGAGACGAGGCTGGTCAGTCAGTTTGGAGGGCAAAAGCCAAGCCGATGGAATCCGAAGCTTACAGGGCGAGAAGGGATTGCTGGAGCCCCGTGCCGCTGATCACTACATCCCACTTTGTGTCTGAGAGGGATTCCATGGTTCGGTCGAAAAGACGATGGAGAGAGGAAAAAAGAAAGAAGAAGAAAAACAGAAACGGAGTAGGAAAAAATAGTTTCGTTTACTAAAGTGTTGGCTAGCTAAAGGGCTTGGAAAGGTTCGAAGTTCAAGCGAAGTGGGGAGGTGGAATTTGGATTAGCTAAGTCGGGGTGGCCTGTGCGTGCTCTGGTAGTAGGCTAAAAAATTGAGCTTCTGTTTCTGAGCTTTTTTTTTTTTTTTTTTCTTTTTTCTTCTCTATAGTTTAACCGCTTGTTGAATTTTTCACGTTATGTCTTTGGTACTTTACGTACGTGGCATCGCGGCCTCATTCGACTGAGCGGTAGAGAGAGTCGTCGGCCGGTATCTACTGCCCTAGATATAAAGTCTGAAAGGGTGGTTCGAATGGTTGACACATGCCCGCTTTGATCCATGAAGTTTTTTGTTTGTACTTGACAGCTTGATTCTACCTATTCCGTACCATCTGTCTGGTACCATGTGCAAAGTTTCCTAGTAGTACTATGGTTGGCGCTTTGTATAAGCTAGCCAATGGAACATCCCCCGAAACAAAGATGGCTTCTCGATGCTTAAACAATTATGGTATTCTATGGTATTCCAGATTCATCGGCTGCCAGTGATTGCCGATGCGAGACCCTCCCACCGCTTACTTGCCCAGTCGAGGAACTCCTTCGACCCAAGTAGCTTCGCCGACATGACTGTGCCTCCGTGTTTCGAGATGGACAGAATTCGTTTTGAGCCACCAGAGCAGTCAATGACAATCGTAACTGTCTCATTGCATAATGATTCCTCCAGGGTATCTGGGTCAGCCAACATCCAGAATTTGCCATCTGGAGCCTGGTCTTTGGTCTCTTTGCCTGTGAAAATGACTGCTGTACAAGCAATGGGCATGGTTTCCACTGTGAGAGGCCTTGGGTCTTTCCTAGAGCATATTATCATCTCTCTGTCTGGATCGTAGCGAGCTTGGGGTAGCTTGGTGTCGCGGAGAGCAGCCACGGTTGCTGCCCAAGCTGCATCAAACGGATTGCCATCAAAGGAGATGAAGAAGAGATCGATATACAGCACCCAGTATGCCACCACGGTCTCTTCTCCTTCTTGCTGCTCATTAGCCCCCTCTTCCTCCTCATCGACCGGGATCGGAGCTTCGGCCGGTCGTTTGTGCCATATACGCAAATCTTCAGCGCGCAGCAGCTTGGAGCTATGTAGGAGGGAGTAGATTCTGGTGCTCAATGTCTGGGCGAGGGTTGTGGGCGGACCGCCGGGCAAAAATTGTGGCGCCGATCCGGTAGCCAGTTCAATATTCGGAACCAACAAGTCGTATTCGGCCAATTCTGTCTGTGTATTGGATGCGCGGAAGTTGGGGATGTGGTCTGTCAGGATTGTTTCGCCCCGAATTCCGCAAATGACGGTTGTATCCCCTGTCCTTACCAGGGCACTTCCGTGGGCATGTGATAAGCTGGAGAGATTGACTGTGGGTGTCCGGACCTCGAAAGGAGCTCGGCCATTGCTTCGCGCAGGTGGAACAGAGTCGTCGGATGGTTCGAGATTTGCGAGCAGATACGGATGAGGAGAGAGCTTAGCAAAGGTTGAGCGCGACAGGCCCACCTCGGGTGCCATGATGACGGTGATTTCGGAAGACTTCGGCGTGGCTGATGGGTATAATCGAAAGACAGATGCAGAATTACAACATCAGATCAAGGGCCGTATCGAGTGTGTCGTGTGTTTCGGGAGTTGTTCTCTGCGCCGCCGTGCCCAAAAAGAAAGAAAACTTGAGCTCTCAGCCTTGCGGGTGGGGGAGCTTGGATAATCTACAGCCAATGAAACGGAGGTGGAGCACAAGGCTGACGGAGGTGTCCATCTTGTGTCTCCCGGCAGCTGGAGATTGCTTGGGAATTCGGAGATGCAAAGACGGGGATGTCGATCGATGCCGTCGTTGCCGATTACTTGGTGTCATGTATGGAGACGGTGGTTCGATATATACCCAACTGACGCGTCTCTCCAGGCTGGAATCATTATCAATCGGCGGCATAGCCAAGTTAAAGCAGCTGCTCGGACACAAAGTTTGACTTCCGATTGGTGTTACACGTGATTTGACTGCGACGCTGCCATGGCCAGATGGATGCCGAGTGTCTACATACGTATTCTGGATGCAAGCAGATTGCGCAGGGAGAGATTAGAGATGCTTGTCAACTTCTACAGCAATCGGGTGATTCTCGCAGGACAACGGCGTCCAGGCCAGGGGAAGAAGCCTGGCATTTGCCGGACGGCCATTTCTCCGGGCCACTAACAGGCTAGTAGCAGCAGCCAGCAGAGAAGCACAAGCACAAGCACAAGCAGCGCCAAACCTCAACACCACCAGCAACTGCAAAGGAAAGAAAAGCCCTGTGAGACGCCCGGAATTCATCCCACGCGATCCGTCAGACTCCGGCTGTTAGCGCTCTTTGTGAGATTATCAGAATCTTGGCGGACAATTCCCAGAGCCTTATTTGCTCAGACCGCTGTCGGCCAGCAAGTTGCCCAGCGAATCACACGCCGTGTTTTGCCGCCCATGTCCTCGATGGTCCCCCCTCGCCCTGCCGCCCATCGAATCACGGTGCAGAGTGCATATGGCCACTAGATCCGTCACCAACAGCCTCTGGAGCGCCGTTTTTACTTGCCCAAACGGTCCCTCGATTGGGAGCTGTTGGAGCTCGTGAGTGGCTCAATGCAGAAATCTGGTTTCCCCTCATTCACATTAGGGCTGCTGATGGCGGTGTTTATGATTTGGGTGACCGGATTTGCGCCGTTCTCAAGACGGTAGCATTCGCCATGGCCATTCTACGAGTACGAGTACTGTAATCAACAGTGGACTTGTGGGATAATACCTCGGAGTCTACTTCTATTTCTTCACCAGGACGGGACTGTGTGTGTCATCACCAACGGTTACTGTACGACTACGAGTGCAACATGGAGCCCTTGTCAGCAAACGTGTGGACCTTGTGGCGGATGCGACTCCGTACAGTACAGTTCTGTTCCTGAGAGAGATGGGATGGACGAGTCCCTACAGGCATCGATGGACACCAAAGACATGAATCGACTTTGTTCGTTAGCTTCCGCCGTGCTCATGCAGACGAACCCTTGCTCGATCATCAACCGTCTGCCGAGCAGCCATTTCGCCCCGCCCGCTAGCAAATTCGTCCTGTTGCCGTTGCCTGGTTGGAGCACACCATGGCTAGATTGCGGTAGCTTGACCTGCATGCCGCCTCGTTCATCACCTCGCCTGTCACATTCGGCCGCGCCAATTCGTGCTCGGCGTGCGCAATCCCCGGATGCAAGAAGCGACCAATCTCGCGGCCTGCCCAGCCGCTGGGGGGGCCTGATGCGTCCCTGTTACGTCCCATCACGGCTTTTGTCTGTCTGCTTTTGTCCGGACTATTGAACGATTCAGGCCATATCGACCGTTGCCCGCATGGCGATTCGGCGTGTCACCAACATCTGATGCTCGTCCGTATCTTTCCCGCGCTTGTCATCCAGACCTTTGCAGCCGTCACTAGCCCATCGTTGATGTGATCCACCGACTTAAAAATCCCTGTATCACTCGCTCCGTATTAGCGAGTGCAGGGAGGAGGGAAGCTCTTTGAGCCATGTCTGGGCTTTATATCCTCACGGGCCGCCGCATTCAGCCCCCCACCGCTCATCAGTTGTTGATCAATCTTTGCCATCTCACTGCCCAGCTCTCTCGTTAATCTTAATCATTGGGCTTTGTTTCGTTTCGAGGAGTCTGGTACTACTCGTTATGACTCCAGAGCGCGCTGCGGTTTCATAGCCACTCATTCACGGCAGCAAGTCCTGATCGGCGGGCTGTAAGCGCCTGGCTGCAATGCAATAGAAGCATTCGCTATCCTTGGCCCAGGTTGAAACCGCGGGCTTTTTTATTGCCTACGTCCCACGCAAGCACGGGGGTAATACCAACTCCAACTCCAACTTGTGCCTCATCCGCCACGTTTTTGCTACGACGCAGCTGAAGCAGTTGCAGCCATTACCTGCTATCCATCATGGCCCCCCATATGCAGGAGCTCACCACCCAGGCCACGCGAAGCGTTTCCGATGTCGTCAAGCGGATCCTGATTCCCTTGACTCCCACAAGCCCGCCGGGTCTTGTTCAGGCGGACACTGTTGATCCTTGGTCCAAGGCCGGCAAATATGCTCTCGGGTGGACATACTTCGCGGCTGCCCTCTCGGGCTGCATCTTCGTGGTTCGCATGTGGCACTTTTGGCAAGACAAGATTCGCCAGGCCATTTACAAACAGCAAATAGAGACACACTACCAGGAGACTTACAATGTCGACTCCAATTTCGTCCAGGCCGCCATTCGCACCGGCATGGCCCAGGAGTTCTTCCCCGACGGCAACCCTATGGGTGAAAAGTTCCGCCCCAAGGCTCACTTCTCGTCCATTGGATTTATCAATGACACATTAGCCTTGTTTCGATGGGTTTTCTATAGATCTGTTCCGGACATCGTCATTGGAAAGCATCGGTTTACCTTTTCGTCGCTCTCCGTTCTGGCGACGACGTTCATCGCTTTTGCCTTTGTCACCCTCTACACCTTCCTCCAGCAGCCACTCTACTGGGAGAGCATTCGATTTGGAGCGCCGCCCGTGGCCATCAGGTCCGGCATGCTTTCCGTGGCATTGACTCCATGGATCATTGCGACTGGCATGAAGACAAACATACTGACCATGTTGCTTGGCATTGGACCAGAGCGACTAAACGTCTTTCACCGATGGCTCAGCTACCTTTGTCTATTCCTTTCATTGATTCACATGATCCCATTCTATGTTCAACCTGTATGGGAGGACAATGGCTTGTCAGTCTGGGGCTCGACTTTTCCCCCTTCAAAGGGCATAATTTACGGCACGGGAATTGCCTGCATCGTTCCGCTGCTTTGGCTTAACGTGTTCTCTCTCCCTTGGATTCGGAGAGTTGCCTACGAAGCATTTGTTGTTCTTCACGTCCCGGTCGGCATCCTCTACGTTGGTGTGTTGTTCTGGCACACAGCCAACCGGCTCCTCACCTGGGACTACCTCTATGCCACTTGTGCCATCTGGGGAGTCTGCAATCTCTTGCGGGTCTTTAAACTTAACTGGGTAAAGCCTGGACGAATGTCCTTTATGGTTGGTGATGAGGCTGCAATCACCCTCATGGCCGAGAACGCCATCAAGGTCACCATTCCCACTCAGATGAGATGGAAGCCTGGTCAATACGTCTATCTTCGAATGCCTGGCATCTCATTCTTCGATAACCACCCATTTACTATTTCATCCCTCTGCAGCGAGGATTTGCCTTCCGAATACGGAGAAAACTATCGGGATTGCATCCTCCTATTCAAAGCCTATGGTGGATTCACGCGCAAGGTTCTAGACACTGCCATTGAGAAAGGTCCTTTCCATACGTACCGTGCGTTCTTGGATGGTCCCTACGGCGGCATGAGGCGCGATCTGGCCGCTTTTGACACCTGCATCCTCATTGCTGGCGGAAGCGGCATCACGTCATTGATATCTCAGCTTCTCAATCTGGTGAAGCGAATGCGAGATGGCAAGGCCATCACTAGAAAGGTCGTCGTCGTCTGGGCTATGAAGAAATTTGAAGACATGGACTGGTTCCGAGAGGAGCTGCGTATCTGCCGAGAATCCGCTCCTCCTGAGAGCGTAAGCTGTAAATTCTTTGTCACTACAGCTGTGCGCAACCGCCAAGGGCAGCAAATGACTGCTCCCATAAACGGATCAAACACCCGGGCCTTGACTCACAAGCTTCACGATAAACTAGACGGCTTTGTCGCAGGCATTGCCTCGAAACGAAACTCGGCCTTTATTCAGGCTGAGGCAATGGGAGATCTGGAGCGAGAGCGCGAACTTCGCGAAGAGAATGAAGATCGCATCACGGCACTGCCACAACAAAAATACCTGCAACCTCATCAATATCCGCCGCCGCCACCTCTCCCTCACCCATCCTCTAATGAATCACCGATGAGCCAGGGTGCCCTTTCTGAAGATAATTTGGGCAAACTTAACGAGAATGGCTATCCCGAGGATAAAAAGCAGCACGATACGACATTAGAGGAGCCTGAGCCTGAGCCTCAGCCTCAGCCTATCGCAGTTCCAGAGCTGGCGCATTTGTACAACTCTGGCATTCCTGCCGGCGGCCCTAGCGATCGTCCGGTATCGACCTTTGGCCCACCAGCCGGGTTCGATTTTGGGTTCCCGCAGACACCCACCGAATTCCAAAAGAACCTTATGCGATCCGCGTTCCCCATGCCCCATCAAATAACTGAAGACGGTTGGACTATCGAGTACGGCCGCCCCGATCTTGGCTACATGCTCAAGCAATGGGCCACGGGTGGGCCCGAGGGCAGAGGTATCTTGGGCCGAAGGACCGCCGTCTTTGTGTGTGGTCCTCCGGGGATGAGAGTGGGCGTGGCCAACACAGTGGCGAAGCTTCAGGCGGAGATTTGGGGCGACGACGAGTTGGAAGAGATCTTTTTGCATACGGAGAACTATGCTCTATAGAGCAGAAGAGATATTTTTGCACACGGAGAACTATGCGCTTTAGAGTGGGCGGTGTCTTTGTGTGTGTATTTGTAGATATAATGACGATGAGGCGGAGGATCATGACTGATGTATATTCTTTTTGAAGTCACGAACTGGCTCGAGAGGCCCCCTGAGATACCACTTGTATATAGCAACATGCACATATTTTCTTGGTTTCATTCATGAGCGTTATAATCAAGATGTTTTATGCGTACATATGATTCGCCCTCTTGTGTCCTGTTGGCTCTCTTTTCTAACAGTCTACGCTCTCTAGTTCCATCTAACATTCATCATACCAAGACTACGCCGATATTCTGTCGCTACGGACTTCTCAAAACAAAGCTCGCTATTGCGTTCTTCATAACCGGCATGCTCTTAGTACCTGCTTTCGATGGTCCAAGTGCTGGTGGGCACCTGCGCCAAGTGGGTTGGTTGCCTGCCAAAGTACCCAGATGAAGATGTTTTGAGTTAAGGCTACAACCGTAGATGTGAAATCTATCCAGTGTCTTTTGTGTAGTTGCTACGATGTGATTGTGTGCTTCGATTATAGTCAGGTCAACCCATGAATAGATACACACAGTAATGAGACTTCGAAACAGCGGCCATTGAGCCAGTTTATTGACATCATGAACCCGCCCCGTTAAGAGCTGGTGGAGTCGTAACTCCCACTTCAAAGTTGTACTATACCTCAGTACCTACCCGACAGCGATTCGTCATTGTTTGTTTGTATTATTCCTTTGAGCTAGTCAAACACTATCAATCGGCACCTTGATAGTATGCAGCGCGATAGAGTTTGTCATGGATGAACCTTCCGAGAACCTTGATGGCTGCGTGCCTTTGTCGTCACATGCGGCTCTTCCACCATACTTAACCTATACACCACCAGTATGCGATTTTGTTAACAAAGAACCTCATACACAATTTTTGGATTGGAAAAAAAAGCGATCAATTCAACGTCTTATTTAATCAGATTATGCTCTCACGCGACACCATGCACGACCTCGAAGACAGTACTCTGCACAGAATCGAGAAAGGGTGGAGTATTGCGATGAACTGTGCGGAAGAGCGGTTGAAACGAATATGCGGCTGGACAGACAATGAGTTTTCCCTCGCTATGCAACAAGGGCTTGTGATGCTGGAGACGGTGTGCACATTCGTACATGGAGGTGTCAAATCAGGGCAATACAAGTATGTCAGATTGCGTGTCATCTTGCGATATTCCTCATTGCTGACTCTTGATGTTCTCTTTTCTAGATTACCAGTCGATTTCTGGAAGATGCTCGTCGCCGAGTATGGCATCGTTGTGTATCCGTCGGCCTTGACAGAGTGTTTAGCTCCCTCAGGGCTGGGTTCGAGCCAGACCTTTACAGAGATATATAGCGAACACATTGGTTTGTCATTCGATTCAAAACTTCTCCTCCAATTACTCATAGATGCTAACCTTGTCTTCTGCAACAGTCATGCTAGGGAAGCGCGATTCCAGTCGCCCGCCATTGTGTCCATTTGAATATCTAAAAGAGCCGTTACCCGTATACGAAAAATAAAAAGGCGAGACTCGCAAACAGCTGGGAATGGTTTTATGATTAAATAGCGGGGGATATATCAGAGTATTTCATCTTTGAGAGATGACAGCGGCAGAGAAGCAACAGGATAGAAGAAATATAGAATCACTCATGAATCCACCTTTTGTCCCATGGCACCATCTCGATTTGCCCTCCAGACGCCCTCTTCGCCTTCGAATTCTTCCTTCTTCCATACCTCTACCCTAGATTTGCATGCTTCCAGGGCCTCCTCCCCGGCCCTCCACGCAGCTTGCCGATGTGGTGACGAGACTGCAATGAGAATACTTTCTTCGCCAATAGGTACGGTGCCTAAGCGATGGATCATAGAGATGCCTTTGAGGCCGTGCTTGCTGAGGATGTCTTTGCAGATGGTCAACATTGTCCGCAAGGCCAGCTTATTATAAGCTGTGTACTGAAGTTCCTTTACTGGCTTCCCGGCAAAGTTATCCCGCGTTGTTCCTATTCAGATGTGGTTAGCGAGAGAGTAGCCGAGCATGAGATATCAGACCGGAACGCTGCATAAGTGAGCTACCAACCTGCAAACAAGACAATGGCGCCGGCCGCGGGACTGCGAACTTTATCTATGGCCTGTTGGATGTTGAGATAATCGTGTGTCAGGCCCACGTAACAGCCGTCTTCAGACATCTCCCAGATGGTATTTGCGTCGTCATCTTTGATATCTCCCATGGCTGGTGGCGAAATACGCTCGGAATTTATGAGTGTTATAGAGGCTGAGACAGATCTCGATGAACAATGAATGATGTCCAAAACAAACGCCGGGCAATTCCAAAAAGAAAAAGACAAAAATAATGAGATGCAGATATAATGGAGAAGATGAGACTGACGATATACAAAGATGAGATATGGGAAAGATTATATACTGGTTATCGTTACGAGATGCCGTTTGCGAAGGTTTTGGAGTGGCGTAGAACACAACAGGTCAGGTACCTTGTCGTGCAGCAATAAATGGCTGGGAGTCTGTGTACCTGCAGCAGAGCCCCTCCTCACAGGCCTTTGGTAAATGCAGCGGCTGAGTAAGCGCCAGCTCTATTAAAGTTCAGCTCTCTGTGCTGCAAAATAAGGTGGGACTTCATTTTGGCTGTTGCAACATCCCACCATGTGACTTCAACTTCGACTTCATCTTGCAACTTCGTTCGACAAGGCCATCGCTGACTCGTTTCCGCTCTCTTTACTTCCTTTTCCTCTACATCATTAATATCATTAATTGCCCCCCTCAGAATCGTGCCTGATTGGCCTCTGTCGTTATGCGCGACGACCAGCACGCACGATCCCCAGACCGGGGCAGAGATCGTGAAGCCAACCGCGACTCTCGCCATGCTCGATCGAGAGACAGAGACAGAGAACGAGACAGAGAAAGAGACTACTACCACGACGATCACCAACCATCGCGGCAGGGTAAAGACACGGCCCGCGCACTCATAGGAGATTGAGAACAGTTACAGGGCTTTTACCTATGGCTGATGAATTGAGCTTGACGGCTAACTTGCCCACGGGACAACGAGGCTATTCACAGTCTCCATCCAGGGACGACGACATGTACGGCAACGCGTGGGACCGGCGCGACCATCACTCCCGGCCGCATCGCCAGCCTCCCTCCGCTGCGCCAGACTACCGAGACGCTCATGACGCGCGCCCGAGGCGAAGCCTGAGCCCTCGTGACTGGAGCCATGACAACCAAGGCAGAATGTATAACGACGACTATCACCGCGGGCGTCATGACCAAGACAGGGGTTACGACTATGGCTCCTCCTCTTCCTACCGTGATAGGAAATCCTACAACTCCCGATCACCACATGGAGATTATTACAGCAGGAGTCGTTCCCGCAGCCCCGCGAGAGAGGGTGGCCGATTGAGAGAGGCAGGGCTGCCCAGTGATACCGTTATTTTCGAAGGGTTGCCTGTTAGGGTAGACGCAATGGAGGTTCGTACTTCTCCGACATTATGTCGAGAAAATATGTGTCTAACGAGAATCTCTGTCCAGTTACGAGAGAGCATTATCCGCGATTGCATCTCCGACAACTACTCTCTTGTCGATGTTCGGATAACGTATTCCAAAGGTATGTATCCCTGTAACTCTAGCTCTTGTGAATGTCCATTCCTAACCCTACACAAAGGAAAACGCCGAGCTTTTATCCAGTTTGAGGAAGTTGATCATGCAGCCGCCTTTGTCAATGAAAACTTTCCCAAAGTCCTCATCACACTACCTCACACGACTGATGAAGTCCCAGATGGCAGAATCAGCGCTTACATCCACTTTGCCCATCGCAGGGAGGACGCAGAAACACGCGCTTCCGGTGCCGGTGGTGGCCAATGGATCTGCCAACCTGTAAGATTCCCCAGACAGCTAGCAGACAGAAACTGTGACTATAGCTAACAATTACCTAGTGTGGCTTCAACAACTACTCTTCGCGCACCAAATGCAAGCGCTGTGGCTCATCCCCATCATGTGCGTCCAATTTGATACTGCTTCTCAATGGCTGGCAGCTGACGTGTAATCCTTAGCTTCGACAATGCGATTAAGTCTGAATCCTGCTGCTGATGCTGCCGATGCGCCTACCCAGATCCTGGTGGTTTATCCTCTGACTGCCTTTGTCAACGAGGACATGTTTGCAACAGACATGAAGCGACTAGAACTTGAAAAGCTTGACCCAGCCAGCCAGAAGCTGGTACCAGGCTCGAAGCTCCAGTCAACTGCCCCAGCTGATCGTGCTGCTCGGACTGGTGCACGCCCGGGGTCGCTCCACCGTGTATTCTTAATGCGCGATCCGAATACCGAAGAGTCTGTCAAATATGGCTTTGCTGAATTTTGGACTCTGCAGGATGCTGTCGATGCCATGGCTAAAATCAAGCTGTTACCATCCTTCACTGTTGCAGCCTGTGCTGTCAACGTGTCTCACATTCATATGGGAGTCTTTGTTCCAGAGGAACGTGAGGTTACTCCCGAGACAGAACGATTTTCCTTTACTCCCTTGTTCAACACTACCCTCCGCGTCCGGTATCGTGACTTGCGAGCCTACCCCAGCCAGAAACTCCTATCTGCTGAGCCTCCTGAGACTATTAATGCGGATGGAGAGCCAAAAGGGGGTGATCCGAATGGAAATAACAAGAAACCGAAGAAGAGAAAGGCAGATGACCCTCAAGGTGCTGCTGCAGCCAAGAGGGCAGTCCCTGCGATGGCTGGTCATATGGCTTTGTGGCAGAAGAAGCATGAAGAGATTCACACAGGGGAGTCTGACGACAAGTCCGCTGCGAAGCAGGCACCTCCCGCCCTAAAGAGCTCAAAGGAAGCGCCCATCAAATTTTCGTTTACTGGAGCATCAATGCAGGCCTCGGGCCCTTCAGCGGTTTCATCAGTCCCAGTCCATCCCGCGCCTCCCGCGCCCTCTTCAGCGCCTCCACCTCCACCGGAGGAACAAAATGGCGACACCATACCTGAAGCCAAGCCTGACGTTCAGGCTAAAGAAGAAAGGCCAATCACCCCGTATGCGGACCGAGACAAGTTACAATGTCTTCTTTGCATGCGTAAGTTTAAGTCACTAGACGAGCTAGGTCGCCATGGGAATGGGCAGCTCCATGCAGAGAAGCTGCTAGATGAGCAGTCGGTCAAGAGCGCGGTAGAGAGGTTGAATAAACGAGGTATTCAGCTACCAAAACAAACTGAAGCTGGTGGTGATTCCGGCGCCGCGGCACCACAATACCGAGACAGGGCCAAGGAACGACGCGAGCAGTGGAACCAACCCAAGAAGCCACCGCCTGCTCCAGCAGACAAGAGCGCTCCAGGTCCCCAGAAAGACCAAGGCAAAGCTCCTGTGCAGGAGAAGGCTCCAGCGCAGTCTAAAGGCGCCGGCATGCTTGCCAAGATGGGCTGGATGTCTGGCAGCGGCTTAGGTGCCAATGCTGAGGGGCGCACTGAGAGCATCGTCACCCATGTGTACAGGCAAGGCGTGGGCCTTGGGGCCGAAGGTGCTAATCTGGGAGATGCGCAGGCTATGGGAGAGAGCAGGACGCTCAACAAGCGCAAGGACTATGTTGATGCCGTCAACGATCGGGCGAGAGAGCGGTTCTTCAACGAGTTTGGAGAGAAGAAGGATGAAGAGCAGAACAGCGAGGACAAGAAAGAGGAGTGAAACGCCGGTTATTGGATGAAAATGTTTCTGGAACATATACAAAGGCGTTTGAAGACTCGAATACACTTCTAGGCAGCAACTAAAATGACTGCTCTCTTTCTCATCTTGTCTCTTTTTCTTCTCTTCTTCGAGATGCGTCTCGAGGATTTGGTTTCTTCAATTCGAAGCTATCTTACACCCTCGAGGCTACTTCACTTTACGAACTGGTCCTTGAGAGCTAGGCAAAGAATCAGATGTAGGATAATTGTAGAGTCAATATCAAAGGATAAATCACAGGTGCCATGTGCTTCAACGTGACTTTAGTGTGCTAGTAACATCACTCGTATATTCATGTGATGGACTTGCTTGCTTGAACCCAAGAAACTAATCGTCTCTACGGTATATCCCCCCAGCCGTTTCGTAAATTTACATTAAGTCTGATATCTCATAGATTCGCTATAACCGCATAAATCATCTCGCCATCTTATTAAAACCCCATTTGCTTTATCGAAAATAGAACATTCCCCATTATGTTAACCCCCCTTTCGGTGGTCATCTGGCCTCTATAGAGCACTCATAATCATGGAGAGAGCCATGACAGCGGTACCTGCCAGAGTAATCGAAAAGGCAGAGCCGGCAGAGTCTTTTGAATTGTCAGAATTGCTAGATTCAGTAGGGCTTCCAGGCTTCGCAGAACTGGAAGAATCTCCAGAGTCTCCGGAACTACCTGGTTCGGTGGAACTAGGGGTAGGTGAATTACCTGAATCATCAGCGCCTGTAGAAACAGGGCCAGGAATTGACTTTGAGCCTTCCTGGAACGGGACAATGTTGCTGGCTGTCGAGTTGAGAGTAGCCTGGGCAATGCCAATCTGCTTGTTCTGCAAGTCGTAGACGACATATGCAGATCGCAAGAAGGTGTCGCCGAGCAAGATGAATTGGTCGCTTGTGATGCCGTAACCTGTCGTTGAGCTCATGCCAAACGTGCAAACTCCGCTCCATCCCTTGAACAAATTGGACAAAGTGGGATCCGACTGGATGTCGTCTTGTACCGAGGCGAGATTGTTGATAACCATTTCATCAATGGGCACCTTGATCGTCTTGTTGGTGAACTGGAAGCTAAAGGTATCCTTAGAGTTTGCCTTGCCGCAATCAACAAAAGGGATGGGGACTCCTCGGATGTTGAGGACGCCGTACTTCTTCCAGATGGCCTGCACAACAGCATCTGGAAGGAGACTGATTGTTGAGCCAGAATCCAGAATTGCACTGCCATTGACGGCAGGGGTATCGACGGCGGAAGCTTTGAACCCATTCAGCTGAACATTGTACATGACGATGTCCTGAGTCTTGGCAATACTCGCGGGCAGGGGCTGAAGAGGGAGAGTGGCGAGGCCGTCGTGGAACTTGTCGGTATCGACACCACCAAAGAGAATGGCACCCTGGCTGGTTTGCAGGTCGTTGAGGTAGAGACTGAATGCCGGCACAGGGATGACATTTTGAGATACCATGTTGTCGATGATGGTGGGATACTTGACGTCGGCCGCGACATTCTCCTGGAAGCCCAGACCCATGATGCCTGTACCACGAACGGAGATGAGGGCCAAGCCGAGCTGCTGGTTCTTGACAGTCGCATTGTTAATAGTAACTGTATCCTTGAAGTAAGTGCCCTGAATCCTGCGGCCATCAAGGTAACTGATATCGAAGTCTTCTGTACTCGACTTATAGGATGAACTACGAGACGGATTGACTGTAATAACGTTAGGAGTCAGCGGAGTGATTCACAAGAATACTGGGAAAGTGGTAAGAATAGCTGACTTACATTGTTTGTAACAGAATTCCCCGACTGACTGCTGCACTGATGGTTCTGTGCAGAGATCTGCCTTGACTGAATTGACCCAGGTATCACTGCTACCGGTATCGAGAAGGAAGCTCAGCTTCTGGGGAGGCGTGCCAATGCTGAAGTCGGCATAATAGCCACCCCCAGTGATGTTGTTGAGCGCGTCCAGACTAATACTGCCATCGCGACGGAGTAATGAGGGAGAGGGATCACTGCTGAGATATCGCTTCTCGATGGGGACATGGAGAATGCCTGCAGAAACGGTGCCAGCGGCGACGAGGCCGGCCAGCGAGATGTACTGGGCAGATGAGCGCATTGTGAAGGGCACGAGAGAAGAAACAAACGGAAGAACTGAGCTCAATGCTGTAATGATACCCGAGGAAGAGGCCGAAAGGTGGCAGAGCAAACTAAATTCTCTTTTGTTTGCCTGGTGTCATGGGCAGACGAAGAAGGGCGGAAATTGTTTGGGACTCCTTAGTATTTAAGCATAGATTTAGGAACTGCGGCCATTGCCTGAAGGAGCTGAAAGACCATCATCTCTTCGTTGTGGCCTCATCCCTGCCACTGCATGAGGCTAGAACGACTCGGGGATGGGGAGGCCATGCTTGAGACCCAGCAGCCCTGCCTATGGTCGAGTGGTACGGGAAGGGCCCCATGAGTCTAATTGTCTTGTGCCGTGCGACGACAATAGTCGAGTTGAGAGCTTCAATGAGCGAGACATTCCTCCCCGTGGGACCGTGCCGTGAATCAGAGCTGCAGTAGCTTCGCGTCGCGCCTCTGCTCAATGTCGGTAGCCATTGCCACCCATCAGCAAGCGGCAGAAGAGCAACAGCATCAGGGGTTGTTTCTCAGAGTGAGCGAGTCTCGATCACCGTCTCGAATTCTGCCAGAGCCGCAGCTAGCTCGATAGACGGGGCAGCGTAGCATGGCTCCTAAGTCTTGGCAAATCCTCCTGGAGCTGAAGCGCCACGTCGATCTGGCTAAGCAGCAAATTGACCGGAAGCAATTTTCCGCCCTCGTGCGAAAGAGCCAATGCAAAGTAGCTAGGCGTCCGTCTTAGCCCAGGCGTCTATTGGGTTGAACGTGCTTTCGCTGCGCCACAACCCCAGGCCAAGCTGCCAAGCTAGGAACAATTTTCGTTTTGCGAGGCGAGTGAGTCAATGGTCGGTTGGTAATTGTAGCTGCCCAACTTGGCGATGGACTGCTTTGAGGTTTGTGCGTTATCGTACTTGTCCTAAAAGGGTATATGCCGATTGAACAATGAACGGCGCCTTATGCGGAAAAGAAAAGAGAGAAATGAAGAAGAAGAAAAATCTGCAGTTAGGGGGAGAAGGATTTTGCAAAGGACATTTGCTTGGGGGTTGTGTTGCCTCGGTGTCGGAATATGGCATTCCGTACCTTCCTCAAGAGAGGTTGCGGAACTGCGCCTCCATTTGATAGTACATTGAACATGTATACCTACAGCAGCACTTGAATTGTTACACATGGAATAGTATTGGCTTCCAAGTAAACGAGGCGAAATGTTCACATGGTTTATGCAAACACATTTTCGTTGCTATTTTTGAACGGATGGGCTGTTCGGCTACTGCTGCTGCTAGATCCTAGCCTGTGCCGATGGAGTGTAGCTGCGGCTGAATCTGCCTCATGTGCTGGGCAGACAGATTGAGACTAACGAAATGCCGGTTCTCGGCGCATTGAGGCTGAATACATGTATCTAGGATGCTGTATTGGCTAACGAGTTGGATGCTGGATCATGTCTCAGATGCTCCAGCTCAGAGAGCCGTACGAAATGATCAGATACATGAACTTTGCGGCTATCGTGCATTACAAGTCAAGGTCTATGTGAACATGCGGATAAACTTTATTATGATTTTAATACGTTAACAGCATTCTTCTATTCCATTCAGAACGCTATCACTTGTTGCTATATGAAAAATACAACAAAGTAGATGAACAAACGCCTTGATTCAGTCTGGGTATCTCATCTCAACCCTGCCCTTCCAAATACGCAAAGAAAAAAAGGAAACAAAAAGGCTCATCATGTCTAATGTCCGAGACTGCGACCAGGTGCTGGAAAGAGATGCGTGTAGCTAGGAGGAGGAAGCTCGGAGCCTTCACTTGTCGGATTATCCCTCCAGTACTGGAAGCGCATTGCCGGGCGAGTGATCTCAGGTGCTGTCAACTTCCAAAAGTCCTTATCATACGGCTTATCCATAAACAGAGGCACCCTCGGAGCATGCCTCTCTCCATCTTCATACCCATTCGCCCAGACAATCGTGTAAACCCTCGCCCGCTGCGTAATCTCAGACCAGCTCACAACATTGGGGTCATATGAATCCGGCCCGAGCAAAACTGCAGTAGCCTTTGCCGCGTAATACACATCTTGCACGAGTTTCCCCTCCCAGGTGATGTGACCTGGCTGAATAGTCATGTGCGAATAATCAATGACGGTATCCCACTGGAACGACGTCCCGGGATCGTGCAGCCTCGAGAAAATCTCCCGGACTTTTGCTAGATCGCGGCTGGCAGTTTGGAGGCCCCAGAATCTTCGGACGGCCAGGGCGTCTCTGAACTTGATCGCCGGCCTGTTCCTATCGAAAGTCTCAGCGTTGGCGTAGTGAGCCTCGATTGTCGACATGCATTTATCACACCAGCCGATGAGAAGTTTGAGAACTGTTGGTGGTTTGCTAGTACATGGCTTGTAGTCTTCTGTGTGTTTGATTGGGCGTGCCTTTGAGCAGTGGACGTACTCGTTGCGGGACCAACACATGCAAACAGTGTAGTGGCATTTGGCGAGGCGACACATGATGGATGTTTTGATGGCGATGATGTTGAAATCGAGGAATGAGAGTGGTTGGGGGAGAGGTTTTTGGTTGTTGGTAGTGAGATGCTAAATAGAGACGGATGATTTTGGCTGTTGGTGGTTGCATGTAGACCGAGATTCAGAGGCTCTTATGATAAGACAGACTGGACATGAAACGATATATGAACGAAGTGGGGGCTTTGTTTTGTATAACAAAACTGAACAAAATACAGTGTTGCGTTGGTGAGTATATTCTAAACCCAACAGTTTATTGTTAGTTTGAACACGGGCTTGTTGTCAACCCAAACAGTTCATGTATGTAGCTCTTGTAAACTTGAACTCAAACAACATGAACAAGCAAGCCACCTAAAAGTAGCCAATTAGAAATGTCTAGCAGTTCGAATTTGAACCCAAATCTCGTTCCTTTCCACGCTGTACAAAAAAACGCCATGATCCTCCCATGTTCTTTATCCCAATTCAAAGAGGTCTCTCCCGTTGTTCAAATCTTGGACCCCCTCTCGGCCTCGTCCTGCTGCAACCGAACAACACCCTGTTTCGTTTCAATGTCAGCCTTCGCTCATTCATCATTCATCATCTTCACCAAAACGATCAAACAAACGCAAAGAAAAGACTCACCTCCTGCACGCAACTCGCCAACAACGTCCCATCCGCCGCATAAATCCGCTGCATCACAAGCCCCCTCCCATCCCCGCTCCACGGGCTCTCCATCTCCGAAAACATCCACTCGTCCGCCCTCACCCGCTTCGGCTCATGAAAGTAAATGCTGTGGTCCAGGCTCACCAGCATCCCGACCCGCGGCCTCCCCGCCCAGTCCTCCAGCCGGCTGCCCATGCCCTCAAACTCGAGAAACTGCCGCATCTTGTCGCCCTCAGCATCAGGTAGCTCGGCGACCTGCTCGGGCGTCAGGCCCAGCCGCCACAGCCGGTGGATGCGCGACACCGTGCCGATGAAGTAGCTGTCCGAGACGTAGGCCAGCGCGTTGAGATGCGCTTGATGCCCTCCCGCCGCCGAGATCTGTCCTCGGCAGCGATGCCACTGTCGGGCTTTTCGCTGGTCCGGCCGGGCGTCGGCGTCCTTGAGCTCGATGCGCCGGCTCTTAAACGGCCCAGCCCGGTCCCAGAGCGCGTCTCCCTCCGTGTCCCAGCTCGGGTCCGGCATCTCGACGTCGGGCAGCGCCGCCGCGTGCTGGATCTGCTTTGCGCCGCCGCTGTTCTCGCGCACGAAGCTGATGGTCGTCGTGAAGATGCAGTTGCCCTTCTGCCGCGCCTGCACCGTCCGCGTCGCAAACGACCGCCCGTCGCGCACCCGCTCGACGTGGTACATGATGGGGATCGTCGCGGAGCCAGCCAGCAGGAAATAGCAGTGGCACGAGTGCACCAAGAAGTGGTCCTGAACCGTCAGCTGGGCCGCGGCCAGGCTCTGCGCAATCACAGCGCCTCCGTAGACGCCTCGCGCGCCGGGGGGCAGCCACAGCGGCCGTGTGTTGGTGAAGATGTCCTGTTGGTAGATGGTCGTTTAGCTCATGATGGCTTCATTGAGGGTTCTCTTCGTCTTCTTCTTACCGGTCCCAACACCGCCAGCGGCGTCACCTCGACCGTGTTCTCGATAGGCGCCTTGTTTGCATCCGGCTCTGGAGGCCGTAGCAGCGTCGTCCGCTTGTCCAACACTTTCTCCGTCCCCTCCAACTTGGTGTCTTTATCGCTGCCACTCATCTTTGTATTGTCGGTTGGATTTTTTTCAAAGGGGGTTCATATCCAATTGAATAATTAAATCCAAGCAGCTGCTAACCACTATACTTATTAAAAGAAAAAAAAGAGATGAAAAAGAAAAAAAAAAGAATGTCAGTGTTTCGGGATTCGAGTTAAGTCCTCAGGGGGTCTCACTTGACGTCAGGCTCCGTGGAATTGCCTCGGCTCAGCCCTTCCCTCAACCTAACTAACGTACTGCCACTCATACAACCACAACTAACGAACGGAGTACGAAACGAAAACACACGCTGAATCCACTGGTGAATTGACTTTGCCGTTAACACAATCAAGCTAGCCAAAGCCACTAACATGCATCAGCGCCAATGCGTGTTCCTGAACTTGGAGCGAATTGCTTCTCGTGGAAATCAGCATTCATCAGCATAAGAAATTGCCGAGGTTTGCCTCGCTGTCCCGCGGACTGCCCCAGGTTTCCATTGTCTCCACGGAATTTCAGGAGGCCGAAACAGGTAATTGCGGTACATGTAAAATTGCTTTTTAAGAGTAAATGGATAAAGCTGCGGTTAGGTGGCATCATTTGCTTACAGTGCAAGTGTTTTTTTGTTGAGACTCGGGATTGCAGCAACTCCCATGTGAAAGACGCCGTCCGCCGCTCATCACCCGCCAATCTCTTCCCCAACATCTGGCACATGCCACGCCATGTAACGCATGTACGAGTACATACAAATTCTAACAAGATTCAAGAGAATAATAAAGAGTATTTCGGTATAGTACTAATATTGCATACGGGCTACTGCTACTCCTCATCTCATCATCTCATTCCATCATATCCCCCCTCCTGTCTCTCTCTCCCTCTCCCTCTTCCTCTTCCTCTCTCTCCTTAACAAAGTAACAAAACAACTCAGCTCAACCTCAAACTCTAGTGCTAAACTCATACAGTTACATTTTTTCCCTCACTTTTTCTGAGTCTTTCATCTTCCACCGCTATCGTTTACCAAGAAATTCTAAGCAGGTATATCGTCGTATATAGGCTCCAACCCTCCCCACGCAGCCTCGTAATCGCCATCAGGCCCGGCCTTTTCTCGCTGTGTCCAGTACTTGCCGTTGAACTGCCAGTACTCTTCACCCGTGATTTCGCAGGTCGCCTTGGTGAACCATGCAGGGACGAATTCTTCGCCGGCATTTTCACGCATTCGTCGGCGAGCTCGCTGGTTCTCCTCCAGCCTGTTCTTCTCCGTTGCTGCGAAATCATACTCTCCCTCCTCCATGGCGCGCTGATCTGGCCGCAGGCGTGAGTCCGTGGGTGCAATCCATGGCCTCAGCTTGTCGTCGATGTGGTTAAATGTCAGCACAAATGGAGTCAAGTTGAAAGGAATGCCTGCCGGCCTCTCGTTGGCTTGCCAGATGAGGTATGCTCGGCTGGGATCTGCTATGCTACCTCGGTGAACAATATCCTTGTTCTTCGTTGAGGGTTCGTCAACAGCAGCCTCGTAGCCCGGCGTCAGTCGGGCATACAGTCTCGAATTCCATCGCCCGCCGAGGCTCACGCGCACCTGGCCCGAGGCATCCATGACCTTGCCGACGATCTGGTACGCACTCGAGGCCTTCCACCCCCTGGCTTTGAATTCGACCAACGCCACCTCCCCAGTTGTCCAGTTCTTAATCTCCATGGGGCCGTAGTTGTCTACCGTAGGGTTTCCCGTAATGATGCCAACCACTGAAGATGTCACCTTCTTCCATGTGTACAAGTCCTCCTTGCCACCGGCGGTAGGCCTGAGCTTGAGGAACCATGTACCAAGAGGGTTGATGTCAAACGACTTGCCGTAGAACTTTGACTTGACATGCGATTCGCCCCAGTACGTCCAGTTTGGCGACTCTGCCCAGGCGGCGCCAATCGGTGGGTGATGGCTGACCTGCTCAATGAAGAAGCGGTAGTTTTTGTCCGGACGAACGTACTCAAAAGTTTCGCCGAGTAAGGGGTTGAAAGGTTTGGCAACGCGGCCAATCGTGGACGCGTACTCGCTGGCGGCAAATGCGGCCACGTACATGAGTCTTTCGATCGAATCAGAGCGTTCTGCTGCGAGGTCGAGGAGCTCCACGTATTCCATGTCCTCACCGCAACGGTACAGCAAGGACGTAGGCTCGTTGAACGATACAGGCAGCGTCATCCTCGTCATATCCTTGCCAATCATAGACTTGAGAATACCCTGTCCCTACTTGTTAGCCCATCCCGCACGCTCATGCAACCAGCGGCAGCTGCTTCATTAGTTGACGTACCCAGAGAGAAATCTTCGGCCGGTCATCGCTCTCCATTTTGAGCTTATGCCGAATTCCATTTTCATATCCCGAGAATGAGCTGCTAATGTCGATGCCTGAAATGACGACGTCCTTCTTTTCCTGTTTAGTGTCGCTAGGAGGCATCTCGGTGACTTCAACGTCGCCGGCATCCACGGCATCAAAGAACTCGTCTTCCACTCCAGACTCGCTGTCAGACAGCTCCGCCATCTGCTCGAGAGCCGTCGGCTTTCGAGGTAAGCCGCGGGTAGCTGCCTTTACAATGACTTCGACCTCCTCAACCTCTTCTTGTACCCTTTCCATCGTTGGCGTAACGCTGGCGGACGGCAAGGCGCCTTGCTCCATGACTTCTCGCAACGCCTTCTTTGCGAGCTTGCGCTTCATCTCTGATTCACCAACGCGAGCCTCGAGAATTTCCTGCTCACGAGCCACCTGTGCCATGCTTTCCTCCCACATTCGTCGCATGTTGGACTCGCGATCAAGCCGGTACTGCCAAAATGCGTCGCGGTCCTTCGAAATCCGGAGCAGGTCACCAACCAGGGCCGTCAAGCTCCGGATGGCAGCGTCGTATGTAGAGAGGGCCTGCGTCACCTTTGTATCTGACAAAGTCGTGGCAGGACTACGGGTGAGTTCTGCCATAAGAGCCGAGTGGACGCTTCCCATGGTCTCAAGCTGCAGCTTTGCTGATTGCGCCGTAATGTTGAGCGCGTCCTTGGTCGCCTGGGGCTCTTCACGGCCGCTCGTTTCCTCGCCATAGTCGTCGTCGTCGTCTCCGTCGCCTGGTAGGGTGCCAGGGCCAGCGGGATGCTCGTGACCTTGCATCGCATCCGCCTCTGTATAGGTATCTACGAAGTCCTCCTCATCTACGCTGCCGATGCTGGTGCCAGTCATGTCCGACTTTTTGACACTAAGGATCGGGCGCGCTTGTAACTGCGTACTGACACGTCGCAAGTCCGTCATGCTCGTGTTCTCACTGTGAGAGTCTTGCGCAGAGACTGATCCGCTCTGGTCGGCCTTGGCAATTCGAAGAAGCTCAGCGCTGCGAGCTGCTTGGCGTTCTTCTTCCCTGGCTTGATCTTTGGTCCATTGAATGGAGTTGTTGAGGGCCCAAAACCATCGCTTGGCTTCTACTTCGTGGTTTGCCTTGAGCGTATACTTAACAGACGACTTGCCGATAATTTCAAACTTGGTCTTCTCGTCTGGGCTCATGTGAAGCTGAGCAATCTTCATATTGATGGCGCCGCGACATGCCGAGCCAGCATCGTCTTGGTGCTTGTAATAGCTCAGCACTCCATCCTCCAGCACAAACCATCTTAGCTGGTAGCCCTTGCGATAGTTGGTCCATTTCTTCAAGTATCCCTTCATCTCTCGAGCCTCGCGGCCTGCCAGGGGATCAGCGGGACCACCAGTGGTTGCGTTTTGCGAGGCCGCATGTCCTAGCACTGCTTTCTCTTGAATTCCCCTCTGAGCTGCCACGGCGGCCGGCGACTTTTTCAAAATGGCCTTGACGTTGTCATCATTGGTAATTGACTGGGGCAGTTTGCCTTTTCGATCGCGGCGGAAAGGGTCGGCACCGTGGAGCAGAAGCACCTGGATGAGCTGAATGTTCTTCTTTTTGGCCGCCTCATGAAGCAAGGTGCCTCCAGCCTGAGCAACGGCCGGGTCGCTTACAAACTCGGTGCTGTTGATGTCGAGCATCGTCTTCAGCCGCTGCTCCTCCAGCACCTGAGCAAGGGTATCATAGTCGCTCTTGGCGATGAGGTCCTGGATTTGCTGTACTTTGGTATCTGTGAACATGGAGCGAGAAAGCTGCAGAAGCTGGAAGATCTCGGGGGTTCGCGCCAAGTCGATGGGCAGCTTCCCTTGGGAATTTGCAATGGCATCGTTGATCTCCTTCTGCTCCAGGAGCAGCTTGACTGCCTGGGTACGGCCGTGCATGGCGGCAATGTGCAGCGGGGTGTTGCCATCTTTATCTCGAGAATTCACATCCAAGCTGCCAAGACCGTCGGAGAGAACGTATTCGATAACAGGGAACTCGGCGCACTGCATGGCCAGATGAAGTATGGTGGTATCTTCGAGCGCTCCAGCACTGGCCCCGCTAAGCGACGACATGCTCGCACGTGGGACGCCGTCCGCCGTCTCTCGAATGGCCTTTGAAATGGACGCCGTGTCCCCGCTCCGCAGGGCCTCGACAACCCTAAATTTGCGTACCGACTGCTCGAGGCTGCCGGTCTTGATATCCTGAATAGGGGAGCCCTTTATGCTTGCAGCGGTCTGGTTGTTGGAAGGTGTTCTGCTCAGAACGGCCGACGGTGTCGACAGCCGCGAGCTGTGGCCGCGGGGGGCTGACGTAGCATGCTTCGGAGGAGATGCATGGCTACCTGTTGTCGACAATCGATCGTCTTCAGTTCCGGATTCGTCTTCGCGAGTGTCCTTGCGACGCAACAGCGACAACGCCGCGGCGGACTTGGACCGCTTGTGGTGGTTGCTGTAGCCACATCAACCGAGTCAGTCAACCCTCCAAGTCCATTAATTGCTCCAACAGGGCTCGACGGCAAAACAGGACGCGGCGATGGTCGCAAACAAGAAAGAGACGTTGCAGCAGGCAAACGGACAAAGACGGTGATCAAAAATCAGAGGCTGGTCGACGTACCTCTCGCCCACGTCCGACATGCTGGGCTACATGCAATTGTTCGCTCGTGTTCGGGGGGGTTCGTTGGTATGAGTTGCAGCTGAAGGCAGCCCCCAGCCGCCAACGCAGAGGCTATTCCGAGTAGCTCGGAGCAGTGGTGAAAGAAAGCGTCGATAGCGGTCGAGATAGTTGCAGGAAGAGCCGATCAAGCCAGGGCTGCATGTGAATTGAAGAGAAAGGAAGATAATGCAGCGTGGGAGATTGGTGGTGGAGAAGTGGCATGTACAAGAATGGACCAGGCCTTGCCTTGGTCTGAAAATGAGGGATGATGTTGCACAGGTGGCTGAGCTGGCCTTCTAGTGTCCTGAGGCGCTGTAACAGACACTGTAGCGGCTGCTGCAGCGCTCTCTGCACGGCACAGTGCCTGGCTTGCCTGGATCACAGCACTAAGCTTGCTGTAATTCGTAGCTCCGAGCAACAAGGTGCTGCACTCGGAATGACGTTTTTTTCTCCAAGCGAACTAGCGGGCATCGAGCAGCGGGGCGCTTAGTCATGTCTCTTTATCAGCTTCCTTTCACGGGCTGGCTCGATGCATGATGCCGCAATGGATTTAATCTATTGATACCGAGGGGTCCGTAATGTGCTTGTATGTACATGCAAGTATTGTACATGAACCCGGACTGCAGCGGATTCTCTGACTTCTAGTATCATTCATCTCTAAATGTCCATTTCTTTGATTTAAAGGGGACAAAAAATTGTGACAAAGAGTTCGAAGGCAACAAAGGTGTAGATCTTTTCTGGCAGGATTCATGTGATGGCCACTCTACGAGTCATAGCCCTCCAAAGCGTGTATAAAGTACATGTACAGTGCGTGGTTCTTTCGTCAAATGTTCGACATCAATCCCCTCTCCCAACTATGCGTATTCACAGCGTATTGAGCGTATTAATCATCCATCGATCCTCAGCCTACGTACGTTCTGGTGCAGTACCCTTTCGTCAGGTGTTATTCGAGAAGCAATTCTCTCACGACCATCATAATCGCCATTCCTTTGTCTCTTTGTTTCCTTGGCACAGACGTGCATGCATTGTTAAACACACACATACACGTACATATGAACCCCGGTTAAGTAGCATCTGAACATCCATCCAACCTCGTTTTAGCTCAAAGGAATGTCATTGCTTCCTTTCTACACCAGTATTTCATGAATCCGTCTTACACGGGAGCCTTCATCGAAGATAACGATACATGTTATGGCGATTCTTCAACATTTGACACTGATTCACTCAGTGAACGATCATATCAGAATGGTCGGAGATGGCTTCATGTTCAGGGAGATATCGCCGGTAACGCACATATTTAACCTTCTGAGTGCGCATGCAGAGAGACTCAATCTCAACACCAGACAGTCTCAACATAAAATTTTGCATCAGCTGCCAATCCTGTGACCTTGACGAATGAGGTGTAAAGTGTCATCCGCTCCAGTATCAACTCTCGCTCCAACTTCACACACTAGCCATCGATATCCTGTCCGGTTCCCAGCCGAAGTCATCAATCGCATCTTGTTTAAGCGTCATCCAAGTCCCATCTACTTTCACCTCCTCGTCGAACCCAACAGTGGCCCTTTACAATCATCTTAAAAAGAGTGTCAACGAGTAAGAGATTTGCATCTCTCACAATGTCAAACACGGCCACTTGGACATATTCATCACACTGTTTCGTCTAACGATCAGGAAATTGTGAAGCAAATGCTTGAAGAGGCTTCGATCAACGCCAAAACGTCTGGTAAGAAACCGACAGTTGTAAAGCACGCACTGCGGTCTCTATAGAAGGTATGGATCAGTTGGTGTGTAAGCAACGGTCATATTGACATCTCACGTCAATTTCTGTGCGTGGTCGGCATTGCAAACTATCTCAACAGAAGAGATAGTTACTTCGACAATTTAATGCTTCTGGCAGTCAAAGATCAGAACATGGCCTTGACGAGATTCTTGCTTGGGAATGGCGCAAGCCCAGATATTACTGACGACGATACATGGTCAAGATTTATCCCCAATCACCGCTCCTAAACCTCAACATGTGGAATTTTATGGGTCAGACGGCCCTTCATAGAGCCCTATCGAAAGGTAAACCTCATATCGCAGAGTTACTGCTGACATAGAGTGGCTATCTAGAAGAACACAAAGACGGTCATGGGAAGACGCCACTGATACTATGTCTTACTAAAATAGCCAGCCTCAAGGACATGACTCCGTCATTCCCACCTTCAAGCAACTACTGGTTGCCAAAGGAGCCTACCCGCAAGCCTTCAGCAAGCAAGATGAGACTGTTTTGAAGGACGTACTCGACAAATATGATTCGGCTTTCTAGCAAGAGCTAATAGAACAGATGGAATCATAATGACCGACACCATTTATGAGTTTAAGCGCTGAGATAGAGGGAGGAGATGCTTTGTTAATTTCCAGGTTGCCATTCTTTATGCGCTGTTGCTTTAGAGGCTACTTTAACGATTGTTTCAGAGGGTATTTTAGAGATCGCTTTAGAGGCTGCCATTTTTCATGTACACGCCTAGATGGGATTTGCCGCATTTTTATCATAGAGAAACAATAATTACACACTTCACATCAACGCCACAAGTCTCAAATGTTACAGCTTCAGCTAATGGTAATAGTTTATAGAACAATTATATTAATACAAGAAGCCTTCATCGCTGATAGAATCACTTCATCAGCTAAGCAGAAATTAAGTGCGCAAATCTTTCTCTCCGACAAATACGTCCGTCTATAAAAAGACAACCACGGAAATTATACATCGTTATTTGGAAGCAGCCTCAATGCCATATGGCGCCAGAACCTCCAAAATTTCCTTCCAAACCTTTGCTTGCAGCTTTTGCCCCTTTTCATTTGTAACTAGTACTCCGGGTCTATAAAGTAATATTAGTCAAAGTCCACAAGAGTTATTCCATCAAAAAAATAAACACGTTCAGGGGCTGCCTTACTCCGCCATTCTATCCTTGTGATACCATAATCCATGGCTCTGGACGCCAAGACCGGTCGCAAAGACTATTGTCCTGGATCCTTCCTCCGTCGTCTTGCAAATCGTAGCCTGGATGACGGCAAGCCCAACCTTTTTTCCCATAGAATCCGCTTCCCGCGCCAAGTCCGACTTACATGCCCCCGGACATGAATAGTTCACCACGACGTCTGGTTCATTTCGAGGCGAGAGAGCAAGCTTCGCAATCTCCCTAACCGCATAAATGATAAGCAGCTTGGAAGTGCAATATCTGATAGGCGCCTGCCCAAAATTTTCTTTCTTGTTCAGCGCTTCTATGCAGTTGGGCGCATCCTGCCAAGATGCTCCCTCCGACACTAACTGGTGCCCTCTTGAAGCGACAATGCTTAAACACGGCTTCCAGTCAGGTCGTGATGATTGCCGCATCTTTGGAAGTAATAGCAAAGCCAGAAGCGTCGTCGCCAGAGTATTCACTTGCAGGGTTTCTTCCCAGCCATCCTTTGTAAGTCCGAATTGAGCTTTGTCGACGGCAGCATTAAGCAAGGCAATGTCGATTGATGAAAGCTCTGTTGTGGCGCGGTCCGCAAATGCTTTAACAGATGCAAACGATGCTAAATCAATAATCCAGACATCAATGACGCATGCTTTGGCTGCTTCAGGACTCAGGCTAGAGGTGATATTCCGTTTAGCTTCATCGCCCTTGTTCTGTGACCGAACGCCCAGGATGACTCGAGATGCCCCTAAATGAGCGTAATGTCGGGCAGCTTCGAGACCAAGACCAGCGCTGGCACCTATGACTATGACAGTTTTGCCTGGAATGGGGAGGTTTTCAAGAGACTCGAGGCTGGGGTACGACCAGCGGTTTGTCATTAAACCCCAAACCACATGTGCAGCGCTCATTGTGAACTAAGAAGAGTTGTGATGAGTCTGTAGAACTTCGGTAATAAGTAAATGGAATGAAATTTGAAGTATGTGATTCGAATGATGGAAATGTCAGATCAAACACTTGAAGAAACGTATAAGTTTCAGAATGTTGGTTTCTCTCTTATATGGTTTCTAATATGTCGAGAGAAATGTGTGTAAGTTTCCATGATGAGTTCCAGTTATTCCAGCGAACGTAGGCGCCTTTATATATTCGTAGCTTTCAAATCACGATGTAAGTTGAGTTGTCTTGATTCAATGCTTCAAATGAAGATGTTAGAGTTAGAATCCGTAAATGTCCATTCAATACCAAATTCTTGGAGTATCGTATACCGCAAATGGCAGTCTTCGTCATCCATCTCTTGTTCAATATACAGATAAACTCCCACCGATTCGCCCTCGCCTCAGAACGTCTTCAAGCTAAGCCTCAACAGGCATGGTGTTGTCATTCGACTACATTAGCGCCAGCCCTCTGAAACCCCACCAGCTTTCCCAATTTGGTCATCTCCAGTCAGCAGGAGACATCGAAGACAAACTGATGACCTTCCACACTCCAGATTCATCCTTCTCCTATCTACGGAATCCTCTTCCGCGTTATTTTCCTGGAGAGAATCATTGGTCTAACTCAACATATACATACGATGGCTACATTTCAGAGATTTCGTCTAGTACCTCTACGGGACGAGGTGAGTCTACTTCATGTGGATCGGACAAGGTTGGCCAGAAGCTGAATCAGGAGGCCCAAGCAGAAGCTGGATGAAAAGGACGACTGGTCTGGGCTCAAGGATGCTAAGGAAAGGAGGAAAAGACAAAATAGGCTCAACCAGCGGGCTGCTCGTAAGGATTCCTTTCCCGGTCCCTCTTTTATTTAAACTCTTGCATCGGAGAATTGACCCGGTATCCGATCCAGGCCGGCGGCAGAGATTGAATCTTGCCCAGGAGCACGAATCAGAGACGACAACAGCCGTGCTCCCAGCAGCTTCTGCAGGCGAGCGCGGGAAGCCTGTAGTCCCTTCTCATCAAGTTTATTTCCCGCTTACTCCCGATCACAGACTGCTCTACGTCATTGTTCTCAATGTCTCTAGAGCAGTCATTACAAACTTCTTCATCCTAAGTAGCATCTCGCCGATAGCCTCCACGATGTGCGACGTCCGCCGTACCTTTTCGCTTAGCGACCTTAAACTCGCTCCTCAAAATCTTGATGGCACTCCTGCTATCCCCCCAGCATTTACACCTACGAGACTCCAGGCGGAGATTCCTCACCCAGGCTGGATTGACCTTTTCCCATCGCCTCAGCTGCGTGACAATCTTATCCTCGCGGTAGAGGAGTTTAATGTTGATGAGGACGAAATACTACAAGACTTGATTGGGGATATCTTCGCAAGCATTGGTTGTACACCAGATGACTTTCGTGCTTCACCAGATGACAGTAAATCGACGCCAGACAAGGAATCGTCGCCAGTCGTCGAGTTGGATGATGAGATTGAAGTTTCCACGCCGCCGCCTACAACAGTAGGAATGACTCCATTGCAAGAGTACCGGTTAAGGACCTTTACTCCTGCGAGCTCGAGTTCTACAGAGCTCGGCATTCTCTCATGGTCAGATCCATGGGACATATCCGGGTGGGAGTTTACGGAGAAGTTCTTTACCAAATGGGGATACTTGCTGCAAGGATGCCCAGATGTGCTCAACGCCGCCAATAAATGGAGGACGTTGCGTGGTGAAGATCCTCTGGTCCCTGTAGAGATCTAGCAAAGGGCTACAGTCGAAGGAGGACTGGGGATATGCCATGGGTTATGCGCAATTGAAATTAACAACAGGCGGTCTACAGGCGTTTTGGAGATGAGGTGCTGAACAAACAGAACAACAAATTACTCGTATTTACAGAAACGATAGATTGCTCTCCTCTTATTTTACGTAGCTGTCAGGAAACAAACGATTTTCTCATTTTTAGGTTCCAAAATGACCGCTCCATCAACTTGCAATCTTAGGGATGAGAGAGAAATAATAGAGATACGGGCTTTTAATATAGTATGAATTAGTTATAGTATTTGTTTTGATGTCTACCATAGTTGAGGTGCATTATGTAGGTTAGGTCAGTTTCGCACATCGAGTCATGTCGCTGACTTTCTCCTTTTGCTTAATGCCCACAGCGTCAACTTGCAACATTCGAGATCCCGATTGATAGGCCTGTAAACATTCCAGCGTCTTTAATTCTAAAAAAGATATAGACTGTGTCCAAAATTACTACAGCCAGTGCTAATTGAAACGGTAAACTGCTGCTACAAGCTCTGGAGTAGACGGTAACAAAAAAAAAATGGAAGTGGAGAGTTAGGAAAAAAGAATGCCCACTATCAGAGTCGAACTGATCACCTTGTCATGTCAAGTATTTACTAGTGACACGCTATACCGCTTAGCCAAGCGGGCAAAGAGGTTTTGATGCAGGCTGCTCTGTCAATTTAACTTATACATGCTTGACGAGCGAGCTACCGTCGGATTTAGCGAAGCTTCATTATTCGGCAGAGGTAGTTGGTTTAAACCTCTTATTGATCGACAATAGCCCCCTCCTACGAAACAGCCGATGCAAGCGAATCTGACGAAATCTAAGCACCCGAATAGTTGCAGCCTTAAAAACTACCGGGCTGGAGGGCGCATCAATTTCCTCGTGATTTGCAAGCGCCGTCGGTCCGAGGAGATGCCACGCCTCTAGCATTAATAAAGCGCCGCGCCAATATACGAACCATGAGCCCACTCCGACAGACTATTGCAGGAGTCGGAGCAGCAAGAGCAGATTTTTGGGCATCGGCAGTTGTACTGCGCGCGTAATATGTTTCCGCGGGCACCAATGGCGAACGTTCAGGGGCAGAACATGCTTGGAATGGAGGCATCTGCATGGTGATGGACGGAATAGCTTCATGGGTAAAGTGAAGTATAGGACTGTACTCGCGGAGTACAGGTACTTGCGAGGAACAATCCAGGGATTCTTCAATGGATGATTACTCTAGGATCAGCGATTTACGTAGAGATAGCTCCAAACAGTCTGTTTGATGAGAACAACAGTCGGATGTCTCTGCCGACGGTGGACCTGATAGCTTTGGAGTTGACGGTTAGAAATGGCTCTCGGAAAGAGTTCCGTTTTGGCGAACCTGACTTTTAACGGCAAGCGATGCGCCATCTCTCGGATCAACTTAAATGAAAGTTCACACCCTCATTCTTTCTGACGTCTGCACTGCTAAATAGCAACTACTGTCAGCTGTCAAAAGACGGCCCATCATGTTGTCCATCTATACCGGCAAATTAGCGCAGGCACGGCTTAACTCGGAGGTTTGAGTAGCGCCGACGCAGGGACCAAATTTTTTTTCTCTCAGATCTAGACCCTTGAGTGGCCAAAAGCTGGCACCCATTCAATTCCTAGTGTTACTTTGATAGCAGAGGCAGTTGATAGCAAGCTGCTCAGTGCCTGTGCTCGTTCGCCGAATGAATTCCGTAATTGCGACGGAAAGGCTGTTAGACCTTCCCGGGTAGGCGTTACAAATCCGAACTGCGTCTCGATGCCGCAAGTGGCACCTGAAAAGTAAAAAGTGAAAAAAATCGTTGCATCATGGAAGCGACGTCTGTGAATTGCCTCCTTCCTTCGCGAATCTCGCCATTTGTCATTTGAACAATGGCTCTCTTCATTTCATCTGACGCTCTTCATTCATCTCCAGCTCTCTTATCTTGACTCACGGGATGGTTGCACCGACTAAAATAATTTTGCGCAACAAGGATTCTTCACCACAGCAAACAAATTGCGTGATCACCCTATCAAGCTACTGTATCTGTCTTTGGAATCCTGCCAGCGGCCATCTGAAAAGCCGCTCTTCACTCTTGCCCGCTGTCTGTATCCTGGATCAACGGGTGAGTTGAAACGGCAAGGGAGAAGAAGAGAAGAAGAACAAAGAGAGGAATCCAGCAGCACATCCTGCGACATGCAGAAACTGCTGCTTTTCGGCCACGGCGAGGGTTCCGTTGATGGAGACGAGATCCTCAACGAGCGCGCCGTCTTCCACCATACCCACCACACATGGGCGCGCACCTTTTCCTGCCTCCCAGAGCTTTACATCCAGCCCGAATCGCTGGAGGAAATTGAATGGATGGTCAATTATGCGCGAAAATGGCGCAAGCGAATCACGACCGTGGGATGCGGACACTCGCCCTCTAACATTACCTGGACCTCGCACTGGCTGGTCAACTTGGACAAGTACAACAAGATTCTCTCGGTGGACGATAAAACCGGCATCGTGGTGATGCAGAGCGGCATTCGCCTGTATACGCTATGCGAGGAACTTGAACGCCACGGCCTGGCCATGCCGAATCTCGGCAGTATCAACCAGCAGTCAATTGCCGGTGCCATCTCGACGGGAACCCATGGCAGCAGTATCCGCCACGGCCTCATGTCCGAGGATGTCCTCGCTCTCAAAATCACCCTTATCGATGGCACCACCAAGTCCTGCTCCAAGGATGATAATCCCGAACTATTCCAAGCCGCGCTGCTCTCTCTGGGTTCTCTTGGCATCATCTCTGAAATCACCTTCCGCGCCGTCCCAGCCTTTAGCCTCAAGTGGAAGCAGACCATTGACTCTGATTTGCGAATGTTCAACGCCTGGCAAAAGGACTTGTGGACTCAGAGTGAGTTTGTGCGGGTCTGGTGGTTCCCTTATACACGCCGGGCGGTAGTCTGGCAGGCCGAGAAGACGGAAGAAGAACATCGCGAACCCCCGGTGAGCTACTACGATGGATCTTTGGGCTATTACGTCTATCACAATCTGCTCTACCTGGCCCAGTATGTGCCTCGCATCCTTCCGTGGGTTGAGTGGTTCGTATTTGGTATGCAGTACGGATTCGCCAACGGTTCCACAACGACAGCTGTCCAGCCAAGCCGCAAAGCCCTGTTGATGAATTGTCTCTATTCTCAGTTTGTCAACGAATGGGCGATTCCCCTGCACAAGGGCCCAGAGGCGCTTCGCAGACTCAGCTCGTGGCTCAACCAACTCACGCCCAATGACCCTGACTATGTGCCACACAACATTCCCTTCTCGGCCGAGGGCCTCTATGTTCACGCGCCAGTTGAAGTTCGTGTCAGTGATACGACTCTTACTTCAAACGCACGGCCTTATCTTGACCCAACTGTCAAGGATGGCCCGACGTTGTATCTCAACGCAACTCTGTACCGGCCTTATTGGCACGATCCACCATGTCGGGAACGTTACTATCAGGCATTCGAGTGGCTGATGAAGGATATGGGCGGCAGGCCCCATTGGGCCAAGAACTTTGAAACCTATAGTACCGAGATTGAAACCATGTATGGCGGTGACCTGGACAAGTTCAGACACATACGCGATGTTGCCGACCCAAACGGTCACTTCCTCGGGCCTTGGCATAGAGACCGCATCCTGCGCCAGGATGCTTGGTATGACTTTGAGGAGAGACTTTAGGAAGATGAATCCTCTTGCGCGTCCTCCTCTTAAGACAGGGATTGTGATTTCGGCCGAGTCTGGGCAACGCTGTGGCCCTGCAAGGCGGCAACTCTGGGCGATTCCGTGGGGGGTTTCTCAACAAAGGAACGGTTTAGCATTCATTCGGTGTAGCACCATTATAGACCTGGGCGGCAATCCTTCATTAGGCTATGTAAATATTTTCCTTTGGGCCGAGATGATGTCTCTTTTGGAGTTGGAGACGTCTGTAGTAGAATAGGCCCAGCACAAAATACATTTAGAGTTGTTATACCCCTAGCACGTTGGTTATCTGCTAGGCACAGTGGCTTGGTAGCTCGATTCATACAAATCAGGCAAAAATACTGGATACTGTCAAGGGCCATCACATGCAGGGACGACCAAATCCGTGATGGAGGCTAAAGACCCGTTGGTCTTACCTGCCGCATTGATGAGGGAGATCGTCAAGGAACCACATGGTCCGTAGTTGCGAGTAGTTGGCTTGCCGCATTCATGGAGCATAGGCGCCGCACCCCTTGACCGAATATCTGAGCAGTAGGCTCACAATATCAAGACTTTGATCCAAGTGCTGATCCTAAGGACTAACAAGCAATATACTCGTAGCTCCATGTGAGAACAAGACCGCCGATTGGACGCGCTTATCACGGCGCAAGGGTCCCTTTCATGTTTTTTTGTCTTATATGCCGCCCGTGGACCTCTTTAGTACAGTTTTTACCTGGGGTTTGATTCCTAGCACGAGTTTACGCTCGTATAAACGGGAAAATGGAACTTACTAGTATATGTATGTATGTCATCTGCAGCAAGCAAGCATGGGATGAAAAGCAATCCTTCGCCTAAAAAAGAGAGTCAGACAAGCTATCTCTATTTTTTCTTCTTCTTTCTCCTTCCTTTTCGTTGCCGTTAGTTCCTCGCCTCCGAGCCTATTTCACGTTTCGAAGGATTTTTCTGCTTGAGCGAGAGCCGCCGCTCCTCCCCTCCCCTCGGGCCGTATCCTACTGTATGTATGCTTATATGCCTTACTACTATATACCTTGTAATATACAGTAGTATGTGTGAACTTACTCGTGCTCTGTCTCTATGTGGTTTGCCACGGACCCCATTCTTGGCACGAAATTGCGCCTTTGGAAGGGGAGGGGGGTTAGATTGACCTACCCTAGAATTTTTCGGGCTCCTCTCCGCCGCCCTACCTAATACAGGGAATTGGTGGATCTTTTTTACCTTCAGATATGGTTCGTTTTTCTTCTTACTATTACTGTAAGAGGCTGGCCAATCAAATAGCTTCAAGGATCATCCTGACAAAAACCTCCAAATTCAATAAGAAAGTGTCCGAGTAGTTACTCGTATGGACGAGTGTTAAAAAGGGAAAAAGGTTCTTCATGCTCTTCCTGATTGGCGCGGAGAAACTTTTCGCTTTTTCTTTTTGATAGAGCGGGATAAGGGCAAGGAGAGCAAACGGGGGAGGGGTGGCGTTGAGTGAGCTGCCATTGGACGTTTGGGGGCTGAAGACGGAACAAGTGACAGGCTGCGTGTCCCCCTTGGCCTCTTTCTCCTTCTTCTTGTTTCTTCAGTTGTTACACAAGTAACGGGCCAGTCAGGCTGTGTGTCCTTGGACTTGCGTGTATGTTCCATGTATGATGAGAAGGTCGCATCTCGGGGGCTTACGTACTATGGATATGCGAATGCGAATCCTACTAGGGGGCACTTTGTATAGGTTGTGCCGCTGATGTGCGTGCGTGCCCTTTCTCGACAAGTTTTCTCACGACATGCCTTGGCAGCACCCTCTTTTGGGTGCAAAAGGGCCAGGAAGGGGTCTTAACAGGACACCCTTCCGATGAAGCTCCCCTTGTCTGGCCGTTTATCTGTTCTTTTCTCTCTCTCTTGTCCCTGTTGTCCCTCCCTTTCTCTCTTGTCCCTTGATTATAATCTTGCAGTTTTTTTGCTGCCCAATCCCTGGCGACCGAATCTCGGCACATGCAAAACTCGGCCACCAAAACAGACATTTGGCGTAAAACCCGGCAACAAAATCCGTAGTCGTACTGTACATGGCTGGTTCGGTAACTTTAGCTGCAGCATATCGGAACTTCTCCGAAAATGGTCCCTAGGCCGACCGTTTTGCTGCCTGCCAAGTCGTGATGCTGATATCCTAGATACAGAGCCTGCATACTCTTGATGCGCAGATTCATATAAGTAGTATAGTATAGGTCGTCGGAGGATTTTGCATCCTTCCTGAGCCAGCAAGGTATGCTAATTACAGCATCAACAGCGAGGATTCGGTGGCCCTGACCTAACTGAATACAGGTACGTCTCGTATAAAGAGCGAATCTCCATTGCCATGGCCCAATATCGCTCAGGTCCAGAACCGTCAACGACGTAGCTGGGTAGGGCCTAAACCTGTGTAGCGTCTCGTGATGCCTACCGCATCTGTGCCTGTGCCTTTAGACTGGGATGCAAGTCAAGAGATATTGGCTGAGGGCACAGATTCATCAACGCTTGCAAGTCGGTGAAGTTGCTGTTAGCCCTGTCTGTCGGAATTGCCCTGCATTGCCCAGGGTTATCCACGGGTAGTCGGGCAAAGGTGGATAACGGAGCTTAGTTCCAGAAGCGCAAACCGTTCAGACGCTCCGTTTCACTTGACTTGTCCCACAGAGGGTTGAACCTCAACAAGCCGGCACTGTTTCGAGAAGGTTCAACGTCTAACAAATAATTATGCCCGCGACAGAGAATAGCGGCCATTCCAGATACCCGTTGACGATTGTACTGAAAAAAACAGGTATACCTGATAAAAAAACATTCATGACACGGCGATGATGTAAAGAGAAATACCTTGAGGGGAACAAGTAGCAATACCGTACTCCGTAGAGTGGCATTTGCTCTCTTGGGCTGAACTGGGGGGTCTGACGGGAACATGAAGCGAGGCTAAAAGGAGAAACGGCCATGCAATCTGTAACATCTCATATTTTAAAAACAGGCTGAGACATGCTAGTAGCAGTAGTAGAGATGATTACCTGTGCAAGTATGACCTTGTAATATGTATGCCTGGCTGTGGCGGCCGGAGCATGGCTAGCATGTATGAAGTTGTGACGAGCATGGAGCGGTACTTTGCAGTACTTGTACTCGCACTACGGAGCCGGTTCCGTTGCTATCTCAGAGCAAAGATACGGTCCTATTATTTGGCATTGATACTATACTGGCAGTCATAGTCTCCCAGACAGCAGACCCCTTTAAAAGAGGTGTGCCAACAGGCTGGACAAACGGGAAAACAAGGGATGGAAATGCCCGAATGCAACTAGTGCGGGCTTTGCGGAAAGTTGACTTCCTGAGTCGGGTTAACAGCGGGATGGTGTCGCTATATTGCAATTTTTATTGCCGCTAGAGCAATCGTACCCTGTCAGGGCTGGAAAGTGAATTCCGAAGTGGAGAGAAGGGAGCCCAGAACTCGAGCCCAGAGATGTGACGAACATTCTATGATGGATCAAAAATAGATTGCCTAGCATATAAGTTGTGGTAAGCACCAACTCACAAACTTTGCGCCCCTTATAAAGTTACCTCCTAGTACGATAAACTTGTTATGAGAGTTAGTGCAAGTAGAGTGCAAGTATTGTCGCGAGCCGAGGACAAGGCAGTGGGGGGATTTGTCCAGGCGAGTTTGTGCGGACACGGCGCGATACGAATTGCTACCTTGGCTGAAACTGCAGTCATCGAGTTAGTTAAGCACCGGCCCGCCAATCCAATCTTGAAAAGCGAGATGTATGCTCGAGACAACCATGCCAGGGCAGGCTCTGAGATGACGAATATGCGGGGGAATAACCCTGGGTGAGGGGCTGGACTTTGTTCGATTCCATAGATGTGGCCCGCCGTTTGTTGAATGACTTGTAAGAGAGGCGGCACCGGAACATGCATGTGGGATAACACCAGGTGGATTGGCTCTGTCTATCTAGGAACCTAGAGGTGACAAGGTTTCGACCACACAGCATACTTTTGTGGTGTACCCAGAATCCCAGAGGATATAGCGACTGGTCAAACGTGCTGAAGACAGAGTTGTGACCAAGTGCGGTGACGGGGTGCCACCTGCGTAGAGATGGCAATAAGCGACGATGACCAGCAGGCTAACTACTACTGGCGCAACACTGGCCTGCGGATTGGGGTAAAGGCCAAACCAATGACGGCTTAGCAAAATAAACGTCTTGAAGCTGTTGCACATGGCGGGGCGCACCGGCGGCTGTGTTGATTCATCATCGCATTTCCAACTTGAACTTGGTGTCTCGGCGTGAGATGCGCAGGGAACGCTGAGACTCGGCTGCAACTACACGCTGTCACCGGGAGGAGTCTGAGTACGGCCATATCTCCGGAGTCCGCCGAAAGCGGCTGCCCCGTTGAAATAACACCGAAAGGGACATGGATATCGTCAGTAAGGACGCAGTGCAACAGGTCGAATGCATGATATCCCGCGTTCCGTGATCCGTGTTCCGTAGGATCGCAAAGGCGGTGATAAAGGCCGGCCGCACGGGGTATCCTTGCAACTCCAACGGGAAACAAAACAGGTGCCGCCAAGGCATCCCGGGAAGAGATGGAATCTCAAAGAATGCATATATAAACTCCTACTGACGATGTAGAAGATGAGAAGATGGTGCTATGAGAGTGCAGCAGATCTCACAACATAGGCAAGCTGTTTTTTTCTTTCTTTTTCTTCCTTTCTTGGTGGCACATTTGGTCGCCAATGGAGGGAGCCCTGCCGTGAGCAAACCGGATATTAAAGATGATTTCTTGCTGCGCACCGGCCTCCACACTTCAAGGAACGCTGTCCGTAGGGCAAGTCATGCCTGGTCGGAGGTGGAGCTGGGTTTCGGGTCCATCTCGTTCTACAAGTAAGTCAGTGGAGAAACTGGCAAAATCCCCGTTTGTCGGTATTATGTATGTATCGTATGCAACGCCGCCGATCGAAAGTTGAAACAAGGCAGAGGAGCATTACTTATCGCCACTGGACCAGGCTGATGCTGATGACTGCCATAGGTTGCATCGCAGAGTCGTAGGTGAGGCCTGGAGAAGTAGGTACGTTTGGTACCCACCTCTCACTTGCTGTGCTCTGAAGCAAAACTCCTTGGATCATGATGGCGGTAGTCCGCAACGGTCCCTGGAAACTCGCACCAACACCAATACTGGCACCAATACGGAATACTGGCACTGGCACTGCAAAGCTTGCGTGCTTGATTCCGGTGCCTCCACTTGGTCTTTGTTTGTGGGCTTTGCGCCTGGTCGGGCAACAAGAGAGTACGAGGAATCAAGCATCAGTGATCAGATGCAAGGGGAAGCGAAAGACAGGCAGGTTGAATCTCTCGAGGTCTGGTCACGATCTCAGGGGCTGAGCCTGGGGCGTGCCTGAGTCGGGAGTCCGTATTGCAGTCGTTGCTCCTGCCCATATCGCATATTGATCCTTGGATCTTGAATGAGTAGGTGAGCCTGAGTCGGGGCAGTTGCCGCGCACGTGCTATTCCGCAGCCGTACTTTACCGGTACCTGTACCTGTATCCGTACCTGTACTTGAGCCTGGCTGTCTGTCTGTGCTTGCAAACGGGCTGTGCACGTATTCGTAGATGCATGTACGGGTAGTTGAGCTGCCATGTCGCTCTGCCCATTGGCCAGGAAAGCAGCTGTACAGTACGAGTAAGAGTATGCCCGGATGATTGCGACGCCTTTCTACCTCTTTGGCTTCTTCTCCGGCGGGTGTCAGTTATTTGGCTGCAGGGATTCTTTGTTGGAGGGTCCCGCGTTTAAAATTAACTTAAAAGGCGTGGGAGACCTTGTCCAGCACGACGGGACGTCATGCCAGTTGGCTTGCCTTAGTGCTCTCTCTTGACAGGGGCCCGCTGCTCCAGGCGGAAAAGCGGTGCCGCTCTTCCAAGTGCTGGTGCTGGCGCATGCAGGCACTTGCAGGCACTCTGGCTCTTGGTTTCGAGTCGCTTGTCGCGCGCAATGCCACCAGACTCGACCGTTCGCCGTCAGCAAGGGGGGACGATCTTTGCTGCCAAGAGTGATGCCTCGCCAGGTTGGTTTTGGTAGTATCGTTGACTGTACCTCTTACTTACTAAGACACTTGTGCAGGTACTTGCTGGTTCCAAGCCTGACTCTTTTGCAGATAAGGTAAGGAAAGGAGGTAGGCGGCAAGTGGGTATGAGTCCGGGGAAGGAAGCAAGTTGCTTGCAGCCTTATCGGCCAGCTCTATTGCTGTTACATGACAAGTACGAGTAAGTTGAGGTACCGTACTCGTACTGGCCAACCTCAACAAGGTATACCGTACATGAATACATGTATTGCCTTGCCTTGCACTCGTAGGAGGCATGAGCCCCTTTTAATGCACTAAAGAAGCAAACATGGTATACGTATTTCCATTCCAGGAAAGACACCGGATTGGTTTCTATGCCGTATTGCCTTAGTTAGTGATACTTGTGTTGATGTCCATATGTCTTCAATATGGCACCTTGCCGACCAATCTACTTGCTCCCTAGCACTTACTCGTTAATAGTACAAGCACGGACCGTGCATCTACACAAGTGCCTACCTATAATATCAATACCTGTACGAGTACTGATGCGACCTCAGCTGAGCTCCTACCCCCGTAAGCTGTTTGATACTGCCATTTCCTCGTTGGCTTATCGACATGGATAGAGAAGATTCAAGGCGTTCGTTCAAGTTTTGATAGCATCATCACTGGGCCTAGGCACTCAATCACCAGTACATCCTATGTGACAGGTAATGTTTTGTATTCATTCTCGTCCTGGGGTGCCGGAGTTATGCGAGCACTTTGACAAAAAACTTCAGGCTCGTGGATGCTAAAGTTGCGGAGTGGACCTCGATACATGCGGACATGAACGGCAGTTGGTAAACGACAGCTTACCTCGGGGTCCATTTGCAGTTGTGTCCGGCGAGGTCATCATCGGCTCGGGTCTCTGTAGAGCTAGCAGCTTGCAGCCCACACCTCCAGGCGACGGGAATTTGGCCGTGGGCGACGAGGGATTGGCTGTGACTCGATGCCGCTAGTTTAGCTGCTTTGCATCTCTCGTACCCATTGCTTGCGACAAATGCCACATGTTGTTCTAGGGGGCAGATGTGCGTGAAAGCGTTATCGCGCGGGATGAGAATCTCACCGCGGTCCACACGTCCACACAATGGCGAGAGCCAGCCATGAGGGGGCCATGCTGAAGCCATCGACGATGGCCTCGCTTGTTGATGACCTATAATACAATACAGCACAGGCGAATGGATGGATGCAACGACATATGCTGCCAAGCTCTTATGACACCGAAATTCCAAATCTGGCCTCTACGTCATCACCAACACAGCTCTGATAGAAATCCGAGAATGTACATATTCTTCTCATGAAGCTCAACTCCGCCAGAGCGTATGCGGCTATCTTATCTATTATCCGGAGCGTTTTTGTGAATTTGAGTTTTGATCTTGCTTGAATCCGTCAAGCAAACGGAGTTTCCGGAGCAAGCCTCAACCCGAACCACACCGTTGCCCTTCTTGGAATTTACAACAGGTATCCTTCGAACCATAGCTTGGCTGTAGTGGCAGGCGGCAGCCACTCGGGGACGATGCCATTCTTTGCGTGCTCAGCCCCCCCGCGCCGTCTCTGCTCCGGCTCTGGCCCAACGGTGACTAGAGACTAGAGCAACGTGTCGCCAGTTACTGTGTACGCCGCGTCGGCTTGAAGACATCCGCCATCTCAATTGGTGGGTATCATCGAGTTATTCGCGGATTTTATTCCACGTTGGCAGATTCAAACGGTCTTGACGGAGAGGGCTGCTGCGTCAGCCGCCCAAAGGCGCGCCCCGAGGCACACAATCAGTGCCTTTGCCTCGCTTGGGGGCCTCAGCCGTTCCGGACCCCGTCGCGGCAAAATTTACCCGTGCTATTGATTATCTGCGTCTGCGTCTGCGTCTACGTCTTCCTCCTTGATATCAGGTTGCCGAATACGGGAGGAGGGGAGAGTCAGGAAAGCAAAGGCTCTCTATGGTGATGGCTTCTGTATGATTCATTTCAGAGCAGCCTTGCAATCCCGTCATCGGCGACCCCTCTTTCTTCTGGCTGTCTTGCTGCCCGCCTTTTCTGGCGATCAGACCCTCTAGCTCTGCACATAGTCCTGCTAACGTTCCCATACATTTTTAGTCTTTTGCTGCCTGTGAAGATTCCGAACCTCAAGAGCATCGTCAATGGTGGGATGTGTATGTATTTAGGGGCCAGTACAGCCCTAGTTCCTATCGTACATACTGGTGTATCTGTATCCGTGCTGTGTTGGTTTCCATTTGATATGTTATACCACACCCATCCTTATATATTGTCGTGCTGATGGCTTCGATGTCTGGGCTCCATTTCAATTTCTGTAGGTTCACCCCAAGCGACCGTGCCCCCGGGAACCACTGGACCGTTTTGGTCAGTGCTTTCCATTCGGCACCAGCTCCGTTTTCACCCCCACAATTAGGCGCCAGCCTGGGGTATTCCCAGCGGCGTGCACTGGCACACTAGGCGTTCAGTGGCGTCTGCAGGCCCCGTCTGGCTGGCGAGCAGGGGACCAGTTGAGTGCTGCACAGGTACCTTGGCTGCTGCTACCAGGTACGAGTACTGGCATGGAGGAGGGCCTCGTTCAGTACAGCACTGCGCTTCTACAGCACAACGCTGCATGCACATGCTCACATGGGCATTGCAGCATGGCAGCATGGCAGGACGCACATTTGTGCTCAGGACGGGAATGACAAATAATCGCAGGGGCAAAAGTGCGAGTGAGTACCTCTTGGGCTTCTCTGTCTGATGCTGCAGATATTGATGTCGGTATCGATAGGTACCCAGACCAAGCGCCTGTCAAACCCCATACCCGTATCTTCAGCAGCCTTGTTTGGGTACTCTGTACATGTGAGCACTGTACTGTACCCATTGATGGAATGGATGGATATAAGGGTCGAGCACCAACTCACCAAATTCTCCAGGTTAATGGAACCAACCGACCGCATTAGCCCGCTAATTAGCCCGCCCAACAGGTTCCAGATGTCTTCAGTTAGCCCGTCTAGCAGGCCCTACAGGAGCTGGTAGTCTTGGTCTGGTAGCATTTACCCGCACCCAGCACAGGGGCCACTGAACTTTGCGGCCGCCCACGAACCCTGCCAGAGCTGCCAAGCTCGTGGCTGCACGAACGGAAAAGGGAGCGCCGTTGTACCGAGAACCGAGTCCGGAGTACCTGTACGCTCCGCCGCGCTGTCGAGTACCACCTGGCGCAGCGAACACGCTCGGCGCGGGCAGCAGTCGTAGCCCTGGCAAGCCCTGGCCAGGCGGCGTCAGCACAAGAGCCAAGTACTCGAGTTCGTACCGGTACCTGTGGGCGACCTTACCGATACGCGGCAAGTACGGAGTGCCTGCTGACCCACGCCTTGTGGCTCTCTTCATCGATGCACCTGCCTTGTCCCACCTTCTGGTGCTTGCTTCCTGGCTTGGCTTCATCTGCCAGCTCAGTTCCAATCTTCTCTCTTGAATCCCCTCTTAGCTTTTGCTCTGCTCTGCTTCTGCCTTTGCTCTGCTTGTTAATCAATCTTCATCCCACATCAACTCCATCGTCGTCACCATCACGGATCTCCCACTCGCCCGCTCGCATAAACCACGCCAGAATCCCCCTGGCCGGACGAACCATTGCCGCTGCATCGCCATCTCCATAGTCTGGCTGCTGGAGAATCAATCAGCTTTGAGCTTCCGGCAGCCCAGTATTTCCAGCCGTGTGCGCCCCTGCTGCGCCGGCACCGTCTTTGACAGATACAGATACGGCACTGCCGCTGTATCTAGGATTTTAGACCCGTGAAATGCCCAGCAATTGGCCTTCCCATCTACTGTTCCCCCCCGTTCCCAATTAGAGAGAGTCACTTTAGTCTCTTTGGTCTGTAGACCGGATACCAAACCATGTCGGACGGCCGGGCCGGCATGAATCGCCAATTCCGCAACACAAATCGCCACAACTTCGATCCGTCCCAGCTTTACGCGCAACGAGAATCTTCTGGCAGCGGGCAGCGCGAGGTGCCTCCCGACGACATCATGGGCGCCAATCCTCACTTTGGTGATTTTAATTTTCCCTTCTCTGCAATACCCGATCTCCATATGCCTGATCAGCCCGGCATCAATAACCACCAGGCCGACCCTTTCTCACAGCATCAGCCCGGCGCCATGACCTCTGTGCCGCCACACAACATGAATGCCGTCAACAGCATTGCGAGGCAGCCATTCGTACCGATACACGACCAGCAGATGCCCAGCGTAGAGCTACCCAACGGTTCGATAGGGAGGAAATCGACTCCGGCGTCCAACTCCATCACCGATGACGGAAATGACGAATTCGGCCTCTTGAATCAAAATCGCGGTGATGGTACAGACTTGGGAGGCAAGTCAAAGGATGACTCGTCCTCTGCACCTCCGGCATGGAGCGAGCTCAAGACCAAGGCTGGCAAGGACCGGAAACGCCTACCACTCGCCTGCATCGCCTGCCGTCGCAAGAAGATACGCTGCTCCGGCGAGAAACCTGCCTGCAAGCACTGCATGCGGTCACGCATACCATGCGTTTACAAAGTCACCACCCGAAAAGCCGCACCGCGCACCGATTACATGGCCATGCTCGACAAGCGACTCAAGCGCATGGAAGAGCGCATCATCAAGATACTGCCAAAGAGTGACCAGGAGACAATATCGACCGTCCCCCGCGCCGTGGTCAAACCCGCCATCCCCGGCACCGGCACAATGTCGTCAAACAAGGTATCTACCAAGAAGCGCAACGCCGACGAAGCATTTGGCCGAGATCTCGAGGCTTGGGCCAAGGCCCCCAGGCCGAAGCTACCAGAAGATCATGCGGCCGGCTCGCCTGAGTCTCGCGAAGCTGCAGAGAACGAACTGCTACGCGAAGGAAGAGAAGCCCTCCCCCCCAAAGATGTCCAGGAACACCTCACCGAAGTCTTTTTTGATAATGTTTATGGTCAATCATATCATCTTCTCCACAAACCAAGCTACATTCGCAAATTAAAGTACGACACGTTTTCCACAGGGGAATGAAGCACGTCGCCTTTCCTTCCTAGTGAAACCCTTTCGTTCATTCGTCCATACAAGATCCAAACAGCTAACGCGAGCTATAGGAATGATACGCTCCCGCCTGTGCTGGTCCTCTCCGTGTGTGCCATCGCAGCGCGCTTCACGTCGAGCCCAAAGTTCAACTCGACTACCAAGCAATTCATGCGTGGAGAGGAATGGGCTTCTCACGCCAGAGATATCTGCACCAAACGATACGACTGGCCTAATATAACGATACTGACTTGTCTTCTCATCTTGGGAATGCACGAATTCGGAACATGTCACGGCGGCCGAGCCTGGGCCCTGGGTGGGCAGGCTATTCGCATGGCCTTTGCTCTTCATCTGCACAAAGATTTGGAGTATGACCCGCAGTCGCGGAGTAAGAAGGTCAAGCTGAGCTTCATTGACCGCGAAATTCGTCGCCGTGTCATGTGGGCTTGTTTCATGATGGATCGATTCAACTCGTCCGGCACAGACCGCCCAGTCTTCATCAAAGAAGAAACCATCAAAATCCCTCTTCCCGTTGCTGAGAAATATTTCCAGTTTGATATGCCCGCTCAGACAGAATTCCTAGATGGCAGCGTCCCCGAGTCTAACATGTCCGAACAAGGCGAGGTGGATAACCCTCGTGACAACATGGGGCCGTCTGCCTATACTATTCGATGTGTGTCTATTTGGGGCCGTGTCGTTACGTACTTGAACCAGGGTGGCAGAGAACAGGATCCATATCCGATGTGGAACAAAGACTCCGAGTATGCTAAACTGGTGCGGGACACTGAGGAGCTACTGCGTACACTTCCCGAAAGCCTGCAGTGCACTCGCGAAGCTCTGGAGATTCACCGAGCAGAGAGCACAGCAAAGCACCTCCTGTATCTCCACATGGCCATTCAGCAAAACTTGCTCTTTCTTCACCAAGCCGCCGTTTCCTTCTCCCAAGATCGTGTCGGCGAGGAAGCACCAGATGACTTCATCCCACGAGCCAGCGTCAATACTTTTGCGGCGGCTAACAGGATATCAGACCTGATAAGAGACGCTGAAGAGGTGCAGTGCAGCATATCGACACCTTTTGCTGGGTACTGCGCCTTCTCCTCGGCCACCATCCACATCACCGGCATCTTTTCTGGAAACCCAGCGATGAAAGCTACCGCGGAGGCTAATTCTAGCGTAAATGTGAGATTCCTGCGTAACATGATGAAGTATTGGGGCATGTTCCACTGGATGGTAGAAAACATTCGCATCCAGTTTCGCAACGCCCTCGATGCTGCCCGCACGGGAGGCCCCAACAACGGGAGTACCGCTTCTTCTCCGATCCTGCAATATTCTGACTGGTTCAACCGTTATCCTCACGGAGTTTCGGACACGGACTACATGGATCCCGCCGTGTATAGGAAGAAGGAGCGGGGAGAGGATGGTGCTTTGGAACAGAAGCCAGAGCTGCAATCGATTGAAGAGTTCTTTATGGCTGTTGGGCCGATGCTGAACGACAAAGATGGGCAGCGACCTGGACCATCCAAACGGAAGGGCACCCTGAAGAAGCCAACCGTGTCGAATACGGGCATTGCGGAGCCGCAGAAGACGAACGAGCAACATGCGGCAGCTATGAGCGGGCAACACCTCCATGACCAGATGAGACTCGCCATGCAGCAGCAGCAACAACAACAACAATCTGGACAACCGCCGAGATTTCCCAACTCGCTTGGGGTGCAGACAACCAACCCATCTGGTTTCAACTCCCTTACCGTATCGCAACCACAAAATTCAACATACCCTATGATGCCACTAGGCCCTGCTAACGCTGCACAATTCCCCCAGAGTGTGCCACTGCAGAATTTCTTCTCTACAGATCTGCTGTCTATGAACATGGAACCGTCAAACAGCATGATGAACTCGCTAGACAAACAGATCTCCTATGGGGACTTCTCCATGGACGCCGGGAATGTCCTGATGAACGGATCTAGCGGCTGGGGAGGCATGTCTGGAAGCAACCCTCAGTCCAATTCTCAGATTCACGGCCAGCAAGGCATGAAGGCTGAGAACATGAGCGGCGACGATTCTCACACCCAAGATCAGATGGGTAGCAATGCTCTAAACCCGTACCTTGGTCAGGACGCATCCCCTGGGTGGTTCTTACAAATGGAGGGTCAAGACATGGGCTTTGGAAGTGTCGATCCTTTTGCGAACTTGTTTGGCAGCAATGGAGGAATGCTTATGGCTGACCACCAGGGTGGTATGTAATGACATACCACGGAAACTATTGGATGAGAGTTCGTGAGAGGCACACTGTTGTGGGAGAAGGATATATCAAGGCGCCCTTTGGGCGTGTTCTTCATTACTCGTATATTTTATCTTGCTATTTTTAAGACGGCAGGGCCGGAAACGACTGCTGTCTCTGTCAAATTGGTCACAACGTCGGATTATGAAAAATATGTGTGAGCATTTCTGGAAAGGAAAATGGCGCTTGGGAAGGATGGATATTGGATATTTTTCTTTTTTGGCTCAAATCGGACATATGTATATCCATGTATATACCCAGGGAACACGATTTTTGGTCTTTTGGGAGGGCGGGAGGAGCATTGATGATTGGCCTTGCCTCTAGCATATCTGGTTTTTTATTCTTATTCCTTTTATTTTTTTATCCCTTGTCGTTGATATATTTCATGGAGATGGGAAAGGGGACGGAAAGGAACGGAAGGGAACAAACAGTTGAAATGAAACGGCCTTTCAATCTCTTTTCTTTTGGTATTCAACGGTTCGATGTGTGCTATTTTGATTGATTGATTGGTGTTTTTATTTTGTTCACTTCACGATGGGAAGGATTTAAAGGCCGTCTGAAATTGGTATCGTATGATGAGTTGGATGTGGCCTCCAATTGTATATCTTTTATAATTATCAACTCCTCTTCACTAGAATGTCATAACATCATATCATTTTCTACCTTCATCTCCAAATTCATATACGCCCTCCGCTATGCCCAAAAAAACAACAAACCAAAAGTGTACGTAATGCCTAACCATCTAAGTAAGGCCATTTTCATTATCCAAACGCTGTGGTCTCATATCCATCATTACAGGTCATATCAATCCGCTTCCCTTTTATAAATTTACCCTGCTATCCGTCCGACCCCATTTTCCCCTTAAGAGTTTTCCGTACCGTATTTCTCCCCCCCAAACCATTAATCCTTCTTAATATAGACTGGAATTCCATACAAAACAACTGCCGCGCCATTGAGATACTTGAAGCGGCACGCATTTCTCGCCGTGGCCACCGCCTCCGCGAGTGATGCGTTGCAAAGACCATCTCCGCGCTCATGGCGACTCGCTTCCTCAATCTCCTCAGCAAAGCTCCTAGCCTTGCCTTTACCCTTGTTCGTCGCTCCATCAAACGTGCCCCTGGCAAAGAGCCCCCATTCTTCAAAAGTCTTGCCGGCAAAGCGGTCAATGTCGCGATCAGTCACATCCCAAAGCGTGCCCACGACAGCCGGACATCCGGCCATCATGTAGTTCCAAACAGGGCCATAACTCTCAAACTCGCCCGCATCTGTCAGGGCCGCGGAGCTGCAGCCCATGAGGAACGTCGTTGGCTTGCACTTTTCCAAGCGGCGGATCGTCTTGCCACGGATGTACTGAGCACCGCTGCCGTGGCCAAAGTACACCATAATCTCAGACGTGGCGAGAGCCCTTTCGAATTCTGACTCCTTTGGTGCCTTGTTGATAATGCCGCTCCACGATGAAAGACCCGAAAAAGCTGATTGGAAGAACGTTTGCGTATTGGTCAAGTCGGATGAAGGGTTAAGGATATACGTGCCAGCCTTTGCCGAGACAAAGTGCCCATGCGACTTTCTTGCCGGATCTCTACCAGCCTCTCGAATAAGCTGACGAAGGCACGCCAATGACGGTACGCGTGACACGGAAAGGCCATCCATGCAGGGCATTGACTCCCAGGGGAAGGCATGGAGCAGCTTGTCGAGAACGAGCACAATATGCGTGCCCTCCTCCCTTTCAGTAGAGTTGGCAGCGTTGTGATATCCGCGTAGAGCATCGTACGTCTCTAGAACCATCCCGTCAAAATCAATTTCATCATAAGCGTTCCGCTCGCCATGGAATTGCAGAATATCCACAACAAAGTAAAGTAAATCATTCAACGCCTCATCAAAGTCGACGTCAGGCTCAGTCGGATCGCCCAACCCGATGAATAGGTCGAGTATCCTGGGATCCAAAGTGACAGTCTCAGTTTTGAGGGTCGTCTTCTTTCCGCGGGCCTTGTTTCGAGACGGCAGCATCCTGTCAAGCATTTGGTGGAAATCCCTTTGAAAGCGAGCCAACAGCTCCGCATTCTTACGGTGTTGGGAAAACATGCCCTTAAATCCTCCTAGCCATGTGGTCTCAATGGTGACCAAGAGTTTCTTCAGTCGAGAATCCAGGGCCTGTCGCTCAGCCCACCAGGCACCACGCTCTCCTTTGGCAGTAAAGTCTCGCGCGGAGTGACTGCTTTCGTTGGCTAGCTTGATGAGCTCCAGCAGCTCGTCACGGCCATGTACAAAATTGAAGACCTCGGAATCAGCATCCCGAGAGTTGGCCCTCTCCAAAGGCAAGCGCAAGATGAACGGACCCTGGCCCGCCTGAAATTTGGTGATACAAAGATCATGGCGATTATCGCTCAAAGAAATCGAGATAACGCTCCATTTCCTCGGGATCAAGTCAACATATTTCTCCTGGAAGTTGGTCATGTCGGCCATTGCTTCCATCGTCGGTGGCTTGTGGACTGGAGTTGCAACACGAACAGGGATCGTATCGTTATTAAGCCCGGCCAGTGTCTGCTGCTCTCGTTGCCAAGTCACATTTCGAGCCATGTCAACAGCAACTGTGCCTAGCCCAGATGTTGAAAGTAATTTCGAGGCCAATGCCGCCGATAAGAAAATAACGGTGCTCTGGAGCAGAGCAGAGATGCGACGAACCATGCTGCTGTCAGAGCTTGACAGCGCAGAGGCGTGAGCTTCGATTAAAAGCTCTTGTGCTCTTTTCAACGCATCAGCAAAGGCAGGAGAATCGGAATCGGAATCACTGGAATTCTTCCGGAGCGCTTCAGCAGCATGTAGGTCCATAGTGGACACGGCAGGGAATGAAATGGTCGAGTCTTGCATAACCGAGAAGACAGGATCAGAAATCATCTGTTCCATACTGTGACCAATTAATGATTCTGCCATCATGACTTGTTCCTGAGAAAGCACGCCAACAAGTTTGGGCAAATCTTTGAGCTGCTCTAGGGCTTGTAGAGCCGACGACCAATCCTTCTGGTAAATGAGCCCCAAAGTGCGTGACAAGATGATGGCGGCGTGTAGGCTGGCATAATATATATCTTTTGGTAGCTGTACGATATCTGCTGCAGTTGCCGCTTTGGATTTGGCCGTAACACGCTTAGAGGGTTTAGGGGCAGCCTTTGTTTTTGTTGATCTGGTGGATCTCGTAGTCCTGGCTTCAGCGGCAGGTTCCTCAACGGTATCGCTGTCGTATTCATCCTCAGCCGAGCTGAGAAGACGAGCAGTCTCCTCTGCCATCTTCAGAAACTCGGCTGCTTTCTCGTCTTCTCCGATTTCCCAATAAAATTCTCCGAGTTGACGAGCAAAGCGGACACGAGCTGAACAGGTATCGCGTGGTAGCTGTTCTTCTGCTTCCTGGAAAGTAGTGAGTGCCTTGGGAAGCTTTCCGGCCTTGAGGTAGACTGATCCGGTCCAGATAGCCACCTGTGCTTTGTAGAGAGAAGATTGCGTGCTCTCTGCAATCTTCCAAGCAGACTCGGCATAATAGACTGTTTCCTGAAACATGCCGATATGGGCGTAAACCGAAGAGATGTGTAGCAGGCTCCGAATAAGCGGACTGGCTAGAGTCCAGAACCGAGGACCAGCCACCTTTCCCCTTGACGATGTTAAGTCTGAACTGCTGGTATTAATGTCTGAAAGGCTCATATCGACGCTCTTTTGGTCGGCTTCCAGTGCTGCTTCCAGCTTGGTCCAGTTGTGAGTAAGCATGCGGACGCTCGTTTTCACAAGCGAAAGGGCCTCTTGTATATCTCCAGCTTGGAGAGTCACAATGGATTGCAACAATGAGGTGAGAGATATGACCATCGAGGCGTGAGACTTGTTTCGAGCCCAAGAGGAGTACGGACTATTGCAAATCTTACTAGCTTTGGATAGGCAATCAAATCTGCGAACTGTTAGCTTTTCCGTTCTTTTTTATACATGCATGGCATTCAGAGATATACTTACGCAGTGTCCATGTCGCCAATACCGGTGTGGTACTCTGCTTGGGAAAGGTAAAATTCGGCAAGAACTTGGCGCGACAGCCCACCATAGCGACTGAGAAGCTCTTGAGTCTGTTCTATTGTCTTTAGAGCTTGAGGATAGAGCCCGATGTTAACGTATTGCGCTGCTAGCTGACTATGGCTGAGGACTAGTCCATCACCAGTGCCTTCTGTAGACCCATCGAATACTCTTGACAAGGTGATGTTGAGCTCCGAAATGGCAAGCTGGAGACGTGTCTCTCCTTTAAGGCCTGCAAGCTGGTGCAAAGAATGGAGATGATCAAGGAGGCCCTGAGGGTCGTCTATTATGGTAAATAGCTCGTCTTGCGTCTGACAAGTCCCAATCATGGATTTCCAGGAATCGATTGCCTCGTTGATTAGCGTCGACATTGATCTATCAACGCGTATCAAAGCACCGATGGAGGTGCAATAAGCCTGCATATGGGGAATGAAGTGGGCTAACGAGGTATCCTCCCCGTTACCTTCGGTTTGCATATGCTCCCAGGTTTCCTCAGCCAGAGAAAGGACTTTGGCAAGCTGCTCTTCCTCTCCAAGATTCTGGTAGCAAAGATGTAACAACACGCGGAGCCGACGCACCGGATATTTTTCCAGTGTATATATGCGAAGCAAGGCAGCCACTCCTGCATCGTAAAGACTAAGAGGTTGTGATGAAGTAGAAGAGTTGGTAAGGCTAACACGCGTTAAATGTTCTAAAACTGCAGCACGCTCGGCCTCTGGGAGAGGAAAAGTCCATTCGTTCCACGAACTGTCAATTTTGGACATGGAGCGCAGAGTGCGTGACATGAGAGATACTTTGTCGTTCATGCTCCATGCGAGGCTCGGTGACTGTGTATCGAGGGCAGCGGCGACATCGGCCAAAACGCCATTCTCAGCCATACTAGAACAGATATATCGCAGCGTTTGCACGGCATCCTCAGTCCTGCCAGAAGTTTTGCACAAATCAGCAAACATCTCAATCTTTGTCGATAGCTGCGCCTTCTCCTTTTCTGCTTCGGTACAGTCCTTAACCACGTCAATTGATCGATGCAAGGCCCGCAGGAAATGCTTATTCTCTTCTTTAGATCGACTAGATTTCTTCCGAAGTTGCGAAAAGATGGAAAAGTAAAGACTTGAAATCTTGACGGCGTAGGTGCCAAGGTTGTCTAACTTGGTGGTGGATAAAGTCGAAGCATTCATGCAATCGAGCAGTGAGACACAATGTTGAAGGACATCATCGATGGCTTGCCACCCACTCGCGTCTGACTGGATGTCGCATTTGATGACCATCAAGGTAGCATCGAGGGTCTGTCCTATGGATTGTGCAACTAGCTGTCGTCGCTGATCAAACTGAAGAACTTGCTTAGACGACGCATCTTTGTTTGGTGGTAGTCCTGTCCATCGGCGAACAAATCGTGGATATTTGAGAACGAACGTTTTAAGATGGTTTACTAGGTCGCTTGGAACGGTGCTTTCTGCTGCTTTCGGCCCTAGACATGTCATTAGGAGGCCAACGACGGAGCGCCTTGCAAGCGACAAGCTCTCAAGAAGTTCATTCAACTCTGCAATTGTTCCACTGAGGCTGCCATCTAGGCCTTCGATGACCTCACAGAGCAGAGGCTCAATAGTATGATCCATATCGGCCTTCTTCAATGCTACGGCAAGGAGGCGCGCTGAGACGGAGCATCTGAGAACAGAGGAGTCCTGCCCCGGGGTTAGTGAGCTCTTCAATTCCTGGAACCATCGGTGCGCTTCGGTATATCGGCGTTCAGCCTGAGCTGCGGATCCTAAAATCTGATGTATCGATGCTAGAGGAGAGTCGAATGATGTTGCTGGACGATATTTTTGGGCATGAATAAGCTGCATTATGGTGTCGTATGATTCAGAGGCTGTTTGGTAGACGGAGCCTTTGTCTAGTTTTTGGCGACGGGCATAAGCTCGTAAACAGCGAGAGAAAGGGGAGACTACATCATTATCGATGTTTCCTTTGTGACCGGCCAATTTCCACCACTTGAGTTGGATCCGGAAAGCTAGAGATTGTAGTTCGAAAGCAACATCGGGGGATGGGTTGAGTCGTGGCTCGGTAGCTACTGCGTCCTCCTGGCTGGAGATGCTGGGCGCAAGCGAAAGGAGAACTTGGGATAGAGATGCCATTTGGCGTGCAGCCTTTGCGGCCTCCTTTGCCCCCTCCTTGGCCACAGCAGATAGTAGATTGAACGGAGACGAGGCATATGAATCGGCGAGATAGGGTAGGATGACCTCTATGTGAGAAGGCTTCTTTGTCGCCGCAATTAGCTTTAGAACCTGCATCTGGTAGCCTGTGATGGTGGCAAGGCTTTGCTTCGAGATGGAGCCATTGAAGTTCAACAAATCCGCAATTGCTGATGTGGTAGTTGTGATTTCGGATCCTGACTTCGCGCTGCTTGATTGTGCCCCATTGATTATGCTGTCTAGCCTTCGCTTCAGCACTCTCAGCTCTTTTAAAGCTTGATCATGCATCCCCAAAGCTAGCAGCTTCCCTGTCAGCGCTGACATGCCCGTCTCCAGCTGAAAGTCTGCTTCGTCCGGTTTTGTTGGGCCCTTGATAGCTCGAAGCGCAGAGAAGGCAATGCGCGCACACTCTACTGTGGCAAGGCATCCGGTCGACTGGGAGGGCGCTTGTAATTTCGTCTGGTTCGATTCGACATTGGCGGATGTAGCAAGTCGATTGAGGGCTCTAGGTTGCGCAGGAGATAGCGGTGAGGATGAGGATCTTCGTGATGACTGTCTGCCCGCTTCTTCTCGAAGATCGCCGTTCTGTTTCGACTGGGTAGAGGAAGGTAGAGGCTTCGCAGCCTCTGACAGCGTCTTGAGGGTGACATTGATGATGTGTGTTGCCAAGGCAGCCCTTTCCCGTGAGCTCAGAGTCTCGCCATCCGACCCAGCGCTGCTTTTTGTTTTCATCGCGGTTCCGGCCTTTGTGGATCGTGACTTTGGTCTCGGCGGTTGCGATTCGGGTTCTGGCAGCAAAAGTTCTTTGAGTATTACTACGGCGGCGGGCGTGCAGCTCGATGTTGACGAAACGGCTGCCTTGACGGCGTCGACCTTTGCCTGTAATGAAGCCATCTAGAGTGTTCTTTCCGCCCGGAGGTGTTAATCATATCATCTCAATGTAAAAGCCAATCCAAAATAGATTCTGCCTTGCGGCGTGAAGCTGATTATACAAATGAGTGCACGAGCCTAATGTGGTAATCAATCTTCAACTGCTAGAGAGCAGGGATGCCGGGTTAGAGCTGTCACGGGTAAATATCGGGGGTTGTCTAGGGCAACTGGACCGGACAAGCGCCATTTCGGAGATCCGACTACGATTTGCCGGGTTCTAGAAAACCTTCAACCAACTGCATGGAAGTAGCGAGCGTCAAAATCCGCAAAAAAAACCAGGCACGAATTTCGACAATGATGGCTCAACGGCTTTTGCTGCACGCCGGCAGGCAAACCATGGCAGCCATTGCTGCCAACAACGTTGCACGTGCAAGCCTAGGACTGCGATTTTCCAGCACAGCGCCATACACCATCGTGGAAGGATCTTTTTGGAGGTCTCTGATACCCAAGCCGATGCGCAAGGCGAACCGCAACAAGCTGAAGGCAAAGGCGAAGAAGGAATGGAATCCGGCCACCTACTTCATTGTCATGTTTCTATTCATCGGATCCATGTCAATCCAGATGATTGCGCTGCGGAATCAGACAGAGCGATACATGCGACAGTCCGCACTGAGAATTGCCCAGCTTCGAGAAGTGGTCCAGCGCATACAGAATGGAGAGGACGTAGATGTAGAAAAGCTCCTGGGAACCGGAGATGCTCAGAAAGAGACAGAATGGGAAGAGGGTGAGTAATCCTGGTAACAACTCTATCTGTGTATTACTGTCAGATGGCTGACATATGGCTTAAGTGCTGCAAGCCATTGAGCGCGACGAGGCATCCCGGAACCCCGAGAAGCAACCCAAGCTGAAGCAGACGGAATCTCAGGCGAAGATGACGAGCCAACCCGAAAGTAGCGCTCAGCAGGTCCAACCCGAAGCTTCTGTGAAGACGAAGACGGCCAGTTTCGGAAACTTCTTCTGAGTCATGGTCTATGATGCAGCGCAATTATTATCTACAGATGTCTAAGAGAGCATATCTTTGAAGATAGACGAATTTTCTCGCAGATCGTTGGGCAGTGCGGTATCATGAGGTCTCGAGCTAGATGCGAGCCTCTGGCGAAGCTGAGATACCAGAGTTGGGAGAAGATCGTCTGTCGACACCTCAACCCTGACGGCTCGTTCGCCGGCCTGCGTAGGATCTACATCTTTGAAGAATTGGTCTTCCCCCCTTACGCCACCCATGTTGACGATGGCGATGGGCATGCCCCTCTCTTTGGCTCTTTTAGCCAATCTCCATGCCGAATAGGTGGCAAGCGATGTCCCGAGGACAAGAAGCTTGCCGGCGTTATCGACGGCATCTTCGGCCGCAGTTCTGACGTGGGTGGGAATGTTCTCGCCAAACATGACAACATTTGGCTTCAACACACCAGCCGAGCTTGGAAGAATGAAGGCACCGTCACTGTCGGCCCTAACTGTATGTCTGTAGCCCTCTGCCTTGATAGGTGGGTCGGCCAAGCATCGAGGACAGGGAGGGTACCTAAACGTGGTATAAGGTGCATCGGGAAAGTCAACATCGCCATCGGGGTTGACTTTCAACCCTCTGAACTTCTTTTCCTCAGGATCCTCGGTGTCGAGAGCTCCCGATGCCAGCGCCTCTTCCAGAAGAGCTGCCCAGCGAGGATTCAGCCGGGCAAGGTGATGCTGGAACTCCTCGCGTGAGTATTCAGTGTGGCAGGTAGTGCACTTGGTTGACCTCAGATAGCCATGGAGCTCGAGCGAGGGGATTTGGGGATGGGCTATAGGGTGGAAGGAATCGACATTCTGCGTAATGACAGCACTTATTAAGCCCAACTGTCCCAAATCTCTGATTGCATAGTGACCGGAGTTGGGCTTTGCCTTGAGAAGACTAGACCACCCAAGAAAACTCCTAGCCCAATACCTCTTGCGAGCCTCGTGATTCTGTACAAACTCGTTGTAGTAGATGGGACGGTACGTCTTGTTCACTCGATATGTGCCATTGGGGCCTCGGTAGTCGGCCAGCCCAGATGCCACCGACAGCCCGGCACCTGTGAGAACAACAGTAGAGTGAGGCAGCTGGTTAGGTGGAGGCGCTGCGAAGAAGTTGTGGAGGCCGGCGAGGGCACCTTGGAGAGAATGAGCCGAGGCAGGGATGATTGTTGGCGGCGGGAGAATGTCAGTATAGGGGATTCGCATCAACGGTTTCCTCATTGGGATTTGCTGGTGCCAATTGGCATCAATGTCGTGGAGACGGTCTTTTTTGGCCTGGGGAGAGGGATATATCCAAGAGAATGCCGCGACAGCAGTCGATCGAACTGATTCTCGATACTTTGTCGGGCAGGGCGATCTCGCGTTAGGTAGCTGTGAGATACTACCAGGTAGGTACCTAGCAGTCTGGTATTGTAGGCGGCGTGTAAGCAAGCTTGGCAAGTAAGGTTGAATAGATGCGTACCCAGTGCTCACTGGTTGAAGGCAAATTACCAGGCCAGTCTGCAAAGATGGAATCAATCCAGCTCCGTGATTATCTAAACACTTCGTCCGATCTAGGCGCAACGGGGTTGATGCACCCCGATCATGGCTGCTGACAAAGAATGACGCACCATTACATCAACGGGCAGCTCCGAATTGACACCTTAATGTGCAAGAAGATCAATAGCACGGACTCCATGAAAGTACCCTCTCCAGCGCTTCCAGTGGACCAGCGCCCAGCTCCAGCGCCCCAAGCAGCACCAACAGTGCCTGGAGCCGCCTGAAGATGACCATCAGCACCCCCCAACATCGGAACTAAGCCCCGAGGTACATCCACCAAATCCCATCAATCCATCCCGATGCAGCACCTGTTGATCAGTCCTGCAGCAGTTCAGTTGCAGTGGCCTGACCGGCGAACTCGGTCTCCGGACCACGGACCCGGTCATTTCTCCCGCTCTTCAACTTCTTTTCGCGCAACTCCCCAGCCGCACGCAATGCAGCGCAATCCGGGCCCTGTAGCAAGAGACGTTAGGAAAACTCTCATGTCTGCATCCAGCTGGCCGATAGTCCCGTAGAGAGCCGCCATTGTCTCCGGCGCATCGTTCCTCTCCCTCAGCATTCCCTTGCGCGGCTCACGGGCTGAAACAGAGACGCTGTATGTCTGCCCAGGCCAGGCGCTCCACGGGCCTGGCCGTGCGCTGGTCCGGGGCTGCCAGTCTCAAATTATATCCGCCAGGCACGGTCTCGTCCACCACATTTAGCCAGCTCAAGAGGACACATCACATTGAACCTTCGCGCCGGCTGCTACAAACGCTGTCCTCGCCCCCGATTGTGCCGCCCTTCTCGCTGTCGGCCTCGTCCAATTGCCATCTTGCCCTGGCCGACACCTTGACCTCTCGCAGCGCCGTGCTTCACATCTGCCCCGTCTTCCGCGGCCGCATCCGCTCGCTGCCCTTCATCATGGGCGCCGCTCGCCAGGCACGCGACCAGCACAACCACGACCACGATCACGGTCACGACCATGGACACGATCACGGTCACGGCCACAGCCACGGCTTGTTTGGCCATCACCATCACCACGACAACACCTTCCTGATGTCGACGGACAAGAACGACCCCGGCGTGCGCATCACCCGCATCGGCCTGCTCAGCAACCTCAGCATGGCCATTGCAAAGTTCATTGGCGGCTGGGCCTTCAACTCCAAGGCCATGATTGCCGACGCCTGGCACAGCATCGCCGATCTGGCCTCGGATATTCTGACCCTTGCCACGGTGTCGTGGAGCCTTAAATCGCCGACCGACCGATTTCCCCTGGGCTTTGGCAAGGTTGAGAGCCTGGGCGCGCTCGGCGTGTCGGGCATGCTGATTGTGGGCGGCTTCTACATGGGCTTCGAGAGCGCTGTGACGCTCTATGGCCATTGGAACCCGGAAGCTGCCCATCATGTGTTGGAACACGTCGGGCATGGACATGGACACTCTCACTCGCACAGTCACGCGGATCTCGGCATCCCCAGCTTACATGCCGCCTGGCTGGCAGCGGGCACCATTCTGATTAAGGAATGGCTATACCAAGCCAGTATGTGGACTAATTGCTATCCATGCCTCCCCCGCTGTAGTGAATCTGTCTTCTAACACGCGATTTCTACAGCCATGAAGGTTGCGCGCGAACGCAAGTCGTCTGTCCTCGCCTCCAACGCCATCCACCACCGCATCGACAGCTTGACAGGTATCGTGACGCTCTTTGCGATTGTCGGGGCCAATGTCATTGAAAACGCCGCCTGGCTGGATCCCGTCGGCGGTCTCCTCATTTCCGCCATGGTCCTCCACGCCGGCCTGGGTAACACGAAATCCGCTTTCCTGGAGCTCATTGACCAAAGCCTGGACGACGAAGTCAAGGCATCGATTCGCAAACACGCGCATCGAGCAATTGCAAATGTCAGCGAAGGCCATCGAGCCGAATTGCGCGACATCACTGGGACCAAGTCCGGGCCCAACTACCTGGTCGATCTGGAGATGGCAGTGCCCGGCGCATGGACAATTGACGACGTGAAGGACCTGGAAGATGCGGTGCGCACTCAGGTAGGAGGCAAGGTGCGCGGTGTGAAGCGAATCCGCGTGCGCTTTGTATCGCGGGATGCAGAGGTCAACAAGCGATTCGACGAATTCATCCCAGGCAGCGCCCGAGCAAGTGTCTCGGAAGAGTCAGAGCGAGAGGAGGAAGAGCACGATCACGACCACAAGCACAAACATTAGAGACGGCAGCACCCTTGTTTTCCTTTGGCATTGATTTCCATTTTCTGTATAAATCCTAGACTAGGTAGATAGGGTCAAGGTAGTACTGGACTTGATTTACACGCGGCTATTGCTTCGCCAAGGCCCGCAGAGGCCCCGGCTCCGATCTCTCATGCGAACATTCCGTAGTCCCATGCTCCGGCAATGCTCCGGGTCTGGTTCCGGCTCCGCAGCCAGGCCGTTATCTTGGCCGTCTGATGATGCTGATGGTTCGTGACCAGGGTTGGTGGAAGTAGTGCTCATATTGGTACATGTAAAGGTAACGGGGTGAACGAGAAGATTTGAGATGAACGATGGCACTCTATATAGGTTCTGTTCTTCAAGTTCATCTGCATGCTTCTATTGCATGGCATTTATTACCTGAGACGAGATGTAATATCGAATACGGAACATATTGTGGATGGCCAAGAGCAAGCACAGCAGTTATCGTCCTTGGCTCAAGTACCGTATACATAAACCCATGAGCCAAGATACCGCCTACTAGCAGCGCCTCAAAGTAGTAGTGACCAAGCTCTATTTAGGCTAAATTACTGACACGATGAGCCCCTCTATAATCCACATCCACATCTCCTCTCCCCAAGCACTTTTCGACCATGGCTCAAGACAATCCAATCCCATGATCAATCAGTTGAAAAAAAAAAAGGACAAAAAAAAGAGGACCATGATGTAGTCCAAGGTGGCTAAATTGTGTCATACCCATCCGCAAATCCTTACTCCATGTACTTTAGCCTAATCGCCCGAGAAAACTAGAACAATGGAACTATCTCCAGGCATATATGGGGAATTTTGTTTAAGCGCGCGTATGTCAGGGCAGCTTTGGGGTGGTGTAACTATTACGTCTGACAGCTTTCGTCGCTCCCATAAAGCTGGGCCAGAGCCCGTTTAAACGCTTTTCAAGCTTATTTTGAATTGTTGAAAGGGTGTGGCTCTTTGCTTTTTAGCTTGTGGTGAATTGGCTTGGCGATATTGAAGGTCTGAGCTATATTATAACCATTTATAGACCCCTCATCACTACAGGATCTTGTACAGAGACATAAGTGGTGAGGAACCACGAAGCATTGGATAAGCAACACAACATACTGGAGTTTGAAAGACATCGATTCTGTGACCATGAGTGCCGACAACGGGCCCCTTTACCTGGGCTTTGACCTTTCCACCCAGCAACTCAAGGGTTCGTCCCCTCTCGAATGAAGAAAAACACCGTTCAAAAGGCGCGCAAACTAACACAAAAACCACCCATCCTTCAGCCATCGTCGTCAACTCCAACCTCAAAGGCGTCGCCGAAGCCAAAGTCGACTTTGACCAAGACTTTGGCGCCAAGTATGGCATCCACAAGGGCGTCCACGTGCGCGAGCAGACGGGCGAGGTGTTTGCCCCCGTCGCCCTGTGGCTGGAGTCGCTCGACCTGGTGCTGGAGCGTCTGAGCAAGGCGATGCCCGTGCCCATGAGCCGCATTAAGGGAATCAGCGGTTCGGGACAGCAGCATGGGAGTGTGTTTTGGAGTGCGAGTGCGGAGGAGCTGTTGGGTGGGCTGGATGCGAAAAAGCCGCTGGTTGAGCAGTTGGATAAGGCGCTGGCGCATGAGTTTGCGCCGAATTGGCAGGATCATAGCACGCAGGATGAGTTGGTTGCTTTTGATGCCGAGTTGGGAAATAGGGAGACGTTGGCTGAGGTTACGGGCAGCGGTGCCCATCATGTAAGTTGTGTCATGTCCTCTCTCCCCCCTTCTCTCTCCTTGAACGTCTTGTGAAGCTGATGGTATTCCAGAGATTCACCGGACTCCAAATCATGAGAATCAGACGAGTCCTGCCAGAAGTCTACGCAAACTCAAAGCGAATCTCCCTCGTATCTTCATGGCTCGCCTCCGTGCTCATGGGCTCTATTGCTCCCCTCGACGTCAGCGACGTCTGCGGCATGAACCTCTGGGACATCCCCAACCAGACTTGGAGCGAGCGTCTGCTGGCCCTCTCTGCCGGGCCGGCCGGTGTAGCCGATCTACGCCAGAAGCTCGGCGAGCCTCGTATGGATGGCGGTGGCTCTATGGGCTCCATCTCGCCCTACTTTGTCAACAAGTACGGCTTCAGCGCGGATTGCCAGATTGTCTCTTTTACTGGCGACAACCCGGCCACTATCCTTGCGCTCCCCTTGCGTCCTCTTGATGCCATTGTCTCGCTTGGCACGTCAACTACTTTCCTTATGAACACGCCTACGTATAAGCCGGACGAGTCGTATCACTTTTTCAACCACCCTACAACGCCCGGTAACTACATGTTCATGCTGTGCTACAAAAACGGCGGTCTTGCCCGTGAAAAAGTCCGCGATACACTGCCCAAGCCTGAAGGCGGTGCGACAGGTTGGGAGAACTTCAACAAGGCCGTGCTGGAAACGAAGCCCCTGGGCGTGGACAGTGAAGGTGACCGAGCAAAGATTGGCCTGTACTTCTACCTTCGAGAGACGGTGCCCAATATCCGTGCCGGAACCTGGCGGTTCACTTGCAATGGGGACGGCACCGACTTGAAGGAATCCCCGGAAGGCTGGTCTAAAGAAGCCGATGCTCGTGCCATTGTCGAATCTCAAGCTCTTTCCATGCGTCTCCGCTCACAGAAGCTTGTTCACACCCCACGCGACGGCCTCCCCGCACAACCCCGTCGCATCTACCTCGTAGGCGGCGGATCCCTGAACCCAGCCATCACACGAGTACTGGGCGATGTCCTCGGCGGCGCAGACGGCGTCTATAAACTCGATGTCGGGGGTAACGCATGTGCCCTAGGAGGTGCGTACAAGGCGTGCTGGGCTCTGGAGCGGAACGACGGCGAGACGTTTGACGAGCTGATTGGCAAGCGGTGGACGGAGGAGGGCTCGATTGAAAAAGTGGACATTGGATATCGGGAGGGCACATATCAAAAGTATGGCAAGGTTTTGGCTGCCTTTGAGGAGATGGAGGGTAGGCTGCTTGCGGAAGAAAAGCATTAAGAGCGGAGCATGTGTTTGTTGTCAATGGATGAAGAAGAGATGTGATGTCGCCGTGGAGGCTTTGTGATTCATTATGATGATGGCGTCTATCGTCCTCTAGAAGAAAAGAAATAGAAAAAAATAGAAAAATCTTGCCCGTCGCTAATCCTGAAAATTGCCGAACCGCTCCCATAATTACCGAACATATTTGCTCATGAACCGTCTATGGAAATCAGAACGTAACATGTCCTAAAGGGAGAAAATTGTTAGTGACTCTTAAATAAAAAACTAAACAGATAAATTTGGTAGTGAAACTCACATTCACAAACTCCTTCTTCTTGTTCTTGTCTTCTGTCCCTCTAGCCTGGTTCTTGAACACGACGTCATCGTCCCATCGGCGCTTCATCGTGAAATCCTGCTTATTGAGGAGGGGATTGCCGAGCGCAATGTCACGTTCTCGAGCCTCTTGCTCTTCTCTCGCACGTTCCTCCTCCTCCTTCTTCTTCTTCTCTTCACGCTCCCTCCTTACTCTCTCCAGTTCTCGTTGCAGCTCTGCATCTTCGTCGTCATCGCTGTCCTCGTCCTCGTCGCTATCTTCCTCCTCTTCACTGTCGTCATCTGCGTCGATATCTCTGCTCTCTTCCAATATCCTCCTTCGTTTCGCCTCGAGATCCTCTTCTTCTTCGCCGTTGGCAGACTGCGACCTCTTCTCTCCTCGGGCGGAGGTCATTTCTACATCTCCCTCCTCGTCATCCTCAGGGGCCAAGACGCCGCCGTTCTTCTTCTTGAAGTGGGCTGCCTCAGCCGCAAGAAGCTCGGCAGCGAGGTCGCGCGTGGGCTCTTCGTCGGCATCGCCGCCTTGTCCCGCCTTTCGGTACTTGAGCTGGGTGTGTGCTGGTAGGAGTCGCTGGTGGTAGGCAGGGCCTCGCAGGGCCTCTTTGCCACGAGCCTAAGAGTTGGGATTAGCATTGCCAATGTCGTTTACACCCGGAGAGGTGGTTTCTTACGGGATCGAAAGTAGGTCTATGAGCGGTAGTCATCTTGTCAAGATTTGCACAATAAAAGACGCTGAAGCAGCAGATTGAAATATAATGGAGAATCAGTAATAGCTAGGCGCGTGTGTCGTTGGATCAAAGTCGCGGCACCAGCTTAGATGCATGCAACTTTATGCACACCGCCCGGCAGAATTTTTCAGTGGCGTTCTGCACTCTCACTGAGAGCTTCATATCATCAAACTCACTCTTGGAGAGAAACAGAAAAGCAAATTGCATGGTTTTTCTTTTCTCTAAAAAATCACAAAATATTAATTCATCATGCCTCGAGAAGCGGAACCGTCATTAAGCGAGCGGACTTTTACCCTCCAGGCTATCAGCGAAGGGTTGAGATTAGACGGCCGAAAACTCGACGAATTTAGATCTCTGGAACTCAGCTTTGGAGATGACTATGGCGTGGCAGATGTAAAGCTGGGGAAGACAAGGCAGGTTCAATTCATATCCGATATATAGTGCGCTTTAACTTCAAGCTAGAACTGCCATTGCTAACATTCTATGCTCAGAGTACTGGCCAAAGTATCAGCGGAAGTCACAGTCCCGTTCCCTGATCGACCCTTTGATGGCATCTTTCAAATCACTTCAGAGCTCGGCCCCATGGTGGCCCCTTCGTTTGAAGTCAACCGTCCAACTGAAACCGAAGTTTTACTCGCCAGACTCCTCGAAAAGACCATCCGGAGATCGGGAGCCCTGGACACGGAATCGCTGTGCCTCGTCGCCGGGCAAAAGTGCTGGTCCGTCAGAGTCGATCTCCACGTTCTCTCCGCCGACGGCAACCTTATCGACAGCTCATGCTTCGCCGTTGTGGCTGCGCTGAGGCACTTTCGGAAGCCCGACACCAGCATGGAAGGCGAGACGCTCACCATCTACACACCTGCGGAGCGTGAGCCCGTGCCCCTGAGCTGGCTGCATTCCCCATTCTGCACGACGTTTGATTTCTTTGGCGAGGACGGCGAGATAGTCTTGGTGGATACTACATGGCTGGAGGAACAGCTGCGGGTGGGCAGTTGCACATTCAGTCTGAACAAGCATGGCGAGATATGTCAGATTTCGAAGCTGGGAGGCAAGCCTATAGAGGCTACGTTGATCATACAGTGTGCTCAGATGGCTTTGGCAAAAGTAAAAGAGTTTACGGACTTGGTGGATAGGAAATTGGCGGAGGATGCCAAGAGGAGAGACAAGGGTGGCTTGATGGCTGAGCTGTCTGCGGAAAATGAGAGATGAAGACAAAATGCCAAAGGGGGGCAATTAATGTGATCTACCTATATGTTAATTAAGAAGGATAAAAAAAAAATCAGGAAACAAAATGCATGATACCCCGATGATGGACTCTCCCTCTAGTGGATTACAAAATAAAATAATACAATTTCGCTGATGGATTACATTCAGCTTTCGCTTTGCTTGCGAACCAGATGAAAGAGCAAAAGCGACCCATATCTATCCAACCGAAAACGCCTCAGAACACCACCCGACGCTCGTCTTGTCTGTAGCCCATATACAACGCTTTGTTCGTCCGCTCGTTCGACGGCTACCTCATGACAGGTGGCCGTGACTCTTTGTTCCACTGAACCCTCGAACGCACCCAGTCGATTGCTTCTCGCACACCCTCGCCCGTCAGCGCACTCATGGCCAGCACGCGCGAGTCGCGAATGGCAGCACCCTTCTCGCCCTCCATAACCCGCTTCACAAGTCCTTCCTTGATGCGTATCGTCTCGACACAATCCTCTCTATCCTGCTTATTCGCCAATATCAGGAGCGGCACGCCCTCCGTCTCCGAGTGCTGCAGCACGTCCTCCAGCACCAGCCTGCACTCGTCCAGCCGGCCCGTGTTCTCGTGCGCCAGGTCGCCGTCGCCAATGTCCGTGCTGTCGATGATGAAGACGATGGCGTGGCAGCTGGCGTAGTAGCTCTGCCACAGCTTGCGGAGGGAGTGCTGGCCGCCCACGTCCCAGAGCTTGAGGTACATGTCGGGCAGGGTTATCGTCGAGACGTTCTGGCCGACGGTGGGGACGGTCTTGAGTTTTGGTTCGGGGGCATTGGGGAGGTACATGGACTTGACCTGCTCGTGGAAGGTCGTCTTGCCGGCATTGTCGAGGCCGAGGAGGATGACGGAGTATTCTGGGAGACGCTCTTGGTTAGCCGTGGAGGGGAGAGAGAGACGAACGAGGCCAGACTGTGCTGTGCTGTGCTCACCTTCTTTGCTTGTTGCGAGGAGATAGAGGCCCTTGGCAAGGTGGTACATGGTCGGCTCTATATCATATCATATGGCGTGTAGAGCCGTGATTCGCAAAGCAGCAGGTCGTGGAGTGGTTGAGAGACGTTGGATCATGGACGATGCATGTGCTTATGGGGAGGATCAGAGGCCGGTGAAAGGCTGTCTTTGTTCTAGCGAGCCGCCGCCCCCGGAGAGCTTCTCCCCACCCCGCTGCTGCCCCGAAGAGCCCCGCCAAGGAGAGAAAGACGATGGAAAATGGGCTAACATGACTGTAATTGAGTTGCTGTTATTTGTTGGATTTCTCATATACATCAGTTGGTTGAATAGGCTCATATCAGGCTGATATAAACCATGGGAAGTGATATGAGACAGCCATTAGTATCATGTTGGTCGATATCTTTGCCAAGTCTGCCGTGTAAGAAATACCCCATGCCAAGAATACATACATATTTTCCCCTCACCAGACCTGATAATACTCACGTCAAAACGCATTTATATGAAAAAGATTGCATTCAATGCAGATATTCCTTTGGCCTCAACTACAAGTACATTGCAAGGACTGGTGACAAACTCGCCCTGCAGCGATAAAATGACACGGACGGCGATCCATCCTCCGTCTTCCGTCTTCCCGTCTTGGCCCTGACACTTGTAGCACGTTGAACAGCTGGATGCTTTGTAATTGGTGCCCTGCCCTGCAGAATGGCTAACGAGTGATGAGGCCACGCGGCATCAATTTTGATCTCTTCTAGCAGTCTTATTTTTCTATTTATCTGTATTGACGGGATTAATATTCAATAGTGTCCATATTGCCGGCAACCTACTCCGTAAAGTACAGAGTGTGTACATGCATGTCCTGGTGGCGGCCTCGTCATCAGCGATCCACTAGCACGCCCAATTACAGGGCTTAGAGCGCTACTAGATCGCTATCAACCAGGCACCTGCATAACACGGTACTACAGTCTGGTACCGAGTAATAAACAACCGCAGTGCAGCTAAACTCCGGACTTGGACTTGGCGCATGTTCACACAGTCCTCGCTGGATTTCTAGCCCGAACACACTGCAACTCTCCTCCGCCAACTCCAGCCTCATCGCCGCTGGTCCGTCTCTCGATTTGCTGCCGTCGCGACTCTGTTTTCCGGCCTGCGATTCCATGCCCGCATCGTCTCGCTTGCGCCGCAAGGCTCGCGCATGCTCCACCATCTAACGAATCCGAATCCCACCTCGATCGTGTCCGCATCGGACCTCGACATTGCACGCCATGGCCGCCATGGCCGCCACCGAGCTGGCCAATTTGGGCTTCCAGCTGTTACGTATGTCTTGCGGAAATATCGCGCTGTAAAATTGCTGCTCTGGACAAGCTGACCAGTTCAACGTATAGGGCGAGAGGAAGAAGAGGGCGATCCCGAAGGTAACATCTCCCGCGATGAATAAGAAGACCAAGAGAGGGAACATGAGGAATGATGGACAAGGGAATAGAGAAAGAGGGAAAAGATTGCTGACAGTTGGTTATGTCTAGATGATGTCGGCGAAAAGGAATTCTTCGCGGCCAGAGCCATCTTCATCTCAATCATGCTGCTCATCATCGCCTTCTTCACAAGCTACTTTCTCCAACAGAAGAAAGTGACTGCTATCCATGAGACAGTCATTTCTATCTTTGCAGGTTCGACTACTCTGCTCCCAAACCAAAAGACTTGCGCTAACGTTGTCGGCTTCACAGGCATGGTGGTTGGCCTTATTCTACTCATCAGCTCAGGCGATTCCATCCGAAACCTCATCAGCTTCGACTACCAGATCTTCTTCAACCTCCTCCTTCCTCCCATCATTCTATCGTCCGGATACGAGCTACACCAGGCCAATTTCTTCCGCAATATCGGTACTATCCTGACGTTCGCATTCGCCGGTACCTTTCTTTCCGCCATGGTCATAGGGCTGATCTTGTGGGTATTCAACCTGGTCCCTGGATCCTTGAAATTGAGTCTGGTCGATGCCATCTCCGTCGGCGCAACTCTCTCTGCCACCGATCCCGTTACCATTCTGGCCATTTTCAACACGTACAAGGTCGACCCTAAGCTCTACACCATCATTTTTGGCGAATCTATCCTCAATGACGCCATTGCCATTGTCATTTTCGAAACCGCGCAATATATCAAAAAGAGCGAGGGCAAGGCCAACTACGGCATTATTAGCTTCTTTGATGGTATCGGCATGTTCTTGCTCATCTTCTTTGGCAGTATGCTCATCGGTATGATCGTCGGCATTGGCACGGCTCTTCTGCTCAAGTTTACCTATGTACGAAGATTCCCCAAGATTGAAAGCTGTTTGATTATCTTGATCGCATATGCCACCTACTTCTTTTCACATAGTATTCACGCTTCTGGTAAGATTCCCTCATTCGGCGTGCCGTGGATAAGTCTAATCATTGTCTAGGTATCGTGTCGCTGCTCTTCTGTGGTATCACGTTGAAACACTATGCCTACTTTAACATGTCGAGACGTACTCAACTCACCACCAAGTTCATCTTCCAAGTCATGTCGCAGTTGTCTGAGAATTTTATCTTCATCTACCTGGGCTTGGCACTCTTCACAGATAATGCTCTGCAATTCGAGCCCCCTCTCATTATTGTCACCATCTGTGCAGTATGTGCTGCTCGTTGGGTCGCCGTTTTCCCGCTTTCAAAGGCTATTAACTGGTTTATTCGCTACCGCGCGAGGAGGAGAGGCCTGGAAGTTGGTGACGAGCTCCCCTACAACTACCAAGCCATGCTGTTTTGGGCCGGTCTTCGCGGTGCTGTCGGTGTTGCACTGGCAGCCCTTCTTACGGGTGAAAACTCATATGCCCTTCGAGCCACGGTCTTGGTTGTGGTGGTCCTGACGGTCATCATCTTTGGCGGCACCACGGCTCGTATGCTGGAGATTCTCGGTATCCGTACAGGAGTGGTCGAGGAGATTGATAGTGATGACGAGTTTGACATTGAGTCGTTTGGTACTGGCCTTCAAGTCAAGCGCTCCGGGTCCGCCATTGGTTACAACCCTCGTCGCAACGGTAACGGCACTGTCGCTTTGAACAACCTCAGCGCTCCTACAGACAATTCCGCAGCCTATGTATCTGGTACTTCATCACCGCATACGGGCGTCCGGCCAAACAGTCTGAGCCGCAAGAATTCGATCCGCAATCCTACAGAAACCGAGCGAGCCGATCTGCTGCGTAGCAATACCGACGATTCCGATATTGGCAGCGACATTGACATTTCAGACCTGCCGCCCCCTGCGAATCGCCGCTCTCCCCGAGCGCCAGTTAGTCCTAACCCGCCGTCAGGTGAAGGCAGCGCCTTTATGAGCCCGGCTGAACCATCATCGTCTAATACTCCGATTACCGCCACGGGCGCCATTCGGCAGTTGCTCTCGGCGGAGGATCCAGCGAGCTTGTTTAAACAGTTGGACGATGATTTCATCAAGCCGCATCTATTACTTCATGGGAATGACAGTAGAGGCGGTGGAGCAGGATCTGTGTAAAGAGAAGGCATGCCATTGATGGGGCGTCTATTTCGGGGGGGTTTAATTATCTGTTTTCCTTTTTTTTACTCTTGGGAAGTATATGATGTATACATATCATACCCGGCGTTTTAAATTTTGACGAACATAATAGAATGGATGAAATTTCCCTTGCATTATTCCTTCATTTCTTCATGAATGATCCCTCACGACCCATTACTGCATCATCCCTTCATTTCTCCATTAATAGTCCCTCATTGACCCATTACTTAATTGATCATTGCTCATGCCACTTCATACATCACGTAGACAAGAAAACAAAAACAGAATTTGACAACATAAATCAGGGGCCCCAGCTGGTCACCCCAGGAACTTGATTCTCTGCATACGACATTTCCACCATTGCCCCAAGCCAAACCCCCTTTTTTCGGGTTCCTCGGGCAATCATCTTCTCCAACTGTGTGTATGCACCCCTAATGTTGTCTCTGAAACGACGAAATAGAAGAAGCTATGTACATTTCTCTACAATTGGTTTGCCGCCCGCCTTGCCCGCTTTCCATAGCACATTCCTTTTTTGTTGTTGTTTTTGTTCTTCCTGCCTTTCGCAAAACAGCCGGGAGAAATAAAACTATCCTTGCGAACCCCCTGTTCTAGCATAAGAGAGGAGACTTGAGTGAAGAAAAAAATGAAGAAAGAGTTCCAAAACCCGCATTGTGAAAGCCCACATTATAACAGATAGAAGGGGGGTGGAGAAAAAAAGATAGAAAAGGCATCTAACGTTAAAAAGTGTAAACCAGCCCAAACCTCCCTTTCCCGCTTTAACACCTCCCGTTTTGCCCTGACGAAAAAAAACCCGTCGAACGAAAAAGACGTGTGAGAAGGAAACAATAACCACGTGAGCCATTTGCATTACAATAAGAAAACGAGCACCGCAGGACAAAATGCAGAATCGCTAGATGTTTACTTGCCTGCGGAAGGGGTTGCGCTTCCACTGGCCTGACGCTGAACAGGTGCAGGACTTCCAGCCGGAGGGTGTGCTGGTAGTTGAGGAGAGGCTTGGGGTTGCGACTGAGATTGAACTTGCTGTACTTGAGTTTGAGCTTGGGCCTGGGCTTGGGCCTGAGCCTGAGCCTGCGCTTGAAGTTGAGCCTGAGATGGCTGTGGTGGCTGAGGTTGCGGCCTTTGCTGCTGCTGCTGCTGCTGCACTTGCGCTGGTGATTGCTGTGCCTGAACTTGCTGCTGAGCCTGTTGCAACTGAGGCACCTGCTGAGGTCGCTGCTGCTGCGGTGTCGGCGTCGGAGTCGGTGTTGGCGTGGGCTGCGAGTGTTGGGCCTGATGCTGCTGGGCCTGAGCTTGAGCCTGGGCCTGAGCTTGGGCCTGCGCCTGTTGCGCTTGTGCTTGGGCCTGAGCTTGCTGCTGCTGCTGTTGCTGTCTGAGCAGAGCGGCATATTGATGAGGACTGGCCGTAGCAGTAATACTAGTAGCAATGCCAGTCTGTCCACCGGCAGCAGCATTCATTGCACTTTGCCGCTGTGCCATCATAGCTCTTGTCAAATGTTCAGTAGCAAGGTGGCGAAGTTGCTCAGGTGAAAGGTTGGGATTCTTGCTCCTGAACTGCGCTTCCAAAGAGTTTATTTGTACAGCGATAGTAGGAGGGATCTGCGTTGGCAGTCGAGGGCCGGGAGAGGTGCCGTTAGCAAGAGTGGGCATATGTAGACCATTTGCAGCCCCAGAAGCATGACCGGCCGTCGCGTTGAACGAAGCCATCATAGCCTGGGCATTATTCATAAAGGCGGCCTGTTGGGCGATGGCAGGGACTCCGTTTCGCATAGCGGGCGATGAGGCTGCTTGTGCTTGTTGAGCAGGAGTTCCAACAACGCCCCCTTGCTGCTGCGCATGCTGAATCTGGACTGCCGCCCGTTGCTGCTCTGAGATGCGCTGTGCACGCATCATCATGCTGGCATCAGGTTGCTGACCAGGCATCTGCATCCGATGTTGGGCTTGCATCGCTTGCAAAGCCTGCAATTGAGCTTGTGGGATGCCGCTCATTTGCGCCGGTGGAGCGAGATTACCGCCCATCTGGGCTTGAGCGTTGATGCCTTCCATACCGTTCGCAGGGGCCTGCATGGGCATCCGTGCTCGACCCTGTGCTGCTACTGCTGCAGCGGCTGCTGCCGCAACGGCGAGTTGATTGGGAACGGCCGCTCGGTTGACGACGCCATTCACGCCATTGGCAACCGCTGCAGGAAGCCCTGGGGTTTGACCAGCCGGGGCTGCTGCACCTGGTGCCGCGGCCAACTGGGCGGATTGAGCTTGGGCTCTGGCCTGGAGAGTAGCCTGGACGGAGTACGTTAGCTTATGATCAGACCGAATACTACCAAAATGAACGTCTACTTACCCTCCTCTGGGCTTCCTGCCGCTGCGCATATAGCGCCATCTTTTCAGCCAGAGCCTGGTCGCGCTCCCATCGCAACAGACTGTAATCCCTCGGTGTCTTGACTGGCCGTTGAGCCATTGTATCATTCACCTTCTTCGCAGCGTTCTGAGCCGCAGAATGTTGCTGCTTCTGCATTGTGGTCTCTCTCTTCTTCGCCAGCTTCCTCATGGCATCGATGAGGGTCAGATGCTTTTGGTTTCGCCGTCTCTCTACTCTGAGCGGAGTAGATTGTCTTCGTCGTATTGGTGTTACTGCGCCTCCATCTTGAGAAGCTCGCTGTGCCGCCAACTGATTTTGCTGCGCAATCACGCGCTGAGCGGCCTCAATCCTGCTGTTGTAAGCCTTGAAATACTGGGTCTTCTGCATATCAGCTGGGAGGCCCTCCAAGTTGATCCACCGTTCAAAACACTCCCACGGGGTTCTCCTTTCTGCTCCTGACGCAAATAGAGATTTAGTAAACAATAGATTGGAGATGAGAGACCAGTTGTACGAATATTCGCGAACTAGGCTACGGAGCTCATCATCTTCAACCACAGTCCATTGGGACGGATTACGACACTCATAAAAGCTCTGCAGAGGCATGGGATGTTCAGATGGCGGCCGGAACTGGTGACCAGCGTGCAGTCGATCGCGGATGTGCTTCGATTCTGGGGCGAATAGAGCAACCTCGGAGCTTTGCGGTGGAAGCTGGACATTGTGTGCGAGCGCATCTGCATCAAACGGACTCTCCTTTTCGTCATCGGATTCGTCATCACGATAATTATACCGACTGCGCTTTCGCGGAGGGCCATCCGATAGAAGCTTCATTTCTCCTTCGACATACTTGCTTAGAGGTAGAGCAGGTCGTCTCCACTGAGCATCAGGGTCGTATTCTGGCCCTGTGAGCTCAAAGCGTGGAATCTTTAGAGGAGCGCCGTACAATGGCAGCTCCTCCAGCAGCTTATCTGAAGCAGGCGTCCGTCGCAGCGCAAAGACCACATCCTCTTCCTGTAGAGCAAATATGGCAGATGGCGCAACAGTTTCAGGAAAGTCTTCTTCACCAAGATGATCTGAATTCTGGGGCGAATCTACGTCTTCCGTAATGAGGTCAGGGGTGGGGTGGCTCTCGGCGCTGTCAGCATCGGCATCGCCCATTGTCACATCGTTCGTCCTGAGCGGAGGGATGAACGCGGCGACTTGTAAAGCCTTGCGCTCTTCGGGAGTTGATTCAAACCATTCTGCACAAGCGTAGGCGATGTTCTTGGCCGCGGCCATTTTCCATTTTCTCTCTTCTCGGAAATCAGTCCGCATCCATTTCATCTCCTGGAATAGCACATCTAAATGAGATGGCGGGCGAGTTGGCTCAGGACATCGTTTTGGCTGTCTCAAAGACCATTTGTCGTGCTGCTGAAGGTGGTACACCCTACGCAGAACTTTACATGCCTGGTGGTCTTGAATCGCAAGGTACGCGTCAGGGGTAGCGATAGTCTTATTCGCATGGAACAAGATCTTTTCGATAGGTTGCATCCAGTTGGTAGCCCCTGTGAAATTCTGGATGAAGAGTGGAGTATAGTAATCATCAGATGCCTGAATCGTTTCCTTCTGGCCAGGAACCAGGGCCTTCTCCTCCATTTGCTTCGGCTGTTTACCAAATAACACAGTAGAGACATGGCCTTTTGGCCTGTCTCTCCTGCCTGTGCTTTTAGGTCTTGGAGGCGGTGATTGAGGCGTGGATGTCATGGGAGTAAGCTGGTTTTGTGGTGCCTTCGTTGCATTTCGTTCTGCTGTACTGTTGGCTCGCGGGGTCTCTCCTACTATTTCAGACACGGACTTCAGTCTCATGGCCCCAGACGAAACTCTTGTAACCGCTCTCTCGGGTGCTGCATGTTCCTTGGGCGGTGTTGGCTTAGTAACAACAGGCGATGTGCTAGTAGAGGCCGGAGGAGGGCGAGTAGGTGGTTGAGCTGCAGGTAATTCGACATTTTCCGATCCTGTGGCCGGGATTGGATCCACGTCCATGCGTTCTGGAGTTTCTTCTTGGCCATCGGGAATTTCCTCAGCCGCCTTGATAGCTGGCGTCGAAGAAACTTTGGCGTCTGTGGGGGCCTCTGGATTTGCCAGAGTGGTAGGTTTAGCCTCCTCGGTGGTGTTGATAACAGCGGTCGTAGCATTGAGTCCACTCTGAAACTTTACGGGCTCTGGGCTTGCAGCCGCAGCACTTGATCGGATAGACTCTTGAAGAAGCTGATCTTCATCCAGTCTGGTAACTTTGGAATCGGCCTTATCTTGTTCCGGCTTCGTAATATCTGTCCCCATCCCCGTCTCAGCACTTGCAGCATCTTGCACCTCGTCACCTTGCTCCTCCTTTTCATCAACATCCCGCTCTATCCTGTCGTCGATATACTGGGGAGCATCATGCTCAGGGCTGGTATCCGCTGAGACGTCATGGTTTCCGGGCGTCGTTGCACTTGGTGCCGTCGAACCTGGAGAGGAAAGCGCATCGGGAATCTTGGAAACCGCGTGGGGGACTTTGATGGAGAGTTCTTGGTTACGCCCAACCTGGTTCGATTGCGACTTGTCGATTACACCGCCATCGTCAGCAACATCGACGCCTTTCGTTGTCCCTGCTGTCGCCACATCACCGGCTGATTCCCTCGATGGCGATCCCTTGGTTCCTGGAGGAAAGGAAACCTGTGCCGGCCTTCGTTCAGATGAAACATCCTTACTCGCCGCTCCATTAATCACTTGCTCAGCGTGCTTCGGCTCGTTCGTTGCGGGCGCAAGGACTAGAGGCGTAGTAGCAGGCTTGGCGTGCGCAAAGCCTGAATTGGCTCCGGCAGGATGTGATACATTGTTGATGCTCTGAACAGACGGGGTCGGTGTAGGTTTCGTTAGTTTATTCAAAGGTTTGCTACTGTCTTCGGGAGGCGCAGGGATCGACTCGTTCGATATGAAGCCAAGAGGTTGTCGCAACTCGTTTGTCGGGACAGATACAGCAACTCCTTTGATTTTGGCAGATGCAACGGTCGGAGTAGGGGGTGCGGGAGAGTGCACGGCTGTTTCCTGCAACGATTTGACAAGCAAACGCTTCAAGGTATCTACAGAGAGTAACGGCCGCGCTGGGATAGCCTGTTCGTTCAACGTCTTGCCTCTGTTCAAGAGTCAGCCACCAAAATGACATTTGATTATATAGTTCAGACGCGACGACGCGACCGCTTGGACGAAACGATTATGCCTCGGATTTTTCGATAAAGAAAAATCAAAATAGGGATACGAACTGTAATATTTCACTGGTCTGAAGAAACTGCCATTCCGCAGCGGTAGTTGCCGGCGCGTCGGGGTTCGCGAAGGCATCTTGCGGTAGGCCCTCGACCTGAGTCGTGACAGCGAAGAGCTCGCGAAGCTTCCTCTTCCGCGATGTCACGATTGCACTGTCGGCGGTCAGTATGGCGTAAAGTACCTCATTGGAATCGGAAAAATCCGCTCTTTCGATTGAGCATCAACTCACTTGAACTCGTTTCGCTTGGATTGAAGCAGCCTCGATAGATCGGTGTGGCCGACCTCCGTCATAGCATCGGCGGGAGCGACATCCGTTTGCAGGCGAAACGGATGTCGGAGGATAGCCAGAGACGTCGTCTGAGATGAGGCTCGAGATGCACGGCGATGGAAAATGCGTGGTGGTGGCCGTTTTGACGGATCTTCTGGCCGGTTGAGCGTGTCGCCGGTCGGTGCGAGGGCAGTCAAACTCTGTCTTGGGGGGAGTTTGGCCGGGGGGGAGCGCTGGAGCTGGCGGAGTGCAGCCAGTTGGGCCCGGGCGGATACCTGTTGGCACTGTATGGGGTGCGCTAGCCGTTAACAGCGGTTGGCGGGCGTTGGCTGGGCGCTGGCTGGGCGCTCCGCTAACGAAGACGGTGCAGAGCAGACGCCCTGAGCGCCTAGTGTACAGTAGGGTAGATATTTTCAGGCACGGTGCATCACCGCTTTGTTGTGCTGTCATTTGCAGGTCATTGCTGCGGCATCGAGTCTCTCTAAGACGCTTATACAACTGTAAAACACCGAATGAATCGAGAAGATGCTATTCCGAGAACCCCTATCTAAGGCGATGCCTAACTCCTCCGAGGATCATCCATCCATACTGTTTAGATGCCTAGAATTGACTCCAGGTCCCTTTGCATCTGCACGCATCAGGGATCCATCTGCGATCTTTTTCTCCCCTAGTGGGTTTTAGCAGTTAGGCGTCAACAACGATGTGGGAGAAATAAACTCTGGCATCAATGAATAAGCTCTGGGGTGATGCCTATCTCTAACAACTCGCGCACATTAATTGCCTACTCTGGTGGATTTGCGGATGTAATGGAAAACAAATTCCTCCACATTTCGAGGTGGCAGAATTAATGTTAGATCTGCTGCTTAGTCTCAACAATGTGATTGTACTGTAGCTTTGGCCAATTCATGTCGACGCCTCATCAACTCGGTTTTTTCCTCCCTTGCAGCCACACACGCGCCCCCCCACTCCTGATTGCGGCTTCAATTTTTTCTGTCCGACTCGTGAAAAAATACAAATGCAAAGTGCCTTAGTGCCTCTTGATTCTGCGCTAACGCTTTTTAGCCTGCGATACGTACCTGTAGTAGGTACCAAGTACTTTTTTGTCAAAGTCATCTTTTGAGCTGCCAAACATTGAAGCACGCTTCTGTCACGGCCTCAAGGTACATAAACCTTTCACAGACAGCAATTTTACGCGTTATGTCTGACCAGAACAAAGGTCGCATAGCCATCAAGTTTGGCGGAGGCAGCAATTCAGCGTCAGCAGCGAAACAGTCCCGCGCGAAACCGTCATCGAGTCTAGGGAAGCGGCCGCGCTCCCACGCCTTGGGGGGAGGCGAATCCGATACCTCAGATTCCGAAGATGACCGCCACCGAGGCCGTCATGAAGCCATCACAGGATTCGGCGCAGAAGGTGCCGAGACGAAACGAAAGCGACAGAAGGAGGAGAAGAAGGAGTACGTCATTGCACGGCAGCCGAATCGGAGCTGGAAGGACGAGTTGAAGAGCCAAAGGGGGTCGAAGAACTTACTCCCAGAAGAAGCCAGAGCTCAGCAAAACGCCGTTACAACTGAGACGGAGCCTGCCGACCAGGACACACCGCTGAAATGGGGATTGACGATCAAGGAAAAGAGCGCTGTATCGGAGGACGTGGTGGTATCGGAGCCGACTGCTCAGCCCAGCGACGAAGAAATGCAAGAAGCGAATCAAGATGGCAAAGACACGCCACCAGTTGAGCGGACTGCCGACGACGAGGCGATGGATGCCCTGCTTGGCAAAATATCCAAAGAACAAAAAGTTATCAGCACTGCACCTGCAACAGAAGACGATGCCTATCGCCGCGACGTTGAATCCTCCGGCGCAGTATCCACCCTACAAGACTACGAAGAAATGCCTGTCGAAGAGTTTGGCGCCGCTCTCCTCCGCGGCATGGGCTGGAACGGCGAGGCTCGCGGCCCTCCTGTCAAGCAAGTCAAGAGGCGACAGAACCGACTTGGTCTTGGCGCCAAGGAGCTCAAGGAAGAGGAAGATCTCGGCGGGTGGAACCAGAACGGCAAGAAGTCTAGACCACGGTTGAATGATTACCGGAGAGAGGAGAGCAAACGAAAGGAAGGCCGGGGACATGAAGACAGCTATAAACGAGAGAGGGAGCGCGAGCGCGATCGTGAGAAGGACAAATACAGAGAAAGGGACAGGGATCGAGATCGAGATTATCGGGATAGGGATAGACATCGCGACAGAGATCGGGATCACGACAGGCATAGGGACCAGCATCGCGACCAGGACCGGCATCGCGACCATGACCGGGACCGTCGACGATAAAGGGCAGCCTACTGCCATACATATTTTTTATTCATCACTCGGTTGAGAGCAATAGGATAACGACGACTGGATCTTTCATTGCTTTCAACTTTCATATGACAAACGAGTACAAAAGGGGAAACGCATGCAGCAGACATATTTGCATTTACTATCACATAGAACGCGCATCCACGCATAATTCTGAAATCAGATTTCATCGCTCAAGCATTATTCTGAGCTTTTACATATTTACTGATCAAATGATACACTATTCAGTCGAGATGTGAACGGCCATGTACCCGTCTGATCCAGCAGACTCAGAGATACTCCTCTCTCCTTCAATCACTGCTATATTTTGGTTATTTGGCGTTACTCCTCCATGCCCTTCTCTCCAACATTACAGCCTGGGTTTTACTGTAGGGATACCCGGCTCAGGGTATCCGTCAGAATTCCGAGCTGCATCAGGCCCTCCCCATCAATTTCCACCTCCTTTGCGCCAGCAGCCTTTTCCAACGTCTTCGCAGCATGCACCAGCGGCTCGACGTAGCGGTGCTCAATAGCCGCGGCCATGCCGACGGGAGCCAGACTCTTGTAGTCTTCGCCAAACAAGAAGAGCGCAAAATTGGCTACTTGCAGGTGGAAGGGCGCACTCTGAGCCCAGAAGTCGAGTAACGTCGAAACATCAGCCTGCTTGAGATGTGACAGATCTGGGAACAAGGCGTATTGAATGGTGTCGAAGCATTCTGGACCGGCGAAGCGACCCTTTGAGCCGGCCTTTTTCGCCGCAATAATCTCCTCTCGTAGCCAGGAGACTGCACATGCTTGCAGAGACGCGAAGACGCAGCTCTCCAATAGATCTTCTAAGATGGCCAGTCGGTCTTCTTCTTCGGGATCGGAGTGCAAAATTGAGCCTGCTACAACGGTTGCAGCATTGCGAACTCGGATGTTGGGGTGGAAGACGGAAATGAGAGTTAAGAGATGGTGGTAGGGCATGAATCCTGTAGCAGTCTCGGCGCCTTTGGGGTTTGAGATTGCTTTCCGGCCGTCAAGCCAGATGGCCATGACGACCAGGGCCTCAATCGTTCCTGGGTTGGTGGCAATCTGGCCTTGAGATTCATCCCCCAGGAAGCTCTGTAACAGAACTTGATGATCTGGTAGCAGGTATTGTGGAAGGAGATCCCCATCTGGACCGCCACGATCCGCATCAAATACGTCGGCAGCAAACATCCAGTAAGCATTCAGACACACTAAGCCACCCGTTGACAAATGGAGTTGCTCTGGGTGCTGGGGGTCAAAATCAATTGACAGAGGAGCCCGATGTATAGGGCCTTCAAGATACTCTTTTACCTTGAAAGGGGCCAGTTTCGACAAGCCCAGGTCACTAGCAAGGGCCTACATAATATTGTTAGCTTCTGTATTTGCTGCCCCCATACTTTCATCTGATATCCACAAAGGCTTTGAGGGAAATACGCACCACCAGCTGCCCTAATAGAGCATCCTTTGCTTGAAGCTCCACCACTTCCTTGAATGTTTGGATCATAGTCTTTCGGCCAGGCACTATGCGCTCCGGGTAGGTGTATTCGAGCATTCTTGAGGCCCATTCTATACTGTTAGAGTTGACGTATGCCTCAATGACGCATGTGATGAATGATTGCAGTAAGTTGGTCATTATCTGCGGCTCGTCTTTGTTCAGAATATCTGAGCGCTCTGCTTCCGGGTCCGGCGCTTGTTTTGCCGGATCACTGTCCTGGAATGGCGTATCCAGCTTGACGCTCGATTTTCGCGAGGGCAGCGGGGGTCGCGTCTGGCGCGCAAGAGACTGAACCAGAGAAATGACTGCGGCCGTAGATGCTGCGCTTGTAGCATCATAGCATCTCTGCACTGTTTCAAGCGCAGTATGTAGAAACCGCGATGGCGCCTTGACCTGGAGCCGTTTGAGTAGAATCCCCAACATTCCACAGAGTGTGACAAAGTGTCTGGTAGCTTTCGTCTCGCCTTTTGTAGTGATGGCTTTGGAGCCTCCCGCTTCCTCTTCTCCTGCTTTTTTCTCTTCTTCATCATCCTCATCAGCCTCCTCTCCCGCAGCGGTGGTTTTCTCCATAACCTCGAGCACTTTTAGAACGACCTCTCGTGGGTTACCCAGACGCGCAATGCTCTCCAGGCAGTCTTCGCTGCCAGGGATGGGGATTAGCATGTCAACCATGTCCCAGCCGATTTCAGTGGTCAATGAGACATCCTCCAGGATCTCCTGCAGCGCAGGCAGGATCTCTGGAGACAAGGACATTTCGACAATGGTCAGATAAGTGGCGGCATCTGTTGCAGGTGGGCGAGACTCCTGGAGCCGCCGAACAACTTCCTCGGTTGTTGCCATGATTGGGGAGTCTGTCAGATTGGGGAGACGGGGAGATAATCGGCAGCAAGGCGGGTAGGTGCTTGTAGAGATGGCGCAAGTATCGCGTGAATCCAGATAAGCGAGAGATGATTCTGTCGATGCCCGATCGCACGGCACTCAAGATTAGCAGATTGTCAAACGAACGAGTGATGGCCTGCAGAGGTTAGAGAATGGAAAAGAGAAAACAGATGACACAGCCGTTGATCGCCGAGCTACAGGTTCATCGGAGCAGCTCGTGCCCCTCCCCTAGTCCTACGGAACCGGCCCCAGGGAGACGAGACGCCCCGCACTAGCTGCTTTAGAGAGGAGACACGCTGGAGACGTCACTGTAACAGGGGGAACAAGAGGCCCAAGTGGGGGAACCTACCAAACGAGCCGCGTCTGAGGGGTAAAACAGCCCTGGAGATGGATGTGAGATATCAGTGAATTCAACGCCATGCAGAAAAGGGGATGATGGATACATGCGTGTAGTCATAGTATTGATGGTAGTACGGAGTACCTATATAACAGCCAAGAGAAATGGATGCATTTTTCGTAGTTCTAGAATCAGTACCTGTGACGCCGCGTGGTCAAGATCCCACAAATGTGCAGATCCCGCCTCTAGATAATCCGCCACTACGGTACATGAATCGCCTATAACCGGCTTGCCGGCGTTCATGATCCAAAATTCCCTGGCCATCGAAATTGTGTTACGGAGTATTCGCAAACATGAATCAAGATAAGACCACGCTGCCTACGGAGATGATGGACGCTTACTCCACAGGAGGACCCAGCGCATACGTGTTGTCTCCTGAACACACACGTAGATGGTGATATTTACAGCCCAACAGGTGCTGCCTACCCGGGACTATGTCTGCTTTTTAAGGGGCAACCTTGAAAGAAGTAGCACACCCTGAAAGTCATTTTTATTCTATCTCTTCAATAATTATGTCCATAAGACATGTTTCTTTACCTAACTCCTTATCCGAGGGACTTTCTTCAGTAGCTTTACTCCAACTCCACTGACAAGCGTTAAATGCAGTAATATGTATGCAGTAACACCTTAACTGGCACAAGATGGCAGCATCGTCAAGAGATAGGTCATGGGATTCTAGCTTGCGTGTTTATCTCTTTGGCACGTGTAGTAGTACTGCGATTTTTTGCTCGGAAGTATTAATGCCCAGGTGGTGTTTCGTTGTTTGCTTTCACCGCTATATATCGATTACCTATAGGCGGAGAGCATTTGATCTATGCTGGTAATGCATGGTGGAATATTATGCAGCCCCCGAACCGGCCAACATCATGTACCATGTACATGTAGCTACATGACCAAAGCTATCATTAAAATCATATGAGTAAAACATCTGTTTCTTTTTATTTTATCGGATAGTGTATTGATACTGTAGCCGTACGAGATATCCACCTCAGCAAACCTCAAATGCCTAACAAAGGATTTGGTGGGCGACGCCTGTCAACAATTCTGGAGCCGCCGCCGCCTGCCAACTCATCAGATATGCATAAATGCGACCAATGAAACACCATAGACTCCCAACTTACATGTTTTTCATGCCGGTGAGGCTGTGTCACAGGCTCTTAGTTAGGCTGTGCTTGCATGTAGGCTGTAGGCTGTGCTGTAAGGAGGAAAAAAAAAAAAAAAAAGAACAGCGTGGTGTCGCAGTTGAAACTTTTTGTTCTTCTTTAATATCATTCTGCTTGACAACTTAGTGGTCATTTCGCCGTGACGGCATAGTACCATGGAACCTTACGAACCGACGCGGTGCATACATGCACCGAATCTACACACCACTCTCACAGCAAAACATAACCTCGATCTGGATGAGTTCGATGATAGCGGCAATCTGGCATCTAAACGTGCTTGCTTACAACCCCAGTATAGCCTGACTGAGAGTTCACTACATGTACCTTCAGCAGGGCTCCAAACCTACACTATCGATCCAAATGTCGATATCAACTTCGATCGGAATATCGACCCAAACCTCGATCTGAACATCGATACAAATCTAGACATCAAATTCTCTGTTGAAACGGCTGAAGTCACCGATATATCCTCGTTTGGGGATCAAATGGATACGGGTAGTGACGCAACGCTTTGTTCCACCCAAGAGGACATCATGTCAAGTAAGTCATCAGGGCCGAGCCTAGTGTGTAGCTTTCTTATCATTCAATTTCAATGATCACAGCCAGTCCGGACACTTGTAACATCGATTCGACAGCGGCGAATATACCCGCAATAGTTGAACCATCGGAGCCTGATACTTGTTTCGGCACTGTATGTTATGCCTCTCATGCCCTTCTGAACCTTGAACCCAATTCTTAGCATTTCGCAGATCATTGCAACTGCGACATCTTCCTTTGAAGGCCATGAAGGAACGACGCATACTCCAGTGATCTTCGAGGCTCTCGAAACAAAAGTAAAGCTCTCATCTCAAGATACACAAAGATATGCCGGAATTATCAATAATGCCACCTTGGCCAAGATTTTTCGCGAGTTTACTATCAAAGCCGATGCCAAACTGGTAACCTCGACAAATTCGAGAAAAAAGACTTCAAAAAAAGAGGTTAAAGGTTATCGTTCACCAGTTGATTGCCCGGTTCGAATTGTCCTGTATGGGCTTGCTACTGACCAATATACCATCGGTCATATTCTTGGAAATGCCGGATTCTATTTTCAACATCCACTGCCTTCAGAGTATGATAGCAGTATGCAGTATCGCAACCCTCATTATCTGCTTCGTCCAGGGTCCCAATTGCCGACACTGGAAGAAGATTCCGCAACGGGATGTGGCCGGAAGGTGGAATCAGATTTGCTTAGCACATCAAATAAAGGGCGATTTATGAGACTCTTTGATGAAGCCAGCGATTTTATCTTGAGGACAAGTATCGAGCCGAGTAGTCGCCTCAAGTCCACATTAAAAGAGTAAGACATATCTTGCGACATCACCGGTGAAAGTGTATGAGTGTTGATCTTATTAGGCATCAACTTTTCGCCTTCGCCTGGCTGACTGCAATTGAAGCTGGAGGTGTACGAGATGGACACCCGTCACTATGGGAGCCATTATCTGGGCCAGGCCCAACAAATGAGTATATATCTTTGTGTCATTGTCACGCTGTTCATATACTGATATTTGCTACCAAGTTATCGTCATAAAATTACGGGAAATCGGAAAGCAAATCCAGAACTCGCCCCTGGTGGCGTCTTAGCAGATGTGAGCAAACAATTTTGCCGACAAATAACATGTCACACCCGCTAAATGTACCTTAGGAGATGGGATTAGGAAAAAGTCTTAGCATCCTGGCTTTGATCTGTGCATCTTTGGATGTCGTGGATATCCAAAGGAACGAAAGTGGAGATACGCAGCCTAGACAATCTTGGACAACGCTTATTGTCACACCAAAGTCAAGCAAGTTGTACCACGCTTTAATCATCCTTTCGACATCTATTGACGATTACTAGCCATACATAACTGGCAGCAACAATGCGAGAGGTTCGTTGAATGCCTTGTAAAAAATGCAGATACTAACACGACCCAGCCACATTCATCCAGGAAGGATAACAACTGCAATATATCTTGGCTCGGGCCGCAAAACTCTTCGGGACGTCCTTCTAAACTCAGATGTAATCTTGACCACTTACGAAACAATGAGACGAGATTGGGAAGAAGGTGGGCCTTTATTTAGTGTGCAATGGTATCGGGTAGTCCTTGACGAAGGTATGTATAATCAGAATTGCACAGCCGAGCTATGGATGGAAATCTTGGTAACACTAAAATAACAGCACACCATATCAGGACCAGGAACTCTCAAACTTTTAAAGCGGCCTGTGATATCCAGGCTTTGTACCGTTGGTGCTTAACTGGGACCCCAATTCACAACTCTCTCGATGACTTTGCGGCACTTCTAAGCTTTGTCGGGGTGCCGGTCTTTATGAAGAAAAATCTATTCGATTTTTGGATATCAAGGCCAATTAAAGAAAAACACTCATACGGCTTGAAGAGACTTGGCTTGCTGATTAAAGGCACCTGTCTGCGGCGTACAAAGAAGATGATTGAATTATCGCATCCATTACCTGATCGACGAGAGAAGATAACGTGGGTAGAATTGACACCGAGAGACCGCAATTTATATAGCTTTTTCGAAAAAGAGGCTGCCAACATTGCATCAGGATCTTATTGGCACAATAATGGACATCCGAACTCGAGCGATCGACAAAACAACAATATCTTAAAACTGATCAATTTTCTTCGCTTGATCTGCGACCATGGGGAGCAACTTCTTCCACGGTCAGCTGTTGAAATTTGGAGTGCAGATGGAGATAGAATCATTGACTGGCAGAACTTTCAAGAGCTTCAAGTGGCATGTGATATGTGCGGCCTGAAGATTGACAATTTCCAGGGTTGGTCTTCGATCGAACTCGACAAATCATACTCACCAGTCATATGCAAAACATGTCACGCCAGTACTAGAGAAAATGGGTCTGGGATTGAATTCACAAACCCCCAAAACTCTATGCTTATTCCTAATGGCAGAGAAAGTCCGTGTTCTGCAGCTAAAATCCGAGCAGCTCAACAGTCACCGAAGCTGAAGGCTTTGATTGACAACCTCCGTCAGGAGCAATTTCTTCCAGCTCATTGCATATCGAATCCGCCAATCAAAAGGTAAAGAAGATCCAACATGTCTGAAATTCAATCAAATCAGCTAAGCTAAAGAAAAAAATAGTGTTGTTTTCAGCTCCTGGACTAAAATGATAGACCTAACCCAGCAATGCCTCAAGGCCAATGGCTTTGTCTGTGCACGAATTGATGGTCAATTAAGTCTAGAAGGACGATCAAAGGCAATAAAACAATTTAATTTGGAGCCTAAGTGCACCGTAATGCTTGCAACTATTGGTAGCGCTGCTGAAGGGTAAGTTATTTACGTAGAATCTCCTTCTAATAGCATTCCGGTGTCACTACAATTTTTACTAACCGGTAGATCCATAGAATCGATTTAACAGCTGCTAACAACGTACATTTGCTCGAGCCGCATTGGAATCCAATGGTTGAAGCTCAGGCTCTTGACCGTGTACATAGGATAGGACAATCACGAGAAGTCCTCGTAACAAGATATGTGACGAAAGACACGATAGAAACGGTAAGCGATGTTTTGTGCACCTAGCCCGTACTAATCAGTATTTTCGATGTATGTGTATGCTGATGCTCATAAAAACAGTACGTGCAATGGATACAAAAAGAAAAGCTCAGACTCATCCAACAATCACTCGATTCTCAGAATAATTCTCAAGTAGATATCAGTGATCAACGATGGAAGGTAAAAAGCCAAAAAAACATAAACTTTTTTTGTGAAAACAGCTAAAAGAATACAGGAGTTGCGAGCCTGTCTGAGGTGTGAGAGATCATCTTGATATTACCGAAATCATGCAATATATTGTTGATGGATGCTTATAGGGGCCCTATGCCCACTAATATGCATGATAAAAGAGAGATAAACGATTAACGAAAGATTGAGTGTTTAAAAATAAAAGTTAATTTCAACTTTCGTCTCTTTTTGTTCGTGAATTGATAGTCTCTCGATGTCAGAGCAAGTTACATATCATGGCCACTGAATCCCCCTTTCCCTATCCTCTTTTGCTTTCTGTATTAGTTCATCCCAAGATATACCAAGCCAATTGGAAATATTCTTAACACATTTCTCATCTCTGATTCCTTGGCATATACTTGGGTTTGCTCCCTGGTACAGCAGAAACTTCAGGAACTCTGCTGCTTCAGCGCAGTCGTGACGGGCGGCCCAGTGTAGTGGTGTGAGTACTCCATCATGCTGTCGCTCATCCATATTAATGCCGTATTGTAGCAATGCCCGAGCAAGGCGTATTGAATGTGTCGTTCGAGCAATAATCCTGAGTATTCTGACAAGGTCCACGGATGAGGCTTTGGCAGCACCATGATTCGACCATGCGTTAATGAGATATTCTTCTCGCTCTGGACATCTTGCGCTTGCTTTGATAACACCTGTATTCCCGAACACCAAAAGTAAATCCCTATCTTTTCTAAAACGAATTTGTTTCATAAAAGTATCTATTGCTTGGACTACCTCCATCGAGCCAGTCGTGAACGATTCTCCCAAAAGCTTACTAACACGGTATATGTCATTTTGAAATGTTTTTCGAGCTTTTTCATCGTGCAAGTCTGATAGTATCACAGTCAATGACTCAATATTTTGGCCATTTACCCCAGCTGATATGATATCGTACCACTCATTGGAGTATGTAGGTCTCCAGTTCGCCTTTTCATAGATCAACTTCATCATTGCCGCAGATCCAGAATGTGCAACAAATTTTAGCAATTCATGTACATCATTATGCTTGATTGTATCGGCAAAACGCGGAAGTTTTTCAACTGCCCCCACATCATCAATAGCAACAAAATCGAATAATAAAGGCAAAATATCATCAGATTTTGGATGGAGCATCAATGTCTCGTTATTCGGCGAATTATCTTGGGCTTCTGCTCGGTGGAGTTCCAAGTGCCTGTCTCTCATAGGCTTGGAGATAAACCCGACTTCCGAGTAGTGGCACGAGGAAATGTCACATTTCCAAGGGAGGTCGTGGGTCTTTTGGTGAGACTCTCTGAGAAATCGAGTATCGAACCCAGATCGGTGAAATGCGCAAGAAAAGAAGCCACATTTATACAGTCGTCTGCCATAATGGCGCCTCAGAATGGAGCACAAACATTGATCAGTATGTTGCTGCGCCTGACACTGAAATTTGTCAAACTGGGCATACAACATCTTTGAGATAGTTGAAGTAGTGGTGAGGTCAAGGTCAATCCAATAGTGCTCTGAAGGGCCCGTTAATTTACAAACGGAAGACGAGAGAACAGGACGTTTCACCTTGTTCGAGATGGTAAAGGGACGTGGAACATTTCTGTTGGAATTGCGCAATACCGCGGAGGAAACAGAAGATATTGGGATTGCGAGATTTGAATTGTTGTAATTCCGATGGATACCGTTGCTCCTTTAGTTCGGTGCGGCCAGACAAATCTTGCTTGCATTGTTCTTCGTAAAATTTATGTAGAGTTGTGATTAACTCTTCTGACAAAACTTGAGACTGATTCAAGCGCAGATATTGGGTAACAAGGCTTAGCCATGTGTCTGCGGCATAGTAGTGTAATCTGTAGTTACCCATCTTTATACCGGCCTCGAGGTCTTTTTCGCTAATATCGGGAGAGTGATGATCTTGGCACAGGTATCGTATGCAACAGATTGCTAGGCTCAGCGTCGCCTCAGTAAGATCAATGTGGTTCTCAATTTTATGTCGACTGTGAATATATCTATAATAAAAATATATTAACAAAGATGCCGTAGCAAAAGTTGGATTACTCACTCCTTGACTGTGAAATGCACGAATTGAATGTTGCCCTCCACAACCTCGATAATGGGGCCACAAAGACGAACAAAATTCAATGGCGAAGACACTCTAGATGTTTCGCTGATCGTTACCACCAAAGCTTGTTCTAGTTCCAGCAACGTCAAAGGTATTGGTGAGCAGCTGATCCAGCCGAGAATAAGTCGGCACTTCTTCTTCACGATTTCAGACTTGCGATCGATTTTCTCGAACAATCTCCCGTATCTATAAGCATGTCAGCTTCTTGTTTGCTTAAAATGGTTGCGCTTCCTTACGCTTCATCTAGGTCCTGAGGAAGTACTCTCAGCTCATTGCGGATCTCATCTAGATTGTCAAGCTCCTCTATGCTGCGCAACATGATCTTGGCGTAAAGAAACATCCCTGCTGAGGAGTAAGCGATGGCCAACAACAATATGAATACAAAAAATGTGTACCCTTTGCTTTTAAAGAAATTGGCGCAAGGAGGCCTTCAATCTCGGACTTGTCTTCGCGTAGAAAATCATGAGCTGAAAACCACGTTTGTGCCCAGTCGTCAACGAACATTTGGATGCTTGCCGCATTGTGTGTATCCACTCGAATTGTTGATGATATTTGGCCCAGAATTGCCGAGATGTCGTGTTCTGCTCGACTGCTTATCAATAAAAGAGTCTTCTTGCAGGCTGTAGATGTTTCGTAAAGACTCTTGAGAAGTTTCTCTCGTTCAGAGATATCAATCTCATCAACTCCATCAATAATTATGCTCACGAGGCCGGTGGAGTTAAGTAGCGTTTGTAGAAAGCTAATAGCGACATCAAGGCTGTTTTTAAAATTTTCTCGATTCGAACCACAGAGAATCGCCTGAAGATTTTCGTCATCCGAAGCCAACTGGAAAATTAGAGAATGTATAACTGATAAGGCCGTGGTGCTGCTACTGTTAGCGTGACTGAGAAAGACGAATATAGTTCTGGTCGACATGGCGAAGTCGATTGCCATAGCCGCTAGATGAGTCTTTCCTATCTAACTTGTTAACACATTTTAAGGTAGTGGGAACGAGAGAATTAAGATGGCGAACCTGCTCCAGGAATACCGCATAGCCATAATATTCGCGTTGAATCATCGTCTCCATTTAACCACTTCTTGAAATCACTAGCTTGCTTCAGCCAGTTCCCGGTCCCTTTACAGACCTGACCCCGTATCCGATACAGCTCAGCATCATAAAACCTTGGAGAGATGTCAGTCTTGACGATGTTGTATTCTTGACGCATATTACTCTTCTGCGTTGCTTCAAAATGGTCGAAAGCTCGCTGTCTGTGTTCATACTCCTCCCTGAGGTGCTCTAGGCGGACTTTGTTTCTCATTAATTTTGTATGTCGTCCGATATGATCCATTACAATTTTGATTTTCTCCTTCTGAGAAGGCCATAGTGCCTCGAACATCACTCGCCAATCTCCAAACTTTTCGTCAGCTCGCTTTATTCATTGCGGAGGGCTTGTAACATACGGGGCAAGCCGAAGAACTTTAAAGCTACGACATAAAAGTCAAGAATATCTTGGAAAAACAGGACAAGCACAAGCTTCATTTGCTCATTGTTGCCGAACATGGCAGCCATGAGCTTAAATTCGGGTAGCAGCTCACCAATCTCAGCTGCGATATTGGCAAGGGCATCGATGGATTGCGTTAGAGAAGCGGCCCATTGAATAAGCAACTTAATTGGACCCCAAATGAGTGCGAGAACATCCGGTTTGACTTGTACGAATGTATCGATGGTATCTGCGTAGCCTTGGAGTCCCTCAAGAAACGGCTTAATTTTCGAGAGATGCCGAAGTCGTCCCTGTTTCGCCTGTTCAGCCTGAAGTGCGTCTGTTGCATCGTAGACCTCGTCAATCGATTTCGTTTTTAGAATCTCTGCGTATAATTGATCGTTTTTCAGCTTGGATTTGAACTTGCGAACGGCTTCTGCGAACGCGATTTGGGTGGGATTGGGATCAGGGACCGTTGTCATGACGCCTAGCGAATAAACTGTGTTTGCCTGAGTAAAGAGATCAGCGATATGAGTAATGAATAAAAGTAGTCAAAGACTGCTAAAGTACGGCAATTTGGTTTACTAAATTTTCCGATATGATCAAATGCCTAGGACAATTGGGGAGCGACTGTGAAAATTGAGGGCGAGAATCTCTTGACCAACGGCTAATAGGCAACAGGCTGGGCAGCATTTGTGGCATTGTTAGGCAGATTTGAGGGGCGCTAAATGGCAATCATTATTGGTGAAACCGAGTCATTAAAGTAACATAGTCAATGTACGTAAGTTGATTGGGCAGTGGCAAGGCATACCGTATAATCGCTTCTAGCCTGGGCGCACTTCCACAGCCTTGCGTTCCCTGGACTGGCTAAACGGGAGAATCTGGAAGGAAAGCAAATTTGCCCGGCTTAGGAGTGCAGCTCTATCTAGACATATCTATATTTTTTATGTACCATCACTAACAATTATGTAATGAGCGTGGCTGAAGGATTGGAATATAATGGATGTTTGTTCTCCTTGGACTGAATTCTTGGAAACTCCCAAAGGAGAATGTAAATGCATATGCACAGGTACCTTGAGGGCTGCTAAGATCGAGATATATCACACCTTGTCAAGAAAACACAATACTCTTAATGGACCTGATGAAGCTGGAGCAAGGAACCGAGTCAAGGCCTTTGGCAAAGATTTGACAGCTCATAAGCTTTGATCTATTAAGGTGCTGCAGTGGACGTCCTGTCAAGATGATTGTGAATATTTACCGAATTTGTAAAAAATTGCCAGAGTCTTGGCTAGGGTGAGCAAAAGTACAATATTCAACTGCTCCACGGGTAAACAATTGTGGGAGACAGAAGAGTTTATTAAAGCAGGCTAGAGGTATAACAACACGTAATTTACAAAGAATGGTGGCGCATAGGCTAGAGAAGAGCTCCATCTGCTCATAGAGCGGTTCAAACAACTCTAAGCATTCAATAGCTGGTGGCTAGAGTTATTGATTATACCCGCGTGTGCTCATGAAAGCCGAGAGGAGGTTAAGACCGCCAAATTAAACAAGCTTTTACGCAGACAAATGCGAATGGAAGCTGAAATAGACTTGAGCTAGCTTCACTAACTGTTCGCCAACTATTGGGGAGTGGGGTTGACGCTGGAATCATTGACGGGTCCTAGTGCATTTAATGCATATATTTTGTTGGCTGGAGTTTCCATATCATTTAAGCCAGAGCGCCTGATGTAGCGTCTTTAGGAGGACCGCTTATTACTTATAAGTTATATATATTTTACGATTTTCCAGCACTGCTATTTTACAAATTACCTCTTTGACGATTACTGTATAAGCGAAACAAGCAGGAACTTCCGCCACATACAACTAGAGGTAGCGGAAAACTGGGGTTCCGTCAAGTTTCTAACCATGGTTTAATACCTTCGGTTTACACCTCCAGAACACAACGTTGAGATCACACCGGTCTGCTCTCAAACCCCGGCTACAGGCAACTTCGAAGGATTCCAAGTGTGAGCCTATAGGTTGCGCCTTTTAATATACAATTTTATTAACTGCCCCTTCATCTCTCATATTTGATCAGCTGCACAAAAGACGCACGCACAGCTGGGTGGACCAACATCTGCGCCTATGACTATTTGACCATAGCGCGTATCCAGGGGTTGCCGCACTCAAGAACCCGCCATGTCCATCCTGCAGACGGAAACAGGTTTGGAGCTGGTATTGGTCCCGAACATTCCCATGTGAAGATTTGTAATGGGGCTGCGTGCTTGGGTCAAATAAATATGTGGTCACTGCATTAGTATTAGCGTTCTTTGAACATTTCCAGTGTAATTTCTCTAGTGCCATGGGATCATTGTCATTGCGGCTGAAACCGAGTCTTCATTCTGCGGTTGAACTTGGTATCCGTCAACATCGAAAATTAAATCGGGGAGGATCAATGAGATCTTCGAGATAAGAGCTATGTAAAGATAACGTAGGGCTGCTGTGGCAAGGAGAAATACACCTGATTAAATTGCGAAGATATTTTTGACGTTGAGTTCAGAGTAGAGCCTGTCTTCGTTGGCTCCTATCAACATGAACCAGCTATCATCTAATTTGTTGCAATTTCAGACCAGAATAATCGACAAATGCTGCTTATGGGCTTAAATTATAAGTAAGGCACATATTACAGTTGAAGCTATAGATTGGGTTGTCAAAAACAGAAGCCTGCCTTTTACTCACAAGTAACTCTAGGTTTTCATCTCCCGTGGTTACGGTTCGAGGACTCCATCTTACCTGTGACGAATGGATACTGATATGAAGTATGTTGAGAGTTGAACCAATAATAATGACAATAATACGTGTGTCTTGAGCCGCATGGCGGCGATATCGACATAATAACATTACACGGGCGGATATCTGGCGGCATGCCAAATCCCGAACACACTATGAACAAGAAGCATCGTTTCCATAGTGCAAGGCGCAATAGCTTATGGGGGTTTTGGCTCAAAATTAGCAATCCTACCTACTTTTAACACCATAAGAACGTTAAGCATCCAACAACGGACAAGCCGTCGCAAACAACACGGGGTTCCCGTTCTACTAGGAGTCTATGAATAGATAACCCATTCAGCTTTCTAAAACGAGCTGCCTTTTTTGACTAGCTACATAAAACTGCTACACATTGCGATAGTATCAGCCTATCGTGAAATGTTTCTTCAATGCAGGGCACATGAGCAAGATGCGGCGCTAGGCAAACTAACAACCAACATGCATACGAACCCTTGCTTGACCAGCAGAGCCCAGCTCCGGCCTCTCACTCCATCATATTAATAGTTACTCTTCCCCCAGCCATCTTTAAAGTAGGAGCTCAGTGGAATTGTAATCAAGGATTAAACCCGTTCTAATATGGCGGCCTCAATCGAGCATCGTGTTTTCGAGGAGCTCGCCTCAATGCTGGAAGGCATCACCCCATTTCCGAATCCAAACAAATTCAGTTTTTTAATATGCCGAGGATTTAAGAAAGGCACAGCTGATCGCTGCGGAAATTTGGCTTGCACAGCTTCAGAACGAAAGGACCACGCCGATCTTTTGTCTGAGTTTCCACCCACCGCAACATGTGTCGATACCAATAGCCACTACGATACAATGGAAATCCTTATTACTCTTATGTACTGCAGATATCACCGCGAAGATGCCAGTGACGCCTTTAACGAATGGAAAGTACAAAGGAAGAAAGCTGCTCCAAATTCACCACCGATGACTTCATCGGGAAGCGCGACACCGCCCACTAGTTCTTCAGAATCGCTTCCTCATCTAAGCAGCATGAATTTACTAAGCACAGTTCCTGATAGTCCAGGACATGGCGACCCTTCCTTGGACTCGCTTACAGAACAAATCAAGGGCTTGAACATTAAGAATGCTGCCCAAAACACCAACGTCGAGGCAGACCGCCCTTGTTCAGATGAAGATGAAGCACAAATGGAAAAGCTAAACAGAATCGGGGTTGCTCATCTCCCGGAAAAGGGGAAGGAGCACATCAATTCTAAAATATACGACGCGGTACGAAAACCTCTCGATGCTAAGGTAATGTCTGGCGGTATTCTTTACGTCCTTGAGCATACCGAGGTATCTGGTATATTCAAGATCGGATATTCGAGTTCTTCTGCCGCGTTGAGACTTAAACAATCCAAGAATTGCTATAAATATGGGACGAGGACTATTCATGAAACTGAGGGTGGAGCATTCATTGGTGTTCGCCAAGCCGAAAAGATTGCTCATGCAATACTACGGCACAAAAGAATTTTGTTTTTCCAATGTCCCCAATGCAAACGATATCATAAAGAATGGTTTCTAGTATCCAGACAAGAGGCAATCGAAGTCGTCAAGTTGGCGGAACGATGGCTCAAGATGCCAGCTTACACTCTACACCAACAAGAGGGGCAGTACAAACTAACACCCGAGGGAGACACTATATCCCGGCTAATGTTTCCCTTCTCAACATCTAAAATGGACGTCCTGATGAATAAAGTCGGCAAATCAGCTAATGATTCCGGTACATTCTCCGCTGCTAAACCGGCAGCCTCTATTCGACAACCAAGCGCATTTGATGTCTCTTCTGGCGCCACTAAGAATGAAATTCCGAGGGTTATCGTCAATGACAGTCATGCTTCAAAACCATCTGAGAGCAATCACCCCCAGAAAGAACCTCCATTGGCAGATGTCAGTAATAAAGGGGTGACATGTCAGGTCGAATACGAAGAAATATCTGAAGAACGAGAAAGCCGATCCAGAGAGACGACACCTGAAGGACATTATTTATTGGTCAAGAAGAAGATAATACGAAAGAAAGTATCCATAAGTAAGATGGGGCATAATAATGGACCCAACTCTTCTCAGATTGATGTTACAATCAAGAATCAAGCGGGGGAAGCAGTCGTTGAGGTTCGGGAGGTTCATACTGCATAAATCAGAATGCTACGATGATAACCACCCCCTGGGAGCGAATCGGTGATTTAGCCTTTTATTGTTTGTATGCACTGCTACTTACTCTTATTGATACAAAGAATCGGCTTGAACTCTGATGATCATGATCTTACTACAAACAATGACACTGATTAAATAACTCTATCTCTGTAAGCTGATTTATAGCTCAGCCTCTTTTGTATCGGCTCTCTAGACAATGCGCTTGAGTGCTTCAACTTAATTTTCTTTCACCCCAATTCCCAAATGAGTCAACACATGATCTCTAGACAGTCACGTCATTAATATTAACCATTATAACGGCGTGTAGGAGTCGCTGTTACTGCTGTCGTTATTTTGATGATGATGGATCTGGCTCAAGAGAGGGGATGTGCTGAATAATAGATGTTTGCTTAGTGGAATATCTTCTAGCTCTTAAAGATGTTGTTTTTACTGCTTGAAGGAAACTCATCAGTTTTTACAGATATGGAAGGCTTTACTGAATTGCAAAGATGTTACCAAAGTATAGTGAATTCATCCACGCATGCATATACACACGTATTATGTTTGCGCTCATTTACCATCCCCAATTCAATTAAAAAAATGAAGAATGAGGTGAGCCACGATCTGGCAGACGGGCTGTTAATATGAATCCTCCACAACTAGTCGAAATTCTCGACATGCAAGTATAGTCCATCCAGTCCGCTCCCTTTGTCGACAGCCAAATCATCACTTATCCTCACCACGGCTGACCTCACGGCCACTGATAGCCCTAACGGACCACAGACCGCAACGGCCGTCTCGCCTTGCGCCTGGTTGACTCTTCTTTCAAGCATAGTTCGGAACGTAGGCCGTCCCACATGCAGCTCCGCGAACGAGATGTCTGCATCTGATGTCCGACGGTTCTGCGATTTCGAGACTTCAGTCTGCTCGTCGTCAAGAACAAGTGGTCCATCAACTTCACCGTCTTGTTCTTTTTCTTGTTCCCGTGGTCGACCTCTTCCAGCAGACTCTTTGTCGCTAGAAATGCTTTCTTCGCCTGTGATATGAATATTGCAGAGCGTCTCAACACCTGCCTCTTGCAGCATGCTAAACGTTGTGCGCAGCTCTTCAGAGACCCAGGATATCCAACTCTGGTGTTTAATTACCCAGGTGAAATGGAGGGTTCGAAGGGGAAGAATCTTGTGCGTTTTGGCACGCTGTGCAATATCCTGAAGAACAGAGAGGGTAAAGGTTACTCCAGTCGACCCGGCAATGAGGACCAGCGTATCGAAGCAGGCAAAATCTGCATGTGGGCTAGGATACGGCCCGTCAATGAGCGTCAGATGCATAGATTGATGCCCCTCAATCTGGGCAGCTTTGAGAAGTCGTTTGGTGAAGCTGCCGCATGACCGCAGAATAAACACCATGTCACCTCCATGCGACGATGGGGTCGACAATATCGTCGCTGGGTGCCCCTGCACAACGTTGAATCGGGGAATGAACAGGCGTACATACGACCCTGGCTGCCATGACTTGATTCCAGGGCTAGAGAGCCGGATTTTGGTTGCGCTGCCCTCTAGGGGTGTCAGGGCCGCTCTACTTGGCCGAATGTTGACAATAACCATCCTCACAAAGCGAACCAACTGACCGACCAGATACAAGGCAATGCTAATGTAGATGTAATTTGTCGAATAGGGCGATGACGTTCCGTACAGGTGATAGACAAGCGCAACTGTGAAGCCAAAATACGTGAGCAAATGCTGCACGACAAATATTTTATACTTGAAGAAGCGCAACGGTGCCAGCGAGGTCAGATTCATCCAGAGCAAGAGGGCATACGCAGAGATGCCTGTGGGTGTGCACTCGTCAGTTTTCCATTCGAGGACCATCAAGCCATAGATGTTCCAGGCATGACTCTGCAGTCCAAAGTGCAAAGTTGCCAGCAGTAGCAAGCCACGTGAGACCCATCGGTGGTAGACGTTGAGTCGTTCCACAGACGAGTTGACGAGGAAGCCAATGAGGCTTGTTTTGCTTGATGTTAGTACCAGCAGCGGCACTTGGGCTGCTCCGAGCCATCCAGCACGTATACCGAGAGCTTGGAAGTGTTGTGCACCAGGGATGTTATTGTTGATAAACACCAGAGCCAAGATAAAAGCCAAATACGCAGTAATGATGTAGACATGGCCCAGCGGAGGCACTTTTAACCAACTCGATGCTGCCAGAGGCGTGATCTGAGGATAGCTCGGTTCTCGAAGGAGGGCTGCTGTGGTCGCAATGGATTGCGTGAAAGGATTCGCGGGCTTTGCAGGCCTTGAGCGGTTTCTTGCGCTTGCTCTGAGTCTGATTTGTGCTGTTAGCACCAGACATCTGCATTTGAGTAGGGAATATCTGGGAATCGTGAAACCCACCTCATCCGTAATACGCATCTCTGCACAAAGTTGCAGATACTCGCTATGCCAATGACTGAAACAACTCCATACCAGAAATATCGTGCATACTGGTTACCGACTGGGCCCAAAACCGAGTCATCGAGAATCTCTTGCAAGAAGTCAAACGCCTGTGTCTCGTTGGAAAAGTCTACGCCAGTTGGAGTGAGCGGTGCAGAGGACGACGGTCTGTCACCGCCCATGTCCATGTTGAGGGTGATTTCTGGATGACGGCCTCGCTATGTGCTCTTTCTAGTCGCTCATGGCCCACAAGCGTAACGTGGAACGTGTGTTATATAAAAGAACCGTCTTCCGGCTGCCTTTAGGCCATTGCTCGAGGTGTTTGCTCATGAAAGATGAGGGGATAAAAACTGCATGCTTATATGCGTACAAATCTCATTGCGCAATGCCGTACTAAACAAATGTCCGTTGCCGTACTTCCGGACTGGCCTCCTACTCTCCAATCCCACCAGCACTTGGAATCGCATTACAGCGGGCAGCCACCTCCAGTTGAACCAATTAGCAAAGTGAGAACTATGAGCCGCTCATCAGAAATCTAATAATAATCTCACATACTTGCTCAAATGTTCTCAGCCTGCGATCCGAATTGCTGTTCGGCAACCACTTCCGGAGTTGTGGGGAAATGGCTTTTACCATCTTCTGTTCTGACTAAGAGACTGAGGCATGTTTGCGATACTAGTCCGCAAGCCTATGATCATTCTTCTATTTTGCGCCACCACCTACGGAGTACTTTGTCATAAAATAGCTTTGCAATGCTGATACAGTGTTTTGACGGTCCTATCTACAAAAAAGAACAGTCAATGACTCTACCTGAGGAAATTTAGTGATTTATTTATCCCACTGTGCATGCTGTGAAGGTCACTGAAGTTGAAAACAGCTGCCCTTTAAACAGAATACATAACTATCACCACTCCTACCAAGTAGGTAGACACTGCAACAAATTGAACCACCTACCAATTGCCTAGCAGGAATGATCGATGCGCAATTACAACATCATGCAGCTCTTCGATGATGTTTAGGATGACTTTCCAACAACAAATATGCTAGCAACATTAGAAAGAGCTTGTGAATGAAACATTCACCATATCTGAGAGCAACAGCAAGGAGTTATACACAAGACCGACGCAATGTTAAATAACGAGAATAGCTATCCCAAGCCTCATTTCAAGAAACACGATGTACTATCTGCGTTGCAAAATTAGATACGTACGAGCGTAGGTAGTGAAAACTTTGGGGTCCCGTCAAGCTCATCTCGCGTTTAATCTCTTCCTCTTTCTTGCGGCCCTAGGCTCCAAATTTTTGGAGCCCCAAGATCCCGGTTTTGGTGGTTAACCAACCTCTATACTAAAAGAGTGGCCATAGATATTTACCCACAATTAAAATAGACAGCAGAATCTCCAGTGTGCCAACTGAAGATACTGGACGTGGTAAGGCCCCCGCGCATTATCTCGGGTGTGGACAGTCGACTCAGTTCGACCACGGGATATTAGCGATATATACGTCTCTTAGTTGGGATAATCTCCACTACTGTACATTTCACCACCAACTAAATACCAGATTTAGATGTTGAAAATGTTGCTGATTAACACGCTGTGCTGAATGCCGGTGCGCAAGCGCTGCCGTTCGGGTGTGGCCGTGTATTAGCCTGGACAAACGGCAGTTGGAGTGTGGTGGAGCTGGTCTTTCCACGTTGAATGAGATCTTCTCTTCCTACTCTTTCTTGTATGCATGGGGTCGCTTAAAGGCATTGCGTGTCTTTGCTTGTTCTGAGATTGTGACTTCCAGCTCTTGACGACGTTGTTCTTCCAATATCTACAAAACGAAAGTGAGTACAAAATGTTTTATATCAAACTGGAGCGGTTATTGACTTTATTAATACTCCTGGTCTAAATGCCTGGCTCAGGTACTATTCTACAAGATTGCAAATCATCTAGACCGCCAAAACATCGTGTTGGTGGCACATAATGCCAGTATTTAGACCTACAGCATAATGTCGAGAGTAATCGACTAAATGAGAAACAGAAAATTGAAGAAAACTCGACTCGCTGTCGTAGCGCACCTTTTTGCAAAATAAAATACTACTGTCAAGGTCTAGAACATGTAAACGACAAGAAAAGAAACTAGGTACATGCCTGTATGTAGTCAGTATGAAAGCTAAAATGCCAGATAGAGCCAGAAGCATGAAGAGCCCATGCAGTCTATCGAGATACATGGCTAGCGGGAGTTACAATATATATCTCAATAGCTACCGGGCACCCAACTTTTTAACGGAGAAACCCAATATGTCAGCTCTAATGCGCTTATAACATCCCTTAAAGTTAATTAAATATATACAGGACGCAAGGGGAAGGTGAATGATGAAGAGAGGGCTGTAGGCCTGTTTAAAGAAGGCTAGGGTTGGCTCTAGACGATGATTCTATTCGTTGATATAGCATTCATCCATATGCAACTCACAAAGGATTCACCCTTGTGACACTGATGACCCCGCATCAAATATAATAACTCCTCAGCTCTATCAAAGAATCCACTCAGAGCTCTGCCAGAGTAAACAGATGCTCCCCACCTAATCAAGCTTAATTTAACATTAAGTCAATAGTGCCGGAGAAAACCGATACATGCTTGTATCAAGCAAGGCTAATCTACCATTGTCTAATGTTGAATGATTCAATATATGCACAAGGTCTCTATTAACCTGGAAAATTTATAAAAACTACCCACAACCCCAAAATGTTCCTTCATGATAACACCATTAAGCCTATTCCTCTAGCAATTAAGCAAAAACAATCTCACATAGATATTTATTAAAGAGTTCTCCTACAATGCTTTTCACTCAGAACCTCCTTCCTACCATGCTAGCCTTATCCTTGTCCACAACAGGTACCAAGGCTGCTATTGCAATCGGGACCAAAGCCAACCATTGGAACAGTGTGTTGTTGACTATCCTTCATCTTCATACAGTTCTACATCCTCCCCGCTTTTGAGGAAATAGCACTAACATCTTCCGCTGTCTATTAGTAATGTGGGTTGATGGTACCGACCCCTGCGCCTCGACCTTCATCAGCTACGTTGGCGAGAGCCCATGCAACATTACCCCCCACCCGCTCCAGGGCAATGGGTACAGTTATACACTCCAAGGCTGCGGTGGCCCGCTATGGCTGAACAATGGGGATGGCTCCTACAATAGCAACTGTTATGATGCGCCGGCTGACCTCGTCTGCGATACGCACCGGGTGTGGCTCTGCGGCTAGACATCTTTTACCTTAGTAAATGAGACTTTTTGGCCGGCTTCGTGATCAAGTTGGGGGCAGTGACCAAGCCGGGGCTAGTCTGGCTTCGTAATATGAAGAGAGGAACGTTTCCCCTAAATATATAAAGAAAATCAGACAAGTTACTCGAAAGGCAGACCGTAAGATTGTGAAACAGACGGTAGCATGGATGTTGGCCTTGTGATACTCTTTTGGCTATCTTGAGACGTAATCGAAGGATTGGTGATATATAAATGTATGCAAGGTGCAATCATGTCAACCTCGCTTTCTTGTACACCATGTCCGCGTACTATTGACGAGACAGCATGTTTCAAAACCTTCTCTCCAATTGATGCCAATTCGGACCAAATTGTCTTGCTTTTGCCTACTCAGGATTCTAATTTTTGCTCCTTATTACTATTTTCGTACGGGCGAATCCACGGGGCAGTTATCAATACATGTACTCAAGGAGGAGAATATACTAGGCGACAATTATCCTTCTCTCATCCGCGATCGTAGACTTTTCACCGTTTACCGGCTCAGTTACAAAATATCACACAATGCTGCTGAGCTAACATCCGCCTATATGCAGCTACAAAGCTCCTCGAAACAGGCTTTCTTTTGTCATCACACATAGCTATAAATACTTATTGTATGGGCAAGTATGTACATAGGTAGTCTGTGTAACAATAATAAACAGCCGGGCTGGAGTTTTCTCTCGCACTTTGTGTGAACTTCGATATGATAGAAACCCCTTTCGTTGACTTGAATCCGTCAAATACTACTCAAAGTCCAAGCGGTAGCTCAGCTGGCCGAGCAGAAACGCCGAGAGCCCCTTATAAATTATATACATACCTAGATACAGGTACACGCGTCAGTCCCACGTTTTAACCACACCATGGACCCGTCCTCGATCGCTTCCGCTGCCTGTAGCTTGTTGGGAATGACGATCCACATCTCAGGATCGCTCTACGGAGAATGGGACCACCCAAGTAACCTGCTGGCTGAGCATTTGATCTATGAACTGTCTCAGCTCCGCAATGTCCTGCAGCCACTCGAATTGACAGCTTTGTCTGCAACACATGCCGTTATTGTCTCCAGAAAACTACTTATCTGCTTTGACGACATGAAAGACTGTCTTGTCTCGTTGGGATCCGGGCTACTAGGGCCCGACGTGTTTAACTTCAAAAATTATGAGCTGCGGTGGCGTTCGTTTAATGCCCCCAGGCCGTCACAGGCTACCCACCTCTCATTTACGCCTACCGAAGGCCTTCAGCAGACGCAGCATCTTCAAGCTTGTCTATCGAGGTTGAGGGACAAGTAGTTTTAGCAAATGTCTCTTCATGAAATCTCAGTGCTAACGTGGCTTAGTATTGAAACCTTTACGTCGCTTAAGTCTGAAGAACCCGCTCCAAAGGATATGGTAGACCCGCGCGGAAATTTATGGCGAGACTGTGCTGATTACTTTACCGCTCATGAGTCGGCGCGCCAGTTTCGACTAGAAGGCACCGGGCAATGGCTCATTAATCATGCACATTTCCGGAGATGGCTCATTGGAGAACGTGTTGCTAACACCCTCTTTTGCCCAGGGGAACCTGGCTCGGGAAAGACGATCCTGACGTGAGCATCTCTGGGCCTCAAGTTCAATATCCGATCCATTACTAAGAAAATGGGATATCTAGGTCTTTGGCAATCGATGAAGTTCAAAAATGGCAACAGAATAACAGATGCTCGAACATTGGACTCGCCTACTTCTATTTTAGCTATAGAAGGCCCATTCCGATGCGACATGTCGTATTAGCTCTGCTTCAACAGCTGCATTTGCAATCTTTGTCGCCAGTTGATGAACTAACTGCTCTGGAAAGGCTGGCTGCAAAATCTAAGCACATTCCTTTCGCAAGTGTTGTTACAGTCCTCCTGACTGTTTCAAGACAGTTCTCAAAAGTATACATAATTCTCGATGCCTTGGATGAATGCGCGCCAGGCTACAAGCCTGACTTGCTGCATCTACTCACATCAATAAAAGACTCGCCAGCCCGGCTACTTGCGTCTTCACGACCTCATCCGACTTTCGGCGTCTTGGAAGTCGGCCCGAAGATTGAAATCTTGCCACCTAAAGAAGACATCGAGCATTATGCCAAAACTAAATTACAGCATGCACCACTCTTTGCGGGCGACGATGAATTATTGGATGAGGTTATTTCTGCTCTTGTAGCTGCTAGTGAGAGACATCATATGTATGCTATTCTCTTGTCTACTGGCTACTGTTAATAAGGTGCATAGTTCTGATATGACCCGTGCATTAGGTTTTTGCCCATTGCCTTACAGATTGATGCGGTCCTGCAAAAACGTACCAACAGCTGAACTTCAACGAAGTCCATACTCTGCTTACCAGGATAGCCTGAATCGAATCCAAACCCAGGAGCCCAATATGACAGCCTTGGCAAAACGAACCCTCACCTGGCTATTTTATTCTCAACGACCACTCGGAACTGCGGAATTTCTCGAAATCCACCATTCCTCGGCCCGAAGTGAGGTAGAAATCGATATTCCCTTAATCGTAAAAGCATGCATGACTCTAGTAGGGTCCAGAGAAACGGTCGCGTTTGCACATATTTCCGTTAAGGCATTCCTTGAACAACAAACGCGTACCGCTCTAGACGATGAAAAGATGATCGCGGCACATTGTTTACATTATCTAATTGACAGCAATATTGACGAAGCAACGACTCACGACTCCCTCAATAATCAGCTTCGCAGCAATCCATTTTTAGACTATGCAGCTACTTACTGGGGATGCCACTTACGCAACGCGGTTGAAAAAGATGAAGAGGAACACAAGAGCCTTAGGCGATTGTGCTCAATGCTCTTGAATGATAAACCAAGGGTAGCGAGCCTATGTCACATTATATTCATGTCCCAGTTGGAGAAAGCGCCAACTGGTAAACTCGTCAAGTCCTCCTGGCTTCATCTCGTCTCATATTTTGGGCTGGATTGGGCTATTAACCCACCACTTGTTGAAGAAACAGTAGTGGCTGAACAAGACGAATGGGGTCGAACACCGCTTCACCTAGCAGCCCTGAGAGGCTTTGTCGACTGCGTCGCAGTTCTTCTAACACAACAGTCCCAAAGCCAACAAGATCTGGACAGAAGAACAGTGTGGCACCACGCCGCGATGAGCGGAAACTTTGAGACTATACGCTGTTTGGTTAATTTTAACACTACTATTCAAGACTCGACTCATTCAGACACTTTAGTCGGCTTGAGAGCAGATAAACTGGGGAAAAGCCCTCTTGAATACGCGGCCATCAATGGTGATGAAAGCACATTTATGATGCTTCTTCCATTCTATACCTCTGAATCTGCCAATGAGTTCAGAAGCAGAGCATTCCGGGTGGCTTTAGCTTGCGGCAAGATAGACATTTTGAAATGTCTATTATCACAGGGAGAAGCTATTGACTACAACTATCTCCTAGAGGCAACAAAGACCGGGATGGAGGCGGCAGTACAGCTTCTGGTAGAGTACGGGTCAAGAATTGATAATCCAAATGCTGCCGAGGATTCCGCGCTATTGATTGCGGCGCGAGAGGGGTGGAACAAAATTCTTGAGTTCCTGATCTGGAATGGGGAAGATCTTGAGCGTATGGATGCGGATGGACAGACTGCGCTGGCTTTGGCCGTACAAATGGGCAACGATGAGGGGGTGCGAATCTTATTACAAGCCGGGGCCCTACCAGAACGATCCATCAACAGCGACACGCTCGTGGTATATGCTGCCAGTCAAGGCCGGGTGAAAATTGTTCAACTACTGCTTGAAGCAGGCGGCGAGCCGTACGAAGCAGCACTTGCTGCAGTTAAAAATGGGCGGGCCGAAGTTCTGGAGCAACTTTTTCAACATAGATTGCTTTCTGGTTTAAATTCTAAAGGCAGATAGAGCCTCGTGGAAGCGGCAAAAGAAGCAGCCCAGAGCTCGATTTTGGACATGTTGGAATCTCACGGTGTGGACATCTCTCCGCAGCCAGTCTACTCTGTTCAGTATGCAGTTGCAGTTGATCCAGAGTCATCATTTCAGGAACCTGAAACATGGGATGAAAGTTCTATTCCACTCAGCGAAGCACAATCAAACAGACCTGTTATCTCATAAGAACTTGGAGGAATCGGGACTCAGACATGCCCAGGATAAATAGGAGCGAGAGGAGGACGCACAGAACAATCTCTCGAGCTATCTGAACTCGAAACAAAAGGAATTCGGCTACCGCTAATATCTTCTCTCCAACCGCTTCTAGGCCAGTCCATATTAGTGCAAAGTTCAGGCGTCAACAATATCGCTATGCCCATTTCCTTACTATCAGAGGCCATGCCGGTAGGAAGCCTTGGCCCTGGTAACATCTAAGCTGATAAAACATGGGCAGTTTTGTTCACAAGTTTTATATACTTCGACGATACAAGAGGAAAATTTTATCAGATACAATTATGGATCGAAAGAAACTCTTTATTGAGGCTAGAATGTTGACAGCGATTGGTCTCCTTGCTATCATCATAAAGCGGCCATCTTGGGCCACTGACACAGCCAGCCCTAGCTCTAATAGAGCAGCTCCTTCCAAGTCGTTCTAGATGAGGCACATTGGTGACAAGATATTCGCCATTAGCTATCGCATTGTGAAGATTCGGACCGGTCGCTCTTTAGACAATGCTGCAGCACGAGGGACTTTCACAGCAGTCATCAGTGTATTTGTAGGTGACTATTTTGCCCCCAAAGCTCATGAGAGGTTATTATGAGCAACAGCGAATGTGTTCTTGCTGCTTCTTCTAACTTTTCTATTTGTCTCGTTCTTCAATTTTTTAATGTCGAATTGTCTACTCAAACAAAAAGGCTTCAAGTTCTGCTGCCATTGGAATGTGATCCGCGCTCTTCCAAACTGGTGTATACGAATAGACAGACTTATGTCAAAAGATTTTAATAGACAATGATTTGAGGAGGCATGGCAGATCATTCTATAAGCATCTGAAGACTGCGAATATTTCTATCTACCTATTCTCCCAATGTTATTCATTTCAAAAACCTTTTCTTCGATAGCCAATCCATAGTTGACCTGGCTTCCCCCCAGATCGTCTGGTCTCCTGAGTCTCCGAAAAACAGCCAAGGCTTGACAAACTTCGCGGAATTATTGTCAACCATTTTGGTGAAGACATCCTTGACAATTTGTAGTTTCAGGCTCTCATGATGTTCCCGTGCTACTTGGCTGTGAAGCTTGCTCAGTGACAATCTGTGGGCTGCTAGGATCAAAGACGCAACGCCCGACGCTATAGCAGTCGCCACTGATGTGCCTGAAACCTTATCTGTGGAGCTTCTCGAACCGAGAGAGAATGTCTCTGCAATAATGTTTTCTCCTGGGAACATGAAGTCAGCATGCTCTTTAAGGCTTTCAGGTGTCTCTTTTCCCCAGTAATCTGTTGCTGCAATGCTTAGAACATGAGAGAAATTGGCAGGATATGCCTTTTCCTGTCTGTAGCCTTCTCCTGCCGTAGCAGCTATTACAACGATATTTGCCCTAATTGCCTCTTGGACGGCCAGCTGAAGCCTATCGTCACATTTGAAGAATGCGATACTGATGGAGATGATGTCGGCTCCAGATTTGATTGCCCATTCTAGAGCCTAAAGAAATGAACGTTAGCACATGAGAAGATTTCCAAGTATGGTTAGAACCAGAGTATAATATACTTGAATCACGCGATCTACAGTCATATCCATAACCGAATCACCAACCTTAGCCACAAGTAACCGACAAGATGGATTCAATTCCGTAATGATCTTCGCCATTTGCGTGCCGTGGGGATGATATGAGAACCACCATGGGCTCTCGCCAGATGCTGATGAGACAAAAGAAGCACCGCAAGTCTCAAAGCATTGTATAGAGTCTGGATCCACTCCAGTATCTATAACGGCGACATTGATAATAGGGGATATCGCATGCTCTGAGTGGGTTTCTGCCCGAAAGTCTGGGTCCTGAAACTCTTTTTGGAGCAATGTATAAGCCTCAATATAAGGCCCTAGTCGGGTTGCTTCCACTGCAGTACTGCTTTCTGTTTAGCCTTTTATCGCGTTGGTAATGGCATTCTTGGAGAAAAGACTTGCCTCTTCTTGACTTTTGGAGTTTCAGGTTGTCGAGAAGTCAGGGAATACCAGGATTTAAGATAGAACTTTATGATAAATTGAATCTTTCTCGGCGAGTTATTCTCTTCAAATTTGGCGCGAGACTTCTTCTCGCATGTGTAGCCATCTTGTTTGTATGCTGAGCTGTATAAGGGGCCAATGAGATCCTTTGGCACGTTCAGTTCAAAGTTCAACTGCAGAATATTAAAGGTGGTTACTAACGGTCAAGATGAATATCTCAACAATCCTCAGCTGTGAAAGATACAAGGTTAGCTTAGACTCTATTGGAAACACCAAACGATAACAGCAGGGCTCTCTGACCTCATGAAACTCATTCAGATGCACATAACCATCCCCAGACACCCAGTAGCTTATCTGCCCAGGTGCTTACATACAAAGTGAGCTTCTTTAGCCGAGAACAGGATTTCACAAGAGGTCTTGCGGACATATCTGGTCTCATCCAGTCTAAAACCTCGATATCAAACCCGTCTGAGCTCTGGAAAATGGCTTCCTCGCTGTGAGGCAGGTAAAGCAAATCGCGGACACGAAGCTCGTAGATACCAGCAACCACCTTGGACTCACGAAGCCAATTCAGCACAGGCTTAGCTTCGAGGCGTTCCGGTATGGACTGCTGGTTAACATGAATTTGATGGATGGGCGGTACGGGAATATCAACATAACGTAGAGTAGTCTCAAATTCGACGGTAAGCAAAGAGGTTGTCTTGGGGTTGGGAGTGATAGAAAGGCTCTTGATCATTTCCAAGAACGGTTCAATGAATTTGCTCGAGTGGCGGAACCCGCCGAGATCGAGGCTGATCTCCCTCCCTGTTTCTTAATTTAGTGGTTGGTCACTCCATAATAATTGTGATAACTCACGTTTGTCTATGAGGAGTGGGTTAGCAAAGAAATTCATATATTACAAGGAAATAAAATAAATAGTTTAAGAAAGCGAAGATATATATCTTCATGTGCTACATACCTTCTGGTTGACTCAATAGCCTTCTGATCTGCTCAGTAGGCGAGATTCGTCCAGCCCCATCTGTTAACAGTTGACCTTTCGCTGTCCGAACTATGTATGAAACTATTATGGATCGAATATGCTGCCTCGAGCTTTCATCTAGCACGGCCTCCACATCTCTCTGCTGAAAGCACTGCAGGGGCGACATTCCATCCTCGTACTCGATTGAAAGGCCTGGGCAAGCTTTCAGCAGCATCTCAATAATGACTGCGTCTCCTCTTCGCATAGCAGATTGAAGTAGCCCATTGCCATAAAGGAGATCATTTCTGGTCTTCAAAATATCGTCGAAAACGTCTTTCAGATGGAACAAAATGCAGTAGTTTAGTAGCTCGATGGTAACGCAATCAGGTCGAATTGTGGTGAGGAAAAGCAGGAATTCATCTCTTTTAAGATCAATAGCCTTCCCGAGGATTGAGTTATCTATTTTGAGGGCCGGCAGAGCCTGGAGAATTTTTTGGGCTAGTCCCAGGCTCTTATTTTTCTTAATCAGTATCATGAAGGGCGATTCTCGAATTTCGCTAGATTCGACTAGGAGCCTCTCCAGATCTTCGATGTTATTGTCCTTGAAGATTTTGAGAATAACGTCGACGACTTTCTCAACGTCATATTCGATAGCATAGTGAAGCAGACTGTTGCCCTCTCCGTTGTTCCTACCATCCAACTCACTAAGCACCTGGGGGTCCTTTTGTAGGATTCGTTCTGCAAGAATTTCTGGAGCGAGTTCGAAGGGTTGGTCATTCCCCTCGAGTTCTTCAATTCTTAGCAGTTGAGCTGCTCCCGATTGAATCATGTGATGCTCCCTCTTCCTCTCCGAAAATCTCATTATGGCCTGACGGATAACACAGAATCGGAACGATACCGTACCCCAGCCAAGAAGATAGTCTAAGAGCTCAGTACTGTCTGGTTTATTCCACATCTCTTCGAGGCTGTCGAACCACGAAGTTGGTGGCGGGTTTCGCGCTAAAGCCATTAAAGCCCCGTCTAAGTCTGAGACAGTACAGATTGTGCCTTTAGCCAAGTCATCCCGGATATTGGGCCACAGGGTCCTTCGCCTCTCCATGGTCGGGCACATAACGGTGAGTGAGGAGGTTTGGAGACATAGGCCGTCTCATAATACTGAGTGACATGGCCGAATGGCAATGGCCTGCAAGTTACACGCCAAAACAGTATAGCGTTGTCACACACCGGAAGAGTATTTGTATATTTCTAACCCCGCTCGACCGCTTGGGAGGCTGGGATGTGAAATCTTCTCTCGCAAAGTAGAGGAACCCAAGTGTTGCTACATCCTGTTTGCGGGCCGGGTTGTGTCTAATCTCTACTATCCACACCTGCGATCCGTTACAACAAAGAACGGCTGTGCCCGGCTGTTCGTACCTGATCTTCAACGCCAGTGAGTTAGCTTCGAGCCAAACCCAAAGTGGTAGATACATGTAACTGACAATCAACGTGTGTACTACCCAGTAGGTTGTTGTCTAGCAACAAGGACGAAATGGCTTCTCAGGATGACCTGGCCAAGGGTCTAACGGGAGAGCTTTTTGAAGTTTCATTAGACGAAGGCATCATTCGAGAGAGAAACGACCCCCTCGATGAAGTTCAGCGCAGTGTAATCACTGATCGGGGCACTACCAGCCCCTACAAAGTCCAGGCGTTGCTTAGTGCTTGTATCCATGGAACGCTGGACTCAGTGTCCAAGACCCCCGCCTCGCTGATTATTGTCGATTACCAACTCGAAGCCTTGAACGAGGGTAGCATGTTCACAAGTGCAACCACTAGCTATACCTTTTCTGAATATACGGGATCGCATCAAGTTGGTGGCGAACCAGCTTCGTCCCCGGCTGTGCTCGCCTACGGCCCGTTTGAATACATGGCCGAGCTCCGTCAGTCGACGGCAAATGAGCGTAACAAGAACAGCCAAGAGCTACAGATCAATCCCCAGGTAAATGGTATTAGTGCAGCAAACATCACTTTCGGCCATGAAAGCGAGTCTACCCACGAACAAAAGTACTTTGAACGGGGCAGAGCCGGGCGACACTTTAGCAATGGCCGAGCGCATACGGTGTGGTGGGATCTCGTATACAACAAGAGCCAGAAGCTTTCTATCACACCAAAGTTTCGCGTCGCTATGCTTGTTGAGCGCAAGAGCGATTCCAAGTTTCAGGCCGTTTTCAGGATTGCAGCCCATGGCGGTTTCGGCGACAAGGTTCAGGAGCTCAAGAACCGTTGGTTGTATAAGACAGCCATTGATGATCCCATCGTCTTCGACCCTGCCAAACCGGCCATGGGAAACTTGCAGGGCGTAGATCCTATGAACTTGGGCTTACTTAGGAAGCGAGAGAGGCTTGAGGCTCTGGTGTCGGTGCCTAGACTAGACGCTATCATCCCCCCAGCTGCTCAAACGTAAGCGTCTGCTTCTACATGATCTCATCGTCTACTTTCTTGGATTTATGGGGAATAATATTATGTCATGAGCTTGTATGGTGCGATCTTATCAATTGGATTGCTGAGACAGGATAGTGGATTCGTTTGGCAAATGCGTGTGCTGCTGTCGCTTTGTTAGTGTATCATTTGATCTATAAATTCTATCCACCCAGGACTGCATTGAGTTGAGATGAAACACCCAGCACTTCAATTAATTCTGATGGATCAGATACACCCATTAATCTATACGAAATATACAAGATCGGGACTAAACATTAAGTTTAAGGTAAAGTTGAGATTCCCGCCTCTGCTAATGCCTCCTCTGTAATTCGCCAAAGCGATCGAGCCAACTCTCTGTTGCGAGCCTTATCTGATGGTTGGTCAATCTTGTCGGGGCCATTCAAAAACTGACCTTTGTAGCGATCAGGGTTTTTTGCAACTTCTACCGCAGTTGCACAGAAGAGTTGCTTTAAAGCGCCTTTTGCGACACTTTTCATGACCAACTTCAAGACTGGCTTCAATACACCGGGGAAGATTCCCATGCCGCTTTCGGTTGAAACTGGACCTGGGTCAAGTGTTAAAGCTGTGATGTTGGCATCTTCTTGAGTGAGCTTGTTTTGTAGTTCCTTTGTAAAGAGGATATTAGCCAGTTTACTGGCGCCGTAGCGTTAAAAGTCGCTTTGCGAGAGGTGTAGTCATTAGGGTTCGCTGCTCCAGGATCCTTAAGGTCCTTTATACTTGTAAAGTTATTGCTTTTAGGCGCAAACGTCTCAGCCACAGAGCTCACCTTAAATGTCACTTAGTCAAACCATCTTGGAAGATTCTTTTGTCAAGAGGACATACCGTAACGATCCGGACGTCAGAGCCTGGCACTTTTGCTGTAGCCTTGAGCAACGGTAGAAGGCTTCTTGTGAGAAAAAAATGGCCGACATGACTAGACAGATATATCAGTATAATGGAAAAAGTAGAAAGAGGAAAATGGAAAGCGCTAGCTTCAAGCGGTGTACTCACTTCACCCCGATTGTCTGTTCCAATCCTTCCTTTGTGGTTATAAAAGTTTCTGGTCCAATGCCTGCATTATTGACTTCAATAAACATATTAGCATGCTATCGTTAATCGAGATGACGAATGCTACTTACCCAAAACATCAAGTCTACTTTCAGTGGTAGAAAGTATTTTTGCCGCTTCAATGACATTTTGCAGATTTTCTAGATCCAATGGAAGCCATTCCATCCGCTCTTTGGGTATGGATGGGTGTTGAGAAAGAATCTCATTAATTGCCTGTTTCGCTCGAGATTCAGATCTTGCCCCTACATATACCTTGGCACCATGCAACGCCAGTTGTTTGACTGTTTCAAGCCCAAGACTAGAGCTGATTCATTTTCGTTAGTTGGGTGTTGGTGATTGGAAGATGGGTATACAACTCACTTTCCACCTGTCACTAGTATGACTTTGCCTGTGAGATCAGGGATAGAAGCTTCGGTCCACGCCATGGCTCAGGAAGTTACACGTATCCTCGTATACACGATACAGAGAATTAGGTGATTGACTTGTCGACAAGATTCCCATGCGTAGGCATGCAAAATAGCTCGCAGATGTCTTTGCAACCTGGCTGGTGGTTGTAGAAGAGCCAGTCTCAAAAGCGACTACTTATAATAACTAAGCCCATTATCGAGTCTTATAATTCATCGGTGTCATTATAAGTCTAAATTATACAGGAGTTGAAAGAAATAATTGCCCAAACCGGTATATGTACCCCATACTAGGGATGTGGCTTATCCCTTCATGGTCAATCCAACCCAATTAGGCCAACAATATCGCGAAGATCCCCACAGCTCGGAAAAAGTTGCCTTGAACTTTGTCAATTCCAGGGAAATTATTGGTACAGATTTCTTATCCAATCAATCATTTTACAAAGAAACCGACTTATATCATGTGTTGACAGGCTTTGAGAACTCGTAGGGCGGGGCAGCCAATATGATTTACTTGCATCCGAGATAGGAATTGTCCGGTTGCCTAGAAAGGGCAATGGTTTATTACAAGACACATCAAACTAAACAAGTCTCGTGCCCGCTAAAGGCGTCCATAAGGGCAGTCAAAGCCGCTTAGTTAGTCATCTCGTTCGATCGAGACCATCCTATTTGGCCTATTAGGCGGCATGACTTATATCCTTCGAAAGCTGTAGAGATGTCAAACTCTTCTTGATTAATAATACTAGGCTATTGTAGAGCGTGAATGCACAGAAGCGTGCTTTGGTTTGGATGTCGAGTATGTAGACACCAAGGGATTTCCCAACGCCACAGACACGACATTGCGAGGCATCCATTTAGCACAACAAAAATAATAGAATGAAGTCTTGATCCTTTAAACAGCGGTGTGCTAGAGCAATAAACACCAATTGCCGGTCAAATTTTGTTTAAGCTTCATTTAGCGCTGGCATTTGGTCACATCAAGCAACACAACCTTGGAAATTACACTTCACTCTGGTTGGCTAAAGTAACGATTAGAAAGCTTGGTAATTGCCTAATAAAAATTTACCAATCAAGTCGGTTTACCTCAACAGGAGATTTACTATGTGAGATGAGGTAGGGCTCGACTCGTATCGCAGGTGATAGTTCGACCAAGGGAATCGGTTCATGCAACGTTATCTCGCTTAAATGCTGTGACTCAATGAGACATTGTTATTGATCTAGCAAGCTCTATCAGTCCTGTGAAAGGAGGTATATATATTTAGGTGACTGAAGTTAACGCTCTGGACGTCCAGTATATTGGATTGCTGAAGATGGGACCATTTGGAAAACATATACATCACATTACTCTCTACTTCGAACATATTGCTTAAAATTCTGTATGGGAATATTTCTTTCTAGACTTCAAGGTTAGCTTGTTTCAAGATGGCTCCGTAAGTCTAATTAGTAGAAGATCAGACATATGTCCATAGGTAGTGGAGAATTCGGGGTCCTGTCAAGCGCTTGAATTGAGTTCAAAATCTTCCATTTTTACACGTCCGAAGACTCCAAACTTGGATTTAGAGATCATGCACTTCTGCTTTTGAGAACCGTTGAACCTCGCACTAAAATGGTGGCCATTGTTCAGGTTTCCTGGCTCGTTATTGAAATGGAGCCCCGATGCCTCTTCTGCGACCCGGCAAAAATACAGATATATGATCCATCATCAATTCATTTCTAGCTTTAGGCTCACTCAGGCACTTCCGACTAACATTATCTAAAATAGCTCATTCATCAGTTGGCGCGTTCCCTCCACGTCTGTCTCGCGCAGTTTTGCCGCCTCTGTTCTCTTTACGCGTAGATAGTGCTGAATGACACCACTCTCCATCATAGCCTCAAGATCTTTGTGATTTTCTTCCAGACGATCGAGCGCCTCTCCTATACTCTTGGGGAGAGATTTTGCATCCTTGGGCCACGGGTCTGTCATGATGCCTGTATCTGGCCATAACAGAGGCTCCTTGTTGGTGCAACCGAGCAATCCGGCACTCAAGATTCCTGCCAGGGCCAAGTACATGTTGGCCGTTGCGTCGATGCAACGGACCTCCCAATGCCCAGCCTTGATCTTTCGAATCGGCACTACACGGTTCTCAGTGCCCCAGCCAACCAAATGACCAGCAAGATATGGCTGGACACGCTCATAAGATATCTCGTAAGGTAGGCAGAAGGCGCACAGTTGCGGAAGACGCTGTAGCATACCGGCCAGGAAGTGGTTTTGCATATGGGGTGGGTTGATGGAGATGTGAGTATGCTGTCCTGTCGACTGCCGTCGTGACTCAACTGGTCGGGGCGACATAGTTACCATTAAGCCATGGCGGTTGAAGATGCGCTTGAGAGTATCGTGAACGAGTATCAACTGGTCGACAGCAGCAAGCGGAGGGAGGCATCCGAGGGTCAATTCGTATTGTCCACGCCGCCCCTCTGTCTGAAAGGCATCAATCTTGACGCCTGCCGCCAACAGCACCCGAATCGCCTCTTCAAAATGCTCATAACATGGATCGCGGAGGCCGCAGACAGAGAATCGTCCAAATCCAGAACTATAGGGAATCAGGATTCCCTCTGCAGAGGCCTTCATGACCTCAAATTCCACTTCAAACCCAACAAGAAAATACACCCCAAACATTTCTTCGGCTTTTTTACCGACTGTCTCCAGAGCACGGCGAGGGCAAAGGTTCCAGTTAGGCCCGGGCCGCGCTGGGGCATATTCGACAACTTTGCACATCACATTGCAATACAGAGGATCCAACGTCGGTCGCGTCTGCAGGGAGCTCCAATCAGGCACCAGCCAGTCGTTGCCTGTTGGGTCGAGCTCGGGCAGCAAGTTGTTATCCACGATACAGTGGAACGCAATAGGCGGTACATGAAAGACTCTCTCTCCGGCGGCGATGGTCAGTCCATGCTCAATGGGCACAATGCGGGCCCTCAGGAGGCCTGAATGATCCTGCCATTGGAGGCGAAGAAATTGCACTCCTGGGTGTTGATCTAGGAATATTCGCAGAGCGTCGGATGGGATAAGCTCTGGAATAAGGGCAATCTGCCCTGTCGTCGACGGTGCAATCGTTTCCGGGAACATGGCGGGATACAACGGACAGTACTTCCTCAACAAGATACGTCCAGTAAAGTTCGCTGTTGCTTATAGTATAGGGGTAACTGAAGATATTGATGAATTTCCAAGGGTCCAAGAGACCATAAAGAGAGATAGTTCCAAGACAGCTAATCGCAATGTCTGGGCAAAGGCATCAATAATCTCGTGCCGAGTTGATTCAGATCTGACTGCTTTTATCTACACGGAATAGCTGCACTTTATATGACCTAATTCAAATGTTAAAAAAGGGAGAAAGAGGTCTAGTGATAATAGGGTATAGCACGGCCTTTCAGGAGAGGAAAATATGTCAAGTGGTTGGATATTGTAGATGCATCGCACCATCACACCCCTCGCGTCACTAGACGCCCCGACACAGCGGGAACGCTCATCATAGGTCCCAAGGGTTCCCTGTTATTGAGGGCATGGAACAAAGCATCACGCAAGTATGATTCATGGTCCTAGTATTACTGTACTGAAACATTCTTGTACTACTACGAGATCGTACCTGTATCTATAACTGAGACAATGCTTCCACAACTGAGACATTGCTCCCAGAGCTGAGACATTGCTCCCAGAACTGAGACATTGCTCCCAGAACTGAGACATTACGCATGGTGACGCCAATGATCAAAACATGTCTGAGGCGGTGAGTAATATGAGTAAGAGTATTACGGTAAGATTCAGAATATTCGTATTGGATCTACTCGCCTTGGAGCTGCGACGAGCTGAACCTGAATAGTATAGCAATCTTCCTCCCCACCTTGCCTCCTTCTCTCTCTTTAATTTTTGCTTCAGCGACTTTTTTAACAATAGAGAGCAAGTAAAAGAAGGGAAGGAAAACGAATACAATGACAATCGGCAAACTCCATAGATTTCCGCATGACCCTGTTCTGGCGAAATTGCTACATGCAAGCACAAACAGATCCGACTCAGCTATAGTCATTCATGACGTTTGTGGCTATGAGAAAAGCTATTCACAGCTATTTGGTGATGTTATACGCACACGCAACGAGCTCCTCATGCAGTTACCATCGTCCATAATTGATGAGCATGGTATACTACATCAGGAAACCCCATACATTCCTGTTCTTACACGCAGTGGTTATGAATTCCTTGTCGCCTTCTTCGCTATCCGGGCCATTGGTGGTGCATGTATTCCGTTCGGTAAGTCGCTCTGAATGCCGGACAAAACGGCATACGTTTATGACTTCTATCTAACTTCATAACGAAAAAGGCTCCGGTATTCTTCCAGAAGAAGCATCTCATTTCTTGTCAATCACAAAAGCCACTTGCATCTTGATTGGCAGCAACGATTGTATTGAGAGGGCTGCGAAGATAGCTGCATTTATTAATAGCCAAGGCGGAACCGCCTTTACACTACCCATCTCTCATGATGCTGAACCCATCCGGGCCTCCAATGTCGATATTGATGAAGGCGTTCAACTTGCACCAGATGGCCCAGGCATGGTTCTCTTCACGTCTGGCACCACTGGTCTGCCTAAAGGTGCGATTCTTCCGAGAAACTGCTTCACCAACGTGAGTCTTGCGAAGCCAGGAGAAGCCTGCATCAACTATCGTCCAGGGCATTGGATCGGTGGGGCGCGAACTCTGATCATGCCCATGCTATCTGGAAAGGAGCTTTACACACTCGGAGAAAAAGGCAGTGCGAAGGAAGTTCTAAACGCGTTCAGAACCCATCGCATTACACAAGCCGCTTTCACACCAACGTTATTAAGAAACATGAGGGAGCTGTTAATAAACTCTGACGGGCAAGTTCCCAATGAGAAACGCGACGAATATGCCAGCTGGTTCAAGGCACTTGATGGGCTAAAGTGCTCCGCAGGGATGATTGATCACTCAATCTTGAAGTTCTGGACTGATTTAACTGGTTTGCACATGTATATTGGCTACAGTGCAACGGAATTGGGCGGTCTCACCATTGCTACGAGAGATCCTGTGACTACCATTGTATGTTCTATTGCATTTTCACGATTATGGACAGTCGCGGGTTCAGAACTAATCACAGTGGCAATAGTCTCTCATTGGATCTCCAATTCCCAATATCAAGGTGAAACTTTCAGAGGGTAACACCGGCGAAATCCTTGTGAAGAGCCCATTCATGCTCATTGGGTAAGTATTACTCCCAGGAACTCATTTTGACAACACCAATACTCACATTGCGGTTCTGTATAGCTACGTTGGCGAGGATGACTTAACTCGCGCTGCATTTGATGAAGAGGGATACTATAAAACCGGCGATCTTGCTGAGCTAAGAGATGGCCAATATTATTTTACAGGTAGAAAAAACCATGATTGTAAGTTTTGTTTTGTAGGGGCGGCTTGGAGGCAATCACATCTACTCAGTAGGAATGAATCAGCTAACCCCAGCTCATAGTTGCTTTTTTCCGTTTCTTTCGCATTCCATTACAGAAAGTGGAACAAAGCCTACTAGATCTATCTTACATCTCAGAAGCATGTGTCCTTGCGATTCCAGATCACGAAGCAAAAGAACTCTGCGCAGCTGCTATTCGCCTTGATGCAACGAGTAGTGTACCGGCGCCTGAGATTAGCCTGGCTCGCATCCGGTCGGATCTCATGCAGAGCCTGCCCATGTATATGCTTCCCGCTATTCTCCGAATACTGAAAGACGGAGAGGAGATTCCACGTAATATCTCAGGCAAGGTTGTTAAGGCAGCTGTTCGCAGAGAGCTTTTTGCGACCACAGACTGGTGGCCGCATAGCAACCCGCCTGCAGAGGTTGAGTATTGGGGTAATATGCCCCCAATATTCGAGGCAGCTACCCGGCCATGGGATTGGTGTGGTGTTCAGAGAGCTGATTGAAAGGATTAGGATGTGATGAAATTGCTGGAAATGCTCTCATTGATTAGAGTGAGGAAAGCTATGTGCAACTGCTATTGTTCTCTTATAAATGCTTCATTCGGGCCTCTTTCTATAATCCCTAGAGGATGCTTTCATTGGCGAGCACCACGTTTCTTCTCATCTGTTACTTGAGGTTCAGATACTTGATAAATTGAATAGAGAAAATGGTATGCGTTGATAACCATGCTCCGCCACTACAGGCCGTTTTCAGTATGCCTGTCATGAATAATGCTAAACGAAAAGCTGAGTTCTCCAACGAGTTCTCTCGCCAGTCTGCTCGCGCAAGGACATATTAGCACCAAGTTTCATTACACAAGAAGGAGGAGCTTCTTATGGGAAATAAGAATATGAATATCAAGACAGAGCTTGCCACTTACTGAGTCAAACGATTGACATCGCGAATCAAGTACCAAGTAACACTGTGAATTAATGCCGCGGCCGCGAATCCCGCATCTGCAGGTACATCTCTGGTTAAGAATTCACCCATGTGCGGTATTTCTAACTCTGTCAGTTTTGGTGGCAGCGGATGCGCCCGACTCAGCGCAGAATGCAATATGATCATTCTCGTTGTGACGCCTTTAGGAATTAAATGAGCTTGAGCTGTACCAGTTGGGTCGTTGGCCCACCAAGAGGAGGTCGCCTTTGAAGCCTTCAATTCCCGGGACACATAGCTTATAAGAGTCATGTAGCTTCCAAGACGCTCGAGGATGGAGATCATCTCGCCATATGTTTGCTTAGGAAAGCGGCCGCCAAGACCGAATTCCCAGTCGAGGAACTGGTAACCTGTTTTGGTGCTGGTGCTTAGGGCTTGGTATTTGTGAAAAATGCGGCGGCGAGCGGCTTGGAGGTGAAAGCCGGGGCTTCTTTTATCTTTAATGTCACCGAAATTGCCGTGAAGATGTGCAAGAACCGTTTGTTGGATGCACATGTAATAGCCGGCTAACCCATACATGGTTTTGGCCATATTTTCGCGGAGTTCTGAATGTTCGGAGAGAGGGTATGGGAAGATTGTCCAGAAGTATCCAGTTACAACACCAAGGGTGACGAAAGCAAGCCGGTAAGGAAATATTATATACGGCGCATACACGGCCTGTCCAGATGCCAAGACGGCTGCTTCTCCCAACTTTCGGACCTGAAGTTCATTCGCTATCATTACGATTGAAGCAATGAGAGCAACAAACCATATGCTGAAGAGACTAGGGAATTTGACGACTAAAATACACAAGTTAGCAAGGAAATCGAGTTTGCCGTCAATAGATGGATACGTGGAAGCCAGACAACTTACATAGATAGCCAAGCACTATGAACCACAACCAGAGGAAGACCAATATACCAGGAGTCTTTTGGTCTACCACGTACCAGATAATATAGCTTGTTATCATTGAAGCTAGAGTACCAAGTACTCGACCTAGTAAAAGAAAGGTTGATGATCCAGCAGTGCGAGCCATGGAGAGCAATATGGCAAATAACGACCAGAGAAACCGGTGTCTGAAATAGAAATTCTGCGAATCGTGAAGAAACGCAATAATAGCTATAGTCATGATGGCACAGGCGACACGGAGCCCGAAGGCTGCATGATCACTACGAAAAACAGAAGGGATCTTGCGAATATAATCCCCAATAGTCTCCATCAGGTTGCTAGGTGGGAGGTGGTCGGGGTTTTTTGGACTGTAAAATGCGGGACCAAGTTCGACGTTTGTCTGTTTTTCTGCGTCCTGAGAAGTACTCTCTAGTCGGATGCCCCCCAAGTTAACAAACCTTTCAACCCAATAGCTGGGGTGAAGGACCGGTGGGATGAGTAACCGCTTAGGGCGCGAATAGCAGTCGTCGAGGAATGTGAGGAGATTAAGGAGTTCATTTCCCAAAGACGACAGGAGAGTTTGAGACTGTGATGCTTAGCTACCAGTAACCTAAGAAGGAGACAAACAATATATCACTTACGTGAAGAAATAGAAAGTAACGCAAAGTGTTGGAGTGCATTTCTGAAGTATATTCACTCAGATTTCCGACTTGTGGTCGATGTTGAATGTAACACTCAAGCAGCTTCTTGTTACTTATAGCCTCATCCTCTTGGCCGAGAACACGACCCTTCTCGAAAACGTCGCGATATGATTCGAGGAATCCCGCCTCGCCCGGATTCACGGTAACAGCGCGGTGCTCCACGTCGACCTTTCTCACACGAGACCTGCTAAACAGAGAGCGTCCCTTTATCAGTTCTAGCCGAACTTTGGCGTGCTCAATTCCCTCAAGAATTGCCTCAGTCATTTTTTGTGAATGCTGATGCATTGCTGTTTCGAGATGTTGCCAGTCATCATCATATGACGAATCGTTGTCTGTCTCAGAATGACGGTTTATCTCACAAACGTCGTTGGAGAGATTGTATCCAGCAGCAGCGGATAGTTGCAGCATGTCTGCCACTGAGCTTAGGCCAGAGGCCGGTGGTATGAGGTCTACCAACAGTGAAGAGATATCCTCAAGCTGTGAATGATCAAAAACACCCCAAGATATCTCCCGTGCTGCATACTCGCTGTTTTGGCGAGTCTTGGAGACCTCGTTGACAAAATGTTGCACAGCGGCCTCAAGTTGACTGGCACATGGGTTGCTGTCCATTTCTCCTGTGCCAGTGATCGTCCTTAATAAAATAGCCTGCATGCATTTCCTCTGAGTCCGCGTGACGCCTGCCAACCCATCAAGACAGGCTCCCATATCCTTTTTGAAGACGTCTCTGCAGCTTTGTGGGAATAATATCAGGGCATTGGCAAGGCCAACAGCTTGTCCGACTAGAAAAGCCTCCAAAATAATGTTAGTCTGATCAATGACTTGCTTCGTATTAGGGGCTCGAGCTATGCCTGGCATTGTCGCGACAGCAAGGATGCCGGCGATGGTACATTGGAGGCCCCAGTCAGGGAATGCAGATTTCAATGTGCACGAAGACCAAATGAAGAATATTAAAAAGATGGCGACAACCGCCTCCGCCGAGGAATTGTATGCATTTAGTTCGTCAACATTGTTTGTAGTATGTTGTCTGGCTTGAACACCACACCAGCCAGCAAGCAGTGCCCAACAGTAAGCCAGAACAATTGCGAATGTGAGTCGAATATTGTGTCGAATTAACATCGCCCGGGGGAGAGCTGGCAGAACACAAGCAGATATAATGGGAGCTAAATAAGCATTGGTCTTGAAGTGGTTGGTCCAACTATCCGATTGAATAGCACACACAAGCACAGCTGGCGGTATCGACGTTTTGATGGCCATCTTAACTGTATACCAGTCCAACTTCTGCTGGAACAGCACCGACTTGAGCTGCAGCCGCCGCGTGATATCATTTTGAAAGGCGGTAGTTTCGGTCCTTGCTAAGGTTCCAGATCTCGATAGTAGCGTTGCTTCTGACGTGGATGTATTTCGGTTGCCTGAGACCATAGCTGGTGTCTCTGTGGACATGATTGTACTGGGTCCCCCATGAAGAGGACAGCCTAGGAATGAAAAAGAGAGCTTCACGAGCCAGAACGAGGATATTGTGTTGCTCTGCCTCCATCCCCTCCTCGGCGATGGAACTTATGTGGGAAGCTGGGCCAATTTTCCACCTTGTTACAACACTGGGCCGAATTAGGTCATTCATCACGGTCAATACTGAGCTTGAATACGCCCGGTTTTACTCATCCAACTAGAGCCTAATTATAGCCAAGGAGAGACTCTGGCTTTGCAACTCCTCCAGATGTGTCGTGGCTGACGTGGCTGCCGGCGCTCCCGGCGAATGCTCTTCACCCCACAGCTAGAGCTTTTTGTTGAACTATGGTACTCATCTTATGCTACTATGCCATCTGGGACATAGCAATTGGTCTATTTCTTGTGGGACTTGGGCGAAACGAGACAAGGAGAGACGCGAAACCGTTCCAGATGCATATGAAGTCAGATCGCTACTGACACGAGCACATACGACCATGGGTAGAAGAGATCGGGGTCCCGTCAAGCTCCATTCTTGAGTTTAATGCCATTTTTTTTTTTTTTTTTTTTTTTTTTTTTTGGCGCCAACATTGAGCTTGGCTTAGATAATCACGATATCAATCCCTTCGTCGAATTCGGAATAAGACACATTTTTGAAGAGAGTTTTGATAGAGAAGAGTAGGGGGTCGGTCAGCGGCCGGTGGCATTAGCAATGCTATAATGATCTGCCTCTAGTATTTTGCAGTAAATGTATTTGAGAGCACCAGGTCATTCGTCTAGCGAATTGAGTTCTTTCCATAAATTCATCTGTGCTACGTGCGACCACTGATTATCTTTCTGTTCAACTATATACCAGTTCGCTCATTCCCACAGTTAGTGAGGTTTCCTCGAAAGGTCCTTGAAGCATGAGCAAGAGGAGCTCCTATATACGCTATGGCTTATAGCTTTTGTAGACTATTCAAACCTCGGGCAGTTTCTATGCATTTATCAGTATTTGCCCCGTGTGTTCGAGATACTTCATGTGTACTATAAGAGCCTTCTACCACTCTGAATGGACAAAGCCCCCGAGCAGACACTACAGCATCTGTTTTATTCTTCGGCCTCTCAAATATCTCCGAAAACAGGGCTCTTCTTAGTTAATGTAAAAAAGCACGACATACGGTTTCTAGAGTGATATGGCTAAACATGAAACTGAATCCTGTAACTTAGCCGAGTCCACTCACGGCATCCTTAGGCGAGGCACACTTATATTCGAGAAGCTACATTACCTGTCTCGATTGCTTCCCAGACGGGGCTAAATATTGCCGTGCCAGCCCCATATCCATGCCTGATCTTGTCCGACAAAATAATTCCGGGAAAGGTAATCCTCGGTCAGACTCGGAGGATCTTCATCTGCAACGTCGCTTGGCGGGTAGCTGATCACTGTTTCACGTTATTGGCATGGAACTTCAAGCGCATGTGGAATACTGCTGTCGCTTACCTTGTTCAAAGTCAAGGAGAGCCTCGGTCATTGAGGGGTTCTCGCAGAAACTAAACTCTGTGTTGCCCATTAGAAAATCTGACGCCACTCTCATCGGCTCTTGATCGCCTTCTGGCAAAACTGTGTGGCGTTGCAGCTGCACTTCCGAAGAGCTTGTGGCTGGCTGTGAGTTCAAGGGATCTCTTTGTCGTTGATCAGGATCAAAGGATAAGTCTTGATTACTGGAGATCGGAGGATCTCCAGATATCTGCTGCTCATCAACTATGGCAGGGGGCCGGACTTCAAACATGCTGTTGATTTCTTTGGCCATGACCAACGACATAAGATTTCTCAGAATTTCAAGGCCCTGTGCAGCAGCAATTGACTGTGGCTGTAGAATGGTCTGCATTTCTATCAATCCATGGATTCCCATTTTGGACTCGTGAGATTCGCGACTGAGCGGATCAAGGCTGGTCATGATACAAAGAGTAATACCTGCGGTAAACAAATGTACAGAGGTAAATGTAGTAGCATACGTGTCAGATATGTGTCTGAATATCGGAGCTGAGCCAACTCTCGATATTTGTAAAGCAGCCTCTCGGCACGCCCTTATCGAGCGCTGAAAGGGATCTAAGCGTGTACCGCTGTCGTCCTTAGGGGCTCCTTTTACAGCTACCAGTTTGTATGATAGCAGTGGCCGATGTATTAGGATCCTGGCGTTTTCATAGGCTAGTTTAAGGACGAGAGCCTGAAGCTGGAAAAGCTGTTCTGTGAAGCAAGCATCGTGTTCCTGTCCCACAAACCCGATTAGAGGAGCAAGTCCGGTACTAGGGTTGCTAGAAGGGACGAGCCGCAATTTGGTTGGAAGACTTTCTTGCCACTGCAAGATTCTCATCTCAAGACCGGCCACTTTTTCTATGAGGCTTTGGAGGCGAGACACATCGCCAACGATTGGCCTATTTTGCTTGTCCAGGTCTCTGTGCGTGCCGTAAAGTTCCGTCAATGCACATTTGACAATTTTTGACAGTCTTGACATTGCGCACTTGAAGAAAAGAAGGGTTGGTTGGTCAGGAGATTGATTCTGAGTAGCTGAGGCTGAACAATCGTCGTGGGGATCCAGTTCTTCGATGTCACAATCGCTATCCGATATACTCAGAGGAAAGCCATACATCATAGAGCAGAAAGTTTCGATTTCATACACCGCCCACCAGCAACGCTGTCTAGCGGAAATCTTGGGTTGATTATGGCCCTCCTGGTTCGAGCAATCGAGTGGGACCTTTCGGTGAAGATTCAAGGCTTGCGCGATACGCAGTCCGCACCCACAGAGAGGCCAGGCTAACTCGGGCTGTCCGTGATACAGATAGTAACTTCCTAAGAGAACACACATCTGTACCGCCTCCAAGGAACCCAGTGACAAAACATCCAGCAGTCTCAGCCTTAGCGTCGTAAGGATTCGGTCCTTCAAGGCATCTGCCTCAATTCCTTCACTAGCTAGAGTATGCCTTTGAGAAGCAGTAGTATACTGGAGGCTGGTTGCGCATACAGCCAGGAGCACAGCAATATACCCAACCTGACTACCGGTACCTTTCGGTGGACACTGCTCACGATTTGGCGAGTAAATTCGTTCGAAGCTGTCCCTAAAGTCGCGTTGGTGGAACAGCAACATGAACCAGTGAATGCGATCAAAGTAGTTGTTGACAAGCAACAAAGCGGCGTCATGGGATGGAAGCAAAGACAAAAGCTCCCTTTCTGCCGAGCTTGTGATTTTGGACCGCTCAAGCATTAGCTTCGTATTACTCCTGGCATGTCGAGATAGCACCCTCTGTACCGGGTCTTGGTAACCGATTCTTCGCTTTGTATCGGTGATCAGCGTCCTTGGGTGCATCCATTGGCTGGCTGAAAAAGCTGACGTCGCAGAATCTTGGGGAGAACTCGCGTGGTGGTGATGGAAAGCCTGATCGGACGTTATAAGCCGCTTCGTCAAACAGATCATGAAATGAACACAATTCACCTCTTCAACTAACCCAATGGTCGAGCTAGAGTTCCATGGTGCGGATTTGGTCTGGGCTGCACCGGCTTGAATCGGGCAATAAGTGACATTGTCCAGATCAGCTGGCGCCTCTCTCTCGTTGGGATCTCGGTCAAGTATACCGTCTGTATCCCCCCGTACAGGCCGCGATCTTTTGGCAGGCCGCACGTCGTCAATGCTTTCCTTTCTCACACGCACCCGACCGGAGCCTCGCTTTGGGGCGCCCGTCTCAATGATCCATTGTGATGCTTGTGAACCGAGGCAGTCCGCATTTGCCCTGGCACACATTGTGCAGGGGCGTTGGACATCGCACTGATCGCATCTCATTAGCTCTCGGAACTAAGGCTCAATGCGTACGCAGACTTGCCTTGAGTTTTTGCTTCCGGCATCGCTGGCAAGCACTGGAGACTTTGCTGCGAGTCTGTCTCATTAGAACATCTTTCCGGCCGTGAAAAGCCATACTACGAGAAACCTTCATTCCGGCAGAGGTGGTAGTCCAATATGACCCTACAAGATGGCGAACAAACACTGTTAGAGTAGCTGCTCCGATCCGAAACTAGGCCAGGCTAGGAAATCCTTCCATCGGAACGATGCCCATATTAGGCATTTAACACCTAGAGAGTTCCGCGTCGAACAACTCCCAACAACACAATAAGTGTGAACCTACAGAGTAGGTATTAGTCTGATATGTGTCGGGGATCTACCTAAGTACATATAAGAGAGAGGTCCTGCCCCCGTTCCAGTAGATATTAATTGACCTTGGCAATACACTTTATTACACTATTATCTATCATTCGACAATAAGTTCATGCCTCATCGCCAGACGTGACTACAGTCGCCTGTTCCCCAAGTACACCAGCTCGTCCAAAAGTCATGGCTGAGCAACACCCTTATTCGGTCACTGTGACCTTGAACCAGATTGCCAAGATGATCGACCATTCGTTGCTGCACCCGACCATGACTGACGATCAGATCCGCGAGGGTCTCGCTATCGCTAAACATTACAATGTTGCAACCGCTTGTGTTAAACCGTACCTTATTCCGATGGCAAAAAAGGAGCTGGAAGGCTCCACCGTACTCGTTTGTCCGGTAATTGGCTTCCCCCATGGAAACAGCACCACGGAAGTGAAGGTTTTCGAAGCTGAGGCCGCAGCTTTGGCGGGCGGGGAAGAAATTGATATGGTGATTAATATCGGCAAAGCGCTAGGTAGTGATTGGGAATATGTGTCAGATGAGATCAGACGGGTCAATGAGGCCGTCACAAAGCATGGCGCTATTCTCAAGGTGATTTTTGAGAACGACTTCTTGCGAGAGGAGCATATCATCAAACTCTGCCAACTCTGCTCTAACATCGGCGTCGCTTTTGTCAAAACATCTACTGGATACGGTTTTGTAAAGCAAGCAAATGGCACGTACACTTACGATGGGGCAACGGTGCCTCATCTAAAGCTTATGCGACAGCACTCAAGCCTAAAAGTGCAAATCAAGGCTGCTGGAGGTGTAAGGACACTGGACGACCTTCTGCATGTGATGTCACTAGGGGTGACGCGAATCGGGGCCACGGCGACAGTCGCTATTATGGAGGAAGCTGCGCGGAGAGGAATAACAAACATACCCTCCACGGTGACGTATAAGCCAATTGATGAAACTGTTTCAGGAGGATACTGAATTTCGACGGTATATCTGAGGACTTGCAGAAAGCAATAAGAAATATAAATACGGGAAGATTGTTCATGTTAAAGGGTGTGTTTCTGTTAGAAATGGGTCTATAGACTGGTGGGTCAAATATCATTTATAATGGTGTACCACCATTCCTGGTATTCCAAGACGAAAGGCATGGGAAAGAGCACATGTATTCTTTAATAGATATAGTCATATGTAATGGCTCATGAGGTCGTTCCAGTGAATATTCCTCGACTCATATAGAAATATATATATCAAAGAAAGGGGGGGACCAGTGTTCGCTGAAAGTCACCCACCCAAGGGCCAAATATTAACCATAAAGCTTCCGAATCAAAGCAGTGCGTCTTGCCTCGAAATCCGCCATTTCTGCTTCCAGCGACTCCAGGTCATCATCCATTTCAGCACCATTCACTTCTTCTAGGTCTATGGGCAACAATTCTGGAGATGAATCATTTGCATTCAGAGTATCACTCAGCTGCGATGGGAAAAGGTGTGCTTCAATCTCCAGATGTTTCTGCGTGATAGGATCAAACACCAAATCTTTTAGCAGCAAATGCTGGAATATGCAAGCCCCCTTGGATTTGGCCACATCCTTCTTCGTCTCCAGAAAGGGGGCGACGTCGCTCGTGAGAATTATCTGATGATGTTCCCGTGCTACCTCTCCCCACTGGGCAAGAACTCGCGTTTGGGCAATCATGGTGTTTCCGAGGCTCCTCCAGACGATTCTGGCTCGACTCATTTCGTACATATAGCGGAATATATAGGCAGAGCTTTCTTCTCCGTCAACACATGTGCCCCAAAGGTCCATGACTTCAAGTTGTGGAAGAGAGTGCAGGGCCGCTTTCGCTGCGAGAATCACCAGCCGCACGAAATCGCGTCCGCTGTGTTCTGAGTTTGGGAGTGGACAGCGCAAGATGACGCGTTTTAGAGAGCCTTTTCTTTCGGCCATATTGGATGGTTTGCCTGGTTTAATCATAAACTGAAGAAAAGCTGCTGTATCCATCTGCCATGGTGGGCAGAAATACTCCAATCTTTTAGAAAGCCTTGCCATCTCCTGAGGCAGGTATTCTTCAGCATGCAGAGATATCTGAAATCCTGACTTATCGTAGACATAATCAAGAAGTTCGGTTCTGGGGATTTCCCACTGCGTCAGGGACAATTGACGCAAGGTTGTCGGCAGAGATGGGAGTAATTGTGACTGGAAGCCTGGATAAGAGAGGTAATGTTAGTGGTCATTGAATGCTTGCCCACAAGCCCTAACCAGCGTCTTACATACCTCGATCAAAAGACATTTGCCGACAAGGATTTAAAGAGATTGTTCTCTCGAAGCGAAACCACTTAAGTGCTATAAAACTTTGGCCAAGGAGCTGGGACAAGGATCCCACATGAATTTCCCTACGAAATTGTCTGCGGATGACCAGCCCTTTGATCATAGGTACAGCAGGAAGGCTAGTCTTGTGTTGATTTACAAAACGGCCTCGGTCATTCCTCTGCGCTTGTAAGCGAAGCGGAGTTCCCTGTATCCTTTTGACATGCTCATTATATAACGGCGGAAGGCCATCGCCGTGAAGGTAAATGGTAAATGGATTAACAGCGTTCATCTTGTGGAAGTCAAATATGCTGGGTTCAAGATCTAAGTCCTCGACGTAAAGAAATGGATAATCATCCTTCATTTCGAATCGGTTTAGTCGATGCTCTGTATCACTGGGCGAGGAAATAGATAGCGTTAGCGTTATTCCCCATACGCCATGCCTTGCAGGATCCCAGAGTTTATGAGTCTCCAGTAGGGACTGAATACACTTTGTGAAGATCATATTGTTGCTATACGACTTAGATTAGCCCACCTCTAATAGAAAAGTATATTGTATTAAATGAAGATGGAGATGGAAATCTCACTCACCAATACTGTGTTGCTTTATCTTCTGGTTTATCGCAAGCAGGACACCTATATCTTGCGAGCTTAACTTAAAGCCAGAGTTTTCAGATATATCCTAAACGAGAGTCGTTCCGTCTGACTATTGCTGCTAATTCGCTGAGAGAGCTAGGATCGAGGACAAGACGCCGGAATGTGTAAGTCTCAACAATCTCCTGCCATTCGCGGCACACTGTTGCATATCGAGCCACCTTTAGGCCGTTACACCGTTTCCCGGAGCTGGGTAAAATTACCCGGCTTAGTGTTTGTTGGCGTACTTCAACTGGTAGCGAGTCCCACGAAAAGCCCCTGGCGGTGGAGGTTGGCGACTCGACTTGCATGGTGTTGATCACCTGTTCCATCGTGCCGAGCGACAAGATTCACAAGATATAGAGGGAAAATCCAACTTTGACAGACTAGAGATGATATTCTCTGGCATACCAGAATTCAAGGGAAGAAAGAACGAACTGAGAGATTAAATAGTTTTGAATTGCTCAAAGCATCACTCTCTTGCCCCAATTAAAAAGAAAGTATCACGAAGCATTTTGAACAATTAGGCCCGGTGGCTTCTTTGGGCTAAAAACTAACTTCAGCAGCCACCACCACGAATATACGACCCTGACTTTGGGCAGCCCTCTCCACTGTTAAGTCATCGACGCATTAAACATCTCGATGTCGTCTCGAGCTCAAGTCAATCTGTATCATGCCCAATAGTGACAGCCTTGTCGAAGTATACGCATATGATCCTGGACTAAGCTTCCACTAGCACATACGACCATAGGTAGAGGAGAATTCGGGGTCCCGTCTGCTCCCCCATAGACAAGCCTCTAACCGGCAGATTAGTAGTTAAGTGGGTGACCATTAGCGAACACCGGCTGTTGTATGTTTTTATTTTTTTATTGTGGATGCCTTCTGTGGCAACTAACTTGAGGCCAACTACCCCTGAGATCAAGCACATACGACCATATCCATTAGAATATACGGGATCCCGTCCGCTCTCCCAGAGTCAAGCTAATGAGAGGCAGATTAGTAGTTGAGTGGGTGACCATCAGCGAACACCGGCTGTTGTATGTTTTGCTTTTTTTGTTATAGGTGTCTTCCATGGAAATCAGGCCAACCACCGCTCAGGTTGAGCACACACGACTATCTCTATACGAGATCACGTTAAGTGCATGCTTCGTGTTTATGGGTGGCCATTTTCAGCAACTGATGCCTCTGGAATTAGAGATCAAGGTCGCTATTTCTTGAGACTTATGAACGAGGAGTGAGCCAATATTGACCTGGAACCCAGCATACCAGCTCTTAACAAGGGCTTAATCATAAAAGAGGCGCCCTCTCATCCAATCCAGAAGTGAGGGGGAAATAGCAAGAGGACTCAAAGGCTCCCGCAACATGCATGTGGGATATATTAACACAACAAGAGTTGATATGCTGTGGATAGATTATCTCCAACTATGTGGGCTGAGGTGGGAGTAAATTGATCCAGCCAGCGCGCTAGCATAGTCTAAGTTTACCTTATGGTGAGAATCACGTGGACGCGCGTGATCCTCCTGCTAATGCAAGCCGCGACTGCCCCGTTGGCCGTCTGTCACTGAAGACGGTGTCTTCGTGTTTGTTTCCTTCTTTTTCCTTTTTTCTAGATAGCTTCCTCTGGACCAGAAGAAATAGATTTCTATTTCTCAACAACTTAATCCACTTGCCGCCCTGACAATAGCGATCGCTGTTCGCATTCTGCCCTCCAGCTTTTCAGAGTAAGGAGCCAGAACGATCTCTCTAAGCGCTGGGAAGCCCCTGCATCTGATCTAAAATCTGCGGGCCTTGTTGGCATGGGATCCTCTTTTCGCAATGGGAACAAAAAGCGCGGTGGAGTTTGGTGAATATTCGCATCTGAGGATACTGTCATTAGCGGGCCGAGCAACGGTCTTCTCAAGCCGCAAATAAATCCAAGCGTCAGAAGGCCCAGCGTGTTTTCTATCGGGTAGACATGTTGCATCTAGCAAGGCATAATTTCAGCACAGCCTGCAAGCAGCTGAACGCCTGCGGCGGCAAAACAACGAATCACGATGTCTCAAATACCAGGCTCCAGCCGCCAGCCTGACTTGCGACTCAAAATCGTTCTTAATTTTTCTCGCCCCTTGCTCCGAAGTTCACCTCTTCTGCTGCACATACTTTATAAGCTGAGACCTGAGTTTGCCCTGCCTGATGAAAGCGGCGGATCATGGAGGCTCCCGAGAGCAGAAAGAGAACTCGAGAAGATGATGGTGCATTGTCGATCCGCTCGAAACGACACCAATCGAACAATGGCGACTGGCAAAGCCTTGGCTATTGCGACTACACCGTTGGCTGGGTTTGCGCTCTCCCCATCGAGATGGCAGCGGCAGAAGCCATACTAGACAGCATTCACGCCCCCTTGCCCCGCAAGGAAGGCGATCCCAATACTTACACTTTTGGCCGCGTTGGTGAGCATAATGTTGTTATCGCATGCCTTCCAGCGAGCCAATACGGCACAAACAACGCCGCTACAGTGGCCAGCAATATGAGTCGAAGCTACTCCTCCATCACCATTCGATTGATGGTTGGAATTGGTGGTGGAGTGCCCGACAGCGGGATCGACATACGATTAGGAGATGTTGTAGTCGGGAATGAAGTGATTCAGTATGACTTAGGCAAGGTCTTGCCCGACGGCCAGTTTCAGCGAACAGGCCGCACCACGACACCGCCTCACACGATCATGACGGCTGTGTCCAAACTACAAGCAGATTACGAAAGCGCGCCCAGCAAAATTCCCAGCATCCTCTTGGATATGCTCGACCGAAACGAGCAAATGACCTCATACGCCCGACCTAGCTTGCCAGATCGACTGTTCCGTCACGCATACAAGCATACACAAGAGATGGACAGCTGTGAGCGCTGTAGCTTATCGGAGGTTCTAGAACGACCTCATCGGGAGACCGCGAAACCCAGAATCCACTATGGCAAAATTGCATCCGGCAACCAGGTCGTCAAGGATGGCGAAACTCGTGCTAAGATGGCGGAGGAACTTGGCATCATCTGCTTTGAGATGGAGGCTGCAGGGCTGCATGATTTTTCTTGCCTTGTGGTTCGCGGCATTTGCGACTACTCAGATTCTCACAAGAACAAGGCCTGGCAGAGGTATTCCGCTGCTGTCGCTGCTGCATACGCCAAGGAACTCCTATCTGTCATACCTACACAGCAACGAAGGGATACTGAAACGACATATCCTACAACAAGTACGTACTGGAACTTCTAATGTTCGACTTTTAGCTGATCTCCTTGCAGACCCAACATTACTCCAGAGTCGAGTGGAGGCAGTGTTGAACTCATTAACGTTTGAGCAAATCGACTCGCGCCATGCAACAATCAAGACTCAACATTCCAAAACTTGCCAATGGCTGCTCGGCCACTCAAAGTACGTCGAGTGGCTCGAACCCATCCATTTTGCCAGTCATCATGGATTCCTGTGGATCAATGGAAAGCCCGGCGCTGGGAAGTCAACATTGATGAAGTTTTCCTACACCTACGCGAAGAACAAGTGGAAAGCAACAGCCGACGCAAACGTCATTTCTTTTTTCTTCAACGCCCGAGGCGTTCAGCTGGAAAAGTCAACAGAAGGAATGTATCGATCTCTGCTTTTTCAAGTCATTCAAAAATTCCCGGACGTCCTACACGATTCAGACCACATCTTCCAAGCCAGGCACAACCAGGCTACCTGGGATATCGAAACGCTCCAGGCTCTTTTCACCCATGCGGCTACCAAACTTGGCCAGCGACAGATCATCTGCTTCATCGATGCTCTTGATGAATGTGATATATCTGAGGTTGAGAATATGGTCGAGTATTTCGAAAACCTTGGAGACCAAGCTGCCGAAAGCCAAACGAAAATGTACATCTGTTTTTCCAGTCGCCACTATCCTCATATCGACATACGCAACGGATTGAAGCTCACCTTAGAGGACCAGCCAGGCCATGGCGAAGACCTTGAGAAATATGTCCGAAGCAAGTTACGAGCCGGCAACAGCAAGGCGTCTCAGGAGGTCTCTGCCGAAATCTTAGAGAGAGCATCAGGAGTTTTCCTGTGGGTGGTGCTCGTCGTTGACATACTTAACAGAGAGTTCCGCGATGGTCGCATATTTGCAGTAAAGCAGCGACTAAAGGAGCTGCCCGATGGGCTTAGTAACCTTTTCAAGGATATACTTTGCCGTGACAATCATAATATGGACGATCTGTTACTTTGCATCCAGTGGATCTTATATGCAGCAAGACCCTTGACGTGTGAGGAGTACTACTTTGCCCTCGTATCAGGACTAGACCCAAGCCCTGAGAACTTGGTTAGGTACGATCGAGAATCGACTACCCCTGCAGCCATGGAGTTGTATCTTCTTAGCTCTTCGAAAGGCCTTGCCGAACTTGTCAAGTCGAAGGCGCGAACTGTACAATTTATTCATGAATCGGTTCGCGATTTTCTCATCAAGGACAACGGGATTCGCCAGTTATGGCCCAATCACGCAGCGAGCTTTAAAAGCTACAGCCACGATCGATTGAAACAATGCTGTGATACTTATTGCAACATTGACATTTCCGAAAGAGTACCCCAGGGCGAGCCTCTGCCTAACGCATCGTCAGAGCAGGCAAAAGAGTTACGTACTCGGGTTTCAAAAGAGTTCCCATTTCTTGATTACGCGACACGACATGTTCTTCATCATGCCAATGCTGCCGAGGATGATATTTCTCAGCTTACATTCCTGAAGAACTTCGCATTAAAGCGCTGGCTCCATTTGTACAACTTGTTTCAACGGTATGAAGTTCAACGTTACACAGCCAAGGCTTCTTTAGTTTACATCCTGGCTGAGCACAACCTACCGTCTCTTGTCCGATCTGCAGTTAACAACGGATTTGATGCTCATCCGAAAGGAGAGAGGTACGGATACCCTCTTTTGGCTGCTTTGAGAAATGGCCATGAAGAGGTATACAAGGCACTCCAGCCTCATTGCAATGCTTTGGACAAGATCATTGATCAAAACGATTACCATAAAGGGTTCTCGATTCCAAAAATTACGACTGTGCTTCATTACGCCGCAGAGCACGGCAATCTATTACTCTTAACACACTTGCTCGGGTTCATGACACCAGCAAGTGATGCACCAGATGAGCGGAGGGGCCGTACTCCTTTGAGTTATGCGGCGTCTAGTGGTAGTGAAGCTTGTTTACGGGCGCTGCTCTCCTGCGGTTCACATATCGAGGCAGCCGATAAAGACGGCCGGACGCCGCTATTATATGCCGCAAATGGCAAGAATGAGGCCATTGTACGGCTGCTGCTTGACCGAGGCGCGCAAACTGAGGCAGCCGATAAAGACGGCCGGACGCCGTTATCGTACGCCGTGGAAGGGAATAGAAATGAGGCTATTGTACGGCTGCTGCTTGACCGGGACGCGCAAACTGAGGCAGCCGATAAATACGGCTGGACGCCGCTATTATATGCCGCGTGGTTAGGCGAGAGTGTACCTATTGTGCGGCTGCTGCTTGACCGAGGCGCGCAGATTGACGCAGCCGATAAAAACGGCCGTACGCCGTTATCGTACGCCGTGGAAGGGAAGGGAAATGAGGCTATTGTACGGCTGCTGCTTGACTGGGGCACACAGATTAAGGCGGCTGATAAAGATGGCCGAACGCCGCTATCATATGCCGCGGAGTCTGGGGATAAGGACGTTGTACGGCTGCTGCTTGACCGGGGCGCGCAAACTGAGGCGGCTGATAAAGATGGCCGAACGCCGCTATTATATGCCGCGTGGTTGGGCGAGAGTGAGGCTATTGTGCGGCTGCTGCTTAACTGGGGCGCGCAGGTTGAGACGGCCGATAAATACGGCCGTACGCCGTTATCGTACGCCGTGGAAGGGAAGGGGAGTGAGGCTATTGTGCGGCTGCTGCTTAACCGGGGCGCGCAAACTGAGGCAGCTGATAAAGATGGCCGGACGCTGCTATCATATGCCGCGGAGTCTGGGGATAAGGACGTTGTACGGCTGCTGCTTGACCGGGGCGCACAGATTGAGGCGGCTGATAAAGATGGCCGAACGCCGCTATCGTATGCCGCGAGCGTGAAACGGAATGAGGCCATTGTACAGCTTCTCCAATCGCGTGGTGCTAAATCTTCGTCGTCGATGATATCGTCTTAACCTCCCTGCCTCCCACCCACTATCCGCTCTGCACTCCCTTTACATACCGGGCGTCTTGGGCAAATAGCATCTGCAAGAAACTGCTTGCGCAATTTCACACACATACTATTAGCCAGGCGCCACGAGTAGCGTTCACTCTTATAGAAGTTTCTCGATAACGCCGTGACATACACCAGTATTCCCAGCCAACACTCCGCAACGAGCATGAATGGATATCTCTTTGGGTGGTACTAAAGCACCTGTCTCCTTCTGTAGGAGTAAAGGAACAAAATAGACACTGCACCGCTATGTGCTCTCCTCATCTAACGTGCAGCCGTTCTCACAATCAACTCTCTAGCCGGGCTGTAATTTCTCAGGTAGATGGGTAGGGATCACCTTACTCAGCTCGCAGTTATAAGTTTGTATGCTCAATTCTCTTATAACAGGCTTCCTCTTACAATCCTTTGTAGGTTCATCTTAACATCACACTGTATAAAGCTCCAACCGCATGCCCACACGCTGCTCCTAATGGTTATAAGTTGTCGCAGTAGAATATCCAGCACATACGACCATAGGTAGTGGAAAATTCGGGGTCCCGTCTGCTCCCCCATAGACAAGCCACTAACCGGCAGATTAGTAGTTGAGTGGGTGACCATCAGCGAACACCGGCTGTTGTATGTTTTTGGTGTTTCTTTTTGCTTTTCTCTTTTTTTATGTGGCATCAGCAGCAGCTCTATATTGGATTTTCGGTGAACGGTGAGCGGCGAATCAACCCCTGTCACAGTTTTTGTCATTTTCCTAATTTGGAGTGCGGGATGCGTAGTTGAGCCGCATCTCGGGTAAAATGCCATTGTTGAGATGACAAAGTCTAAAAAGCATCCCCCACAGCATTCAGGCTTGGCTCCTCCCACTTCGCGGTTTCTATCATGGATACATTTTCCAGTCATAGTATCAGTCGCGCCGTAGGGAGCATGGTGCAGTGAAAGTCATGGATAATCTACTGCATGAACTGTTCGCTCTATATGCAAGTACATGTTTCTACCTACATGCCGTTCTGCATCTTTAGGTATCTGGTATGCAAACTACATATCTAGCCAAACGTCGTCATGAAAATGCCAAGCGCCGTTTTTATCCGTCAACATGAAATAATACACAGGGATATAAACTACACATAACTCTCCTCAACACCAGCCACACACTTTAAGCCTGCATCTTTGACTGCACCCACTTCACCACACCTCCCTTGGCAACGATTTCCTGAACGCTAGGAGGCATCTCTCCAACTTTTTGCTCCCAGGAGGAGCCATCTTGCTCCGTAATGGTGACTTTGGATCGGCGGACGTCCCACAGCAGCTTCCAGCCCGTACGGCGAGTCAGGGGCTTCGCCGCGTCATCCTTGTACGCTTCACGGAGCCTCTCAATCAGCTTCGGGATTTCAATTCCAAGAAGAGCGTTGTTGATGCCTGGAAGTTTTTCCATTAGTTATTTGACATTACGAGGAAAGGCTAGAGAGCCTCATGGAAAACTCACTATTGCGGCTGAAAATGTTTCCGAAGCTACCTGCAACCACGAGAGGAATCTGCTTGGCTAGGATAGATGTTGCTGCTTGCTCTCGGGAGCTTCCACAGCCAAAGTTAAATCCGGTGACAAGAACATCATTTGGCTTAATAATGTTGCCAAACTCGGTATCGTAGTTCTCCATGCACACCTTGGCCATTTGCTCTGGGGTCAAGCCATCCTGGTAGGTGTATTTCCCGGGGTAGATGCCATCAGTGTTGATGTTGTCATTATCACCTACTTCAGTTAGTAAGTAATTCCGTTAACGCATGGAAAGATCACTCACAGAAAACAATTTCGCCTTCAATCTTCTCGGGGAAGCCCGGGACGACAGTAGTCAACGTCTCTTCTTCAGTAGCCGCTAAGCTTGCCGATTCTTCAGCAGCGCCTTCAGCAGCGCCTTCAGCAGCGCCTTCAGCAGCGCCTTCAGCAGCGCCTTCAGCAGCGCCTTCAGCAGCGCCAATCAAGCTCTCCATCTCACCAAGGATCTTGTCAAAGGCATCTCCAACGGCGCGAGCTTTGTCGGCAGCAAAGTCACCGCTGCCCTCACCAAAGACTACTTTCTCCACGCCCTCGGGCTTTTGGTACCAGCCAGGGCTGGCAATCTTACCCTGAATAGCACTGGCTGCGACGACCTCGGGGCTGGCGAGATAACACAGCGCCTTGGGACTTCCTGGAGACAACACAATTAGCATCGTATAAAAAGTTGGATCCACAGACTCGAATTACCCATGCGCCCTTTATAGTTTCTGTTGCTCGCGGAAATGCCCACTTGGCCTTCCTCAAGTAAGCCCTATATCAATGATCAGCGCTGAACACAAATCTCTAGAACATGTAGTATCTGTCACATACGGTGCCCTGTAATTTGTATTAGCACTGAACCCTAGAACATATAGCACCTGCCACGAATGTAACTTACTAGGCCTATGCAAGGACCACACCCAGCCGGGAGTAGCTGGGCCCCAGATTGTTCGAGAATCTGCCAGTCTCCCGCATCTTCCGCCATCTTCTGTTCAGCCACAGATGCAGGCGCAAGATAGAACTTGACGCGAGGATGAACCTTGGCAGGCTTGCCGTCCTTACCAGCCTCCCTGAATACACGAGCAGCAGCAGCGAAATCCTCACTTCGACCGTTGGTGCAACTCAGAAGATACGCCTTGTCTACAGCTATATCCTGAGCCTCGAGATTCTTAACAGGGTTGGCAACCTTGACAGAGTTGGGACCAGCAACAAAGGGCGAGAGGGTGGATCTGTGGCCTTGTTAGAGTGACCACTTTGGATGAAACAAGGGTTCTTACAGGTTGAAATAGAATTCCTTGGCATATTTAGCACCCGGATCAGCAACCATAGGGTTCTCCAAGAGCTTATCAATCCGCTCGTGATTGATCCGGTCCTTGGTAGGACTGTTAGACATGGCTGCGAGTGTTGCCCTGGCGCGGTACCATGAGATGAGCTTGTCATCAACAGGGAATAGTCCTACGCATACATGTTAGTAACTCGGCAAAAGTTGCGGGAGAAGAGAGTCGGACCTGATAGCGCTCCCCATTCAGTAGTCATGTTGGCGATTGTCAAGCGTTCGGAAATCGGAATGCTTGCCAGCGTCTGCTCAGACCCAGTGAACTCGACGCACATGTTGAGCACGTCATCTTTATTAAGCAAACCGCATAGGGCTATAATCGTGTCTTTGCCTGTGACTCCCGGAGGCAGGACACCCGTGAAAGTTATCTTCACAGTTGGGGGAATCTGCCAGAACACCGTCGAGGTTGCCAGGACACTGGCAGCGTCTGAGCGGACGATGGCTGTGCCAAGACATCCTACACCACCGTACATGTTCGAGTGACTATCACTAGCAACTAAAAATGGTATTAGAAATAGGCAGAGGACGATCCGGATTTTGAGTTAACTGACCACTGACGGTTCCTGGCCAGGCATAGCCTTCTTCAATCATAATTTGGTGCCCAATACCGTGTTTTGCGGGATCTATCAAGTCAGTTCCATACGCTTCAAATATCTTTGGGATGGGAAAAAGCCCCGGTAGTGCTAGCATACAAAAGTCGATGCCATGTGTGTTGGCAAACTCTTCGATCAGGCGGTATTTGCGTAGATTTTGTTCAGAGGTGTTCTGCACGTCGTGATCAAGCCTGCGAGCGATTAGACGATGAATACGGGTTCAATTGGAGGCAAGACAGCGTACGTCATGACGACCTGGCGATTATCCTTGACCGAGGTGGCACCCATTTCCATATACCTACACAGCTTAGTTATCATACCATTACAACGACTCATTCAAGTGTTCTTACTTGGTAATCACAGGCCAAGAATTGTCGTGTGTCATGCTCTTATGAGGCCTTTTGCAGAGTGTTTAGCTTGACTTCTTGGTATCCTGACAAGGTATCGACCAACCGCAACGTGATATAATCTCCAGCCCTGACTTTTTTCCCTTCGAGAAGGCCATCTGCGTGAAGTTGCACAATCTTCTCGGTAAGTGTCTGTGGATTGGCCGGGGCGGCGCCCAGAGAGGACTGGAGGACAGATGATCTGGGAGTGCTATCGATTTGCGACTGGAAGGCCTGTTGCCGTCGGGGACTGGATAAAGTGTAGTTACGGAACTGGGCGCCAGATGCCAACAGCAATCGTGAGCGTGTGATTGAGGTTCGAGCCTGCCGCACCGCAAGGGCGGAGGCATTGAAAGCGATGGCTCTCCGCTGAAGAAACTCCAGAGTCAGTCAAATTTCTTCGAGACTTTGACGAGACGTCTGTATGGGATAAAGCGCCAATGATTGGTAGAAAAACTCACAAGTGCAGTCATGATCGATAGCTGTAGCCTTGGAATGGAATTGATGATTCCAAGGAGGCCGTCGCAGGCGATTGAGCGTCAACAGCGAAAAGGCAAGAGTGCACGCTGATGCTGGCGATGGCTTCAATTCGACTCACTGCACAGAGCCCCGGCCTCGGAGCTACGTCACAAGCAAATGGAAAAGAAAAAAAAAATACACCGGCTGTGATTGGCTAGAGATGTCGAAAGCCATTATGGCTCGCGTGAGTTCTAGTAGTGGGGCTTAAGCTGCTAGATTTGACAGCCCCATACAATCTACTAAGCTGCCCGATGAACTACATACAAATCCACCTATGCACGTCAGATCTTGGAATACAGCTGCACAAGGGATCTACTGTACAACTTGCTTCGATGTAACTCTCTAGACAATGTCTCAGTAAACGACCGTGCAAGTATTATCCTCTTATCAATTCATTTGGCAGAACAAAGTAGATAAAGTCCATCAGAACTGGTGCAGTGCATCCTTGACAATACATGTGCGCATATACTCTCATCTTCTACTCGTACATTCGTAACCGCAGATATATAATACATGAACAGCCTTTTACCATAAATCCATGACCGCGCGCCTCCCGAAAGATTATATCGTTGCTCATACATAACCAACTCCAAGCCACAATATCCATAACTCTTATTCATATAATCCAATAAAAACAGAAAAGAACTCCATGTGTAGCCCCATACTGTTGTACATCGCCGAACAAACTCATCTTGTACTTTACTGGAATGGCCCAGGTGTGACGGTTAACATTTGGGTGATGTGCTTCGGAACTTAATGCAAAGGCATGCCACTCTTAATACCGTGACCCCCGTTCTGATGATTGTAGCTTCTTCTGTACGAGCCCGTGACGGGCTCATTCACCCATGTGCACCACATTTCTGCAATTTCTGCATCGGTTGCGTTATGACGAGGCACATCCTCAGGCCGCGGTGCTCGAGGCATTTGCGCTTTATACTTTGGTGTTGTAGATCTTGATGTTGTAGACTTCGGCGTCGTAGACTTCGGCGTTGTAGCCTTGCGCAAATTATTGACAATATCCTGCAACTCCTGATCATCGTTTACAATCTGAGCTTTGATAAACGAAATGTTATTCTGCCCCGATTCTTGAAGCGTTTGCATTATCGGAGTACGCGGCGTATACGCTATACCATCCAACTTTGGAGCAAACTTGGGATCCGGAACGACGGACGGGTCGAGCATCGCCTCAGCGCCCTTGTCCAGGAGAGTCTGGATATCCAAGCTTTCACCATGAGGAATCGGAGTTTTGTGGCTTGGAGTGACGCAGTCCATGTTGACTTCTTTGCGCAAAACGTGATCAATGTCAACTGCAGAGAAGAAAGCGCAGGACTGGGGAAGGTCGTTTATTCCCACTTGTTGCGCGAACATGGCGCGCGTCCAGATATTCGCTACCTGGAGTGCAAGTGCAGCCCGGTATTTATCCTCGTTCTTTACCAGATACCGAATTTCATCATGGACTGTGATGGCCAATCGGGCATCGAGGTTGAACCGGCGAATCAAGTAATCCATGGACACAATTAACAGGTGGAGATAATCAACGCCCGAGGATTGAATGGCCCAGTTGATGCGGGAAGGCAGGTAGCCACCCTTGCTCACAAAGCGGCTCATAAGTGCTTGTGTGATACCGGCTCCCAACACCGGTGTTCGGGCCCAATCCTGTTCCGCAAACTCTTCCAGTTTATTGAATACAAACGACTCCGTTCCACCTCTCCAGAATTTGTGCTGGTTTATGACCCTGCGGATCGTCTTGGTGCCTTTCGTGTTGGCATACAGTCTCTGAGCAATCGTCATTGTCTCGCTTTCACTGAGCGCAGGATTAAATTGTCGTAGGAGAGTAGCAGCAAAGTTCAGCCCAGCTCCGTAAATACGCCCGTAGTTGAAGACCTTCGCGTCATTTCTAGTGATACCCAAGATCGCCGCTGTCCGCGAATGCAGGTCAGTGCCTGCAGCTTTTGTCCCCTCAAGCGTCATGAAACCGATTGCATTTCCGCCGTGGATTTTGAATGTCGCATCGCCCATCAAGCTAGCAATCCACAGTTCCTCCGAGTCTACATCGGCACCCACAAAGCAGTAGCCATCGGGAGCTTTAACCATCGACTTTAACTCAGACCCAACACGGTTCTTCTTGGCATTGCTTGCCGTGAGCCAGGTTTTCTCAACTGCTCGCCGAGTGATTGTACCCATGGGAATAACTTGGGGTAAAATAAAGCCCTGGCGCTTTTCTCCAGCCTCCATGGCTTTACCCTCTTCAGTGGCGAGTATGTCGTTTTCGTAGACAACCATTTGGGACCTTATCCTATCGCGCGCGCTTATCCAGTAGGAACAAGAGGCGTTCATTTCCAGTGCCTCTTTAGCATACTCGTACTCTGATGATAAGGTTCCGTTTTCAAAATAGTTGAGATATCCTTTTGCCATAGGATTCGAGCAGCGAGCGGTGGGACCATCTTTATGAGGGAGCTTAAAGTATGAGTGCCCCCAATCGGCGCGCAAGGCAGGGTCAGAGTCATCAAAGACACACTCTGGCATCTTCTTTGCGATGTAACCGGGTACATCGGTTGGGCTGACTCGAAACACCCAGCCATATTTGTTAGACCAGAATAACGGATGCCCATCCCAAGCCAGCTTCAATAGCAAAGGGGCGATGCGACTTCGCACCGTCAGGTTTATAGGGGCGTTTTTACTGGGATAGAGATCCCTATACCATTTCGGCTCCCCCGCCATCTTTTGTCTTGCATCGCGTACTGGTGGATCACCCTTGCGTTTGCCTTTGACCATTCTAGCCTCCTGTACCGACCAGTCCAGTTGCATCATCCAGGGATCGTTTCCCCAAATCTCGGGGCTGTCCTTCAGTTCCTTGGCTTTCTTTGCCAAATCCTCCAATCTCTTCTGGACCGATTCAAGGAGGTTATTGTATAGCGCATCGGCATTAGCGATGTATTGCTCCCAAGTCTCGTTAACCGGCAGAATAACGGATGACAAGTGCCTCAGGGCAGCGAAACTAACCGGATGTGGGCAAACGTTCAAGAAGCTGGGAAGAACGATTTGATATACTCTGTGAGTGGTAGACACATCTGCAGCGCAGTATTCCAAAAGTTGGTCCAACTGTTTCAGTATGACCTCGCGGTCAGTCTCAGCAAAGTCATCCCGTTTGCTTTTGTCGATGGTGACGTTGAGATGGAATTTGGCGACATCCCGCAGTGAGTTGACTGAGCTTCTTTCGACCCACAGCTCCTCTTCTTCGTGTATGCTAGGATTGCTCAAAAGCTCGACCATGCCGTGATCGGGATCTTGGCTAGCCACTCTTTCTCGCATCTCTCGATTTTTCTTGAACCTCTGCCAGGTCGGGCGTTGTCGTGAGCACATACCGTTAACAGCAACGTGCAGTGACATGGTATCTAGGAATCCAGTTCTAGTTTGCTTGAGATTGTACTCTTCCAATATTCTTGCTCTGTCATAACCAACATTGTGTCCCACGATGATACGGTCCTTAGCTGGGTCGCCTATCGGTATTAGCTGTCGCTCGTTGTCTGTCTCGCCGAGTAGCCAAGGAGATAGCCAAGAGTACCAGGCCGTGGGGCTGACTGCGCAAGCCATTACTGCAAAGTGGTGATTTTTATACATGACTTCTGTGTCAAAGCACAGCATCTCTTCATCGGGGGATTCTACCGACTCCGGTGGTGTCCCATCAGAGTGATATTTGGTCCACCCGCTTTGGTGCACCCATTGTTTCGGCTTGAGAGGAACATTCGCACACGCGAATTCTTTGGCAAACCGCAAGTATGGTTCGGCGCAATCGATTCCAAGCTTGTGAAAATGTTCGTCGAGGGTCTTGCCCTTGAGTTCAGGCAAGTCGAAAGCGACAGGTTCAGAGGTATCCGTGTTCTTTCCATAAAGGTCGTGTCGTTTCAAATGATCTCTTGACAGCCTTACTAGCTCCTCAGGCGGTGGTCTGGAACCCCCAGGAAATATCTGAGGGAAGATGTGGTCGCTGAGTTGCTGCACACCAACTTCATTGTATCGCGAAGAGGAAGACACTGTTATTGCAATATCAGCTACCGATATCAAAATCTCATACGCAGGGAGTGTCGCAAGCATCTTACAAGCTAGAGACTTGGCATCCTTGGCTTCATCCCTTTGTACAACATCAGCGAGCCATCGCGACTGCGCTTCCCACGCAATGCGACGTCCTCGGTGGCGAGCAAGCCGAACGAAGCTCGCTACTGGAGCTCGCCGGAGCTTGCCAGCGGCAGAGTAGAGTGCTCTCATACGCGTTGGGGCGACATTAAAGATAGGCGACAGAGCGCCAGGTAGTTTGATCTTATCGCGATGAATAGGGCAGAAGAAAATGAGGATCCTAAAAAGTGAAGTTCATGGCAATGGCCGTTCACGTTCACGAGGAAAGAATTGCGCTATGGCTAGTTCCCAAGGGCGAGAATTTTAGTGGGGTGGGGCGTATGCTTTGCAAGGGCGGGCGAGCTTATCAAGAGCAACTGCGGAGATGGCAAAAATGACGTCGAATCGCAAAGGTCAGTCATATTGATGCTTAGCTTTTAAAGCTCACGCGCTCCGAAGAAAATACATAGAAAGCAACTCAACTATGCGAACTAGGTGATGGACAGAGTGAGATTATAGTCTAGTAAAGACACATGTAGCCAGATGAGCCCAGCTGAAATCCTCCATTGTGGCATCAGGCTGTGTCACCCAGCAGCCAGTAGCTGCGGCCCCCTCGTCCAACGCCGCTTTTGGCCCCGGTCATTGGTCCGACATCCCAATTGGGAAATATAGGACTGAAGCCATCTCCAAGATCTCCAGGCACCGTAGGGCTGATCCATCAATCATGGCACCGCCGCATCGCCGCGCATCAGGACGGTAAACACTACACTATACTATTCAGCCATTAGTATAAACTTGTTCAGAAGTTAATTTTTGGGCCTTGACCATTCTGAACAAAATGAACATTCGCACTGCAGCAACTTCACTTATAACCCCTCGTTATCGTTTTATAGCTCTTTATGGCCGCGTGAAATGTTATGCGCAAAGAATGCAACTCTAGCCAATACCGAATCTCACAATGCATAATAAATTAACCATATCATCTCAAAAAGCTCATCTTATTCTTTGTCTATCTATTCATTGTACTTTACGCCAAGGTATTTAGATTGCCTTCGGTCAAGTTTTCTTGTTGTCGCTTCGCCTGAGTAAATTGCTACCCTAGGATCTACGGACTCTACTACGCGACAGTGCTTCTTTGGAAATATAGGTATATATTTACAGCAACACACACCGAAAGATCACATCATATTGTCCTTTTTCTTTTACCAGCAGGATTGTATTTTTGGCGCATGCGTTTCTATGGCTAACTGCGGTTTATATCTATCTGTTTGCTCCTTTACGCTGAACAGTCTGATGCGTCATGAACATCCTTATATCTGTCGGCCCAGCATACTTTTGTAGTTCTCAAATAATTGAAAAATGACGACTCATGATGAGCTAAGTCGTGTATATCAAATTTGAGATCTATTGCTTTATAGAAAGGCGTACGTCAGCCTGCAGCATCTGCGACGGATGGCGACACTACTCATCGTACCACGTTGTCAGCGAATACATCATATAGGAAAGTAGGTGTATATCCACACGGAACAAAATAATGTGCCGACAATTTCATAGATACTAGAGAGGTAGAAGTCTTTTCGGTGCAGGCAGGTACATGTATTTTTGGATATCTGTTGGCGGGGAGCTTCAGTCACAGCTGATGGAGGTCATTTGACGGCAAGTATAAGAGATGAGGATCTGATTACGGGAACTTGTACAGACTATCACTAGATATCAACATGAGGGACGAGAGCATGAGGGTGGGATGCAAGGCCTCGACTTGAACCTTCGAGTCAAAGACTTATGTCATCCCACGTAGCTTGACAGGCCATTGTCATACTCCTGCCTCGGCCTATGACTCAGTGATGGCATTGTGGTCAGATCGGCCGCATTGAGTGAGATGACACTGCACTCTGCTTTTACATCTGTCCTTTGATATGCACTCGAATTTAGGCTCTCTTGTTCTGATCTAAAATATCATGATGTAATCCCTCTACATGCCGAGCGAGTGGGATGTGCCCCCTCTTCACAAACTGGGTGAATCGACCGCGATTATTGGAAGTCCTGGAGGTAAGACCGTAAGCATACTTTATGTAGCTGTGATTTGCTCGGCAATACGCACTCGGTTGTTAACATAACTCCGATACTTGATTTGTCTTCCTCTGTTTTTGCTAGTAAAACGAATTAGGTAGCATTTTCGATATTGGTACCAGAGGAACACAATTTCAGGCATCAAAATTTGCGAGTGCCGGAAATAAAGGGGGGTCAGGCAACAATGTAACGAATGGAATATCCCACGTAACAACATCCCTCAGACGCCGAATTCTTTCCACCGTCATCGTAGACTAGTCAGGCATCTTTCAACTCCCCGAACTCCGTGTTTCTACTCGAGCGGCGAATTCAAAGTGTTGGTGACAGTGTAATCTCGTCCGACTCAGGGGGGCGTGATGCTTCTTCATCAGATATGATAGATTTCAAACGCCTTGTTTACGCCTTTTGCCTAACGACAAAATTCACTGACCCCTATATTCTCATTCTAGGTAGTTTTGCACTCCTTCAAGTGCCTGCAGAGACCGAAAAGTACCTACCTTAGGTATGCTGTTTGAGTAATCTGACGTCGGCCAACGAGTCGAGCAGTTTTACGAAGCAGTCTTGACTGTACCCCACGCGTGATCTCCGAATTCCCGTGATGAAAATAATATCAAAAATAAAATAAAAAAGCAGAGAATGTGATTTATTATGTAAAAAGTGTTTCAGATTCTACGTTGAGAAAAAAAGAATGATCTCGCCCGGGCTCGAACCGGGGACCTTTTCGGTGGTGTCAACAGATGTTGTTAACGAAATGTCATGACCAACTAGACCACGAAACCATTGATTCCAATTTGGATGCCGGGTATTGGTGTCTCCAGCATTCTTGAAAGATTCAAACTACGACTGACGAACCGTCCCATCCTGAGATGGCTGCTGAAGCACACTTACCTCGCTGCTGTGAACTTCGGGTAGGTGTTCCGGATGTCGGTAATGCTAAGAGCCCGGATGGGGCCGTAAACGGGACGACCGCCGCCAATCAATATACAGAGAGCAAGGGGCGTATTCGGTCGTATTCACCCTGAGCTAGCGGCGAGGTTGAGACATCGGGTATTATTACATGGACCGTCTTCTAAATCATGAGTTGATGCCTATTCTGCGTTCTACTCATCCAGCACAAGTTGTCCGTCTGAATATGTAAACAAACTCAAGAGGGGAATACGAACGGACAGATAAAAGAGAAGCACATTTTGGGGGGATTACCTTTACAGCTATGTTGAGTCATCCTGAGGAGAAGGATGACAAGCTATTGCCACTTACGAAGTACGAAGTACGATATGCTGCCGTTACACCAATCCGCGCGACAGCCGGACTGTACAAGCACCCCGACCGAAGGATTGATCCACGCTGATGATACAGCAGTTTAAACATAATTTTCACACCATCCTTGCAGCGCGCATGGCTATCGCTAGATTGGCTTTCTGCTGCTAGCTGTTTGGTAATGTCGGGATTCAGCAGTTTAGATGAGTAACGGGGTTATGCCGTCGGGATTCGGGTTCGCATGGCAGGGGCCATGGCACTAAGCTGTTTGCTGAAAACGAAAAGCAAACGAAGCTGAAGGTATTATTAGCACCTGCAAAGCAATGATTGATTATATCTCGGGAGAAATTAAACTTAGTTGATCAAAGCGAAGCAAATGAAGCACGAAGTAAACGGTAGTTCTTCTTTAATGATCAATGTTATTTAATTTCTTCACAGGAATTATTCATCTATACATTGTATCAAATATTGTGCTCTGCTCCATAGAAGTCAATAGTTCCTTGCAACGGGAAATAAATGCGAGACCAACGTAAACAATACTCGGTGGTCGGAGAATATATATCATATTTCGCTCCCCGGGCGCCGCACATAAACAAGCTTTTTGCCAGTTTGACTCCCCTATCATCCACCGCATAGTAACCTTGAAGTAAGGGATGGCGCCCCTCCTATTCGTGCTGGCGGTCTGGATTTCGGCCATGTTCTGGAGTGCGAGACGTCGCAAATCTACCTTTGAGTACTGACGTCAGCTGACAATTCCTCATAAAGGGCAGATGCAGCGGATAAACATGTCTTTTTCACTTTCTGAAGGGCAGACAATAGAAAGAGCTATATTATGCATGTCCTCTTGGCCACATCTAGATGGAACGTCAAAAACGTGTTTTGCAGCGTCTAAAAAGCACATGGCATCAGTAAGCATGTACCAGCCCGCCGTCGGGTCGGGTTTCAAAGCTTACGCCTTACCGCAAGCCTTACCGCAAAGTAGGGGCTCTGCTAGTTAAAGTGGCGGCGCGGGGATACCAATGGATATGTTTTCAATGTTGGCAAGGGCCCCTGCTTCAGCTACGGAGAAAAGCCCTTCGAGAAGCGCCACCACGTTAAACCGTGGCGTCTACGGGATTCGGAGTCGGGTAGCGTCCCGGTGAAAGCTCGAAGGATGCGCAAAACAAAGCGAGGAGTCATTGCCGCAAACATTGCTCCATAGTTGTTAGTAGCAGGAGCAAACGTTGGTGGCACACTAGAGTGATGAGTCAACTAATAAGGGGGACAGAATTCAAGGAAAATTGATAATGAGAAAATAATGGTATCCTATTATTATTTTTGTTGATTTTCTACACATCTAGAAGAAATGGGTTGACGTGAGATTGAATTGATCGTCGCCAGGGGGATGACGTCCTCGCGGTTGGTGCTTTGTTTGTGTTCGAGGTATCTATGTACCAGTACCTCTTTGCGCACAACCGCAGGGACGGATGCGGGCTGTGCCGGGGCGATTTGTGCAAACAGCATGAGATGCGTAATATTACTGCATAAAAGTAGACTTGCCGACCCCGGCGGAGATAAGGTAATCGTATCTACATACAAGGTGTTCAGGTAGGTATGTGGTGGTAAGAGGATAGGTGAAGAGGTGAATGTATGGACCTAGCGAGTAAGAAACATACAGCGACATGTTGTACTTCGCAAAATCTAATCAATCATGGCAAGACACTGGTTTCACGGGTGCTACCTTTTGTTCTAAGCACGTATCAACGTTGCTGTACTTGTGTCGGCAAGATGCCTCGAATCTCGCAAGTGGTGAGCGAGATACGCGTACTCGCACTCGCGCGGCGAGA